GTTTATACGAAGAAGCTTATTGTTTATGCCCTCTTTGATTGTTTGGGCATTGGTATTTGGAACAGACCCCTTCATTATCTCGCGTACGGTAAGCTAAGCCACGGACTCCCGTCTTCCCGCTGTAGACAATCCTATCCGTCTCTTCTGCATAAGCTTCACTCGATGTTTTTGTGTAACAGCCCACAAACTATTGTAGATTTCTAATTTCTATTGTTATACTCTTCATGTTGATAAATATCAAAGCTGAATCGGAAGGTACGATAATCTGTAATGATACAATTTGTAATGATACAAGGTGAGGATAGAATGACAGATAACATAAAGTAAGGTAAGGTAAGCTGGAATCAGAAAAATCTACCCTGACCGTGTATGCTTGAGAATATGCAATAAGAATCCTGCAGATGTACAAACTGGACGGGCCGTCCAGTTTCTGACAACGGAATGTGGAAATGGTGGCAGTGTAGCATGATCTTAACCGCTTTTATCGTAAACTAATCATGTTGTGTTTCAATTACACGTTTTAATTCCTTCCATCTGGATTGTTCGAAATTTTTATCGGCGCTTGTTCTTCATCTAGTATGACAATGAATTTCCCTTGAACCACGAGGTCTTGAAGCGCGTAGGTCTAGAGCCAGATAGATGATGATACCAAAGAGAGCGCGCCTGTCTAAGCGTGTGAAAACGGCGCGGCCCTTCTCGAGGCAGGCATATGGTTTAGGAGGTGGGTAAGTGCAGAAATCAGAATCTTGCAATGCCATGCAAGGCACATTCATGAATGATATGATGGAAATAATAATGTGGTTATCACATCATTCAAAACATAGTGCCTGTCTTTTGGCCTTTCGCGTCCAAAGAATATTTTGCTATTTCCTTATATTGGTAAGTTCAACTGTAAGAAAGTTGTTAATACTGATCCTCCTTTACACGATTTCTTCCCATCCTCCCAATAACTATATTCTCAATGAGTTCCACAATGCTCAACCCCTTGTACACGGTTTGATCGTACTCACGCCATGCCTCATCCCGTTGTCAGACTGCCCCAACTTTGTGAAAGAACATTCGGTCGTTTCTAGCGAAGTCGTACACACTGGTTTGCCTACCACAAAGATCAAGCTATAGGCTCAGTTCGTGTTGCTGCGGATGCTTCAGCGGGTACGTCTCCAATATCCCCCTGCATCTCCAACTTCCCAAGCGTACTAATGCTGCAGGTGGAGGAAACGCCTTATAGACAGGGTCATTGGTTGGACCCAAGGGGTACTTGGACATCTCTTCAAGGATATCGAGCCGTCAGACTACCAGGGGTCATTGGTTTGGGTTGTGTGAGCAAAACCGACACTTAAATAAAACCAGCCACCATTTTTCCAGAGAATTCTTATCAACCAAATGAAAAACATGCGTCGAAGGTATTAGCTATTTGGAGTAAGAAGAAGCGAATAATATGTAAGAAAAACATTCGGGGATTTAATTCATCGAAAATGGGTTTTGTTATTTCTCAACCAAGCACCAACAGCCAACAATTATTAGCAACATCAATATCAACATCGACATCAACATCACAATATTTTCTAACTAAAAAGCCAGTTAATTCAGGTCGACAGATCAAATCCAGGAACAAGCTGTATATCCACTTCATTAAATCATCCTTTCTCCATTTCCCACGTTTCCCCGAACAAGTCCACATTCTATCCGATCCGGTACCCATCCATCCCATCTATCCCATGCCTTTCATTCCCTTCGGCCCCCCTCCTCGAAATATTATATTTTTATAATCCTAGTTTCTTACCAGTGACCACCACCAACACCAGATCCTTGATCCAAGACCCACGAGGATCGGTCGCCGCCCTTGAAGGAAGTGATTTTATTCTCAGAGAATCCCGAGTTGATATATATGTAATAACTTGGCTTGGAACATTGCAATATCGCAACATCGCCTTATCGATATTAAACACACCGCACCATATAGCCAGAGAGATAGTACCCCCCGTACTGCACACAGGACAACAACACGACAAATAATTACCCTTGAGCGACTGTACAATAAATCACAATTTTTAATTCAACTCCATCATTCTTTCACCTGCAATTCATTGAACAACTTTGGAAAATTATATGTTGTGCGCTTGTGATTACGATAACTTCACATCAAAATCGTCAAACACTTACGAGCACAACAACAACAACAACAACAATAAAGCAATACAACAAGTTCCAAATTCCAAATTCCAAATTCCCTAGATTTCGGACGTCAATTCGATGATAGAGGATTATTGAACCTTGAATCTAATTCGAATATTCACTTCAGCTGGAACACATTCAATTTGCCTAGCATACTGAATCTATCTAAATATCCAGATCTCATCCATCAACCATTGATATCTTTCACATTTGAATTGCTAGTCTGATAGTCGAAACACTGAACTTGATTTTTGAGACGGAGTACCACGTTGTGTAATACCTTTTTTGTATTTCCCTTGGAATAAGAGGAATCGATCCGAGATCTCATTGCTTATCTCAAGGTCGAGGCTTTGCTGACAGGAAAGGCAAAGCAAGGAACTGCAGAAAGGGGGTGTAGCAGTGCAGCGGCATCGAGATTGGTGGCTCCTGTTCCAAATCGAAGGTTGTGAAGGATAACTATTTCAGACCAACCATTCCAAGGAAGAAAGCTGGAAGGGAGGTCATAAGAAGTGGACAAAACTTCGCTGGGTATCCCATTTTTGTAAGAACACCTTTTGACACCAAGTTATAAATCCCACATGCAACATCTAGCATTAGTCGTGCTTCGTTATTGTACGCTGTTCCCTGAATCTTTACGATACACTGTTACAATCCCTACCCAATCATAGCACTATTCTCTCTCTCCTTCTACTTTGACCTTTCAAGGAAAGCGGTCATCAATTTACTCCAAATAATCACCTCACGTCACTCTCACACAAATCCCCTAGTCTTACACCTAGCATCTTTTCCTTGAATTTCCGTTTGCGACTTGAGACCAGTATCGCATACAATATAATATATATCCGCCGATATATATATATACTAAACTAGAGCCATCCATCACCGTATACTATTACGTTCTTCCTTCTACCCTGCATCTTTTAATTTTCAACAGGCGTAGACTATCTTTCAAGTCAGGTTGAGTTCGATGAACCATACCCAAAGATATCCGTTGTTTTTATTACCCATGAAGCGTACGATACTTTAAAGGAAGTATTGGCTCATCAATTCTGCCGCCCAGTAGTCAAGTTTGATACATCAAAAGATTGGGAATTATACTCTCAAAATTGAGTATTTCGAACCCCGTTAACCTTCTACCTATCACAGTTACAATACACTTGATGATCGGCACCTTCCACCTTCCGCCGCAGAATCGCAAAGGCTCGCCACTTCACATAACCCGGCCGGCGTATCTATTATACTAATAACCGATACTCGTCCTAGTCTGGTATCGAATACGTAGCAATTTCCAGAACCCAATTGCCACATTCGGGGATTTCTACTGATCTTTCGAATACCTTTGGTTATAGAGAAATTCGTCCACGAGAGAGCGTGCGACAAGTAAAACTACTTTCCAGTCTAGCAACTTGAGGCTCCACCGACCAAATTCTCAGAATCAAGGTGTCTCTATATCACAACCGGGGAAAAGGGAGATCAAGGCGGCAATCGGTCATTTACAGGGCTATTTCGTTAGTCTTGATCTAGCTTATCCTCTTCAAGTTGGGATGAGACTTGTGACCAATTCTAGGTCTTCAATTGACTTTGAGTTTATTGCAGAGAGTTTACTATCCCAACCATAAAGTTAACATCCAAGGATAAAGAAATTTTATTTTTTCTGACACCAAAGAGGATTGTAATAGTGTCAATCCCACAAGTTCTCGCTGGCCGTTAGTATTCGGTATTGGCCAAACGGAAGCGGGTAGTTGGAATTACTCACTATTTCAGATGAACTGAAAACCACGGAAAATATCTGCCTTTCATTGATTCCCTCCGATCAAGGACGTCTTTCTTTTCGCCCTTCGCCAAGCACATATTCCAATCCCTTAAGAGCGTCATTTTGAGTGACTCACAACCAAGTTATATTGCAATATCGACATTACTATCACCAATTAAGAACACTTGCGCCTACTAAGGAAATCCCCGAGAACTTCACAAACACTACCGAAAAGCCCCTTGCCAAACTTCATTGTCAAGTTCATCATTGATCATCTCAATCCACAAGTTCATACAGAGCTCTGTTCCATTATAGCTAGTGGCCAACCAGAATCGTCATCGATTCTGCTTTCTTACTGCCACAATCAATCGCATCTTCTCCTTCACGGTTTCGGGAGGTTTAGTTAGACGCTTATCAAACTCAATTGACACGAATACCCTCAAAGTCGCTGAAGTCGAAATCTCGCCACCATACAATCTATCTATCATCTACCAACTGGACGGTACGAACAAACCTTAAGGAACCGGATTTACCTTCGTTCTTCCTTGTTTCGAAAAACTTCAAAACTCTGAGCATCGGTGATCTTGCAGGGAAAAGAGCTTTTCTAGATGCTAGTTCATAACGGTTTTGACCAATCCGGTATCTAGTCAACCCACCAGCCCGCCAGCCCGCTAACCGGACGATTTATTTATTATTAGAGAACGGACCACACCGTCCGGTACTCGACAAAACTTTCCTTTCTTCCCTGTTAGTTTAGACGGCATTTATTCAAGCCTTTTGGTGTGTCTTGTCTTTGATCAAATATTATTTTCGATCATTACCTCATCAGGTTACTTGGAATCGTGTATCTTCATTCATAGAACTTGATTATTCGACTTCGGAAAACAGATCTACTACTTACTACTACACTAATAACCCCAAGTGTTGTACTAGTACTATAGTGGTAGTATACTAAGTACGGCCCACTTCATGAAGTACAACACTTCAAGAACAAATCGTAGTATATATTCAACAAACCACCTCCTTCATCCCCGTCGCAAAAGATCCCCTTCCCACCTGGCAATATACAACCATGAGTGAGCCATATCCTCCCCGTCCTTCACCTTCCGGTGGAAAACGTCACTATACGAGTGATTTGCAGGATTCCCTTCCTTCATCTTCCGCCGCAAGACATCACTCTCCCACCTGGCAACAAATAGCCATGAGTGAGCCATATCCTCCCCGCCCTACACTTTACTGTACACAACGTCGCCATGCGAATGATTTGCAGGAATCCCTTCCTTCATTGTCCGCCGCAATATATCACTCTCCTACCTCGCAACACACAACCACGAGTGAACCATATCCTCCCCGTCCTTCACCTTCCGGTACACAACGTTGCCATCCGGGTGATTTGCAGGATCCCCTTCCTTCATTGTCCGCCGCAATATATCCCTCTCCTACCTCGCAACACACAGCCATGAATGGGCCACATCATCACCGTCCAATCATGGAGCATCCGTATCCTGCATCAACACAAAATCATCACAGCTCAACAGGCTACGCATCCAATAACTACCCGCAACACTATCCTACCCTTTCAAACAATGGACCGCCATCTTTCCAACCCCCAATGGCGCCTCAAGACAGCAGATATCCTACCCATTCAAACAATGGTCCGCCATCTTTCGAACGCCCAATGGCGCCTCAAGATAGCAGATACTCACAGCCAGGCTACAATGCGACTTTCTCAGACTTCCCTCATCACGACAACAGAACTCCTCTGTTAGGGCCATATTTCCCGGCCTCTGCGCCGTCGTTTGCAGCGCCCCCTTTGCAGCGGAAACATTCGACTGGCAAGCAAACTGCTACTAGAATGAGAACCGCAATCGCATGCATGTATTGTCGAAGACGCAAGGTAATTTTGAATCCTCTCCTCTCCTCTTTGAATGATTTTGAATTCGAAGTATCGGATTTCACTGGATAATCAATTAAAACAATGCTAACGTTACCCATAGATTCGTTGCACGGGTTTCAACGCGGACGGGTCCCGAGGCCAATGTGTGAATTGCATACGCTTCGAACAGGAATGCATTTTCACCCCTGTGTCTTCACAACAGGCATTTGTTCCTGTCCAGGCCATGTATGCAGCAAATGGTGGAACAGATCTCTCACCACATGTACAGCTATTCGGTGCTCATGGTCAACCTCTCCCAATGACGACGTCTCCCCCATCAACCCAATCGTATCGCCCACGTCCCCAATCGTATCGTTCACCTCCACAATCAACCTTCGAGCCACAGATACCATACCATAAATTTCCACCAGCGCCAGGATTTTATCATCCGTCTCGTGGCTCTTCCTCATCTGTGTCACCTACACAGCCGGCATCCCAGCAGCAATTGCCTCATCATCAGCACCAGCAAATGAGCGCGTTACCTCGTCCAAATCATATTCCTCCCTTGTCGTATCAACAGTACCCGCAAACGAGCCCGTTACCTCATCTACCTCACACTCGTTCCTTTCCAGTTCATCATCAGTACCCGTTACCTCCTCGATCCGATATCCCTTCTTTGCCTTCTTTGTCCAGAACATCATCTCAGCCTGGCCAACGAGAAGCATCATCGGGCTCAGGGTCCCCATCGATGCGATCATCGCATTGGGATGTGGTTATTGGATGATCTTGTTATAAGGATTAGTTAGTTGGATTGTATAGCGTAAGAAAGAAAGAATAAACCTTCTTTTACATAGCCATTAAAATGAATAAAAAAGATTTCAATGATTTTGATGTTTGATGCTTGTGGTCATTCTACGAGTAATACTTATGATGCTTTTAAAACCGTCTTTTCCTCTATCAATTTCAGACTAGACAACTTGACTTGTGCATTACAAAGGTTATATAGACTCCCACTCTGGAGTGCTAATGAATATCGGTAGAAAATTGAGTCAAAAAGATGAAGTGGTGATGAGGAAAATTATGTACATGTGTTGAAAAGGTGTTAAATGATGGATGAAAAGCCGAGAAATTTGCACCACCAAGAAGATACGAAGTTGTGCTTTGTTCATGTTTCTGGTCGACATATATGTATTCTGGATGTATCTGGGCGGTATAATATCGCAACGGCTTCCCAAAAACTTGATGTTCTACCTTCAACGAACCATTCTAAAATAATTTCTAATCACCTCTAATATTTCATTTACATGAAGCCAATTTTCCAACCTCCACTCTCTACAAACGATATCTCACAACTGAAATCACAACTTGACACCCCTCGCCATAAACACCGCTCTCTTCAAATCGTTCCTCTTTCCCTCTTCTCCTGTTCCGTGAAACACTATCCCCTTCCCCAAAACCATATATCCAAAATCCGCACCAACACCCGCATTCACGAAAATCTTCTTGATTTCTTCCTCGGAAAATCCATGATGAGTAACTGTTTCTCGTGCTTTTTCCGATTGTGCATTTAACTTCACGTCCTGGTGTGCGTGTGCATGTGCATGCCCATGCTCATGCGCATTCCCAAATCCATCATGACTTTCAAAATCCACCACGGCCAAAATGCCCCCCTTCTTTAACCTCGACCCCAATTTCCTCGCCGCCAACGCCGGATTCTCAAAATGATGAAATCCCAATCCCACAACCGCAATGTCAAATTCGTACAGATCTTCACTCTCTAATTCCGGTTGCGGGGTGTCGGAGAGCAAGTTTCCGTGATAGGCATACATTTCAGAGGGAGCGAGTCCTTGGTTGGAGGCGCGCGCGTTGTAGTGTGTTACCATGGAGGAGGAAAGATCGATGCCGATGGCGCGGGTGATGGTGGGGAGTAGGGCGCGGGTGATGAGGCCGGTGCCGCAGGCGTAGTCGAGGAGTTTGATGGTGTGGTTGGGGGTGGGTTCACTTGAGTCACTGGACTCTGGGGAATCGCTTACCCAGTTGGCGCCGATGAAGGAGAGGGTGCGCGGTTCTTGGATGATGGAGATTAGTTGCTCCATGGTCTTTTGGAACCGCGTGTCGTAGGTTGAGGCGTAGGAGCTGGGTTGGGTGTTAGTTGGGTTATGAGGGAAAGCGGAATGGGAAGAAAGGGGTGAAGGAGTATAGGTGGAGATCATGTGGCTGTTTGTGGGCCATCTGATATGTCAAAAAAATTCTTCCTCTATCTTTCCAAACATTGAGCCTAGCCCATGAAGCAAAAGATCCGATCTTGCCATATACAGCACGAAACATGCACCCTCAATACTCCAGCCAGCACGTGTAGACTACACACCACTTCACTTCCACATCCCCATCCCCATCCTAAACCCCTCAAAGCAAAGCCAAAAAGAAAAGAAAAGAGATACATACTCCCAATGCGCCCTATTCTTCTCCGTCACATCCAGACTGCCATCCACACCCACATTATGCACATGATCCGCCATTTCCAAAATATCGATTCCAACAGCTCGTAATTTCCCCAAAAAATCCAATAATCCCAAGATCAAATCAAAGATAATAAGATAAAATAATATCGGTACTCAAAAATCGACAAGATGCTCTAATCATGAACAAATACTCAAGTGTACTACTGATATCTCAATCCAATCTCACAAAACCAACAAGTGGGAAACCACGCTCTTTATATACCTTCCTATCTTCCTATTCACCTATTATAAATCCAAACTTCACGATAATACTCGAGTGCAGTAGTAGTAGTAACCTTAGTAAGTGGGGATATAATCGTGTAACCGTGTAGTCAGTCACAAGTGGGGTGAAAAAAAACAAAGAAACGAACAAAATCTCGCTAATCGGAGACCTTTCGGGTACTTTTGTGTCAGTGCTGGGATGAGAGAGAAAAGGGGCAATGGCAATGCAATGGGACGGGACGGGAAAGTCAATATGTCTCCGGATATATGAGCGAGGAATGTGATCGGATCGGAGAGTTTTTTGGGGGAAGGGAGTTGATGTATGAGGATTGGGGTGATGAGATGAGTCATTGGTGGGAATTGATGAGAGGTTTATTTTGGATAGATAGGGGAATGATTTGATGTTCTAAGAGTTTTAGATGTAAATCGGATGGAAATGTAATTTGGAATTAAACTCATTAAGTATACATAGCACTGCATTCCAATGAAGAAGTTGATTTGAGTCAGAACTATCTCTAAATGTAATTCTTATTCTCATTATCGTTTCCTCTCATCATTCGTAGCTACTTCATTTCATACCACTGCGTAATGCATGTAATTCGCTCACTATCTATGCAATCACTTATTCTCATCTCCGATACATCCACCCGATTTACTGACTGAGACCCTCGGTAGTAGGTAAAGGACTAGCCTTGTAAAGCAAAATAAGCGCAGAGTGAGATTCTCCACCACCAGCAAGACTAGTAATCTTATCAGCTTCAACCTCCGATACTTTCTCATCATTAAACCACCACCACTTTCCATCTTCCTCGCCACGTTTGCCAGTCTTAGAATCAAGTGGCCCTTGCTTCTTCACATATGAAGTGTAATGACCACTATCCGCGCTAGAACCTTGATGGGTGACGATACCACGGAGTTCGTAAAGACCAGACTTGTTAGCCCCATCATCCTTGGCAAGCTCGGGATTGATCAATGCATGCAGCTCCTTCTTGGCTTCCAAGATTGCAGCAGCCTTTTCGGCATCAATCTCCGCACCAGTCTTGTAGACAACGTCCTCCATTTTAGTATCGCCATCCTTTGGTTTGGTCTCTTTCTTCTCATCTTTTCCGTCGACGATGCCAGCTTTTTTGTCAGCTTCTTCTTTGTCGTGGATGCGCTTTTGACGCTTGCGAGCACGATCAACATCTTCCTCTTCCTTTCGTACCTCACGAAGCTTATCTCTAACAGGGATCAACATTTGTTTGAGCTCATCTGTACAGAATTCAACAACATCCAGTTCATCAGGGAATGTAACCTTGCGCATAATCTTTGCTTTCTTTTGAACCTGGCGTTTCCAGAAGAATCGGACAAAGTGGATGGTAAGGTATTTTGGGAGACGTGAGATTTTCGATTTCTTGGTGTAAATAGCATCGCGACCAAGAATTTCGGAATTCTTTTCAATCTTTTCCTCCAATCCTGCCACGATTCCATCTCGGAGATGATTGGTTGTGCCACTGATATGACAATCCAGCTTCAAGAAAACATCCTCTGAATTGATTATTTGTTCGCCTGCATCTTTCGCACCTTGCTCATCACACTCTGTGATAGATTTGAATGCTCCAGCCATGTACTTGTCGACAAAAGAGACTTCGGCAGATGAAGATCCCCCGACGATACCACCTTCATTCTTAATCTTCAATTTCGATCGTAAGGCCTGTAGGATCTGCGTCCAAGCTTCTTCAGCATCTTGTTGTGCGTGGCCATGACCATCCTTCGCCTTCTCGTTGAATTGTGGGAAGGCTTCTCGTAGAGCGGCGAGAAATGTGAAAGGTGGGATCCCTTCTTGTGTTTTTGACATATCGATGTATAAATCTCGCAACGAAGCTGTCAAATCCTTGCGTCCTAAGCTGAAACCGCTGGAAAAGATATCAGAACCAACTCGTCCAGTAGATGCATATTTCTGCAGTGTATCTTGTAATTCTGGAATTACTCTGAGAGTTTGCAAAGTCGCGTTGAGATAACAGGTATTTCCCAGATTCTCCAGTCCAGACGGAGTTGCGCCAACCTGTTGCGCAGCTTCTGCTTCGGTCATATCCTCAACAAATTTAATTGCTTCCTTTGGTCTAGAAAAAGTCCCCCCCTCTGCAGGTGTCCCCATCATCATGAATGTCTGACCTGGCTTGGCGCCTATTTTCGAGAGGTCGGTGTCATCTTTCAGTTGGCCACCTTTAACTAAAATCTTTTGACGGTCTGGCTCGACACCAGTGAGAGAATAAAGCTGGTATTTCAATGTTTCGCCGTTGGATGTAGGGTCGAGTTCAATGGCATACTTCTTGCCCTGATGCTTGATAGTTACTTCAATAGTCAGTATATTGTAGCCAACCTTGCAGAAGAAATATAGTTACCAGGTATGCTCGCCATGATGCTGACGGGGTGAGTCGTGTCAAAGCTATTGAGTGGTGTTTGTTGGCTTGAATTATAGAATTCAACAAAGCAGAGACTAGAAAATGTGATTTCCAGTCCCTGTGTAATTTGTGAATGACCTTGAATAAAACTTCTCTATGAGATTATGAGTTGTTGTTGTGTTATACAAACAGAATGGGGAAGATAAACACAATGGGGGAGCGGATGTTACCTTTAGCACCTTAGCCTTACGCAGCGTGGGATGGATGCCTGACTTCCTTGGAGATAGCCCCACTAGAGCAACTGAGCATCGACAACAACGATTGTTACTCCATACCGGTACGATTACTTGTTATTGACGACATCTTAAGGAGGAACTCGAGAAAAGAAACCTCAACAAGATGGTATGTAGTAATTCTAGGATCTTATTTCCCATCTTCTAGTATTGTACTGACTTTAATAATTACAGTCTCAATCATTGCGACCCTACCTTCAATGTGTACGATCTTCTTTAACATCAGCTTTATGTCTCTCGAACTTCGCATCCCAGACCTCCGAAAGACACAATGTGCCCGAAATCGAAGCCAAAACTTCGCCGGAAGTCCTTTTAAATCCTTTGACAGTTGCACGAAATGAGAATGAACGAGTCCTTATCGAGCCAAGTATCAACAGTGTTCGAATTAGTATCAAGATAAAACAAGCAGACGAAATTGAGCATATTCTCGTACACAAATTTACCAGATTCTTAACTCAAAGAGCAGAAGCGTTCTTTATTCTTAGGAGAAAGCCGATTGAGGTGGGTGGCAGACTTAGACGTGCAACGAGAGGAGACTGATTTTATAGGGCTACGACATTTCGTTTTTGATTACGAATTTCCATACCGAAGAGATGTTAAAGCATAAGCTGGTGGATTTTATCATACAATTCATGGAGGAGGTTGATAAAGAAATCTCGGAAATGAAGTTATTTGTGAGTCCTATATTGCCCGTTCAATGGGGTCGGTTGCTAACGTAGACAAATAGTTGAATGCCCGTGCAAGATTCGTTGCGGAATCATTCTTAACGCCTGTAAGTAATCCTCTGTTGATATACCTATATGTCTAACATCAACTAATGTTGCTGTCTCCAGTTCGATTAAGCTTAGAATGGTTGGGGTTTGGAGTATACAATGGTGATAGTGGCATATTTGAGATCAGCGGCGGTGTGAGGAGCCGACATCTTGATCGGGCGTTTCGGAAAATAAAATATCTTATAAACAGGCTGTCAGAAAATGTATGTCTATGTTTCCGGGCTGGTATCGAATATCCTGTGATTTGTCCGGGTGAACCAAAAAAAGCCATCTTCGAAGGACATATATCCTATTTGAGAGCTTCTTTACATGTTGGACTTCTGGATCTCTCCTCGTTTTGCAGTCTTCTCAGCCAACAGCTCAAGTTATGGGGGGCATATTAGTCAATTTCAAGCATGCGGTTCTTATAATTAGTTGTACAGTAAAAGGGGTCAAGAAGCCAAATTTTTGGACATCCCAGATCGTATCGTGTTTAAACTGCTTAATCATTGCACCGGAGTGTTGACGTTTGCTTCATGCACCATTAAATAGGTAGTTATTATTAGAGTGGTACTGGGTTGGTAATTTTCGACATTTTGAGCTCCATATACCTACCTAGGTATGTACTTACAAGTTACTAGAGCATTGAAGCTACCGGTATGTATTTGTATCGAATGAGCATGTGACCTGGGGCAACTACGGGCTTAGTCTGAGACAGTGGACACCGACTTTTCTACTCGAAATAGATCTCACTTAATTGTATGCGACAACGTTATCGACAACGTTATCGATAACATCAACAAACCATATAAATATATTTATACTCCATATCCATATCCATATATCCATATCCATACCGAGTAGTGTGATAAAAGAAGCTCTTAACTTCTCGGATCCAACTTATGATGTCGAGCAGATCGTATCCGATACTTTTCACTACCTTTATCAAGTCTTCAAATACATACTAGGTACCTAGGTATTGGACGATAAGAATACAATTTCATTGTTCAATCTCAAACTTGTGAGTATCATTGACAATCAATGAAGTCAAACCAAAGTCGGTCAAGTATGCGGTGTTGAACACTCATGCATCAATCCACACCTCTTTCGAGCCCTGGTGGCTTGTCGAAAGAGGCAATCGTGTCAATAATGCCAATGAACCGTCAAACATCGCCTCCACTTCCTCCACTTCCTCCACTTCCTCCACTACTTCCAATAGACACTTCCAATTTCCCATTTTCTGAAGATTTGCAACACTTTACACCCACCAAAGGTCCCAAACCATCCTATAAACCATTGGATATCGATAGAGAAGAAATCCGTCTCCTTGTTCTTCCATGCGCAGGCTCTAGTAGCCAGAAGTATGAGTTCATTCATGTTTCCCTACTAGAACTCACCGATATCAAATACGAGGCATTATCTTATGAATGGGGTGATCTACCAGCAAACGAATCAATCACAATTGATCAAACAGATTACTACATCCGAGACAATTTATTTGCAGCATTGGAAGCTCTTCGATTCCGGAGTCGCCGGCGTCATTTATGGGTGGATGCTGTGTGCATCAATCAAGAGAACTTTGATGAGCGTAATGGTCAAGTCGCTCTTATGCGTCAAATATATGCAAAGGCAGACGAAGTCATTGTGTGGTTGGGGAAAGCTGGAACAGATTATTGGGGCGCAATGGTTTTGCTCGATAGTCTGGGGAGTTCTGGAATTTCTGCGAACGAGCTGTCAAGATCAATATCAGAGCACGCAACTGTCACGCATGTCAAGTTTTGGAAAGAATTATCATCCATATGCCACAGGCCATATTGGGAAAGATTGTGGATTATACAGGAGGTAGTCCTCGCTTCGAAGATTAAAGCACACTGCTCATCATTAATATTTGAATGGGAGTGCCTAGATTGGTTGTTTCGACGACTGGACATCATTCAAGAGACAGCCACAAATCTACATGTTGGAACATCGTTGGCTGGGAGTGGTGATATGGGATACCTTAGCTTACTACAAACGTTAGAAGCCATTCGTAATAGTGTACCCTCTCGATTGTCCAAGCGAAGACGGCAGATCAAGAAACGAGCTCCACCGCTACTTGATCTGTTTCTCACCCACAACGAAGCATTATGCACTGACCAAAGAGATAAGTTCTTTGGGTTATACAGTCTCGCGAACGACTGCTGCACTAAAGCGACCCCCGTAAATTATAAAAAATCTTTCTTCGAAACCATTTCTATGATAACAGTACATCATTTCCGCCATCATGTTGACAATATCGATGTCCTTGAGAATTACGAACATTTTCGACGAACACTCGCGAGAACACTGCCCGAATCGAATCATATCATGCAAGGGTTTCTTGATGATAATCCAGACGCCTTGGAAGGTCAACAGGTCCTGAAAGCACTTGGAAATGTCCGAGGGGCTATTGTTTATCTCAGTCCTCCGCTGAAGAATCTTTGCTTAACAGACTATCTCCAAGATTTGGACTTTTTGGACTTGAATGCAACTCCACGCTTAAAGGATCAGTTACGTCACTTTATCCATCAACGCGGCACCAAAGGATACTTTCATAAAGATCGATTACATAGTGCCGATGATATTTGCAATTACGGAAGTCGGGAGAAATGCTCATTCTCAGCATTCTATTTGACCGATCATGCACCCTCGGAAGATGAGAATACGGAAAGCAGAGCTTCTGATATCTCAAACCCACGACAAAAAACGTTACCACCGGGGAAGAGAGTACGCATCGTGAACCAACTCATGTCGTCGTTTAGCCAAACCCTCCATGAAGCAAAATGGAAGGTAGAACAATCCAGTAATTCAACACATTGTAGGTTGTTCTTGGAAGAGAATGGAATGATAGGATACACATCAGATAATGCACAAATCGGCGATCTGATTGTTCAATTTCGAGGTACAAGCACTTCTGTAGTGATGAGGAAGGAAGGGAGTCAAGGCAGCATCGTCGGCAGAGTATGTGATTTACTCGATCGTCGTTCGAGGCATGGAAAGACTTGGCCTTTTGTATGTCAGGATCAGAACCTCGATGAGAATGGATATGATGTACCCCCTCAATTGATATGTTTGCGCATGAAGATTTCCGCTTTGCGAATGTTGGCGAATGGAAATATAAAGTAAGGCATTTGGATGACCGTTTCCAGATGTTGGAAGAGGGAATGTTCAGGACAGCTCCCAACATTGGGATTTGATGTCTGGTTCAAAGACAAACCAAGGATTTCATTTGTCTGATCTGTTTCTGATATTGCAGCTTCAGTGTCTGGATTCAAAGCCAAGATTCAAGACAAATATCTTTACACGGCTCAAATGATAGAGCAAGCTTCTGCTGATGGACTCCTTGACTTTCGAAACAGGTGAAACATTATCCGCCAGATGTCTAGCTGAAAGAAATACCATGGATCTTTCCACTAGATGTTGTTAAATTCGAGAGGCTGAATTCTAATTGTCGAAAGATCTAGAGGCGGCTTATATGTCTACCTGCGACAAGCCCAATAATTCTCTGAAAGTTCAAAAATTATAAGATTCTCACAAACGGACATACCATATCCCAATCCTTAAACTCACAAGTCAACACTTTCGCACACTTTGGTTAAATCTTTATGATGAAATTTTGCATTTTATTTTCCCTCATCCGAAGACTGTTATCTTGGGTCTTCCGACGAGAATTCTTCACCGACAAGGAACCGCCTGATTACTCTGGAACCCCATCTCCAGTTAATACAACAGCTGTTATTCCTCTCAGAAACAGAAATCCATTCCATCGTCTCCCTCCGGAAATCAGGATGCTGATCTGGACTTTATGCATTCAGGATGAGAACTCCTGGGATGATGACGCACCATTACTCGGTTTAATCCCCCATCAAGGCTGGGGTATCATGTATGCTTTTCCACGCCAGCGAGTCTTTATGAATGAGATACTTTCTGTGTTCTATAGATTGACCACTTTTGAGTTAACGGATATAAACGAAATCAACTCTGCCAGACACGAACCTTCACAACATTTGAAGATCAACTTGGCTGTTGTGGTACTACATTCGCGCCTCGTGCCCATGTGCATAGAAGATACTCGCTACCCGCTTAGCAGACGTTCAGATGCCTTTGAGGTTTTTTTTGCTGAGCTCCGAAGATACCTGGCCATAGCTTCCACCGAACGACAATGTCTACGGAACGAAATACGGAATAAGACAGATGTTCATAAAACCATCTGTACAATATCACTGCGTTTTGAAAGAACGCTGGACGTCCTCGATACACACTTTTTGCAAAGGCTTCGAGAAACATTTGAGAGCCTGGAAAAGATTGATATCACATACCTCTTCAGTACCTATCGAGACCCCTCGCTTCACCCCACAGATCAGATTGAACCCCTAGCCCAGGCCGAACTCACGCCACCAATGATCACTGATATCCTTGGGCCACAATGGACACTCGTTTTCTCGCGTTTCTTAACGCATTGTATTCACGGTCGCAAAATCTTCTGGCGTGTAACTCATCGTTGGTATAAGATAAATCGAATACCGGTATTGCAACAGGCACATGTACATAGTCAAGGTTCGTCCTGGTCGGCTTCGTTCCATCATATTGATCATCTTGGACAGCTGGCTCGCATTGCAGACCCTAGTGTGGTGTCTTATCAGTAGTACTCCTGATAAATTGTGATGCACTCTTGCTTTGGAATCGTTTTTCAAGAGTTGAAGTTGAGGGGATATGAAAGAAGGGGGATTTGAATTTTGGGGAATAAGCATCATAATTAGATAACTTTTAGATTTCTTCTTATTCATTGCATCGTCTAAGAGACATCATCCATCCACGTTTGGTAGTTTCTGCGAATGTTTGACTGTACCTACCCCCCAATCTTAAAACTCAATATACATTTTGAACATGTCATGTACCAATGCTCGTACATCAATATATCATACATAGATCTAATTGAAACAATAAAATTCCATCCTCTAGAATATTCAAACAAGACTTCTCGAGCGTAAAGCTATAAAGCATCCTTCCTATAAACATACATAAGTTTTATAAAATCTTCATGAACATATATGTATACACGATCACTAGCGACGGAAGAAGGAAAAAAACGAAAAGAAAAGAAAAGAAAAGGAGAACTGGACGATACTATATACACAGTAGCTAGACAGCCATGTATGTTAACATTATAAGAACTTTCATACTATGATGCTCCTGAAGTGATGGCACAAGGTCATTAAACATCAGATGCATTGTCAAAAGCTACCGATACATTCAGTCGATGTGATATGTCTATTAATACTTGCGATTAGCTGTTCGGCTGGTATTGCTGTCTAAGGATGAATGTCGTTGACTTGAACCTTGGCATTAGTTGGTGCCAAGGAGGATGTAGATTAACGTTCGATATGAAGTTTGATTCTCAAAATAGACACAGAAAAGAAAAGTTCCATCCAGATCATTTCAGGGGGGTCGATTCGGCAAATATAAGACATGTGAGTGGCTAATGGAACCGGTCGGCCCGCCTTTACCAAATGAACCTCGGTCAAAATGAATTCCTTATCAGAAATATTTGGTCGGTGATTGAAGCTTGAAAAGTTGTCAGGTTGCTTTCCATTTATTTTTTATATCATTTACGTCGTCGTGTATGCCTTGATTTAATCTTCTTATATACAAGATCGTACAGGCGCCTATTTCCCTAATTCCATACTTCTACGATACGAAAATGACGGATCGTCCAACGCTTGTTCCACCTCCTCCTATCAATCCTTCAAAATCTGCTATTGAGAATGTGTTAGAGCTTCGAGAACTCAGTCAAATTGGGCCTGTAAGTACCCAATACCATACAAATTGGCACAAAACTGTCGGGCCGTCAACATTTACTAACCAAACCTTTGCCCGCCAGGATATCTTCACAAACACTCATCCCTTATGGCACCCTCCTGGCGCACGAGGTATATACGGAGGAGCAATCATCGCACAATGTCTTGCAGCCGCACAATGCACCGTTCCGCATAATTTTACCGTACACAGCATGCACTGCTATTTTGTCCTCGCTGGAAACTCCGATCTACCAGTCATGTACTACGTCGAGCATGTTCGCGAAGGTCGTTCGTTCGCTACCCGCACAGTACAGGCACGTCAAAAGGGGAAGTGTATCTTCACAACCACAATGTCGTTCGTGAGGGAAAACAGTGGAGGCAAACAGACAGTAGAACATGCGGTTCCCATTCCAAAGGATATTAGACAACCGAAGGAGGATGAAGAATTGTTCAAGATGGAGATGAATACTGACAGCCCGTTCATAAGTCAGAGGATTGAGATCTTGAATGGGGAGTCTGGGACGCCGCATGAGAAGAGGACGAGGCAGTGGATTAAGGCGAGGGGGAGGATTAGTGATGAGGGTGGACATCAGGCACATCTGAATGCTCTGGCTTATATGAGTGATAGTTATTTCATTGGAACTGTGGGGAGGATACACAAATTATGGAGATATACCAGCGAAGAAAAGAAGGAGGAGAAGGGTGCGAAGAATGAAGAAGCGAACGACGACGAAAAATATATGAGAAAACTGAAAGAATCAGAAGGTTTTGGAGATGATTTGAATAATGAGAAGCGGAGACCAGAGGTTGGGATGATGGTTAGTTTGGACCATACAATATATTTTCACGAGCCGAGGAGGTTTAGGGCCGATGAATGGATGTTTACGGAGATGTCGAGTCCGTGGTCGGGCGATGGTAGGGGAGTGGTCACGCAGCATATGTTTGCCAAAGATGGGACACTAATTGCTACTTGTTTCCAAGAGGTATGTTATTCTTTTCGAAGTCACGTCGGATTTGCTGCTAACGGACTGTGTAGGGCGTGGTGAGACTCAATCAAGATGGCTCGGAGAAAGCCAAGATATAAGGGGATATCTGCATACGGTAGAGATATTCTGGGAACTCAGGCTGTAAGGTAGAATGTTTAGAATAAAGGGGGAGGCCAAGGGATGAGATAGGAGTAATATGGCAAGTTATATTTTAATAGACATTTAGATTTCTGTTTGCGATGATACTTTCGTACTGGGGCAATCCATGGCGTTAGACAGAGGGCAACCTGACATTTCCTGAGGGGGAGATTTCTTTTCTGGATCTTGTATTTGCTATACCATTTCTTGCATCTCCATATTGAAGCTTTTGAGATGTCTAGATAGAAAAGCTTGCCAAACTACAAACGCACGGCTAATAGCTCTTCTGCATTGACAGTATTAATACATTGACATGTGACTGTGGGTGGATCGTCTTAGCTGAGCTGGTTTTTGACAACAAGTACTTTTGTAATTAACACGATAGATTGCTTTTATATCCCACACCAACGAACCTTTTCTTCCAACAAGTTCTCTGACTTGCCTACCGGTACCATTTGTATATCTATATCATAGCCTTGCTGACCCGGCTATTCAGCCTCGTGTCACCTCGGAAGCTCCCGTTTCCCGAAATCTCGTTTGCCTAGTTTGATGCCTGGCGATTTCAATCCTCGCACCAAATTTCTGTCAGCAGGGTCCAAATAATTCAATATTACTTTATTTCAGCTGACGAGGTGTTTGTGATGACAGTTAGTCATACATCTATGGTACTTTTATTTCTGGCTACCTCACTTCGAAGAAATCCTCGACTTACCATTTAGAAAACACCACGATTGTGCGAAGTTGAACAGATCTCCAAGATTTTAATTTGAGGGCTTGCATCGCGTTTTCAATGCATGCCATACGGCAGAAATGTCGTCCCAAGCATCAGGTTCTTATACTGAAATGCTACCCCAAAACAACCAAGGGGGCAGTTGACGTCAAGCCGAATTCCAGCGAACTGAGTTATCTTCTGTTCTATGCGACGACACGAAGGAGTAAGGTGCAGAAGGTTGGGGAGTTCCTTGAGAAGAAGACCGCAAGTGATGTTTGGAGAGCTAGAATAGGGTTTGTTGATGAATCAAAGTCAAGCTGTGAGATATGCTGATTGAGAGACAGAAATGTTCAAGTTACGCTTCAAATACTGGCAGCTTTAATCGAGAAAGCACCCCGAGATTTACCCCTGTATGCGCCCTACGTTCTCAAAATTTTCAATATCATACTCCGTGCGCGAGATGTTACCATGGTGGAATCCTCAATACCCACGTTCGAGGTCTTTTGCGAAAATCATGATATGGCAAGCCTTTCCGCGGACCAAGAATATCTGCATCAATACGAGGAGATCGTCCGAATATACGCGTCATTTGCTTCCACGAGAACACAAATGAGCAGTAAACCTCAAAGCGCACCAGTCACTATAAGATGGAGAAGTCTCGGTCTACAAGCAGTCAAGAGTGTAGCATCTTCGGAAGCTTTGGCTACTGTGGCAGGCAGACAACTGGACGTGATTGTACCGATACTACTGGAGAATATTTGGACGGATAATGAGGATTTTCTTGAGATACTACAACAACGAGCCGAAACAGAAGAACACATGGGAACGGATAAGTCATTGTTAAAGAGAAGGACAAGCAATGCAACGGTCCGAACGGTTGATACGGCAGGGGAGAATTCTACTGCTTTGTCTGGAACCACAGCGGATGCAGATAAATTAGCAGAGGAGAACATTGGTGTTTTGGCCATGCAATGTTTGAAACAGATATTTGTCGTCAATAATCGATCTCAGATTCATGGAGCTGCGACAGCCGTATTGAAGTTCATTTCGGATCGAGTTACTCAACAAGAATCGGTTATAGAGAATGGCCCAATCGAGAATTGCAAAGGATGGGCACCCCGTATTTTCGAAATGATTGCCAGATGGACCCCAGTCCAAGACCGATATGTCATATTGGTGACGGCCATGGATAGTTTGGTACGAACTGACCAAGTTGAGGCCACCCTCATGCAACAGCTTGTCCTCGCAACAATGGTAGATTCTTTACTCAAATCGGACATCAATTTAATAGGATTAAGCGTAATGGATGTTCTACTGGGACTGATACAGCACATATTAATAGTTCTTCAACTTGGAAATATTGGTGGACCTCATCTTCAGCCAGATAGTGGAGTCGATGAAAAGTACGATGCTAATCCTTTGAATGCGCCAATCACCTCTGAACCTGCTCTGGTACCAACGGATACCCGAAAAGATCTTATGGCTCGGCTGCAAAATTGTATAGGAGCTTTGGCTACTCACGTTTACTATGCGGATCAAATATCAGATATGGTTTCTGTAATCCTGTTACGTTTGAAACCTTCACCCTTATCACCAATTCCAAATACTGTTGCAGCTATCGAAGATCCAACGTCTGCAACAGAGGCTCTCTCATCTGGCACCAATATGACCGAAGATCCAAACACTGATGGGTTCTTTTCGTTCGATACCGCCAAGATCAAAGCCCTCGAATCAATAAAATTAATCTTGCTTGTGGCAAGTCACAAAACAACGACATCTGGAAATTTCGGAAGAAATCGAGTTCCAATCAAAACTTGGGAGGGCACACAATGGTTGTTGCGCGACGTGGATGGACGTGTGAGAAAAGCATACACTGATGCTCTGTTGACATGGCTAGACATGGAAGTCACTAAGGCCGATCAACATGTTCCCGACGAGAAGTCAAAAGGATTGACGAAGAGTGCACGTGATGAATCAGCCACAAATCTCGCCAAAAGAGCAGTGTCAAACGCATCAAGATCAGAGAAACCTTCTAGATCGTCTAGAACAACATTCTTGGAGCTTCTACATCTTGCTATTTACGAAAATGCATTGCAATTCGCAGATAACGAGAACGACATAGTTCTTCTCCACCTTCTTCTGACCAACCTTGTCAAAAAATTAGGAGTAAATGCAGTCAGAAGTGGATTACCCATGATGTTCCGATTACAAGAGGACATAGAATTGTTTGAGCTCCCGGTTCATAAAGTTCGACTTGGAAGTTTGTGTCATGGGTATTTCTGGACCTTATGCGAAAAGTTCGAAATTGGAAAGTCACCCATCGGGAAAACAGTCCAAGACGAAATTCGCCAACGACAGAAGGCCATGTTTTGGGTTGATAGCATCCGCTTTCCTCCTGTGCAACTCCCTAATATTGGTACACCAGGTAGAACAACACCCCAACAAAAGCAATCTCCCAAATATGCCGGAGCAGATGCCTTAGCACCTTTCGATGATCGATTCCAAATGGTCAAACTCATCTCTTTATCGTATGCCACATCTATGAATTCTCCTCCAAACAGCCCCCCAACTTCTCCAGGGCGAAGCTTCACCCATCCTATACTTAGTGTGGACATCCCTTCATCAACAAGAAATACCATCATGCCAGAAAGGATTAAGGAAGAAATGATGTCAGAATGGAACAAGGAGTCCGTGATTGCCGTTGCGCAGGAAAGTACTAAGACTGCCTCAATCAATGGATCACGTGCAGGCACAATGAATACTGGCCATCGCAACTTTCTTACTATCAATGGACTTGGTAATGGTAGCAATAGTGGGACAGCATCTCCCACTGGCGGCCATAACACCAAAAGTGGGCCAAACTCAACATATGGAACCACCAGCGGTATTGGAGCAATGCATAAACTACGAAAGGGTAACGAGCATTCGCCTGGTCCTGCTAGTGAATCAAGTCGCGGGTCAGTAATGAAAGTTGACCAACTGAAGCGAGTTTTCTCTGGTCAGTCGACAGCTTTACCGGGTACTAGGGCTGGCGCACCCCAGAGTGATGCAAGTAGTGAGAGCATGGTTAGTTATGACTTATCAACTTCGGAGATATCTATCAACACATACAATCAACAGAATGCTTCGGGTGTAGAACGATCGGCTTCCATGCGTTCAGCCGGACGATCGAGATCGAAGTCACGAGACAGAGTTCCCAGATATTTGGAACGATCTTTGACCTCCAACCCCACAGATGTAGCACATGATGGTACAACAGTTCCCCCTGTTCCACCACTCCCACCCTCGCTTGTGGGTGAACATGTCTCGGTTCACGATCAAGCGCATAATCATTCTTCAGAAGGATATCGACCGGGTCGGAGCGCGAGAAGAAGTACGAAGAGTAGGGCGGGTGGATATCCAAGTATGCCATGGGGCGAGGAAAATGGGAAGGTCGTAGATCTCCAGAATCTACTAAGTGGTATTGAAGTGGGCGGGGATGAGAAAGGGAATGCTGGTATGCCTCCTTATTGAAGCATAGAATTTCAGGGTTTCTGAAGATGCAAACCCTTTATCATATTAAATCCAGATGGTACGTTTGCATATATTTCATGGTAAAAGTGTGTATTAATATACCTACCTTGTGAGCATGGCGTTTTGGTACTAGCGAAGAGTTGCGGATATTGAGCGATGGGGATTTATTTTGAGGGAAGAAATGGAAGGAGAGGTGATGCATCTTGCGGATATTGGTAGAAAGTACATACTCGTGAGAGAATTGAGAATATGATAAACTATTTATACCATGGCCCGCTGGGTAGCACCTAAAGCGATATTCCAGTATTTGTTGGCCAGCTAATTTCCCTCGACGATCAAATACAACTCCAACGTGGTACACAAAACTTACTATCTGGCCGGGCAGTCACTTATGGTTGGAAAGCAATCTTCGGAAATCCTGACGAATGCTGTAACATGTGTGATTAGTGCTGAAGGCCAGCAAGCTGAGTGAATTACACTAATAATACCATTTAAGAGAGAAAAGTACAGATTTGATCTTTTTCCCCAGAGAAACTTCGAGACACACGATCGCAAAGCAATGATGGTTTGCATATCTCATGCGAACCACGATAGTCCTTTAATTAGTCCTTCGAGGCAAAACTAACCTCCTCATGTTCCCTTGCCCTTTTTTCCCAAGAGAAAATTCGAGGCACACGGTCACAAAGCAAATGGTGGTTTGCACATCTCATGCGAACTATGATAGTCCTTCGAGGCAAAACTAACCTCCTCACGTTCCCTTGCCCTTTTTACCAATATTTTCTAACTAATATCTATAATGGCCCAACTCAACATTTCGTAAGACACGCGGCTTAATGGCATCCCGAAGTTGGAATGAATTAGATTGGTGGTTATTTATGGAGGGGTAGATGCTCGGAAGATCACTTTTCAGCTACCATGACTTTAAACTGGCAAGGCTATCGAATCGCAATGGTCGCAAACTTGGGGGGGGGAAGTGGCCTGATTCTGTGCGATTGATCCCATAGCTGTGATGGGAATAGCTGCACACGGCACACAGCATCTTGATTTGCCGAATATTTCCTCGCGAATGGGTGAACCTCCATATGTCATGCAGTTCTTCATTCCTTATTTGAGTTCAAAGTTGTGCAATAGGCTTTGCGGTTAGGCACAGAATATTTCGGTCACTTTACCTGTTGCAATCAATCATCAGATTTAAGCGCCAACTGCTGATTAACGTTCCGACTCCGCATCTCTACCAGCCCATAGCGACAAAATGGAGCTATTCGCACATATCGTCATGACAAGCTGAATTCATGTATTACTACTATTGATGAAGATTCTATTTATCACTCAAATCATCGGAAATTGCAGGCACTAACCACGAGATAACGAATATTGAGTCTATTATCGAGCTGGAGCAACTTACAAAAGCAGTTGAAGAGTAACGTTAATGGGCGGTAAAATGCGGGGTGAAGAATGAAGGAGGGGCATTCTGTGATAACCCTTTCAAGGACTTCAAATTCGCGATGCCCGCATATACTCTATCTACCAACTTCAAAATATCATCAGCAGATAGCTGTTTATTCCTTGATGCAAGCCATGATTCACGTTTGTTTGTCCTGGAGAAAGTCCTGCACAAAATGTTTAGTCCTGTATGATGCACATACATATTCCTTCCAGAAATTGCTTGTATTCCTCTTTACCAATCACGGGATCTTGGATACAAATCTTACAGGGCGCCAAGCGTTCGTTATTCCGTGAACACGGAGGGTACTTTGGTACACACGTTGGATCCCAAATGTATGCTACATCAAGTTCCAAAAGTTTGTTTTCAGCCCCCATGATCAGCGTCAAAGTGATCGACTAGCCTTTCAAATCTAATACATCTATCATATGGGATTATCTGGGGGCTGTAGGATTTACAAAAGTTTCGGAAGGATGGGCGTTGGTTATGAAGGTTGAAAGTATATCACATCAACCTCTGCTCTCGATTGTAGATTTGGAAATGCTTTAGTGATATCATAACTTCCCGCTGTGTTCTGTGCTACGAAAGCTTGCGCGCGATTAGCCTTTTGACCGGAGCCTCCTCGACTATCTCCTATATGGAGAGAAGACTTGAAGGGCATTTCTATTCCTTTTCTGGGCATAGTCCTTGCAATGAAGATATACTGGAAGATGATACGCTCTTCACATCATCTGTTGTTCTACCTCATTGAAAACACCCAAATCGCATGGTCGAAGACTCCCTGAATTGGTTCTTCCTTCACCGAGTACCCTTTCATGATACATTCCACGCTATTCCTTGAGTACCTCTTCTCCGGAGCATGCCCCGACCTCTCGACATTCCCCCAATTGCACAGGACGCGCCAGACGAGGCAAATATTTCGAGGTGAATATCGCGCTGCAGATAGCCACAGACTGTCGTTCAAGGACTTTGCTCTATCTATCGAGTCTAAGCTGCCACCAATTACAGAAATCTTCAACAAATGCAGCTACCGCAATACTCTACAACAAAGACTTTTCATGCAGGACTATCATAGGCGAATGGATCAGAATGGTTTATTCTAATTACGCATATCGCCTATCTGCGAATTTACTGGGACTTCTTACGATGGACTTCAGTTTATTCCTTTCGATGCACGAAGTAGGTGCTCTCGACTTGTCGACTATGCTATTACTGTTATATAAAGGATGGTCTACGGACGGTGGCATTGTGATACTTCACATTTGCCGCCGTACAAAGACACACTTGGTCTTACAGGATAAGATTGTATTGCGCCCCCCCTCTCGCTCCAGACCATCGAAAATATCAATTTGAATGATATCACACCAGTTCCTCCACTTCACTAGAACATTGAGGGTCTCTCGACTCATATTTGGGAACGATACAATCTTTAGTGCTTGACCAGGTTTAAACATTGATACTAGTCATCCTAGTTCATCAAGAACTTCGGTAGGTTTCACTTGATACCGTTAAACGATATCATTCCTCTTACTCAAAGCAGTCTCGAACGTTGGCACTAATACCACTCTAGCTCCTCTATATCATCGAATACATTCGCGATCTCTTGTTCCACACTTGTAAACGATCAAAGCTTTGCTTCGCAAGCAAGCAAGACTTCGAACATTGAGACTAAAAGGCCCATGCACCTTCACGTCTTTCACCATCGCTTATGCTTCCATTGGGTCAACATTGAAAGGACTGAAAAGACTAATAGCTCGACGGTGTGCTGTCAAAGTTCCCAACAGGAAGATAAAGTAGCCAGAAAGAAGAAATCCACTATGTTTGAATTATCGTATGGATCACCTCGTCTCTTTCGAACATCCTCCAAGACTGGTAGTGAGATGGAATCTATCCAATCACCGCGTTATTTTCGACACTCCCTAAATAACGGTAGTGGGATTGAATCTAGCGAATTACCGCAAAGTCCATTCTCGTCTGAAGGTAGCCACATACCTTCCAGTATTTGCAACCTTTCGGAGCTCACAAAAGATGATACTCTAACGGAACTCCCAGTGGAATATCGTACTTACTTATCATGAGCTTTCAGATCGCACTGTATATCAGCCAATCTCGGTTGCAGGTCAGGGCTTCTCTAATATCTGGAAGTCATCATCGTCTACTTTACCAGCCACAGTATCTCCAAGTTCCACATTACAGGGCCATTTCGACCTTCATGGCATAGCAGAAGCTGATTCAACATATATCAAAGAACTTCCGGGCTTTCGTGATGGACGAATTGATTTTGGGATGTCATTGGATACTGAAACGCCAGGGCTCATTCCTAGTACTGGTCGTCGCTCATCCCATCACTTTGACCTCGACACTTCTATGGAGCTAAGATCTGTTGGCACAACAACTGATAGAAAAAATCCAAGTGAACCAGTGTATCTCTTGCCAGTCTCATCCAGACCGTCTTTTAGTCGGCCTCTCAAAATACGTGGGTCTATGTGCCCTATCATACAGACGGATGTGCATCAGCGTCAAGAGAAACTTATACTAGATACGCTTCAATGCTCATCACCGGATACTGCCACCACAAATACTAGCGGTGAAACATTTTCAACCTATTCAGGGTACGACTCAGCAGCTCCTGACTGTTATCAGTCTGCAGGAACCAGTCCAGGGAGTTTCTATGCGCGAGGTAAACAGTCGATATTTAACGCTCCAATATGGGACTTTACAGAGTGCTTAGAACAAGACATTCATCCACAATCAATACGAATGAGTAATTTTATTGAAGAGAAGTTGCTGGAACCATCGGCTGCGCAAGGCGAGTTTGACTTTCCCTTGGTAGCGCAGGACATGCAAACCTCATGTTTCGCTGAGCCTCAAGAGAAAAGTTTTCATTTCATTGATGCCGGCGCTGGCTACAGCCTCTTTGACGCACGTACGGCACAAATCATTACAGATATGGGGAATGGATCCCCGTGCGACAACATGAATACCGGCAAGCAATCCCAGTCTTTTGGTTCAACATTTCAACCGAATGGAAATAGATGTTTGGACGTGAACATACCTAGGGCTGATCAAGGTGCGAAACACGGCGCCGTTGCATTTTCTCAATTCCAGAACACCGAGGTTCAATCTAGCCTGGATACTTTTCCATATTGGAAGACAGACGACGCATCTACCTCTCCTTGGTCTGCGGAGAATATACGGTCAGTTTCACAGCTGTTATCGATACGATCCAATACTGACTAGTTTTTGCAGAGGATTTGACCGGAACTTTGATTTTAGCACGTTGCCAGCTAATCAATTGCTAGTAGGAGAAATAGCAACAACATCCACTCACGAAAACTCATCCCCAAACTCCGAATACGAATCAATAAAGTGTACCCATCCTGACTGCCTTTATGAATCAGGCGGAGAATACCAATGGAAACGAGGTAATTTGAGGCGTTACATTAAAGAAAAACATGAGTTGAACATCGAGGACCGACTACTCTGCGATATAGGCTATTGCAAGGCAACATTCACAAGAATAGGAAACCTTCACGCGCATAAAGAGAATAAACAAAATATCACCATCCCCAGACAAAAACGGAAACGAAGGAACACAATGGACGGAAACACTAAGAGACCAAGGGCTGGTAGTAGAATTATGAAGGCGACGAAAAGGTTCACAGGCAGCTTGGTAAACTTTCCCAATCATAGCCAACCACAATTAGGCTTTGGATCGTTGAATATCAATGAGTCATGAGGATATCTGTTGGGGGGCTGCAACAATTACCTTTATCTTCCCTCTTTCCTTGAATAGGAAATGTACCGTGTTTTAATTAGGATATCACGATGGCAACTCCGGATAGGAAGTGATGGAAGAGCTGGTTTTTCTTTCATCTTCTTAAGAGGGCCAGCCTTTGAAGGCAGAACCGCTTAGTTTAATGAGGATTTCATTTGAGATGGACCCAAGGGGCGGGGCTTTAATTTCTTTGACCTTCATTAAGGGCTTCCATTTGGCAGTGGTAATTTCTATTCTAATGTTTCATCTAATCAGGTCTAATTTTTAATAGGCAACCAGACACCTTGCTCGGAGGGAGCATCCTAGTCATTAAAATTTTCACATAAGACCATATCAATATCGAGTTTAGCTTCTAATGATGTGATTTTCAACTCACTTTAATTACTTTTTGACTACCCCGTTTTGATTTACATCTCATTCTCGAACATCAAAAATCTGGTGTTCATTGATCGGGCCACTGTGAAATTAAACGAAATGAGCGGTGGTTTTATTGTGCTGAAATACTTTTCGCCAATAACATGAGCTGCATAGCATGATGGTAAACTTGTAGTAGTAAGAATATAGTATTAGGAAAATAACAAATTGAGGAATTTTCATCCAGAGAATGTGGAGAACTACCACCGGAAAGTACAGTAAGGTTATAAATGTAAATCTCGGATCATATGTTTGTAACTATGCGATCATTCTCCACAGAACCCTACTTGAAACGAAAGCTAGATATAGGCTTCGGGCTCAAGTATATTTGCATGGGTCTTATGCGTATAGTTGTTGAAAGATTTAGAATAGATTATGATGGGTATCGTATCGTTGGTGTCGGATAGTTGCTGTCAGATCTCTGGAGCCGGATTGCAGAATACAGTTAGCTAAACATCACTAGATTTGGGGATAATCCAAATTTCTGTAATCTATTAATGATACTGTATAAATGGAAGCATCACTGTTCCTTTTTCGGCAAATGCAATTTAGAAAATCGAGATGCTTAGGGTAGAATATGTGTAGCGTCACAAAGTAGAGCAGAGAACGGAACGACGCTAATAGCGGGCTAGTGGCCTTTTAACCCCTCGCTTAAATCACTAGACTACTCGTAGATTTTCTAGTTTTAATGAATACGAGGGACATTGGCAACAGGACTTGATGACTACATTTTCATTCCTTTGATGGATGTTTGGCTCAGTCCTGGATAGTCCTGTTGATTCCTGCCATTGGCTTGAATCCTGCATGATATAGGAATACAGTAGAAGATACTCAGAGAGGTGCTGCGAATGAGAATACACATAGAAGGCCCGGTTGTGGTGGGTCCCATGTTATTTGGAGGAGGCTTACTTTCGTGGCTCTTGATGCGGACTTTATTGCAGTTCTATACTTAGGCCCAAGACACACCGATGCGGAATATTTAATATCAAAAATGATCTATTGAGGCTTGTATAGCCACGATGGACTCGAAATGTTGAGGGCGAGGTTTCTTTGAAAGCGTATCATTTGAAGTATAATAGTGAGCTTTCCCTCAATACGTGAATGAATATTCATTCCGTAGTACGATAATTATATCTCCTACTTCTTGCGGGTAATTGAGTTTTGGATTGAATCTCCGACCCATCATATTTACGCCGATGTTTTTGCGATACTCATGTACAGCACCAGTTTTTCCTTTCTCGATAAATCCAAATCCCTACTTCCACAGGAATACTTTGCTCATGGAAGTTTCTCAACAGGTAAAGTCAGCCATGTGCTTCCTTTCTCTGTAGTAACGACTAGCACGTCGAACATACCAATTAGCAAATGCAACTAGCTTGCAAATCCTTCACTACGGAAATATAGTGCCCAGCCAGCCGGGGATTTTAGTCCCACCACACTTTCGCCTGCATCGCTGTAACAACTGAAGTATTTCCTTATTACTCTACGAAATGTCAAATTCTGTTATCGAACATGGAGATCACATTGTGATTTATATAATATGCTGGACACCACTTCATGATACACAGTTCATGGGCTCTCGGGTGGTACGAGAGGAATTATAGTGAGTAGTTTGTTTCAGATGGAACTAACATCAACAAGATAAGTTGGTAATTTATTCCTTCAATCAGAAAAGAAGATATGGAGAGCCTAGAGTGAGTTTCCATCTCGATGTGTTGACTTTACGTTGCTAGCATCCGCGCAGATCTTTATTCCACGTGGCCAATCAAATTTTCGAGTTAAGTCAAATGGAAATAAGAGATATTTCACCTGAGGTGAATTTTGTTACCGTATGCTTGGATGAGATATCTGTTTCAGTGTGAAAAATTGATAGTGGGAATTGGACACATATCTGATTAAAGTGGGACTTTGGTATTGACTTTTCCGCTATTTACGCAAGATTGATGATTGAGTGCGACAAGGGTGATGATACATGTTGGAGCTTCCCTTTTCGGGCTTGTTTTGCTGGCTATATTAATGACGAGATTAGGGATGTGGGCAATTGTAGGAATTCTGTGAGAGATCATGAAATTAAACTCAAGCGTCGAGAACTGTGCTTACTTGTTGTAAAAATCCATCTTATAGTCAAATTCTGTCCTGGAATGCCCTTTGCTGGTGTGATGATTGTGAAGAAAATCTAAGTCTGAGAATAAACTGGGATTATCCGGTGATTAGGTGAACATTCCTAATATATGCTCTTTTCCGATCATTAAAGATCAGTCCAAAGTTATCCTTGCGACTCACAAAATTACTATGAAGAATATACTTATGGAGGAAAGGGAATAGTCATCTCAAGATTAGACTGCTGAGAACGAATTGCAGTCGAGCATAAGTCGCTTTGACTTGCTAATCGGAATTGAATTGAATCTTCATCATATTCACTTTTCTATTGATAGTAACTACTCTATTTTGAGTTTTCAAGTAAGGTTATACAAATGGTTTGTCTGATCCAGAATAGGATTTTCATACGCTGTTGATGTCCTTACCATTCCATATTCCTGTGGTTGCTTGATCTTTTCGACATGATTCCTGGCCAACTCAACATTCAGTACTGCGAATACGTTCCAAACTATGAGAATGGCATCATAATTACTCGATACTTCAGAACTTTCGGGATTTGTTCCTGCCACAGAAACTCGCATCAAGACATGTCCTTCACATGATCAAAACGTTACCGAGAGAGTGAGTCAATTCATTCTAGTCCTGTTATACAATAGTGACATGAAGCTGCCAAAGTACGCTCAACTAGATTCAATCATTAACATATTGAATTTGCAAAGCTCGATATCTATTCCCACACGTCCGATATCTGATTGAAAGTCCTTACTTTCGTAACTCCGCGGGGCAGCAGGTATTGATAATTTGATATTGTACATGCAGAAATTTTTTATTGGAAAACAGCAGATACCGCATTATATTGCGTTGAAGGACAGTATACTGAGATGATGCACAAAAGGAATATGGGGCAAGCATGAGATAAAAGGCGTGGGAATACATCGTGGCCGACCTCCTTTAATAAGCGAGCCAACTGTCACTTGGGAATCAGAACTCTCAACACTGCACAGGACTGCATGGGCCACCAAAATCAAGCAAAATTCCTGGAAAATATTGTGAAAAGTAAATTGCGATATGCGCTGTAAGGAAGAGTTCAAAGAGAAGGAAAATGTAACAATACAGTATCACATATAAATAGGAAGTTGGTGACAGTGATATATCCTGATTCGCAAAGCAATCAAATCCCTTCGAACAATCTGAAAGATCAATAAGAAAAAAACGCCTGTTCTGAACTCAAGCCGCTTCTTTGAGACGTATTTCAAGATGTCAAGCAATAATTCCACATACCAGTGCGTACTAGTTCTTTCATTAAAATTATGTGTAGCTTACAGGAATTATCAGATCCAATACGCACACTAGAACTTCCGAGTCTGACCAGCAGCCTCAGTACACTCAATATCAGCAACAACAGACCCAAAATCAACAACCTGCATACCAACAAACCACCTATCAAGAACAACCATACCAACAAAGCTCATACACTCAAACACAATACACACAACCTCAAACACAACAGCCCGTCTACCAATATACCTCTTACCAGACTGATCAATACCAGCAAGCTACCTCGCAGAATGCTCAACCTACTTGGAGTACGCAATACACTGGGTCCCAACAGCAAACCCAGACACAATATCATTCCGCACAGCCTGCGCAGCTTACGCAACAATCTCTTCAGGACCTACCTGGACCTGCAAGGGATAATACAAACATGTATTTGGCGCATGATCAAAATTTTGAGAGGGTGTCACAGGGTTTGGAGACGAGACGAGAGGATAGAGTTAGGGAGTGGGAGAGAGAGTGGGAGGCGGCTGGAAGGAGATAGGTCGGGATGTGTAGTAGTCATTGTCTGGCTTGGATTCGCGTTTTGGGCGAGCATTTGGGGAAATTGCTGGGAAGATAGCGTGATGTTGTTTTCGTGATGTTGTTGTCATGATTTAGGTGATTTGTGGGCCAGGGTGATTGGTTTTGATGAAATAATGGGGTTTCATACAATGATGTATAATCATGACTTGGATGATTGGATCTGTAGATACTTGGATATGCTCTTGTTAATCTTTGAGGAGATTTTGGATGTGGTATTATTTCCTTGTGGATACTTATCAGCTAGTTAGTTATCGATTACAAGAAATATTTTTTAAGCTTGTTCATTGCACGCTTTTATTTTGTGTTGGTATTATCCAATCAGTCTCATTGGAATATGTTTACTACGGCCGCATCTTTTTTTATGTTAACACATCACTAGCTTGTACTGCTATGCAAATGCTCATGAGAACGCTTAATGACGCATTGATCTGACGCATCTAGCAAATTGACTTATGGAGAGAAGAGTATCAAAATGAGGATCAATATCCAAGGGTTCCCGTCTGATAAAGAATAGTGATAGTCTACGAGTATAGACGGTTGAAGTCCAAACGACCATCAAGGAACTTTTGTCCAGCATATGTGGAAGACAACAGTGTGTCATTATTTTGGAGGATAATGGAGAAATAAGCGAAATTTTACTATTCACTGATATCATGTGAATATATATTTAAGAAAATTATAAAGATTCAATGGTATCGGTCTGATAGTATTCATTCCCAAACATGCGAGATATCCTGTCACCTATTTAAACGATGTAAAGTGAGTGTTATATCCAACTAGACGATAGGAGTCTATTGCTAACTGGATACATTGCGATCGTTCACTCACTACGTGAGTATAGACCGGCGACCGTTATCAAAATAAAGGAAAAGTAATGAATGAAAGGCCATCGTATGACTCTTATCTTCAACACTTGTGATATACTGTGATCTAGGATGCAAGCGTTGGCGATAATCTGCCGCGAAGGAAATCAACGGCAGCATTCTAGGATGTGTTGTTTGATCCGCTCTCTTGGTATATTAGCAATTACGACGAAAAGAATGAGTGGCTTAACGAGTGGCCTACATGTATGAGGCGGAGCCGGATCGTCTGAATAGGTAAGTCTCAGCCAGGTGTAATACCGTCCTACCTCAACGAACTGAGGTTGAGTCCAGCTGCATTTACTTAAGCCGCGGGGTAAGCTAAACTATATAGTCTGGTTTTAGTCGTTGAAAATGGCCAATATAAGAATATGTGGACAGTTAACTAATTCATTTCGCAGAATATTTTGATCAGATAAGCTGTTTAGCTTATAAATCTACTCCACAGCTTGATAAAATTCGGTTGGATAGAATTAATCAGTTCTTAGTTGATACAGTCCATTCCTCGTCACTCCTCAGTAATGATCTAACTTCGATACCGAATCTTACCGTTTCTAGTAGAGCTTTGCCAGATCAAACATGACTATCAACATAGTTTTTGAGATACCTAGTCGTGTGTTTTACCTTGAAGAATTCATAGTAAATATCCTCCTCGGGTCCGAAAACTTTGCGGTTCCAATTGTCCACTGCGTCCAGAATGACTCGTATCTTCTCCCTAATCTCGACGTTAGTGAATTCGTTTGGAGACAAGAATGCATAGAAACTTAAACCGACTAGACTTCTACATGCCGCCAATATAGTCATCGTGATCCAATATGATTATATTGTATTCTGGATGTATATCGAGGTAGAACTTGGGCCTGTAGATGCCAGAAATTCCTTGAAGAGCATCAGTACATGGTTTAGATATGGACCAATGTAAAAGAATGGTGTAATGCTACCTGATCCGACGATGATAATATCAAATTTGCCTGTCAAATCCATCGTGGTCATTTCTCGAAAAGCTCGAGAGCGTATGATAGCCTTGGTACAAATAATAACTAATATCAATATCAGCGATATAGGTGTTATAAACCTATTCCTGGTTGTTGGAGGGATACTCACAACAATTTCTTGTGGTTATTGATGATTCCATAGCCTCACTCCTCTTCCAGTGTATGGATTGGCTACCAAGCTCTTGCCGGTACTAGTCTTGGGATTTCCTTCAATTTGTACATCATTGTCGTTCTAATTATTGTCAAGCCAGATGAAATACCCACCGCAACGGCCATGCTGTTGTGTATGTGCTCCCGTGGAATCTGATTCCAAGTAAGCTTTCAAAGACTGATCAGTGTTCATAAATTTAGTTTTCCGATTCCTTGGAGGTGCACTCATCGTTTTGGCTGCCCAATCACTCTTCCAAAATGAAATTATCAATATTCTCCCCCCGCAAAAATCCGTCTCTCATCCCCTCCGCTATATTCAGCACATACAGATCTGCAATCCAAACAACATTTTCTGCGACTGAATTGCCAGGAGTCAAGACTGCTTATATGAGTGGTATTCGAATGGCCTTTGCACTGTCAGTCGCAATGTCTGGGGTCGCGACACTGGTGGCGTTGAGTCAGGGCTGGATTAGAATGAAGAAAGGCGATGAACTGGCTACTCAAACGAGATATTGAAACGGTCCAGTAAGCAGTGATTAATTCACGAAAGTCCGGATAAACTCAAAGGTGGCTTCATATATGCTAAGGCTATCAAAAGGGAGGAGAAGGGGAGTTCGGAATTTGGAATGTGTGATGGTGGATGGTGAGATATTCAATGATCTAGATTTCATAAACTATCATGGGTTATAATACAGCATACACCAGGGTCTATTTTGATGATTTCCCGCTCCGATGTGAACCACTAAAGGAAAGTAATTGAGGTGAAAATTAATAATGGGAAGATGTGGAGAAAAGAGTAGAGATATGCCAAGACAGAAAGAGTACTATGGATGTGATGAGATATGGGAGGAATCCAAAATAAAAGGGTGGACCTGAAGAAGAGGAAGTAGGCATAGTAAAATTATAGATACCGGTAGATAAATACTCGCTGGAGATGAAGTCTGTCATGGACTGTACATAACCTTTTGCTCTGAGAGCATATTTCGACATGACTTAGATGCTAGAGAGATTTAAATGGCTCTGTAGTGATAAATTTATATGTTTTGGAAAAGTAAAGAAACACGAGATTTGGGAGAGGCCAAAGTTTAAGTTGATAATAATGTATCTGATATGCACTTGATGCGATTGTATCTGTGTTAGTATGATTAAACATGAGGCCACTACTGGTAAGTATGCATCTCGACGCAATGCATATACACGTATGTTTTGCCCATGCAAATGACAGAAAAAATATGATTTCTGACTGGAAAAGACTTGTTGCTTTGTCTTGTCTACAATCATGTAATACCAATATCTTACAAGCCACTTGGCGGCCTGTGTTTATATACCTGGAGTCCTAAGAGAATGTGATATGTCTCGCACAAACATCGCAAAGCTGTTACGAGACGATCTCCATGGGCTTAGGCTGGGCCGGACATGGTTCGGAGGGCGTCTTTTCAGGGATCCCACTGAGTGTCTTCTCTCCATCTTGTGGCTTTCTTCCCCATACAACATATATTTTGTGATAGGCATGAACGCTTCGATTCGGTATGGCTTTCCGAACATTCACTAAATAGACCTGTCCAGTTTCATCAGTTCAATAAGAGATTAAAAATGATTGTGTGGGGAAGGAGCTAACTTCAATCTGTTCTTGTTTCCAATTCAGGACTCGAGAAAATAAAGCCATACTGAAGCTAGACAAGCACGCAAGCCAGTTTTGTTCTGACATTTCCCCAAGTTTCTGTAGGTGTTCGTCTTCTGACCAAGGATTGACTGGTAATTTGTAGATCTTTTCTTGAACGTCAACAAACCCTGCTGCTTCGTACCAAGTCTTGAGATTACTGGCAATGTTCATTGATCTGCTAGCTTTCGTTGCCGCCTTGTCGATGTATCCAACCCATTCTAAGAACGGCCAGCTGTCGGTCATTGATTCATCGTCGCAATAAGGAGTAAACATAATTTCTTGACTCTCCATATAGCCTCCTGGTTTCGTATAATGGAATCCTCTCTTGATAATAGTATCAAAGTCCTTGAAGCAACCTAGCAGAATGCGAGTATGTATGTAATCAAAGTGGTTAGGTGGCAACATCCAATCGTCATCGCTAGCATCGTCGATATAAAAATGAACATTCTCTGGTACGGATACCGGTTGGATCGGAGAGAGATCAGTAGCCTGGACTTCTGCTTTTGGAAAGGTATCGCCCATTTGAATTGCCCATTGACCTGTCCCAGTACCAATATCGAGGATATAACGAGGACTGGACAGAGGTGAAAAGTAATTGCGACCCGAGAAAGCACATTTTAGCATGTCGAATTGTGCTTCAAGTCTGTCCTGTTCATTAGCATCATTGGGAAAGTGATATGCTGTAGGAATAGTTAGTCGTTGACGAACAAAATCAGATTGATTAGCAGTACTTCCAGGGCGGTAGCCATGATATGTTCTGCCATTCTCTTCAGGAAAGTCCACAACACTGCTTGTCAAAGATTTCGACGATGATCTGGATAGTGAGTAAGCTTTCGCGGAGTTCTTGCAGCAAAGTGGCTGACACTAACCTATCGTTTGACTCAGGAGTTACCGGTGATTGTGCTTTGGGGTCCCAGCGAGAATCTGCATCTAGAATTGCATCTGAGGACTTGCAACCCATCTGTGCCTCAATCTCCTCATCATATTGTGGATGATCAATTTCTGGGGAGTAAGTAGATTCTCCATGTTCCGGACATTTAGACATGTTCTTGCGTGGTTGAAAAGTCAACTCTTAAAAGATGGGAAAGGAAATGAACCAAAGCGTCGGGTTCTGACTATATTTGGTACAGCCATTATCGCGACAGAATGATTGTGGATATTTTGAATGGTTGGTAGGTGCTTGCATGTCATGCAGGCAGGCAAGACCGCCGTAGCCGAATATCATTGCTGCTGTTTGCAATTTCCCACACTTAATATTAACAATTTTCAGATGATAGGCCAAAGCCAAGCCAATATGAGAACAGCACCTTAAAAACCTGCACTCACTCGCGATAATAATGATATCTGTAGCCGTAGTATGGTAGTGCGAGCGATTGCATGTATCTCATTCGCGAATCGAAAATCCGCCATTGTGGTCTGACTGAATGCCGGGAGTCGATTCACCCTTCGGAATTCATATGTTGGGACGCATTATCCAAATGCATGGGAGCCCAGCCTACTGGTTGACATTTAATTTGTAGTTGCATGCAGCTTGGCGTACGGAACTCGTGCCAGCTGCGGATGAATGCATTCAACCTGGACCAACAAATTGTTGGAGCTGCAACATTTATGTAATGGGCCACAACACCAGTAGTGAAAGCTGTCCGCCCATTCCAAGCTTTTGGATATGCGCATTAATAGCAAAGTATATGCGTGTTGTCAAATAAGGGGGCGATTTCCCAAGAACGAGCATTCATTCTGTTTGATGATGTTTGGATATATACTGTACAGTGATTGTGCAGATAACAAACTTTTGGTTCCAACAGATGATTATGCAAATATCCGCATGGGTTCAGCAGAGCTACATTTGTAAACTCAGTAGGGAGGCCCATCACCCGGTGACATGGCAATGGGAACCGAGCCATGCATGATATTGTGTCTTACTGGTTATACACAAGGATTTGTACAACGGCTCGTGCTTCCGACCCAGTCCAAGTCCCGACAAGACGTTAAGTCGCGGGAGGGGATACCGGTATCTTTTGTGCATATTGAGAAATGAAATATCACCCTCAACTCATCGAGCTCTTTTCAGCTATCGATACACATACCGGGATTGTCCTCTTATTATCCCTCCATGGTTGCTAAGATCAATCACCTGGGAATTGATGCAGGAAGATGGGTGGTCAAAGAAGAGCTTTGTAAAGTTACTTGTGTGGCGCACCAACGTTACCGTTGCCCCATGTGGCGTAAACCGCACCGAAATGGTCTAACTTAAAAGGGAAATCAACACATGATGAGGAAAGAGTTTGCGATCAATCGAGTGAACATTTACCACAATAATATGAAAGTCGTGAGATTGAACATGTAAGCACCACTGCAGTGGCTATATAAGATTCACTATGAGTACATGACTTAAGTTCTTTAGTTGTGTAATGTGACACGGCTTCCAACCTCAAATTCCACTTTTCTATTCCTACCACCCACGTTTGTCTCTGATCTTATCATGGCCTTTTCAGTTAACTCATCCTATAATAAGCTACGGTCACTCCTTGAGTCTACCTCGAACGATGCGTTACCCGCACTGCAAGACATCACAAAAGCCACTCAGTCCCTCGTCCAAAATCTTCCGGCGATAGGGCTCGGGGAAGAAGCCACTGCAGCACATCTTCTCTCCGATATAACCCCTGGCTTCAATGGTCCCAAAACATCATCTAACTATTATGGATTCGTCACTGGGGGTGTTTTCCCAATCGCGGAAGTCGCTGACAATATCGTCACCGCTTTCGATCAAAACGTACAAGTGCATTTACCAGATCAAAGCGTCAGTACTATTGTCGAAGATAAGGCCTTGGAAATGCTAGCAGATTTTCTGAATCTGGGCGACGGCTGGGAGGGAAGAACCTTTACTACCGGTGCTACCAGTGCGAATACTCTTGGATTGGCCTGTGGACGTGAAGCTGTGATTTCGAGGAGGCTGAAAGAGGTGGGAGAGAGTAGAGGGGTCGGTGAATTGGGATTACTTTCGGCCTGTGCCAAAGCTGGAATTAAGGAGATTCAGATCTTGACATCTATGGCTCATAGTTCTACGTACAAATCTGCGAGTATCGTTGGTCTTGGTCGTGCTTGTGTTAGGGACATTGGGTTTAGTTCGACCGAGCCATGGAAGATCGACTTGAAAGTCCTGGAACAGGAGTTGGCTAGAGAGAAAGATGGAGTGGTTAGTATTGTTTCGTTAAGTGCTGGAGAAGTCAACACTGGGAGATTTGCGACTGAGGGAAGGTACGGAATGGAGAAGGTGCGTGAACTTTGCGATCAGTATGGCGCCTGGTTGCATGTAGATGGAGGTAAGTCGACAAAATATACCGATCATTTCGTGTAAAACTGATACATCATCAGCATTTGGACTTTTCGCTCAAAGTCTTCCGGATAGTCCTGAATTTGCTTCTTTAAGAAGTACATCGGCAGGCATTGAGCTAGCCGATTCCATCACAGGCGATGGTCATAAAATGCTTAACGTGGTATGTCACAAATGGTCTATTTATATCAGGCAATTATCCTATCCATACTTACTCCCCCGCGTTTAGCCTTATGATTGTGGCTTCTTCTTCACTAGATCATCAACAACACTTTCATCCGTATTCCAGAACCCAAATGCAGCATATCTCTCATTGGGACCTTCAAGTATCCCATCACCTCTCAATGTTGGTCTAGAGAACTCACGCCGTTTTCGAGCTCTCCCAGTCTACGCTGTGTTACTGGCGTATGGTCGTGAAGGCTTAAGTGAGATGTTTGCTCGCCAAGTCAGGTTAGCGAGAGCAATTTCTAAATTTTTAGATGCGCATGCTGGATACGAACTCCTCGCGAAAGGCAAGTTGGAAAATCAAAGTTTGATTGAGAATACACACATCATTGTCATTTTCAGGGTAAATGATGACAGCATCAACAATGACTTGGTGAACAGAATCAATACCACGAGAAAAATGTATGTGTCAGGGACGAAATGGGAAGGCAAGCCGGCATGCAGGATTGCAGTCAGCACGTGGAAGGTTGATGTGGATAGAGATCTGCGACTCATTAAAAATGTTTTAGATGGTGTTCTCCAACTTTGATAGTATTAGACATTAACATATATTCGGGCCAGAATGTTCAAGACCAAGCTGGCTCTGGTTCACTGACACTTGGGCTACACAATTTGCGTACCCCTATTTCCTTCTCAATTTTGTATATATTCTAAACCTACATGTTTAGTGGCATGTTCTATTGTTATCTAAGTCATTATACAAAGCTCTGTTGGACAGGAATGCAATACCGTCTGGTCCGTCCATAGTATGATATATTGTGCTGATCTAAGAGAATATATTCCAGAAAACTCAACTATATCATCTTAACCTTCCGAATCACATGCAGATTATATTTGAAACTTTCTTAAGTAACGACGCTTTATATTTTCGTCACTTCAGATGATGTGAAACAAATGTATGATCTCTATGTACGCAAATGACGTTAAATCATCTTGCGTTTTCAGAGTACATACCTACAAGTTCGCATTCCTTCAGATATATATCAAATTTCAACTTCAGACGAGAAAACGATCGTGCTCGATAATTTTCGGACAATTACACAACAGCATAGACTATTTGTTAATATATCGCTATATTAATTTAACTTAGTGTATTACTTTTGACTTTCTTATAATAAGTACAACTTTTCTGAAAGAGAGGAGAAGAAAGGGTATATATGAAATCGACAGGATAAATTACTTTTTCCTTGGGCTTGCTAGGAAAGACGGGGAGGAGAAGATGAGGGAGTTTGAGTACGCTGTATAAGACATCAAGCAGAGAACCAAGTAGAGTAATCAATAATAAGGTCAACTAAATAATACAATCACTATGCTAGCCAAGCACAAATTCTTTCTCTAACAGAATCCCTTGTCACATACACTGTTACACGGCTTGTAACATCATTCCCAGATCAGAATAATACGCACAAACCAATGATCCTCTATTTTTCATATCCAAACCTCGAAGCCAAACGTTCACTAAACGTTAAAGCCAAAGCCGCACCATACTCTATGGCATTTATTCCAAACTCATTCGTTGGAGACGCCGTTCCAATTTTACGAGCAATCGGACCCAGGACCCCTTTATTATTGTGCCTCTCTATCAAATGGATAACATCTTGTTTTACTGCCTTCCCTAGATGCTGAACGAACACATCACCTAGTTCGTAGTCCCGAACGCCAACAATAGAAAGCCGCGGTACAAATCGATTTCGAAGGCCATCGATAAGAAACGCGTTGAAAAGATCTAAGACCGATGCCCCATGCTTCCACTTGCCAGTCAACGATTGTATCCATCGCTGAACATCCGAACCGCTAGATGCTATATCTGACAGCATGATGACTGTAGTGCCGACTGGGAGTAAGCCCACACTGGTAACGGCGGAATTGCTGCAGCAGCAACCAATAAATATCGATAGGTGAAGGGCGCTTTTGGCTGAGTTGAAGATATCGAACAGTTCAGAAATCGGACACCAATATCCAGAGCTCAGCTTAACTCTGCAACCTTCAGAAGACTTCTTGCTATGGCCATGAAAGATGATCCAGCATCCTTTGGCTGTGGCATGTTTCCGTTTGCCGGCGTGAATAAACTCTAGGAAGCCTTCACGAATGTCATTCAAAGTGACTGGAGATGCTCCATCTCCAACTCCTTTCACCACATAGCGGCCAGGCCCAGAAGATATAGCATTGCTCAGTTCAGATCCGGCTTCGTTACCGTAAGCTGTTCCGCCAGGTCCTGTGATGAGGAAAAAGTCACGACATACCGGAAAATACTGCCTTGAAATAACTTTCGGTGTCGGACTTTCAGTTTTAGCTGATGCTATTTGTGGTTGAGTCCTAGAAGATGATAAAGTAGTAGTTGTCTTGCGAGAAGCAGAAACCAAAGACTTCGATGTGCTGGCTCTTATGATTTCCTTTGCTTCTTCTGGAAGAGGGGGACGGAAATGTTTGGGTGTACTGGACTTTGTACTTTGCCTTACTTCTTCTGGAAGGGGATGACGGGAATGTTTGGGTGTGCCGGACTTTGTACTTTGCTTTACTTCTCTTGGACGAGAGTTGTTCGACATATTGCAACTCCACGATCTCGATATCGGAAAAGGTTGAAACAGCTGCTAATTTATTCTCAGACTGATATCTCGGGAACAAGTTCTTAGCACTGCACGTTCTGGGTATTGAATGATGGCTTGTAACTAAAAAATATGTAATAAATGGAATAACTCCAAGACAACAGGGTGGACAGAAAAGAATTCTTAATAGAAGAACTAAACTATTCTATTTTCTAGCTACAAATAATGACTACCACTTTTTATAGAAAGGAGTGCTTTACCAACAACAAAATTGTCTTTTAGTAGACCAGTGGCTATATAAAAAAAATTTGACGTGATAAACAAATAGACGCCGAAATAAAGCGGATGCCAGTTCCTACGACTGCGCGATTATTTACGACCATGTGGAGCTTCAAAGAGCTTACTCAGGTTTAGATTACGCGGAAAACGTATTGTTGTCTTGCCACATCAATATAGTTTGCCATTTTTCATTGACAGTCCAAGCGATCTTCGATAATATCCCAATTAGATTGAGCAACACTTCAAATTCTCTCAGTATATAGTTTCAATCAGTTTTCAAATAATATTAGGTCATATGTTCCGGGCCATTGCGCAATATTGAATTTTTACTTTCGCTTAGCAAGTCATTCAATCAATAATATTCTCCTGAAAAGCTCTCAATTCTTATTTAAGATCTTCAACTTGCTCTATTTCTATTCATTTAATCAAAACTTAAAACAAATCCAGATTATTCTATATTATTCTTATTAAATATAACTTTTACAGAATCTAGGTTTTAAAAAAGAATCGAATAAAAGAGGATTACAAAAGGCTGATTTTCACATCCAAAGGAGCCCTGAGAGTAATTTACTGATATGTATATTGTAGAAATTCTACGATTATGTATTCAATAATAAAATCGAAGTATTAGAGAGTAGTTTCTATAGGCAAGCATGTAAATGCGTCTCATTCCTTAATATCCTATCATCAAGTTCAAGCAGTATAGGTAGTAAGTAGTCAACCTGTTCAATCAGTTGATCTTCATCCAGTTGGTTTAGTTGATCAAATCCAAACTACTAACACATAATGTAAGCTACCAGTTTAATTAATTTAATTAGTTGAACCAGTTAATTTACTACCTAAACTACTAATTTAGTTGATATATTTCAATTGGTAGTTGGTTTGGTTTGTGTAACTTCAACTGCCAGTTTAAAAACGGGTTGGCACTCTGCCTACATTGAGCACATTGAGTTCAAATTCAAACTATCAACTCCCCATCATCCCACGCACTCACCTCTACCCTAATCTAACCCTAATCCCTAACCCCACATCTAACCGCTCACAACCGCAAACTCCCCCACCGTAGCCCCCACCCCATCATTCTCCCAACAACCCTCCACCACCAACCTAACATACTTCCCACTCCAGACGCCCCCCTCCACCACCAACCTTGTTTCATTGCCTACTACCGGCACCACATTTACGTTCTTGTTGACATTTTCCGTGCTACTACTATTCACTTGCGTCATATTATACTGCGCTTGCGTCGCATTATATGGCAAACTGGGAGAAACACCCTCGATATTAATTTCCCATTCGTTTCCAAAGATCGATGCATTGCCCGTTGTTTCATTACCGAAGAAGACAGTAGCGCGGAGTGGAGGTCGAAGACCCCAGTTAAAGTATATGCTCCAAATAGGGGAGGGGGGGATCGAGGTCGTGTTTATGAGGAGGGAGGATGTTTCGTTGGTGGATGGTTGCCAGGAGGTGGATGTGGCGCCGTCGATGGCTGCGACGGGAAATTGACCGGCTGAATATGAGTCTCCAGATGTGACGGGTAGGCATTGCAGGAGATTGTTAGGCTTGGTCTTATTTTGAAAGTAGAGACGGTTGGGGATGGTGAGGGTTTGGTTGATGGCGATATTGTAGGATGTTGTGTTTGAGATGGAGGAACCGGGAGTTCCGACAACGAAGGGGAGACTGGCGTTTCGGTAGAGGTCACTAAGGCTAGTGGAAGGAAGACGAGTAATATTTGTGTGGGTTGTATTCATGGTTGCCGAAAGAGTTGCGCCTGCATAGTGAAAAGTGCGAACTCTCAGGTTGGGTATCTGAGGAGGGAGAGAAGGATGTAGATAAAGGGTGGGTTGGTCGGTTCGCAAACCCAAGAAGCCAAAAGGTACAACTTGATTAGCTCCTCCGTGTCCGGTTAGGAATGGAAATGCTGGGTTTGTTCCTCCGTTCAATGTAACATCGTCGACGGCTTGTTCAGAGAACTGATACCATGGTGCTCGTAGGTATGGAATAAAGCCATTTAAAGTATAAGTGTATGCGGAACATCCGGATGGAGATAAAGCATTTGCATCGATAGCAAAGATAGAGTAAGTCATTGCTGGGCCATCAGGCGATTGCTTATTTGCATACTGTGATTGAAATTAGTACAATTCTGTTTATACCAACCTGGAAAAAACCTACATAATCTAAATCTAATAGTTTGTCCGCTTCGGTGTAATTTTGATTGAAATCCAAAGGGTAAGTCAACAAAACGACGTCAGCTTGTTTGACAGCAACGCTATTATTCATCGTTTGATACTCTAAGGTGATATTAGAAGCTGCAGATGGAAATTCGATACTTTGTTGCTGCTGTTGCCATGTTTCGTTTGGTTCCAACACCTGAGCAACTCTCAAATCGTTTGCCAACTCCAGCAGAGTCGCAGCAGAAGCTATTGTGAATGCTCCATTGTCCTTGTTATTGGCATATTCATCTGGATCCGTAATATTGTGAATCCAATAAGTCTGCGTAGTTTCGTTGTACATCAGCAAATGCCCAGTCATAATCGCAGTACTTTCGATAATTTGCCTGGGTCCATTGTCGAACCAAGTCTTATTATTCGTGATATTGTATTCCTGCATGAGATTGAATGCGATATCATAGTTGAGATGATATTCGTAGTCTACGCAAGGCCCCGTTCCAGTACAATTTCCATATCTTCCAGTAGTCCAAGAGTAAAGTGAGCTTCCATTTGGGTAATTGTTGAATGCTGCATTCGCTAAAGATTGATTGTGTTGCTTGACGCGGAAGTTACTGATTTGTTTGCTCCAATCCGGAAAGGCCAGATTAAGACCAGGCGCCATCCAATAATCAGCGTCCCAAAACACCAAGCCAGCATATGAATCGGAGTAAAGTCCTCCTACTGAGATGCTGTTGTCATTCAGTCCACTACCGTCGGGTTGTAGGTTTTGAAGCAGGTAGTATGTATTTGAAACGGAAGCAATGTGAAGTGCTTGAACATTGGGGTCTTCAGGCAGTTCTCCTGTCGTTGGATCCGTAAAATCGTCCACAGAATCTGGTGTCAAAATATTGGCCCAAGCTGCAATATGCTCCCCTAAAAGACTATCCCATCCAAACTCCTGTGCTGACTTCTGGTCTGCTCGAGCCACAATTTCGGGATTATTAAATTTGTCCGTTGAAGCAATTCCAACATATTTATAGAAAACAGCAGGTTCTCCAGCTTTTAGACTGATGTTGAAAGATTGACCAATTGTAGTACTATTCGCAGAACTTATGTAATCTCCACTGGCATTGGTTCTCGATGAAATTTTCGTGTAGTTGTTGGAGAAATTGACGCCAGAGACAACAAATGCGGTGATATTTGGAAGATTATCCGGATTCACTGCCGAATAAATGGTAGTCCCATTTGCATCCAATCCTTGGGATGATAGAGTAGATCGAACTGCACTTCTCCCATCCAGTAAATCCGTGATCTGCCCTTCGATACTTACGGAGGGAACAATGGTGGCCTTCACGGCCACAACGTTTGGTCTTTCTCTACTCAAAAATGCAGCATAGGAAACATTGAAAGTAGAATTCTGAACTGGCGACCATGTATAATTCCATTCTGCCAAACCAGTTTGGAACGAAATCTTAGAAGAGAAATTCGTAATTGAAGTATTGCTAACCGTAGCATCGAGAAAATTAGATCCGAAAGAGAATAATATGGCTGTAGGATGTGGAATGCCAGATATAAAACTTTCCCAACCATATTGATTCAACCAAGGATAGTTGGTACCTTGAGGAGGTATCTGTGCCGGCTCTACATCGTAAAATCCAGATATAGTGGAAAATGAAATTCTATCATTAAACAATGGCCATCCATTAGAAGGTGAAGTACCATTTGCATCTGTTTGATTGACATCTTTTTCAAAGAAAGGACCGGCTGCTGCGAAAGAAGCACCAATGTATCTAGAATCAAGTCAGGACATCTTCCTGAATACTTTCCAAAATCAAATACCCATTAGCAAGTGACAATCTCGATTGATATTGTCCTGGAATGTATTTAGTGGTAGTCAAGGACCAGTCACTTTGATTCCAAGTTGATAGTCCAGCAGATACAGAGAAGTCGGTTGCAGAGAGTACACCCAAAGAGAATAGCCATATGGTTCCGAAGAAACAAAGAACGGAGGTCAACATGTTGCAGTTCATAGGTAATATAGGTATACCTAGTAAGTAGGTCGCAAACTCTGTGTTATGGAAGGATGAAGTATAATAAAAGATTTAAGAGAAATTGAATAAATCACCAACAACTAGGTACACCTGCGTAATGACGTGGTCTGGCACTGACTGCATTTATATGAATATTCCGAATACTTACGGAAACTCCAATTCTTGATTGGGTATCTACTGCATAAGGAACAAAGAAGTTTAGAGAATTGTTGGTATTTTAATATACTCACTCATACAAGTATATTATTATCATGCGGTGTATTTTGCGGGGCCGAAGGCGGGGTAAAAGAGCCTTTTTTACGTCGTATTACCGTATCCAAAGGATTTACCTACTTACTCATAACATTTTAACAGCTACCTAGTAGCTTTCAGCTTTCACTGATATTTACTAAGTGTTGCTGACATGCAGACTCCGAGTACCACAGAGCTTTAAACTTAAGCACACATGACATGATCATGATGTCTCAGAAAAAATGGGGAGTTATACCTGGTCATCGTCATGTAAACTTACTTGTTCCTAAACCAAGATTTTATTCATTTTCTCTACAATATTGATCTACATTCACCGCCTCCCACTAATTTGCCCCCATGCATCCGGACTATGCCTTCCATTTTGCCAACCCCCAGCATCTATCATCATACTCTCGCGACTGATTTGTCTACCAGATCCAATTGCTGTATTTGTTCCCCTGATCGGTGCTGCCGCTACATTAGACATGAAGGGATTATTATTGCCGCCTGACACCTGTCCATGGGGTTGTGGTATTTCCTCAGCTTGGGGAGGAGCTTGGTACTGGATTGGGTCTGGTTGTTGTTGTTGTTGTTGTTGCTGCATTTGAGTGGGCGCCAATTGGGGACGATTGTAAAGATCCAAGATACTGCGCTTATCCACTAATCGTCCAGTCTGCTGTGGCATCATAGGGTAGGTCTGCTGCCGATATTGATCATACTGAAGTTGTTGAGGTTGCGCCTGAGGCTGCTGGTATTGGGGTTGCTGTTGCTGTTGCTGTTGCTGTTGATAACCATACTGCGGTTGCAACCCTTGTTGTTGTTGTTGTTGCTGCTGCTGCTGCTGCATATTCGTCTGGTTGAAAAACGGATTCATCTGTTGTGGGGAAGAATTTTGTCCTCCCATAGTATAGCCCCCAGGTGGGTATTGTTGTTGGAGTGTTTGGGTGATTGGACTTGCGAACAGCGTTTGGTTCAAAACCGATTGTTGCATAAAGGGGTTTGATGGGAGGTTCGTATTGATGAGTGGAGGCGCTTGTGGGGGCGCTTGCTGCATGAACGGATTGGTATTCATTTTATTCCGGTCGAATTGTTGTGATTGAGGTTGTTGGCCCGGATTTTCGTATATCACTGGAGGATAGTGGTGTTGTGATATGGAAGAGACAGGGGGGGTCATAGATTGTTGGTATAGTTGTTGCACTGGAGGTGGCTGAGGAGAAGGGGGTCCACCTGTATGGTGAGGGAAAAGAGGTTGTTGCGAAGTTACCGACATGTTTTGAAATGCCTGATTAAGGTTCAGTTGTGACTGTGATGGCATTAATCCAAAGGGATTTGTGCTCGCGGTATTCTGATATGGGTTTACTCCCATCATCTGATTGTGAGCTTGTGCCATTGAACCAGTAGAATGTGTAGATTGCACTTGAGGAAATGTTGGATGATCAAGTCTGTCGAATGGATTGTTCGAGGTTGACGTCGCTGTGGGACTGGCTGCTTGAAGTCGTCCAAGCGATAAACCCGGTGGGCTAGCAGGTGTCCGTGGCCCAGAAGAGTTTATAGAGGATGCTGTTTTTGCGCTAGATCCGCCCTCACCCAGTCGGACTAGAGTTTCAATAGATTTCTCTAGGTTTCCGCTCAAGCCCTTGAGCACTGTTGTATTTCTCTTCTCGTCCCTAAAACCCAATTCTCGTAGTTTCGCCATCTTCGACTCAAGATCATCTGTTGCGTCCAGCGAAGTTCCAAATATTCTTGAATGCTTATTCTTTCTCGGTGGTGATGGTGCTTGGTTATAATCTTCAAACTCTGCGCGCGCATCCGCATTGTCTTTTTTCGCTTTGGAGGATAGGGGGAATATCGAAGAAGCCGATCTGAACCCGAATTTGGTCCCAGTTTTGGGAGGAAGTGGTGGAGGATGATCATCTGAGCTCGTACTACCTGTATTATTACGCTTTTGGAGTTGGGGTCCATTGCTATATTTTTGCCTTATAAATCGTTCCATGGCCGAATCGGCTTCATCGGCATCGATAGGAATAGGAGGTCGAGTATTTTTGGGATTGTAAATTCGATTCGACGCGACATTCCCAACCTTCTTCATATGCTATGAATCCATCAGATATATTTCGGAAGACATTCGTTGTAAAAACCTACTTCTACTTGATCTTTCGACCATGAATCCATACTCAAGGATTTAACCTTTGTGATATGTGTTCCAAGCTTTCGGTGTAAGGCCGCGCAACGCATACACAAGAATATTCCCAACTATTCCGTTGTTAGTAAGTGGCTAAACGAAATGGCTCCTCGTTCCATGCATAATGCGCCGGCGATCGATGTTAACTTACACTCCAACTTGCCCATCCTAATTCCGCCGCAAATCAGTTTATATTCGGTCAATATGGAGCTTTGAGTCTTACCTGGATTCCTCGCCTGGCAGTCGGCGCAAACATTATTTCCTGGCGATTTTACAAGTTCTTGAAGGGCAATTTCATTCCGCGCAAGCTGTCGCTTGCTCATCATTCCCGACATGTTTAAGGAAAGTAGATATTAAAAGATGTATCGGGGGGCAAAGTTCGAATTGGAAATGAATGAAAAAGAAGTAGTCGAGTGATCAAGGAAAGTATCTCGACAAGTTGAATGTGTACTTATTCGATATAATTACAGCTTTATACAAAGGCATACGGGGATGAATGTGAATGTACTGTACAAGAAGTCGTAAGTATCGTTTCCCCGTCGTAAAATCGTTAAAAGAAGAAAAGTCGCCAATCAAGGTCGTATTTGAGATTTGAAGTAATGTGCCAAAGTGGATGATTGAACAATGTGGAGAGTTTAGAAATATAGATGATGAGATTAGAACGTATGAAAAGGATTACTCGAGTAGAAGAGAGAGAAATATTGGAGAAAGATTGGAGAAAGGAGACAACGGAGACAACGGAGAGAGATAGAGCTTCGGGTGAAGTTCCTCATTTGTCAGGAGATATTCCCCGAGTCGGCGGCAATACAATCAATTCATTCATACCTTGTTGCCTTATAAATATATTATGTCATCAAAATAAATAAACAGATTCCAAAAGGATGAAATTCCATTCCTAACCAACCAACTTATTCCTGGCGCTATCCCTTCTACTTGTCCTACAAATCTACAAAACCTAGGTAGGTAATAGATTCATTACTGGCGAATCAATTTTGACAATAATGTCACATTGATAATTCCTTCCATTCATTTAAGCTCTTTTATTGAATTATTGTAATTCCATATCAGCTTGATATTGGTCGTTTTCATACTGAATTGGTTCAGGAAAATCAATACAGTATTCCCATTTATATGGGAAATTATGATTTCCATCTCTTGATGATCCATACATTTCCGGTTAGATTCATCCACTATTCATTACATGTGTTCTTCGAAGATCGGGGAAGAATAAATTTAACGGGAGTGCGTTCGCATGGTGAAGAAAGCGTTCTTGCTCCTTTGCTTCAGCATTTACCATTACAGTATTGTTTGACTGGCGCTTCATCAATTGGGTTGCTCAGGTAGGTAGATTAAGAGTCATGCGCTTATTCAAGGTCGTCATCTCTGACCTGAGACCGTATGTTGCTTACCTATGTAACAGTATCACCGTTCGTTATGGAGCTAATCAGAGAACCTACGTACGGGGAAGGAGAGAATCATGTCTAAACCCCCTCATTTCTAGAGAAGCTTGAACATCCAAAACAGCAGAACTTTTCATCTTCTACAAGTCACAGCTTCAAAATGGGTTCAAATTATCAAACTTTAAAGCCTAGCTTTAACCCTTCCTCAGAGTTCGACTCATCCTCACAAATTCAAGAAGTCATCAAAGCACTCAACCTTCTACCGCATATCGAGGGAGGTTTCTTCGCAGAAACAGATCGAGCCCCAGATGTCGTTTCCTCCCCATTTGGCTCCGATAAATCCTCTACATCAGATCTTGCACCTCAAAGACCTGGCTTCGACCCCACTGTGCGAAATTCTTCAACTTCCATCTTCTATTTACTTACGCCAAATGGCCCTCAAGGCGGCTTCCATCGTAACAAGGGAAGAACGGTCCATACATTACACAGAGGACGAGGAAGATATGTTTTGATACATGCCGATGAGGAGGGTTCGGAAAAGAGAATCGAAACATTCATCGTCGGCCCAAACGTTGCTGGTGGAGAAAGATTACAATGGATTGTAGAGGGAGGGAAATACAAGGCATCCTTCTTGCTACCAGATGAAGAAGGTGGAAATGTCAGTCAAGGGCTTTTGATCAGTGAGACGGTAGTACCTGGGTTTGAGTATTGTGATCATGATTTCTTGTCTCCGGAGGGGTTGAAAGAGCTTGTGTGTTCAGGAAAAGCAGAGGAATTGAACTGGCTGCTCAGTCCTTTGGGAAAGGGAGAGTAGAGTAACGTTTCCGTAATCGTAATATGAAATGAGAATGGGTCTTTTCAAGCAGAAAGCCCATGGGTTTTGTGGTTTATCCTCTGGTGATTTTCCAACCCGGGTTTTCCTTTACCACGAGGCAAGTGCTGACCCGACTATATTTCTGCGCCAGTCAATCATTCTCTTCTTTTAAAACTCCCAATCGAAATTTGCCTGTCTTTGAACTTCCATTCCATCTGATATGCCAGAGGAGTGAAGCACGCCATCTGCGGGGGTTAATTCTATCGAAAAACTCTCATTAATTTGGAGCCGAGGAAGAAGCAAGCTCTCGCACTTTGACAATGGACCCATAAGTAAGTACCAGTGGTAATCTTCTATTCCTGATGGGTGATGATTAATGCTGGCTCTCGCTGCGAACTTTCACGGATGTGATTTGTCGATTGTAAGCCACATGACAGTGAGAATTTAGCTCAAGTCGTTGACGGGATTATCATGATGAGTTTCAGTGGGGGGTTGGATAATGTTGTGAAGCAGCTTTTCGGATTTGGCGATACCCTAATAGAGGGGTAAGGAGGGATCGTTTGGATAGATAGATATTGTCAGTGTCAGAATTTGTATTGAACAACACGGGCAAAAGTCCGCACTGTTTCTCCACCAACTTCAATTCAACGTTCCCCTAAATTCCTCAAACCCCCAAACTCCCTGAATGTCTCTCTCACAAACAGTTGCTGCATCTCCTGACGCTGAGAACCCCCAAACGACAATACATTGCTAGCATACAAGCAAGCCAACCCTCTTACCTATCAGTGCTTCACAACAAACTGTGCAATTCGCTCCTAAACAAACAGCCCTTCTTCTTGCTTCTCTCTATATCCTCTTCGACGAACAAACCCCCTGGCACCCAATATTAGATATCTTCACGGAGGATTACTGGCAGAGATTTCTTGGAAGAATTCTGCACATATGACGTTTGTGTACATCGTTTCCTGCTGTGGTTGAGATCTTACGCTACGTTAGGTAAAGTGCTAGTAAGGCCTAAAGAAGTTTGCTTGGGGTGGAGATCTGTGGTTTACACATTTCCGCTGTGGTGGATTTCTTGAGTAGGAGTTCGTCATCACGAAGAATGGATGCTAGGGTTTTCAGACATGAACTTGCGGAGCCGGCAAGTCCATGAACTCCAAGACATCCTTGTTGCTGAATGATATGTACCAGTCAATCTGTCCGTTCCACTTTGCCGTCAGCTTTTGCTGGAAATCTATGGAAGGCATTGGGATTACCCAGTCGCTTCGAAGATTCATCTTCATGAGTTTCTTTGGGTGGGTGGCTTTCAGTCACGGTAGAATGTTACATCGTCGTTGATATTTAGGGGCTTGAAAATGTAAGTTTGAGCGTGATTTTCTAGTTATTGAATTTTGTTGAGACGTATGACTAGTACGGATGCCCATTCGGGACTCTAGCCATATATCCAAGAAGTGCCGGGCTCGAATAGAAGTGGTTCTGTGGATGACTTGATGATATCGGGCTGATGGATATTTACAGAGTTTGTTACTCAAAGGGCGTGAAAATTTGATAAGTTCTGATGTCCAACTGTCATAGCAAAATCCGTTAGTATGGCTAAATAAATATCTAAATGTTTGAAGTCAAAAATTTAGTTTGAGCTATTGGCTCTTCAAGAAACCGTGACACCTTCCTTACCTTAAATGAAGTGATCTTGTTCTTCGCTGGCTTGGGAGGAACTCTTTCCATCTGCTCCAGTTTCAGATGCCTCGAAAAATATGGATATCTTTGAACTGAGTCAAAATTGGAGAACAGTTCTTGTATATTTGAAAACAGTAGTCAGTCAACTACTAGAACTGGCGGTCAATATGGCAGCGGTCACTTAAAGTCGAAGAAAATACTCGTTTGTCTTCGAGCTCTTCACAACCTTGGTCTCTGTTACTCCCGCGATATCAGTCCCAATTTTCCCCTCCCCATCTAAGCATTACTAGATTCTTCCAGAAGAGGTATGTTTATGCCAGCTTTGAGACTTTCTCCAATGATTGCTGCAATGCCTATCAATATACAACCAAATCAGCTTGCTTGTTGTAGAAAAACTCTTTTCTTTTCTGCTTTCTCCTCCACATTGCTCTGTTTCTCCAGGAAATCGGTTAAAGTTCTTATTGAATAGGGGCCAGCTTGAGAAGGAAAAGCAGTGAATTAATGACTAGATCTAAGGGGGGGATAGAGGCTCTATATGTAAAGAATGAGGCGGAATATGCTCTTCTGGTCACCTATCTTGGCAGTGTTGTAGCATTATTCAGGCGAGCTGGTAGGCCGGGCTCCGATATTCTGAGGAATCTAGGACACATTTCACGAGAAGACACCAGAGAGCCTACGCACGCTGATTTACCGACTTTTGAATTTGGAGAGTTCGCGTTTAGGTCATGCAACACAATGATAACGCACGAATATCTGGATCTACGCACCTTGAGTTTATCAATCTAGACGTACTATGAGCCGCAGCGCCTAGTTACATTCTAGTTACATTGATACTTTAACGTTTTTTCACTAGACCGGACAAATCATTCAAAACGGTAGAAGTTGCAGCAGCAATCGGCGCAGGAACTGTAGATAATGTGGTCATTTTCAGTTCAAGGAAAGCCTACTGATTAATTTCCAGGTCAGACCATTGATGACGATCGTTTTTGGTAGTCTTGTCAATGACTTCAACAGCAGTGGCACAGTTTTATTCTCACTTGAAATCACTCGTCAATTGCAACTTGTATGTCTCACCAATATCTTGATCAGTCATATCTCCATTTGCCAATCTCGTGTGTGGAAGCCTGTATTTTATCTCCTTATTTGCCCTCAGATTTTAGTATGCCTCGTGGTCTCTATCTCTTTGTAAAAATCGAAATTTCCAAATTTACATTTTTGACCTACTTAACCTATATATTCTCGACAACATTATCAATAGTGGCGACTCGCATATCGCGTAACTTACGTTTGGAATAGCTGCGAGATATCGTAAGCCATGATTAATGGTATTGAGACAAGGTTGCCCGACGGTCGGCAGCTAACGATATTTCTAATGACCCAGGTGAAGAACGGCTTACCCGAAACTCTCAGGATTGCTGCTGTGCAAAGCCTGTTTAAACTTTGCAACAGCGTTTATTATAGCCTTCACACAAAGCTGGAGGTTAACACTGGCCATGTGTATAGCTGTTATTCCTCTTTTTTCCGCGGTTTTTCTTATATCTTGTGTTGAAACTCGGACAGGAGGGTACATCTCTCTGATATTGTCCGACGCAGCTGCATTACTGTAAGAAGTCCTTTCGAGTCTACTTCCCAAGCTCGGATGAAAGTCTTTTTCACGAAAGTGCTAGATTCATTAGCGAGGTGATTGCATCGATGAAAACTATCGCCTCGCTAACTATGGATACAAATGTGTGTGAAAGACTTAATCGGGAGCTGCAAAGCCCCGTGAAAGAAGCCCACAGAAAAGCTGTCATGTTCATGGCACTCTTTGCCTTCTCTCAAATTGCTAGTCTTCTTGGTGAGTTTGAATCATCCATGATGTTTACTTTTGAGACCAAAACAGCCAATGGGAATCCAGAGATGGCGAGCGTCTAATAGTTGACCGAGAGATTAACGGATATAAATTGTTTGTGATATTCCCGGCAGTCTCCGGTATACAGGCTGTTTCTTAGCTCAATGAAACACTAGGTACTTCATCCCATGTCAAGTCTCACACTCTCTAATCACAATAGCAGATATCGTTCATGTACACTCGGCTGCAAACCAAATCTTTATTATGAAAGCGATTTCAACATCCATCCAGTTATCTGACGTATTAGATCTCTCTCGGTCTAATTTCAGTGATACGATACAGTTCGCCATGTCTCGTTCCACTAATCTTCACGCCCGGAGGTTTCTGTTCTACAAAGTTCTTCAAGGTAAAACATGGAGAGAATCTAGGGATCGTAGGAGCGTCTGGCTCCGAAAAGTCCACTGTCATCGCACTGTCGGAGAGGTACTACGACTGGGATCCCACTCAAGGAGAAATTCTTTTGCGAGGTACACTATTGTAACCAAGCGATAGCAAAGCACCCCGCTCTCTCATCTTGTTGGTGTCGCAAGAAAGATGTCTTTACCAAGGTTCTATTCGCGAGAACATTCTTCTAGGAATCCCCCATGGCGAGGCAATAAGTGAAGAATGTATTATTCGCGCATGCAAAGATGCAGACATCCATGAACTTATCACCTACTACCACAGGGAAACGAGACGCACACTCGCAATCGCAGACTCTCTCTTAGCGGTGGGTAGCGGAAGTAGGGTAGCGCATCGCCATCGCAAGAGCGTCGGTACGCGATCCAGCAGTGATGTTGTTAAATGGAGCTACGAGCGCTCTTGATACCCATCATAGTGAACGTCTGTTCAAACTAGCTTTGGAAAATGTAATGAGAGATAGATTAACGATCACCGTTGCACACCGAAGTATGTGATAATACTTTCACTGCCTCTCTGGCCTGAACCATATTCAGCTGCTGGTTGAGTCCCCATTGATTTGAAAGGACCTGTCTAGTTCTCCCCAAAAGCTTACACATGACACATATCATAATACAACCCTTTCTTTCTCTCATATGCCCTAGTTTCCTTTACTTCACCTTGCGAAGAAACCAAAACCTGACTCGCAGATCTAACAGTTGACAATCGGTGCTGGTAGAGCTTGAAACTTAGCTTAATAAACTGTACAGGCTGACAGCAAGGAAATGAGTGCGTGCAGGCACCTTATGTGTTCTTGTTTGCAGATTGCATTCGTTTCTAGCAACTTTGAATGGGTAACGTTTTGAAGAAAACAGATCTTTCACGTCGTTGTGTGGAAACTACTGTACTGAATATCAGCTTTTGAGGAAATAAAGATTATGAACGATCCTGTGGTAATGTGGCCCCGAGGGGATTTAAGTAATCTGTGGTAGAATCTATGGTAGGAGGGTAGAATCTATAGTAATAGGATAGAATCTATACGGTAGTAGTAAGGAAGAAGCTACTCGAGTAGTCATTTAAAGGATACCGTAAACTTTTGAAGAATTAGGTTTCGCTAAGCAGGGATAAATATAGTTTAAAGTTATTCTGACAGGCCTAACTCTCGTATTCCTATTGGCAAGAAGCCTTCACCTGATCAGCAGCTATACTATTTTGAGTCAAAATGTGCGGGATTTTATCCAGTTTTCTCTATGCCAAGAAAAAGAATCCCTGCCTAGTAGCGGAACCGAATTCTTCAAAAGTTTACGATAGATTCCAAGTCGTATGAAAGTAAAATGAATTCAGTTTTTGTGGCATGAGAGTAATCTGTTCTAAACAAAAATATCCAAAACTGTAAACTATGTCGGATGCATCGAATGAGCCTGGGGACCTAGTGGGGAATAGGCATCATTCAAACCCCTTCATTTTGGCGAGCCCCGGTTCATAGCTCTTTACCCAAAACTTTCATTACCGGTGGTATTGCTTCATACCAGAACTAGATTATTTCTTGCGCTCCAATTAACACCCATATCCCTATGCTAAGTTGTAGGGGTACCTCCAAATGGAATTGGTGCGGAAGCATTTTGATGAGACCGGATATTGGCATCTTGAAAAACATCAAAGGAAAAGTTGCAATCAAACCATCAATGCTTTGAAATGAAGACGCAGTTTTCCCCGCCTTTCCGCCGCACGATCCGGATGAATTATCATAGTCAGTATGCGAGGGGGGTAACTGGGTAGACGATCCATCATTATATAAATGCCGCTCCCGCATCATGGCAATATATCTCATCACCAAAAGTATTCTATATCTTCTGTAATCATGGGTGTCAAAAGTCTCTTTCGAGGCCTAGCAGTAGCTTCTGTCTTGGCTCTTAGATTAGCAGATGCTGCTACTTTGACGGTATCGACAACTGGTGGAAACGCATCGAGCCCTCATCTCTATGGTCTTATGTTTGAGGTCAGTATTTCCATTCAGGATATCCAATATTCCGTGCTGCAATCCAAAAATGAGGGATTCTCTATTCTTGAATACAATTTGAATATTCAATTCATTTGGAATGCTCCATTCACTTCGATTACTCGATCTATCGGAGACATCGAAATCTATTCTGAATAGCCGGATATATTCAGACATTTATAACTTTCACATTCAGTCTACCAGTGTGGACTATTGATAACCCTGCTCAAATTGCAAAAAGATGGCATCTTGACTAACCAATTTCTAGGACATCAATCATTCCGGCATGTACCTGAGAACGGCAATTTCCCCACCCGAGAGCTAACGTTAGATAGGTGACGGTGGTATACATGGCCAATTATTACGAAATAATGGATTTCAGGGAGACTATCCGGGATTGACAGCTTATGCTGCAGTTGGTGGCACAACTCTCAGTGTAGACAATGCCAATCCTCTAACTTCAGCGCTTCCACGCTCGTTGAAAGTTACAGTTCCATCCGGAACAACTGGTCAGATTGGTTTTTCCAACGCTGGATATCTCGGCATACCTGTCAATACCGATACTTACGCCAATTACTTCTGGATGAAAGGTACATATTCCGGATCGGTTAAATTATCACTCGTTGGTGCCGCAAGTGGAACAGTATATGCTACCAAGACTATCACTGTCAACAGCGTAGCAACGAAGTTCACCTATTACGAGACTACGTATACATCTACTCAGGCTCCAGATGGAAACAATGTTTGGAAGTTGACATTCGATGGAGCTACAGTCGCTGGTAGCGCTCTGTACTTCGGTCTACCTCAACTTTTCCCTGTGACCTTCCACACGCGGTATGTTGGATACATATTATATAGATGTCGCATTTTGCTAATTCATTGATAGTCATAATGGTATCCGAAATGACGTTGGTAACTTCCTTCAGGAACTCAAGCCCTCTTTCTTCCGCTTCCCGGGCGGAAACAACATGTAAGATAAAAACACGATCAGAAGAATTAAAGATTAAGCTAAAGTCGGACAGGGAAGGATCATCGCCGGAAAATAGATGGAAATGGAATGAAACTATTGGCCCAGTTCAAAATCGACCGGGAAGACAGGGTGATTGGGGTTATCCAAACACAGATGCTTTAGGTATTGATATCCCAGTCGGGGTCTGCAATTGTTTACTAATATTATTCTAGGACTAATGGAGTATCTCCAGTTTATCTCAGATGCAGATATGATACCCGTCTTGGCCGTCTGGTCAGGACTCTCCCTTAATAAAGGCGGTGTGGTTTCCGGGACAGCTCTCACACCTTATGTTAACGATATTCTGGATGAGCTTGCGTTCCTTCTTGGACCTACATCTACTACATTGGGTGCGCTTCGTGAGTCCTATGGACAAGCTGCTCCATACAAAATTTCCTACATCGAGGTTGGTAATGAGGATAATTTAAGCGGCGGTTGCGGCACATACGCCTCTCGATTCACAGCAATTTACAATGCCATCCACGCTGCCTATCCCGACATCACAGTCATCGCCTCAACATCTCAAACATCCTGTCTACCAAAGTCACTCCCATCCGGTGTCTGGACCGATACTCATCACTATGCTTCACCTGCAGGCTTTGTTTCTATGTTCAATGAGTGGGACAATGTACCTCGTAACGGCCCCGGAATCTTGGTTGGAGAATACGCCAACACAGCTGATAATAGCGGCGCCAAAATAACTCACTCGACTATCCAAGGTGCTGTCTCCGAAGCAGTCTACATGATTGGCATGGAGCGCAACTCGGATATTGTAAAAATGGCTTCTTATGCTCCTCTATTTGAACATTTCGACATGACCCAATGGTCACCCGATCTTGCCGGTCTAAATGCCGATCCGGGATCTCTCACTGGAAGCGCAAGTTATTACGTGCAACAGTTATTTTCCATTCATCGCGGAAACACTATTTTGCCCGTCACTTCCAGCGTGGGATTTGGTCCGTTGTACTGGGTTGCTAGTAGTACAATTACTGGCCTCTATTATGTCAAGATTGCCAATTATGGCACTACGAGCCAGAGTGTCACTGTCAAAATCCCGGGAGTGACGGGTGCGAGTGCGAGTGCGAAGTTGGTTACGTTTACGGGGGCGGCGACGGCGAGTAATTATCCATTGGATGTTACTTTGCAGCCGGTTACAAGTAGTGTAACTGGGAGTGCGAGTGCGGGATGGACTTTCAATGTTTCGGGTTATGGTATTGCTGTTATTACTGTGACTACTTAGGTTTGGATTCAAATTTGTGGGTAAGAAATGGGATTGTGGATACAGATGGAAATCCAGTTGACAGGTATTAGTTCATGTATATATATTACTTAGGGAAAACAACATTCACGGTGGGGGAAAAGGCAACCGCAAAAAGCATACACAAACTACAGGTTTATAAAGCCATTTATGGTCTATTGAGTCTACAAGCCCACATATTTATGAATTCACCGTAACCAAAATGTTGCCTTGACGGGTCAACTTGAATTGAGACATTGATAGTTCATTGTACAAATCTAATTGGGTATTATATGCAACTTTTATGTATAAATCAACCGTCTTTTCCTTTTCCAACTATATAGAGAACCACTTCTCATTTCAACTTGATTGTTTTCACCTCAATTGCAACAACATTCAGAGAATATTGTCCGATCCATCTGTACGAAATTCTGCAAACCCCTGGCCTCATTTCTCCAAATTAGACATAGGAAACCACAAATTTTATCGTCCATAAGCCGTATCCAAACGATCCGAGATATATTTGATCCCTGCAGCTCTGAAATAATCCGGTTCCACATACGCCAAATTCGTCACATTGACATCAAAAACGATATTCGTCGGATCATCAAGTGTGTAACTTGGCCAAGATACATTGCTCACTATCACAATATAGTTAGCCTTATCTCCAAATCTCCATTCATAAGTTCCTTCCCCTTCAACACGAACCATCGAAACTGCACCGAAAAAAAAACAGGAAAGCAAAACTCACCACCAGCAACATTGGGATCTCCCCCCACCACAAACCCAATCCACATCCGACTCATCACACGCGCCAAATCCCGCAACTCCCCCTCATCCCCCTCAAAAGGATTCTGAGAAACCGCATTCACGTAGCCCTCTCCCCGCGTATTATCAAAAACAAACGCCACCTCCTGAAAATGCGACGAGCCTATCGACGCACTCACCCCATGTACCAACACATTAAATCGATACGAATAACTGCTTACATTCCATTTCGCCCACATCTGCGATGTCAATCTGCGCTGCGCATGCATTTGAAGATCCCCCCCATAAGCCGCCGCGCGTTTCCACTGCGCACCTAGAGAAGCCTCGCTGGGAGGCGGACGTCCCTTCAGCGTGGCTGGGATACCAATAGCGGGGATGTCGGGATACAAAGCAGCGAGGGTGGCGGTGGTGGTATTATCCAAACCGTTGGATTGTACCATAGCGAGGAATTGCGACGAGGTGTTTATACCTCTAGAGCCGAAAGAAGCTCCCTCGTCGGAATTTAGCCCGGTGAGGAGAGGGACGTGGACGAATTCGCCAGCGCGGAGTTGGGAGGTACCGGATTTGAGAATCAGGTCGTGGTCGATTTGGACGCCCCAGCTTGCGGCTGCAGCTACCGAACTGTTGAACACGGAGCTGAGAAGCTCGGTGGGGACAGTGCGTAGACACGCAAGTGTATCGTTCGTATTGGCACATCCTGCCGCTGCTGTGATGTTGTTATACACTGGTTGCCAAGCTTCAGGCGTACTGTAACGTCTACTCGCAGTAAGCCCCCCACTTTGCGTAATCGCCCCTCTAAACAACCCATCATTTCTCCCCCCATAAGCCACAAGTTGCACGCCGACCCCTGATGCCCCAGCACTCTCTCCCCAAATCGTAACTTCATCCTTAGCACCCCCGAAAAATCCAATATTTTCTTGAATCCAATGAAGCGCCAATCTCTGATCTCGAAACCCTATATTCGCACTCCCTGCATCGAGGATTTCTTGCCCGAATAGAAATCCCCAGCCAGAAAGTCGGTATTGGATACTTACTGCTATCATTGGAGTTTTGGCTTCCACGGATTGTGAGACGATGAATGAGAGATTGTACCGGGGATCTCGGCTTCCTCCTTCTACATTGCCGCCGCCATGAATCCAGACTGCCACTGGTAGTTTTGCATCTGGTGAGAGACCGCTTGGCCGCACGACGTTCAGTGTTAAACAATCCTCTGAGATGATGTTTCCCAGTACCCAATCATCGGAACCATAACCGATGCATTCTGGAGAGTATTCGGTAGCGTTGCGTGGGATGTCCCAAGTGGTGTTCAGGGATTGCGGTGGATTGAAACGGAGAGATCCGACTGGTGGTTGGGCAAAGGGGATACCGAGGAAGACGTCTTCATTGTAGGGTGAGAGGTGGATACCATGATATGTACCGTTTAGAATGCTGACTTTGGGAGAATTGTTGATGGTGCTGGGCTGACTGGTTGCGGTGGCTGTACCGAGTAGCAGTTGTATGGGTAAAGAAAGAAGTAGTGCAGGAGAGATGAGAGTGAACATCTTGAAAATGATGTGCTAATACTAAAATTAGACGAAATGACTTGAGATGCTAGATGACAATAGCTGAAATCGAGTTTTTGTAACAAAAGTTAAGCCAACAAAGATTCTGGAGAAATTGAAGATAATGTTCAGTAGTCCTTCGAATCCCACAGGCCTTAATCTTGAAGAGAATTGTAAATAGTCAAAAGCATCCACTTCAAATGCAACAGGCGACAAGCATGAACATCTAACTATTTTGAAGCCGGAATCCAAAATCAATGCCAATACACATGCATAGAAACAAAACCAAACTAAACAAATATAAGATCAACTAGATCCATGGACATTGGAATAACTTCACTCCTTATATACAATGTGAATGTGAGATCGGATGATATAAGTGTAATGATTGTTGCAGGCAGCAAGTAGCAATTCCACGTGCCACATCCCACTTCTAGACTTTACTTTTACCCCATTTCCCCCGCCTCAGATACCGTACCGGGATAATAATGATAGCTACCCCGCATTTGGCATCCCACTCCCGATCAGCACGCGACGGAGAAGACTTCTTCCCAACCCCGTACGTCTAAAGTTCGGAAGTATAGATCCACAGCTTGGCGATTTGAACACGAAATGAAATTTAGCCTGCCCGAAATTTGACCGGTTTGTAGACGAGTAGACGACGTCATTTCATTTGTAGAGCACTTTAATTTGAGAGCACCATGAGGACTAGTAATGAGTAGAGTGAAAGCAAAAAACGTAGGAAATGCAATAAACAAACACATAAAACCACTTCATGATGCAAATAGACAGCTTTGGCAACAAATTCTCCACCATATAATAAACTTACCTTGACTCAAAATCACAAATAAATTCAGAGCCCCGGGATATCAAAACCAGGAGCCTTGGGCCAATTTCCCAAATGTCCCGGGTCCCCACCAATTCTCACCCACACACCCACACTTGGCACTGGGCCATCGAGGATAAAAACCATACCACCCAGGTGGACATATATGTGGATTTGGCGGTGCAGTAATTGTGCAGGTATTACCAAATCCGCAAATTATCCGAGGGAAAAGTGTTCGTTGACCCATGGAATCACCATGCGTACTTACCACTGAACCTACTCATGTCGCCAGAAAATCCGCAACTCGGGAACTAAGAAAACTGGGTTAATCCCTTGTAGTTTACCAGTATATCCAGGTACGTGCTGGTCTACCCGAGTTGCGGACTTTCTGGCGGTATGAATAGGACCGAAACACTAATATTCGATGTCGAAGTGGTATTTGAGGTTAGTGTAAAAGGTATCCTTTGTGAGTATGACCAATTTGTATTATTGAGGGAGGAAGTGGGACGAGGGAGACCGGAGAGGAGATATGTAGGGGTGGAAACTTCGACGCGGTATTCTTCTGGATGGACATTGTCTTGAGGACCACTGCCGCTTACCATAACTCGTCCGTCTAGAAGCAGTATTGCTTCTGAATGGTAAAGACGCGCGACTGATGTATTTGCCATTATACTCATGCGCGAATTGATGGGTAGACGGGGATCGTATAGAACGGTGTTGAAATTGGGATCTGAGCCGAGTCCGAAGCCGGCAAATCCATGATGTGCTCCATTCATGATGAGAGTTGTGCCATCTGGAAGGGATGCCAGACATGGCATTACGCGACGTGATGGCTAGAAAGTATTGTTAATTAGTGGCTCTGATTTCAACAGAACTAAACATCTTCAACCCAAGGTTATGGGAAATCTTGACAGAAGCTTTATGCTCAACAACAACAATAATCTTTAGAAATATAGTTCAAAGGATTGCACAGTGAAGCATTGCATTGTCCCAAACGAGACTATACAATCCAGTGTAAACTATAATAAATAAAGATATCCTTACGATTCTTTCAATCACCCAAGTAGCATTCTCAGCTTCAGGTTGCATAGAAACACAATTATCAATTGCAAATCCGCCACCAGGAGTCGAACCACCACAGACAAGAACCGAGCGGATCCGTATAAGGGACATGCTGAGGAAGTAATACCATCGCTCCTTCAAGAGGATAGTTTCGTCCACCATTCGGGTCATTTACAGCCCCCGGAATATTAGGTAATGTCTTGATGTGGTCTACCCCATTCGTCAATGCGTCCGATCTATCAATGGGACTACCCCATTCGTCGATATCGACGAGAGGGAACCCTTACCCGAATAGGCCGTCCCGTCGGTTGAATGGGACGTATACACAATATTTGAAACCTAATATCGATAGATGGGACTATCCCATTCGTCGATATCGATATCGAAACAAGATAATTAAAAAAAGAAATAATATACTAATACTAACAAAACAATGAAAGAAAATATCAAAAATATATATTATATATTATCAAAAATTTGTATTTTGTGTATAACCTTACGTCTCATTCAACCGATGGGACGGCCTATTCGGGTATAGTCGTCCATCTCGTCGCTATCGACGAATAGGGTAGATCAGATGGTCTCGAACGTGACTTCATCGAGAATTCGTGCTTCATTATAATATGCCACGAAGATGCCGGATGAAATGACAGCGAGAAATGGGTATAGATTGTTGGGATCTGTACGAGCGAGGAAATCTAGATTGAAAACTGGGGCGCCTGTTGGAGGGAGTAGTTCTAAACTTGGTGAAGCAGGTGCAGTTGGAACCTATTTCGCCGCCCATTACCAGGATTGATCCGTTTGCCTTGAAATGGTATCAGTATATATTATGCAGTGACCTGAAAGGCTTTATACACACCATAATCATTGCGGTAGGGTACCACCGAGCGACAAGAAGACACACTTCGTTGACATTTTCTTGCCAATTATTTGTGCCCCAGACACCGGGAGTTCCATCTGGTCAATATAATCATACACCATAAGTTGATTCAGCAGACCACTAAAACTCCACAAATGTCAGTATCAAATATATTTGAACTAAAACGATAGCGGGAGAAAGTGTGTGACAAGCTGAACTGAAATATTGAAATGGCACAGGAACACAAGGTTATACAACGGTTGTACCACTATTCGTGAATCTTTGAAAAGAATATATATTCTTACACCTCCCACATCAATTTGTCTTCCCACAATATCTGGCAAGATGAGCCCCGCAGAGCAAAACACATCGGTTTTGACATGCATAGGTCTCCATGCCAGGGTAAAATTGTTGATGGCTGAGAGATCTAATTCGTATGCTCCCGTTGGGTTTGGCTCGCCCGTTCCAAATTTCTCGACAAATGTCACTTTGCCCGTAACCATTTGAGATGTCATTAATGGTATACAAACACAGCCTATTCAGAGCAACGAGTATTGGCCCACCTCGGTGCCTAATGGGAATGACCAGTTGTAGAGCGCAGGACCATCCCATGAGTAATATGATAAAAGACTTATCTCCACCGCAGATGGCAGAGGAATTTCCGGAGCAAATAACCTGGCAGTTAGATTCACTAATTAGAGATGCACCATTCGTTTTGATATTTTCTATATCGCCGCAAACTGATATGTGTCAATAGATGACATCTCCCGAGGGACAGATCAATACTTACAGCACTGAGAGCCACACTCAAGGCCGGCTGCATTATATCCAAATGTGTGGCACTGCGAAAGACAATTCGTTGCGGTATTATTTGCACTAATGATCTGATATGGAAAAGTCCTAATCCCTCCTACATTATCTCTAAAAGTTTCCTCTATCAGCCTTGCTTGCGTGAAATCTAAATCTTTTATAAGGCAACTGACTTGAGACATCCTTGATAATTCCAATCACCTTGTAAATCTCTGTTCTGAACAGATGCTGGTTGAGAAGTTTGCACTTTGCCCAAAGAGTAGACAGATAATCGATTCCCCGCGCCACATGTTTCGCTCGAATTGCCACTGCATGGCATGTTACAGTCAGCCGGTGAGGTGGCAAGAGCTCCTCCGTTTTCAATAAAGTTGTCACAAAAACATTCAGAGCTATACTCCATGCCCGCGACTTGGTAGCCAAGACCAACACAGGCCGCTACGCAAGACTCAATAGTGAGATTTTGGTTGTTTGGTTGCTGATATATAAGGATGCGACCTTGTGCTCCATCGATCCAGCAGCCACTATAAACCCATCCACTAGGTAGATCTGTCACAGAGGAGATTGGCGCTGGTGGAGGGTTGGTGGAGCTCAATGTGGTATTGAGCTGGTAGACGGTCAATCTCCCACTAGCACCGCAGAATTCGGAGCTATTTCCTGCACAGGGAAAGCTACAATCTGTATTTGGAGCCGACACAGACCCGGCGGAAAAGACGTTTCCACAATAGCCTTATGCAATTTTCAATTAGTTCAAAGACATAGATGGAATTGGGGATTTGACTAACATTCTCGGCCATACTCTGTTCCAAAATACGTATACCCAATGCAGCTCGCTTCACATAACTCGAGTGTCATATTGTTAGCATCAGAAGCTTTAGAAGCAAATGCTCGCGCACCCGTAGCCTCAGTCTGGCATCCAATATAGGTATATACACCAACCGTCTGTTGAATTGATGAAAGATTCGTGGAAGAAGGTGTTGCTCCTGTCGTGATCGTAGTGGACGGTGCTGTCACAATAGTAGTGTTATTGAAGTCGTATACATCGAGCCTATTTGTGCCACCACAATATTCAGACGAGTTGCCGGCACATAATTGTGCACAACCACTAATACCCTCTGGTGCAAGAGTTCCACCGTTCGATAATTGATTTCCACACCCTAAAGAATAGTTAGATGCGATATACTCATCAGATTGGTATATTTTCGGAAAGTACTTACAGCATTCATCCGCATATTCGACTCCAGCTAATGAGTAACCCCCTGTTTGACATGCCGATGTGCATAATTCGACGGTCATGGTAGAAGCACCACCAGTAGGTGTAACTTGATATGGCAAAAGCCGGCCTCCCTGACCTTCTCTGGGGATTATTAGAGTGGACTGTCGTCACGAGGTAGGCACAGAATACTTACGTGTAGCATCCAGAGAACTTCCAGAGTCCGGACCCAGGGTTAGTTTGAGGCGGGATCTTTCCATTCCAGAACAGACTTAGCCTATTAGGACCACCGCAAAACTCGGTAACATTCCCAGGACATGTCATGCTACAATCTGAAGCTGGCGCAGGTCCAGCTCCAGCTGCAAGACTATTACCACAATCTAAATGACTTTTCAGTACCGAAATATTATGTGCTATTAAAGTAACATACAACATTCTGAAGAATACTCTGTTCCGGCATAATTGAGATTCTTGGAGCTGCAATATGCGATGCAAGACTCGTCGGTCATATTTGCATTGTCAATGTATTCTGCCTCGGATATTGTTCGACCGACGTCTCTAACTCGACATTAGTTTCTCGACCTCAATGAAGGATCAGGTGGGAAAACATGCACGTAACATCCTTGAGAAGTCCAAGTGCCTGGCAGATCTCGAGAGATGAGTAGTCCGTTCTGGAGAGCATGATCAAAGGCAGCAACGAAAGTTGCGAGCTGTTGCACATTAGTAACCGAAGAACCTAAGGTAGGCTTCGGATCCAAACTCACGAATGTTATGAGTAGTGCCATAGAGGGGGTGCTAAATTGATACACAGTCATGGCTGTGAAAATTCCGACTGTCTATATGGAGGCTTTATAGAGTATGTGGGAAAGGATGAGAGTTGCAGTGAGAGGAAGCTCGAGCTTTTCTTATGAGGAGTCCACGTCTGCCATATGAGAAGGTGTCAGAAATGAAATTGGAAAGCAAGCTGAGAGACACAACAAAAACAATTGTACTGCAGGTCTGGCGGGGAAGGTGCCTACTTCCATCTCGAGTGGAAAATTTCTCGAATATCGAATAGAGAAGGCTCTGCCATATGTGCATTTCCATTTCCTCTTTCGTCATCGAACACCCAATCGATGTATGTTGTGCATCTATCATGAGTCGTGACCTCAAGACGCTTTTCGTAGCGCACGACACTTGCTTTTGAGTTACCATTCATATCACAACGCTCGAACGTATTTATGCTGTGTTGAGGGGATTCCATTTTGAGCTGATGACCATGGCTCATTGGTTATCTGCGGGAATATACATGATATTGATAGACATTAGGAAAGTGAAGTCATGTCTACATGTCTACTTCACGATAGAAGTAAGAAGTGGTAATATCACGAGTACCAGTACATAAATACGAACCTACGTCTTAGGGAGGTGCATTAATCACTCTAGGGGTGTGTGGTTATTACATCCGGTAAGGTACGGACTTTCTCACCTCGCATAAGAATATCATTCTCAACAAAATTAAATTATTTCAATTTATGATCTTGTTACCACTTATAATAAACACCCATAAATGTTTACTTTGGACAGGTAACAGGGGAGCAGAGTTTGGAGGTACCAACAGGCCCCGAGCGTTATTAACTCTACCTAGGTACTCTGGAGATAAGTCTTTCATTCGAAGAAATGGTATTCACATTCTGTTTGACTCGTATATGGCCAAGAGACAGATGGAGTTCATTGTGTGCGGCAACTTTCACCCATGAAGGATCGCGATTCTTCCTTGGACACTGAGGTCGACATTGATAAAGGTGTACTCATTGGAAACGTGCAAAGGGTTTTGACTCGGGGGTTTTCTGCGCGATCACAATATGTAGGCAGAAGCTGATGGAGGCTCGCGCTACCCTTTACGTATTTCAGCTCTTCATATACACCGCATGCTGCACCACAAGAATCTATTGCATGGGGTTTTACAACGGGACGCGTTCCGCTGAGACCCTTCGCAAATTGTAGGCAGCGATTGCCAAAATTGCGGCTCGGGTGAGATACTCTGGGAGTACAAGCCCTGTCCTCGATTGAGAATGTTAGCTGAATCTTAAACTCCAGAAGATGCATATCTCAAAGCGTGACCGCTCTCGACGCCGCCAATTTTCTAAACGGATACTTTATAAGTGAGATATTAAAGTAAAGATGGCGTTTGGTATATATGAATATACGTTGAGGTCGAGATGAAAGGAAACCAGACGTGGCCGAGTCATAATACCGAGAACTTTGGTCTAGCTCTCCATCGCCTGATATCAGAAGACAATGCTCCGTATTTCGCAGCCAGGATCACACCTCAAAGCAAGGAACGGCAGGTCAGGTTTCTACATGGCTAAGAATACATTGCTTTTTCGTCTTCAACCATGAAATGTCTTCGGAGACAGTGTTGATTTTACTAACATCAGATGTACTCCCACCCCGAAAGGTAAGTCGTATTGTTTATTGTACTCATTCTAGTTCTAGCACACAATTGCTTCATTTTCTTGGAGTTCTCATGAAAGATATTGTCAAGTGGCAGTAGATAAATGAACATTTTGCATGTTTCAGTGTGAATATTCTGTTCAGCTCTATGGAAAAGGGGCCGTAGATGTTCCCACGAGACTTTTCTTTGAGGCGAATTTACATTGTGGATGTCCGCCGTGTGGGCCACACAAACAGCTCGGGCCGCAGAGCACGAGGCAATAACAAATACCTAGTGGTAAACGGCACGATGCTGATTTACCGTGAAGGGCTCGAGGAAAAAGCTTTTTCCTGAGGTAGTGCAGAATCTCATTTCGTCCCTCATCGACTCTTGCTTGACTTAGTGAAGCTGCACGATTTCTCATCTTATCGTACTACTTTCTTCCCGTGTCGTCATGTTTGAGCTTTTCAAACACATTTACGCCCGTGTATTAAGATCCCAAATGGCCACCTGCTTCAGCTCAGCAATCAGATGAGAATGTGAAGGCTCATGGGCGTGTTCTAGATGCATGTTGTAAATCAATAGGATGCCTACTCTATATATCAAGAGTCTATCGTGTCCGAATTATCACCGTGATATCATCATCAGTCTCGAAATATGAAGATTTTCATCATCATCATCACGGCGATATGTGGACTCGCTGAAGCCTCGCCAGCTGTCACTGTTAGCAGTCCTAGCATCTCTACATCCAAAATCTCATCAGGCACTACTCTTGTGACGTCTACTTCATCAAGTTCTTCACTTAATACTACATCTACATCTTCTTCATCTACCTCTACAACTTCATCAGTCTCAATCACGTGCACATCTACACCCTTGCCTTCCATTCTAGGCTTCACGGCTCTTTTAGACCCGCTCACGTACACCAATATACCAATGAAGAGGACTGCTGTACCTTCAACATGCTCTATCATCCCAACGAGTACCAATTCAACAAGTGTCATCTCAAGTACTACCACAGCTACATCAACTCATAGATGTATCGATGGGCCTTGCGCCGCTCCAACGCCCACATCGTGCTCATTTTATTCGTGTCTTGATGGTGTTATGGGCTGCGGATCGAACGGATATCCGGCAGCTTATGGTCTTTACTACTGCAACAGGTTCATGACTGCCATGGGAAATATGGATGATGCAGGGAAAAAATGTGAGGCCAAATAATTCAGTATCCAGCGTCTAGTCTAACTTTCATTCCTTACCCCTTCAAATGATACAGGATTGAATGAAACAACTGCTGACATAAAAAGGGATAACAAGCACAATGCTTTGCCTTCAAAATTCCCTCCTAAAATTCGGACAAGGTACCTCGATCACATGTGATGCTCTCAAAGATTATGCTTTCGGGACCCATGCGAATTGTTACGTCCAAAATGGAATTTGCGATCTTAGCGCTGCAGACTGGGCGGTTATTGTGGATACTGTAGGATTTTCAAATCTGTGGTCGAGCCTGAATGCAGCAGGTCAGACTCTATCGGCAATGAGGCAATGTGCAAACTTTTTCTTCTGGGCTGCAGGGCGTAATCTTTGGCCAGCAAGTTGCCCGCTTCCGAACCCATTCTGAATATGTTAGCTTATTTGTCTTATCTATCATGTCATCATATTAATGTCGTTGACTTCAAGCGTTTTGATTATCTGCTGTGTTATCGGGCCAATATGTTCTTGAACCTTGACGCCTGCAGTCTGGCAGCAGTTTGATATGGTTTCCTCAGAACTCTCACACCACAATTGAAGAATTGAACATCGCTTTGTTGTAGATTTGCTGCACTACTCAATAAACTTATCGATAATCTTGAAACAGTAATAAGATTACATGACTATCGATGTTGATCATTTCTAATGAGGGTCTAATGGTCACAGTTTACACCATGCTCGCCTGAATATTATCAAGATTTCTATCGCTGTCAGCGTTTTCCAGTGATTACTTCCGCTGATATTCCAAGTATTCTGTAAACGCGGAGTCATCTCTCAGAAGGAAGGACATTGAGAAAGACTACTGTCCATACTATGCAAGTGTTGGAATCGAATTCGCTGCCACAGTTGAACCATGGAAATTGTGGCGTCGATAAGCCAAAAACCTATGCATCAAGTGTGCGTCGAAGAAGCAGCAGCCACCGAGTGGAATACGGTCTGAAAACAAGTATCTCTTGATATTATTGGTATTTGACCAGAAGTTTCACGACCGTAATGTAATGGCTCGAGTAAAAAAAAACATGGTTTGATCATAGTAAGTCTATAAAATGTTAGCTGATTTTTACAAACAAGTTTCTTGATCCCAGTAGCCCTTTTCGGCAACACCTGCATATATGAGAGATGATGGGAGGCGCGGTAATCGTTTAATGTTCCGAGCTTATAACGATTTACCCACTCGCGTGTCGGTCTTCAGACATGGGAACCTGAGAATATCGGTTTTGAACATGGGATGAAAAACGGGTTTTTGTGATTTCTATCGATAAACTTATGCAGGCATTTGCGCCGTTACAGGGGTCCCAGATATCTATCTCGTCGTCTTTAAAATGCGGAGTGGTAAGCTTATTTCTCTACCCCACCTGCTTGAGTGACTCTTAGAGGATGGATGGGAACGACGATTATATAGTTTCATTTCATGCTGGTTTACTGGAGTAATTTTAACTTCACTGCAAGTTATGTGACTCTATTCCGAAAGTTAAATGCCGATCATAACTGACAAATGTTAGAAAGTTTATCCTTTCGAAGTTCTGCATGAAAGCTTTCGATGCTCAATATGCTGAAATTATGGTCCTTCCTCTTGCTGCCGGTGGTTCAGACTGTGAAAGCAGCTATGAGCATTGGAGTATCTAATTCTCAAGCTACGAACCCAGCATCCAATGCTGTTGATGGAAACTCCAGCACATTTTGGCACAGTGAATACAGCCCTGTTCTCATTCCACTTCCATACACAATATACCTTGACACAGGCTCCTCACAACTCCTTAATGGTTTTACATACCTACCACGTCAAGATGGCAAATTGAACGGAAACATTGGAGCATATTCTTTGGCTGTAAGTACAGACAATAAGACATGGACCACGATCGCAACTTCTACTTTCCAAGACGATGCTTCTCTTAAGTCCGTGGGTTTCGCGAGTACACAAGCTCGATATATCCGCTTGAATGCCACTTCCGAAGCAGGAAATCGTGGTAATTGGACTAACGCCGCAGAGTTTGGCTTCTCACTTGCGCCAACCGCTGTTGATGGTCTGGGAGAATGGGGTCCGGTGATAATCATGCCACTCGTCCCTGCTGCAGGCTTCATCGAATACTCAACCGGAAACATCTGGACCTTTTCCGCATATAGTCCTCTTACATTCGGAATTGGAGAATATGGTTATACAATTTCAGCAGTGTATAATCCTACAACTGGCGTCATATCTTCTGCCAATGTCTCTAATACTGAGCATGATATGTTCTGTCCTGGGATGTCATTACTTTTTGATGGAGCAGCGCTAGTGAGCGGAGGCGATACGGCGAATAAGACGAGCATCTATACACCTTCTACCGATCAATGGGTGGCAGGACCAGTTATGCAGATTCCTCGCGGTTATCATTCAACAGCTACAACCTCAGCTGGAAATGTTTTTAATATTGGTGGATCTTGGAGTGGTGGACTTGGAGGAAAGAATGGAGAATTATATGATCCGATTGCCAACACATGGACTTTACTTCCAGGCTGTACAGTCGCACCCATGCTTACTGCTGATGCAGAAGGCGCTTATCGTACTGATAATCATGCTTGGTTGTTTGCATGGAAAAACGGCTCTGTCTTCCAAGCTGGTCCAAGCAAAGCGATGGATTGGTATGGAACAACTGGAACTGGATCTCAGGTAGCCGCAGGACTTCGTACCTCTGACACAGACTCTATGTGTGGAAATGCTGTCATGTATGATGCGGTCAATGGAAAGATTTTTACAGCTGGTGGATCACCAGATTATCAGGACTCGAATGCGACTAACAACATTCATCTCATCACCATCAGCAGCCCTAACGTCGCGCCTACGGTTCAGACTCTCAAATCAATGACATATAAGAGAGCTTTCGCAAATGGCGTTGTTCTTCCAGATGGACACGTCATTGTTATAGGAGGACAACCATATCCTGTTCCATTCACAGACACTGATGCCGTATTAACACCCGAGTTATGGGATCCTACCACGCAAACTTTTACGATTCTTCCTCCTCACACCATACCACGAACATATCACAGTATTGCACTTCTCATGCTCGACGGTAGAGTCTTCGCAGGAGGTGGAGGACTCTGTGGCTCAGATTGCGCCACTAATCACGCAGATGCGCAAATCTACAGCCCGGCCTACCTTTTTAACTCTGACGGAACCCTCGCCACTCGGCCTGTCATCTCTTTATCTACATCGACTATTGCTATCGGGAAAATGGTCACCATCACCACCAGTACTACTGTAACTCATTTTTCCATAACTCGATATGGATCGACGACCCATACGGTGAATACCGATCAAAGGCGCATTGCTCTGACACCCGACACAATAATTGGCAATACATATACCTTGACCATCCCCGCCAACCCTGGAATTGCACTCCCAGGATACTGGATGTTCTGGGCCATGAACTCTGCAGGCGTACCGAGTGTGGCATCTCCTCTCAAAATCACGCTTTGATTGATTGGATAAATGGGCTCGGAACTTTGGAACATGGTAATGCAGATCGATGATATGATGGAACTTGTCTATATAATGAGTAACACAGTATTTAGCATTCATGATTCAAAGATTCTTGCCAGCTTTGATGTTGGTGTTACTCGCGGACCCGCGTATGTACCAACAAAATGGTGTATTAGCATGCATGCAGTAACCATGTCTAGAATAACTAATCAGAATACAGAGTGCTGGCTGACTAACTGTATATCATTGGTCGACCATACCGTCGTTACACAAAATTTAAACCACTAAGGATGAACTGATAAACAATCGTCCTCAGTCGTATAAAACCACCCAATAAGAGCAAGACTGAAGTCCCAAACATAAAAGGTATTTCCCAAATTCCAGATAGCGATATATCTGGAAATGGGTAGGAAACATTTGTGAGATATCAGGTTATACCGGTTGAGGGTATTGAGATTGCTAGTGAAGAGCAGAAGAAAGGTTGTGGGGGGAATTATCTTACGGAAGAAATAATAGAGCTGTTGTGAAGGGGACCGGTGGAATTTAAGTTGGTGGTGCAGATTGCGGAGGAGGGGGATGGTGTGTAATATTATGTGCTTGCTGTGGCATGTCCTGTGACGGATGATGCGACGGTGCAGTGGCCGGGGGAGAGGGAAATCGTGGATTTGGGAATGGTGAGGGTGGAGGGTGTGTTAAGGGATAATGAGATGCAGCAGAAACATATCATTTTTGATCAGATTCGGACTAGGGTGCATGGCGTGGATGTTAGTGGTGATCCGTTGTTGGAGGTTAGGGCTGGGGTTTACTTGATTAGTGGGAAAGAGAGGAGGGCTGTCGAGTATGGAGGTAGTTAGGGTTTGTCTATGCGCAGATGGTTGGAATCTGTGCAAGTAGGCGGTTTCGGCGATCAATATGAAACATGAAGGCTTTGTGACATCACCCTCCTTCTTTCATGACATGGGAATATTTAGTTTCAGCAATATTTGAAATTAGTGTAAGTAGATCCTTCGTCTAATGTAGTTCAGACTAGTTTAGTCCCTACATATCAATAAATATCGTCACCAGCTACAACGAAACATAATAGATACCCAGATCCTAGCGTTTCAATGAAATCCCCACTATCCACCAAATCTCGCACATACAACTCATCAAAAATCTCACCAATACCAGATCTAGCTTCCAATCACTCACTCCTCTTCACCCCATCCATTCCCTCCACCCCTTTTTCCTCGATCCCCACCCCACCCTCCACCGCCGTCAACACAAACATCATCCTGGCCCACCCACCCCCCTCCGTAACATTCCTCCAAGCATGATTCGTGGCCCTCTGCACACAAACATCACCCCTCTTCATCAATCTCTTCTCCCCCCCATCCAACTCTAATTCTATACTTCCCTCCAACACAACCCCATAATCCAAACTAACCGTTTTATGCATGGGACACGCGATGCCGGGCGCGAAATCCACAAAGCGAAGGACGGTTCCCGAGGAGATGGAGAGGCCGGGTGGTGAGGACAGGTCGTGCGTGTAGGAGGCTATATCGATGGGGGTGGTGGATGTAGAGTTGTGTGAAGAGGGGGCGTGCGCGAGAGAAGCGGGGAATTGGTGTGTACTGTAGCCTAGGAAGAAGGACATGTCGTTGTTTTGGATGGGTTGCCATACTGGGTTTGGGGAAATGCCGGGTTCGAGTATGGCTTTGCCATTGCCATCGGTGGTTGTGATGAGGCGTTGTGGGTTTGGAAGACCATTTGGAAGAGTTTCCCGCTGTGGAGTCGACATTTTTGTTGGCCGTAGATGGTTGATGGTTGATTGTTACTGGGCAGATAGTATGAGATGCAATTGAAGTTAATTCAGCGATTGGGAAGATGATTAGACTAAAGCCACTACGGAGAGAGTTCTTATTAAAATACACAAAGATGTTCCGAAGAGCTGTACATGATTGAACTATATTATCGTGCTGCGAATCGAAACTCGGAAGTCCGGAAACTAGCTTAATGCGGGGTAATGCGGGGTACGGAAGTCCCCTAGTTTCCACACTTGCTTTATTTGGCAATGCTTCACACTCCATCACTTTATATGTAGAGAGAGAGTGAGAGTGTAATGTTATCACCATGATCAAGCTTTGCCAAAGACTAAAGAAGTACACCGCAAATAAGTGTTCGGTTTTGTGTAAAAGCTGAATCACGTTGTTTAACTCCAGATGAGTCTATTCTTATTAGACCACCCTGTCCTAACGAATCCCGAAGTTGTAACCAATACGCAAATCCAGCTTAATCAGAGTAATGTTTGTAAGATCTTTGTTGGAATTCAGATTGAAAGCTGGGAGATTAATTCACAAACCACACTGGGAGGATATCACCATCAACCAAGCACCCAACATCGACAACCTTTCATCACCAAAACTCATTCCATAACTTCACGCTTTCCATCACTAATAACCCTCGCATCTCCTACTTTATAACTAACAACTCTAACCTCATTCCTATTCATCACTGCCCTTTAACTATCTCTCTCTCCAGCTCTGACCTGGCCATCCAAATCCAATTATATCATCCAACATTACATCCATACTCCAGAACCGAGCGACCCCCTATTGCACAGAAATCCCGAAATACCAATAATTCCCTCACATTTACCTAAAATTCATCAACGTCAAAATAAGACGACTCTTCACATTTTCCTCAGCCGTCTTAATTTTCACTTTCGTCCAATGCTTAAGCATCTTCGGTATACGTCCCCAAGTATCCGGTTTTGGTTTCCAATTTACCTCATTGGCCATAATACTTGCCCCGTCAATCGAAGTGCAGCCTAAATTGTCTTTCGAAAAACTTTGGACCTAACACAAATTAGGGTGGAATCACGGCCATCACTATTATTTTTCTTCCTTTGTTGAGCAACAGAGAATTGATAATCGCTAAACCTACAATCTTTCTGCCAGCCAAGCTAGAAGATCACTCGAGTTTACGAAATCGACGTTTAAGAATCTAGACGCTTCTGTCATTTCGTTCATGGACCGTAACTTCGAGAAACCTGCAGACTCGAGATGGGAAAGTGGTATCAATGTTGCAAGTTGATTTCAGAATCATGATCCATGGCTCCTCGTTCGAGAAGGAAATCACAATCACTGGATCCGCCAAGATCGAGCTGTGTGCTTGGATCTAGAATTTTCAGATTAGGTAGGCAAATCGTTCGTCTGGCTTAATTGACGTGATGTTTTCTTTCAACATTAACACCAAATCGGCACAAGGGATCTAGATGGGCTTCGCACATTTAAAACATCAACACCGTTACTATCCCAGTCAACCACGACGGCCGGATGATAATATGCATCGGGATGAAAGGGTGTTCCGTTGCAGCAGCGATGGCCTGTACAGACTATATTGACCGACCCTGTTGGCTTATTTGGAAGTAGAAAGATGGAAGCGAAGCTTACACCTTTCCAATTCATCATTTGGACTGCACGAATGAAAAGTACACTACTTATTTGAACTTGTCGATATTGAAAATAAGACTTCAATTGAGATCGTCGTTATTCTGACAGTCACGTTTCCTAAATAACGAGTCGGGGCTGCCAAAAATGTAATGTTTGCAGAGAGCCATATGTACGCATACACGAACACAAACGAAATTAAAAATGCTGTAACGAGGGAAACGTTTGGATGGTTTTGATCGATGAAAATGTTATCATATATTCTTGCGGCACAACAGGAGCCTTGGTTTCAAAAACCGACACCTCACAAGTTCAACCGCAAAATGGTGCATGGAGGCGGGAATCTCGTTGTGTATTCCATTGCCAATTCTTTGTATGCGGTGACCGAAGTGCGATTGGCCGTGAGAATATCATTGATTTTTGAGCACCTGTAGGCAAACATATCCTTTGATTTGACACGTATGATAGCTGGGAGTACCTCAAGCCCTCTAATACTGACCGACAAGGGGCGAAGCGCGAAGAGTGAAAATTGAGAGATCTGGTCCGAATAGGTTCTTATAATATTGCAATGGAAGCAAAGATGTATGCCAGACAGGGCTAAATCGCTCGCACGGCTAACAATAAAAATGGAATGGCGATTAGAGTGATTCGCTAAAAGACCAACCCTTCATGTCACAACATCTAAATGCTGGATTTCAATGACCCGCTAGAGTTTTGAGCTACGCTGTTCGTCTCGTTCTTTGAACGCTCGCTCAATCATTCTCCTCTTTCGCATCTCCATACCAGCTCGTGGCGAGCGTCCATCTACATATCCCATGAAATCATGTGTAGAAAATCCCAGCAATCTCAAAAGTCTCTCTGGAACCTTGTCTAAATCATCCCACCCCATTGCGATTGTCATGTTTTCAAACGTCCGTATCCAAGGTTGACAGTATTGAACTGTAATGCTGCGTCGAACCTTATCTGAATTATTAGCTCCCCCAGAGTGCCAGAGAGTATTCAAAAAGTAGACCATGCTGCCTGCCGGCATTACTACCGGAATCATCTCTTCTCGGGTTGGAATGCGGTCGTCCGACCACAGATGCGACCCGGGAATGACGGTAGTCGCACCATTCTCGGCAGTGAAATCGTCAAATGCGATCATGGTGCCCTGTTCAGGTTGTAAGCCTTTCTTTCCGATTCATTACAACACAGGACGAAGCCCAAGTGTAACATACGATGCCGATCAATGGTCTTGGTCTTGGTAGTGCGATCAATCCATCATCACAATGTATAGACTGTGCAGTCTGGCCTGGATATATCAATACCGTATGCAGACTTGTGATTAGATAATTGGGTTGGAGAAAGTAGTCGTTCAATGCCAAGACCGTGGGGTGTATCGGGAACTGGTCAAATGCTCGGGATTTGTCTGCGAGAGCATATACTCTTCCAGTCTTGAAGCCCTCAAAGCTGTTTCGACCAGCCATTGCTGCGGGTCCAGCATCAAGCGTTTCAAGTCGTGCCACTTCGGAATTTGCTACCTCTATTTGTTCGGGAGTAAATATATTCGGGAGAATAACATAGCCATGCTCGAGGACGTGGTCGATGAGATGCTGTACCGATGGATCCTTCTTTCCCGGCAGAAAGGTCGTCCCTTTTCCGATTTGAATTCGATCCTTAACCCTTGCAGGAAATTCGACCATTGGTTGATTCTTGTCAGACTAAACGTGAATGACATTCATGTTAGCCACGACTGGTAGAGATCAAGAAAATTTGATTAAGGCTGCTCACCATTGTGGTCGTCCTTAATTCTCCGGTACTCTAGGTTTAGCTTGCAGTGTAATGAGGTAGAGAAAGAAGCAAGTTCCTTTGCATAATCAAGCTGACACTGGCTGGTATGTGTATGAAGAGTACAACCTCGGCCAACTAAGTCTTGTGGACCTACCTAGATAGAAAATGAAGTATTTCGGGAATACTGATGTAGTACAAAGTTGATATTGGCCTTGAATGAAAGCTGGGGAAGCACAAATTCGGGTGAAATGAGGGGTGATTAGTCAGCATGTCTCACCACTCAAGTAGATTCCGAACTCGTCACAAACACTACTTATCCGTTTTTCCCGCTATTCCCGCTCACTGTCGACCCGTCGAATTATTATTATATTATTATTATTATTATTATTATTAATAGGCTGCACAATATGTGCTTCCAGCTCCGGCATCTCGCTGGACCCATTACACCTTACTTGAGGTAATTTTCGCAAGCAATACCTATCGCGCGATGCTAGCCGGACTCTGCAACACAATCTACAAGCTTCGACTCCATCATTCTATTGTATCGGTTTCTTTTTCCTTTGCAGTCAAATCCCCGTGCTGGTCCCAGAGAAGACATGTTAAACACTATGGTTTAGATCTGCTATGACTTATGGGACGGGGCTCATCGTTCAAAAACCCTGGCGCCCCCAGCAACTCTTAATATGCCAGTAACTGCAGCGCTTTGCTAGTTGGAAAAGTTATTTGCACTACCTTATGAGCCTGATCAGCCCTTTCCATCAGATTAGCCCATATTTCAATTTCTCAAACGATAACAATCAGTTCAGTCGCCCGTCAAGCTCTTCACTTTCTTTTCGTGCAGCCTCTCTCTCTGCTCCTGCCTCTCCTCAATTTCCGCATTGATATTGACGTGTTTACTCATGAAGCGCCGATACAAATTCCCCATCTTCAGACTCCTCATCGGTTTCTTCCATCGTCCCGTAATCGATGTTCTTAGCTTATCCGTATCAATCGCCAACTCCTCATGGCCGCGCAATACAAAAACTATCGAGTATCGGTAGTGTTTTCCTGCTGGCATCTGTCGCTCATTTCCATTCTCCTCTCCATCTGGCTCGTTCCTTGTCACAGTTTCTGGATGCATATGTACTGAGTGTCCACCAGCAAGATATCTACCGTTACTCAAAAACTCCAATTCCCTCCCCACAAGTACAGTTCCTGCGGCTCTTCCTTCATACGATCGCTCGATCGGGAACGATCTTTTGAAGTCCTTGTCAAACACTTCGAGGCCCGGAACATCGCTGATTGACAGACTTAGCAGACCGAGATCTCGATGTGCTGATAACATTAGTATTTATATGATTTCTCATAGTAGGAGACAATGACATACGCTCACACACCACCTTATTCCCCACCCCATCCATTTCATACCTGAATAATCTGATCATACTCGCCGTTCTCTCACCAAGAAGCTTACTACATGGTTCGGAATATTGTGTTAATGACTCTTTTCTCATCCCCAAACTGCTAGCAACTTCTCCCAATATCTTGTTCAAGACATCCCCAGTGATTTCCCAGAATTCTTTCGTTGCATCCAGTAATTCCGGAGGCGTAGAATTTAGTTCACGTAGAGTAATAAATTCCTTCTCGCCTTCCACACAATTCCACCCTTCTTCAGTGCCCTTTCCAGTAAGAAATCGAGTTTTGTATTCAAGTGGAAGATCGAAGAAAGATCTACTGGCTTGGAGAAGCTTTTGAGACGAGATATGGATGGGGTCCGTGGGGGAAAACGTTAAGGTAGACCATCCTTGATTGGAAAGATGGGGTGCATGAGCGGGAAGGATCAGGGGAAATTTGACTGGTCGAAGTGGAAGTTCAAAGACTTCATTCAAGGGCTGAAATGCGGAGTTCTGGTGGTCTGTCATGCCGCCGGGTTTGGCTTTCTTGATATGGAGTTTCGAGCTGAAAATTGCCGCTATGAAGTGCGCAAGAATTTCCACGTGGGATTTCACCAAGGAATGGAGCTTATTTTTTTGGTGTTGAGACTGACTGCGGAGACGTAACACTCTACTGGTGAGATTCTTGATGTTGATATTGTTATTTTTATTGTTATTGTTATTGATATTTGTGGTTGGAGTTGTTTACTTGAGTGATGATGGATTTGCTGATGCGAGCAGTATGACATGGGCCAGATTGGCTGAGTCAGCAATGATTCTCTACCAGCTTAATTTGGAGTTCCAGGCTTCCCTTTGACGACTTTTGAGACACTCGATAATTCCTTCCAGTCTTCAATTTGCCATTTGTTTCGAAGATGACAGAATTTTCAAGAGAGAATGATCGAAGTGATAAATGTTAGGAAGATTGACAATCTTTGTTTCTCGTCAGGTTGACGAGAATGTGCGATTCTATGCTGTCAAGCCTTTGATTCCCCGAGACTGGGGATTCCAGAATCATGACTTGGGAACAAAGTTCTTTGCCGTTCCCAGCGATCACAACTGAGATATGATGAACTCAGAACGATAGCACAAGTGTGTCAATATGTCTTGATGGATCTCATTATATTACAACTGTTATTGAATCTGAACGTTTTATGTGATCCTGATAAGGGATGTCAGCGATGAGGTATAAGAGGAGCTCAATACCAAGTTTACGGTTGCCACATAACTACTTGACTTCACAAGTGTCTCTGGTAGAGCTATCTATTCTGCCACTCTAATTTCCATCCTTGTCATTGGTTGGACCAGTTTTCTCAATTTCCTTCCTAATTACATACAGGTTGTGTTATTGCATCACGTCTCTCATTATCTCCCGGTTCAAAATCTATGCGTTCACTATTGCAAGCACAGCATGTTGGAGTGGGCTGCGTTCTCAAACCTCATGTTAGGCTCATCAAGAAGGACTCTAGGGCTCCATGCAAATAGGGTAGATTAGCGGCAAAGACCAAAGATCTGGGCTTCGGAGAATGTGCTCCGGGTTGCTACTTGAATAGTGAGGGTCAAAAGCATCCTATCGTCGTCGTTCAAATTGATGGTTCCACCATTTCATATGTTCAGGTACGTCCCACGTGCGTGATAACAAGAGACACACTCTGACATCAGTAGATGACCGCTAAGCAAATGGAATCGGATGAGGAGACAGGAACTCTTTATTCCCCCATCAAACACTACTTCACTACTCCAAAGGAGGATAAAAAATTAAGGAAGCTTGCCTCAACCCCGGTTCGGTCCAACTACTTCCTCCGCGCACTGCAATGGGAAAAAGACACAATTAATAATGTCCGAAACAAGATTTTTGGCCACCCAAACCTCGAGCTAGAAAAATATTCTGAGTTGCGACTCCCCCACGTTTACGAACTACCCCTGAAGAGATTCAAGCCTTTCGGAGGCTCTGAAGCGAGGGCAATTGATCATAGGCTGGATGAAGGATCTTATTATAGACTTATGGACAGACTTGGCTTGGAAGCAAGTCGTTATCCCACCGACGCTGAGTTGTTGGGACTCCCTGAGAAATGTTGCAACACACAAGTCACAAATGCTTCTACGCCACAGCATCATCCTCCACAGAGTCGCGAGATATCCACTGGGACTTTGCCTGATAGTGCAAAAGCCCGTCGTGCAGCCGCAAAACGTGCGAAACGGACGAGACCGATCTCGGCGCCAATCAAGCTGACTGCGTCTATGTGTTTGGAATCCACAGATGATCTTTAATTGGTGAATTCGGGGGAGTCGTTAGAGCCTTAGCCCGAATCAAGTTAGAGGGGTGTATAGTCTGGCTTGAACCGCCAATGAGTAATAAAATGCAGAGTTTCGTTTGATTAGCGTGGGTACTCGTACAATCGTGCGTGTATGGATCATTTCGAAGGGGCTATAGACAGAGACAGAAAAGCTTGGAGAAGGTAAACATATAAAAATCGCGTCTTTGTCAATATGAAACTTAGTTCTCGGCAGGATCTATAATATTTTCCATTCTGCAACTAACTGCCGTTGCCGCCAACTCACATCGTCCTTCATATAGAACTCATACATGACGTACCTTAATTGTCATTTTGCATATCATGATATCGCCGCCCATTTTCAAGCCACTGTTATCTAAAAATCATATCTTAATTAAATTCAAATATAACAAGAAATAGAGAATCAAACAGCCGTCAGAATAAAGTCATTTCTGTTCATGACTACTTTACAAGTATGCTTGGATTTCTAAGTCAGAAAATAAATTTCTTACACATAAGCACTCGATGCCTCCTTCATGAACAATGTCCCGTTACTATTCAAATAAAACCTATGCACATTTGTTATATTACAAAAAATGGGGTTACGTCAGTGAAGATCAGTGTATGCGATTTCCCCTCCTCTCCTGGCGTCTAAAAATCCTTGTACTCTCCCACAGATTTATTGATTTCTCCTAACTTGCCTCCTCCTTGAAGAGAAAGAATAATTGTCAATTTTGAATAATAATACTCATATTTCAATAATTTATCTCTTTTTTCTTTCCCTTTTCTTTCTGAATTCTTTTTGAATCTATACTCTCCTTCAATTTTTCCTTTTCTCCTAACCTACCTAATTATCTTAATTGGACCTATTTTTTCTCTCCTTCGATGAAGGAGAGAAGAGGAGGGGAATCTGTATACGCTGGTGAAGATTGAGTCCTTGGTAATACATTATCTTTCTCGAGGCGAGGTTCTCAAATTTCGACACAAGATGTGAATCAATTTGCATTCCTTTTGTTTCGTCACTGTCGCGGCGTTCAGATTGAAATAACTTTCAGCTAGAATAGTAAGTGGGCAATGAAAGCTAAATTGGATTGCAACACTTTGGAACTAGCTCTGAATGCATAATGATGAAGAGGAAGATGTGGAGTGCGGTTAGAATCTGGCGATCTCGAAGAATCTCGCAATGGAATTGCCATTTCATGACAGTAGCTTTCTTTTTCTCTCCTCTGTCTTTTATTGTTTCGCTCTAGCGTAATTTATGAAAATAAAGGAGATAGGCATCGCCAATATAGAGCAGTGACTAGTGCATACTAATCTAGCTTGATCCATTCTTCCATCTCTCAATCGTTTTAGTATTCGCATGATATCTTTCTCTGGATTTGATCTGATATTGATATACGAATGCATTTATCTCTACTTGAAAGATCAAGAATTAATCTTAACATTAAAGGTTAGATACAACAAATGTTAGAAATAAAAATAGTTCTACATTGGAGATATCTGCTCCCGAAAGTTATTGCCAGTGCCCATCTCATCGATATTCCACACGTCCGAGAGCTAGCTAGCTCTCAGTCTAGATGAGTTTTAGCGAATATGTCTATTCCTTTATATCAAGTTCGATTTCGCTTTAAGTCTGCCCGAAAAAACAGTTGCATAGAACGATAACGGTAACACCGTGGTCTTTACATAGAAGAAGACAAACTATACAGGAGCTACACCAAAACTAGCATATTATTCAAGTCGGCTACAGCCGAGAAGGACATTAAGGAGAGAAATCGGTACACAAATATTCGATGATCATCGGGGGTCTCGCTAAACAAAATAGTCCTCCAAGCATTTTGTGTGGAGAGTACAGTACCTTTCTCCATCGATTTTGACATGCACTTTTCCGACAAAAAAAAACAGTGATCACTCCCCAGGCAGAGTTCCTACTAATACTATGACGTAGCAGAAATACAAGTATATCATTATAATCAAAAACTTGACTATAGATAACAGTATTCAAGTATTCCGAAGATCCCACAGTCCTGCCAAGAGCGATAGCTAACAGTAAACCAATTATCGAAACCGCAGCAATTATAACTTCATATAAATCCCGCGATATCGATGGAATGAACCTCCTTTCTTCTTGTCGTTTCTCTATCTCGTGAATTAGGCGCGAATACCAATCATTCTTCATTCTAATACTATTACTGTAGTAAGCCTATATTCTCTACACCCCTAAAAGCCTCCTTCATTCTGAAGGTTGGTCTGGTCCTCTCGTTGTCACTTTTAACTTGTAATTACTTGTACTGCCAATTTCAATTTTGTGATAATGAGGTAAGATCTTATTATGTCACCGGACTACTGGAGTGTAGCGAGGTAGGTTGTAATTCTTATAAGGCTTGTATTCATGCTGTATAATAAGCGAGTTCTACTCATAGACTAATTTCAGCAATTGATGCATCAGAATATCGTCTGATATGATTAAGGTAAGGTGCCAACCGGGATTTAATACCCTGACTTAATATCCCGTATCGTATTAGATCTGATGGCAAGTTTTCATTATCTATATCTACATCAGTTATTGGCAATGAAGCCTCTGTCATGCCAAATTCGTACCTGAGAAGTATTTCAGCTCCACTTTTCCACTCTCTCAAGTATTAAGGTTATAGGAGAAGATTATGTTTATGATACAAACCTGGAACAAACAAAAATCTGAATTTTAGAAAACTATAGAAACACACCCTCACTCCCTATCTACTCCTCCATCAAATTACTAGTATACAGGAAACTTCCAAAAAATAAAAGAGCAGCAAACTTGAAAGAAACAACACGTTTGAATCTAATCACCTAATCTAATCTAATCTACTGATTGATAAGTACAAGCGCTTGACTTTGCAATTCCCTGATGTAACTTCCCAAGTTACACTTGCATGACTTCTGAATTCCTTAACCAGATATCCATCATATCCCGAATCCCATTCAGTCTCCAGAACTTCTATTCCGTTACTGTACCTAGTACCAGTAGATGAAGTTTCTTTCTTACCCCAAACATATCCATGCAGCCATAGATTCTTTGTATATGCTACTTCATTTCCTTTACCAGTCCTTGATTTTCCACTTTACGAGTAATGACGTTTATGTTGCACACCCATATCCGTATTGAGACCCCCACCTCCACTCCCCTCTCCCTCTCGCATCCACAAGTTGGCACCCATTCGGCCTCGCCAAATGTGGGCACGCATATTTTGCTCTATTCGACGATCTGCTTCCCGTTTCTCTCTTGCTTTTTGAATTTTGGCTTGGACTATTGGGTCGTCCGGATGTTTGTTAATAGAGGTTTAAACATTTTAAGGGCACGAAAAAGGACAGAAGAAAGAAAATAGAGGGGAGATTTAGGAAGAGGAAGACAGAGAAGTAGACTCATCAGTAAGACTTCTAGGCGCTTCATACCGACACATAGTTGCCATTAAATTCCCAGTTTGTTTGTATAGATGCATTTGTTGTTGGATTAATATTTCTCGTTCGTCTGGGATACCGGTTTGAAGGGTATTTGACAAGTTGTTTTCGCTGAATTGAGTATTGGTACGTGGATCTTGAGATTGAGGTTGAGCTTGGTGTGTGATTTGGAGTTGAAGTTGAGCTTGAGCTTGAGCTTGAACGGGAGATATATAATTTCCAGTTACAGTCATGTGCTGGGAACGTTCATTGCTACTTCTGTGAGCGTTTGATCGATGTTGGTGATGATGCTGAGAACTGATTTGAGTATATGGATTTTGAGCATGAGTTTGAGCATGAGTTTGAGCTTGAAACGGAGACGTATGATTTGTGTTCATGTTTTGACAATATCCACCATGTTGGGTAGAACTTTGAGAATCAGATCGAGTACCAGTATCTTGATCTGGATCCAAATCTTGCATTTGAGTCCGAACAATCGCTCCAATCCCCCGACTTATATTCTGTGAACTTCCACCTCTATTTCCACCTCCATTTCCATTTCCATCCTCACAAGAGTCCTGCTGCGAATGGCCCAGAGCACCTAGCGGAAATGGAGTATATGTAATACCACCCGTATCATTCATATCACATATACCATTCACAGCACCCGAATTCGATCCCGAGCCCGCATACCCCCCGTGCGTACCCCTCGAGCCCCCCAATTCAAAACGAACATGTTTAGTGCCTCTTGAGCTGCCTACCGCGTACTGCTGTAATTGTTGATTCTCCATATACAGCCCCATGCTATTTCGATCTTGACTCTAATTCTGACTCTGATTCCAAATTCCGGTAACAATTTCACTCCCATCCTCAACCCCAACCCCATCTCCATTTGCATCCTCCTTTCTATTCCTCGCAAATGCCTCATTCTGATCCATCGTTGACTTTTGAATTTGTGAAATTGACAAATTCGTACTCTTCTTTTACTTGTAATTTGCTAGTGCGATGATACTACCATGTAATTGTACGCGATTATTAGTATTATCGAAAGAAAGAAAGAAAGAAATCTGTATCTGTATCTAGAAAAGATACCTATTACCATACAGTAAAAGAAAGAGAACAAGATGCATTTCTATCAATACCACTTCCACTTCAATGCTTATTAGTGTAACATAGATCTTACTCACACCTACTCGTACTTAGTAGATCACATTAACCTCATTACACAGTACATATGTGTTCGTGAATATAAATTCATGTACTCGTATATATTCTGTGCTTGTGAATGGGAATGGCAATTTGAATGAAAGTGATAATACGATGTTATGATGTGAATTCGTTTCCTTACTAAATTGTCGAAATTGAAACTAGCCTATATAGACTATATGGATTTGATTCACAACCATTAGGTATGAAATGTGTAATATTTTGTATTCCAAATATCGATCAGTATCAAGATTGTCATTTCCTTTCCTTTCCCCTTCCACTCCTCTTCCGTTATTCTCTCAAACCTCCAATCATCCCATCCATCCTCACCCTAAATCTCCACTACACCCTCCATCATCGCACTCAACGGCCCCTTCTTAACCATCAAACTAAGTACCTCAAACAACGCATCCGCCGCCGCCATCGTCGTAAGTTCCGCATTCGTATCATACGCCGGCGCCACCTCGACAATATCCGCCGCGATCAAATTAATTCCCTCTAATCCCCTTAAAATCGTTCTCAGCTCTCTTGTTGACCATCCGCCTGTTTCAGGGGTACCGGTTGCGGGGGCGACTTTTGGACGAGTTAGGTTTGTCTTTATGTTGTTTGTATTGTTGGATGAGGGGAAGACAGGAGGTTATGGGATTGGTATGTTGGGTAAAAGGATAAGGGAGACTTACATGCAGGATCCAAAGTATCGATATCAATCGACAAGTAAACTGGTTTCCCAAGTCCAACTCTCTCGCGAATTTTCTTGATAATGCCTTCTGTGCCAATCGTATCAATTTCCCTCGCTTCTACAATTTCAAACCCACAATATCCATCGTTTTCATAATCGCTGGGTCCGCTCAACGTCGTCCTAATACCTGCGTGAATATTCGTATCATTTGCGAGAAGTCCCTCTTGAGCCGCATGCCAAAAATAAGTACCATGGTTTATGGAAGCGACTTTCGATGGACTTCCTCCGAATACTTTGGGTTTCCAGGTATCGAGATGAGAATCGAAGTGGATGACGGATATGGGACCATATGCACGGTTGATGGAGCGGAGGAGGGGGAGAGTAATGGTGTGGTCTCCGCCTAAGGTGATTACTCGAGGGAGGGTTTTACCGTTTTTGGCCGGTCCAAGTTTTTTGGCGTCAATGGCGGGGGCGCGGGAGAGGATTGAGTTGTGACCTTCTTCGATTTGGTGTAGGGCCCATGAATTATCGTAGCTAAGATAATGATAATATTAGATTCAGTGAAAGGGATATTAAGGGGATGTGATTAAACATACGAGGTGACTGGAATATCTCCACAATCAATAACAGTTGCCCAACTATCGAAAGGGTTTGTAGCTAAAGGAACATTGTATCCTCCACTAAGTTCAATTCCATGTGAGCTTATGAATTTCAAGTGATGATAAACTCGTAGCAATGGTCCGAGGTAAAACATACTAAAGATTGAGCCTACGAGAGCCTTGACGAATTCCATTCGGGCCAAATCGAGCTCCCGGTCGGTACGAAGTCCCGGTGTCGAAAGGAGCCCCTGAGATAGGATTAGCGCACATACATTTTGATAGACAGTAAAAGAGTATACGTCGCCATCGACATACCAATAAATGCAATGTCATATTTCACTTCGTCCGTTGCTAAACATGGAATGTATGGCAATCGACCGAAAGTTGAGATACCCGAGAATACTGAGTCGGCCTAAAATTTCTTCAGTTGACTCTCATCAGTTATTCTCTGATAAACGTACTTGAGTTCCGCCATCTCCTGGTAAAGTGTTATACCACAATACCTTGTGTGGTCCAGCAATTGGAAGTTGACCTTCGTGGCCGCCGTGTGCAAGTGCACTGGCAGTAAGAGCGACGACTGTGATGATATTGGTGAACATGATGAAGATAGGATTGTACAGTTGAAGAGAAAGGAAAAGAAAATGGGCACTTCATAGATAATATCATCTCATATGGATATGCTGTGCTGGCATGGCTTCAATGCATTGTAGATCGAGATATCCATTATTATAGGTCAATTGACCTTGCTTCGGGGTATGATCTTATCCTGTCAATGAATGATAAGACATTGACATGATGGCTATCCGGCCGGCAGTCTTGATTGATAGCAATGGTGAATAATAAATTTATTTTTGATGCATAATGCCTTTGTAATCCCGTTAGGTAAACCGACACTTCATCGAGAGCAAATGATGGGTGGTTAAAGGACAATGGGGGATTCAAAGAGTCTGATGGTCTACCATGAGAATCTGCATGATGCAAAGATAAACAAGTTGGTGTAACCGTGATAGGATGTCCGTAACAGTTCAGGATATGATGAGTTTGTAACAGAATGAGTATGTAAAGGTTCCATTGGATAAAAAAATCTTAAATATGTCGAGGGATTCCATGCAATCATAAAGATCGCAGTATTCAAGCCCGAATGTAAATGTATGCATGCAATCAAATTGTGATATCACGAACTTCTGATAAGAAACTTGGAGCTTTATCAAAAGGAGGGTCAAAAGGAGGGGTATGATACGGATTAGACCCCGGAAAAGCAGCAATCAATCAGCTTGGGGTAGAGTAGCGAGAATAAGGGGATGAATAATCAAGATGGTGAAAGCAGCGATGAGCAAGTGTTAAACCAGCACTAGGAATCTTTGCAGTCTACCTGAGGCTAGACAATGCATCGTCGGTGCCCCTATTGAAATGTCAATTACTCGAGTAGTGAATTGCATTGTACCCACGCAATACTCGAGTATATCTCATGTGTTTGAGGCAGAGAAGAAACAAATAATACATTGATTATTAAAACAAATCAGCAGTAGGGAACGTGTCCGATCGATATGACAATGTACTCGGTAAATGTAATCATAGATAAGTGATAACTGTAAGGAGTATAGGAGTATAAGATCAAGATCAAGATGGAAAGGGCCGGGCTAGACTTCAGCAGGGCAGGAGTGGCAGGTCAACTAGACACATATAGTAGCAGCACTGATATCTATTAAAAGCAGCTTTAAATTATCTCCAAGTGACGTATCCGTAGATCCGTAGAGCTAACTAGGTAGTCAAACACACCGGCTCTCACACCGGAACACGTGGTACGGCTTCCAAAGTAATACGGCTTACTCTCGTTTTCTGGGCCGGGCCTGGCCTTGCTCAGAACAATTACGCCTTGGAAAGTCTGAATCCCTTTCAAGGTTTTGCTGCACTTCGATGGCACTGTCGGTAATTTTAGCTGGAGTAATGGAACCCCCTGATCCCTCTCAGACAGATATAGATATACAGATCTTGCATCTAGTAAGCACCTTCTTAGTAGGTTAGTAGTAGATGATTAGATGAGATGAAGAAAGACAACAAGATGTTGATGATTGAGCTCGAGTATGGTTTGGTTGATCTGAATGGAAAAAGAAAAAGAAAAGAAAAAGATCCTTGTCGTTACTCAAAAACCGGCAGGGAGGGGGTCGAGGGGTTCCCACGAAAAGGAATGGGATTGACTTTAAACTTAAGGGTAAAAGTATGCTCTACTGTACTTAATTAAGTACATATACATATACTCGAGTGTATGTTTACACAATACAAGCCATTTTAATTATCTATCCATCTGTTCCTGTCAATCCAGTAAGTTAGGAAAGTTCAGGTATATTAATTCCTCCTTCCTAACACATAATGTGAATCCTTTGCGTTGGTAAGGAGTATGCATATGGATATTTGAAGATCCTATTCGTCAAATTATATGTATTATCCTTCATGTTTTGTGTATTGGATTTAAATCATGATTCGCTGAATGATTGTTTAAATTAATATATGGGTTGTCTATCAAAGTAAGAGAAAAAGCCAAGTTGTTCCGATATAACGGATCCAATTCCTCGATCGAGTACGAAAGTACATCTGTACCTGTACCGAATTAAGTCATTCTTCCGGATCCAACCAATAAGCTTGACGAAGACCCCCAAACTTATCCTTACCGGAAAACCGATTCAGCAATCCATAAGGATTTGCGACCTAGGTAAGGTATTTCAATTGAGACAACCACTTTTCTTCTTCTTCTTTCCTTTCCTCCTCTGTCATCTGTCTGTCATTGACCAAGGGCAACCACCTAAGAGATACACCACACACCACACACCACACACACCCATACAACCATACACCATACACATACACATACACATACACATACACATACACATACACATACACATACACATACACATACAGTGTCATACACATACACCACACACCACCTACACACCCGCAGCACACCCATTCCTTTTCGCTGCTGTATGTACCTTGATGCCATTAGAAAAGTCTTCTCAGTCTACTGGAGCACGACCTGCAACCTGCAATCTGCAAATCTGCAATCCATATTGATTCGAAACTTCTCAAAAGTGTAGCACTCACTATTCCAATATCCAATAAAAATTCACATATTTGGTTCCCTTCCATCGATGGGACTGATTCGCCACGAATTTACGAATTTCTTTTTATTTCTCTATTCGCCCTTTCTACCTCTATTTTAATTCATCCCACCACCTTCACATTGATAATAACTCTCGTTGCCCAGCCTACCAGTGCCATCTGCCATCTGCCAACTTGCGATACTGCACCAAGCCGATACCACGAGGACAAACTTTCTTTACTCTATGCAGCAGCAGCAGCAACTTACCGATCCTTGTCGCTATCTGAGAATGATGATCTGCTGAAATTAAATCTCGACAATTTTTATAGCATTTCCCCGGATTTTCGTTCAATCTTCAAAAGAGCCCCGTTATTGATTAACTTTATGCTCATAACACAGACAACAAACTGGCTCAGGATGCCGACCCGTGAGCTGGGGAGCTCTTTTGAGGCTTCAAATGGTGCTCAAGGGGTAGGAACAACTTTATTGAAAAGGCATAGGATATTACCTCATCCTATAGAAGGGCGCCCTTCCGGTACATATTCTCAGCCTCGGACTTTGCAATCTCGCGATACTACTGCAGAATCGGCAACAGCGCCCGAACCTAATTCCGATACCGCGAATGCACGCATGTTGAAACATACATCGAAAAGGGTTGGTGCTCCCCTTCTTCCACCAACCCCCCCCAGCACATTCACGACAATCATCTGGCACCAGCAATGTCCTTGCGGTCCCCGCGCCAAATATCGAAGTCGCGTCTGTCAAAGATTCTGTTGTACAATCAACACCAAGTCCATCAACGATTCAGAAAAGTCCACCTACCCCCGATGTAACACCTCCACGCGCAATGCCACCGTCGGCATTTCGTTCAGTATTAGCAAACTCTCGGTATCTCTCTTCGCGAACAGATTCCTTCCGGACAGCGCGAGAAAATCTGTATTCCTCGGACGAGGATGAAACTTCAACAATTCGACCACGAAGACCATCTGCGAGACCATCCGAGGCAGAAGTATTGCAAGTTCCGCGAAAAGAGATTGGGTTAGGCCTGGGTCTGGAATCTGATAATGAGGGCTCTACAACACCAAAAGTAAAAGAAGAATCATCACAGCAGGAATTTGGTGCTTTTGATGGGGAATGGGGCACCTCTCCAGGAGATGTAAGCGAGGTGGAACGAGAATGGGATGATAATCTTATGAGGAATGTGACGGTTCGAAAGCGCCGTGATAGGAATATGATTTTTGACGAAGGAGCCGATGAGGTGGAAGATAGTACAATTTCTCCGACAAAGGCGATAAGAGTTGTGCGAAGGTTGTCTCTACGAGAGAATGAAGAATATCACCGATTGGAGAAAGATATCGTGGAACCGATTTTAAAAAGTGGCACATGGCCTAGAGTAAGGAAGGACACTACACAGTCTCCGATAATGTCAAATACCAGAAGATTCTCTACAATGTCAGGTCGTTCAACGACATCTACAGTTGTCGAAGCTTTCGTCGTCGATGTACCACCTTTGAGATTGAGAACCCTTCGCCATACCAAAAAGCAAATTGGATTGAGAGATTTCAGCTCAAATGATTCAACTTTGGGCTCCGCACCACCATCCGAGAATTCGAGTGAACAATATCATCGTTTAGTGCACAAAGCTGAACGAATTCCTGAACGACATAACGGAAGCTTGATATCGAATACTACCCCGAGCATCACTTCAAGTCATAAATCGCGCCGGCAGGTCATACGCGAGGGCGGAGTACCTGTTGTGGTGATTCCAGATCGCGTTTCATCTGCGAAATCTTCCAAACCTCCATCTCTGCGCTCAACAAGTAGTCGAAGGACTAAGAGGAGCAATTCCCTACAATCAGCTCCATTATCACAATCTTCGAAAACAAATGAGCCCGGATACTTTGATAGTATTCCTCCTATCAGGAAACGCACAACCTCAGAATCTGCAGGATCGAGCAATTCTGTACATACTATCGATTATCCTCCAAGCATTCCGACTCGAAAATCCTCACTTTCTGCTCCAACGAGTCGAAATACTTCAAGGGCAGGTTCATTGACCGCAGAGAGTCTCAAAGCTCACGACATGCTTCAAGAAAAGCAATCACCGACGTTCGGGCCAGTTGAAGTACCAACGCCCGCCGGTTCCGAAAAGGAAACTGAGCCACAAAATGCTCGTTCAAGCATAGATCATGGTCGGCTAAGTATTGATCATCATGACGAACGGCAATTTCATGTCAGACGATCTTCACAAGCTACACCATTTTCACAAGCATCATATGACACAGCTGGCACGGCAGCGACAACCGCTGAAATTTCGCAGGCTATGGCAGTATCGATGATTCCACATCAAAACAAGTCATGGACGGTGATACACAGAGAATCTGAGCCATCGCCTCCTATCTTACGACGATTGATCACGCAACCAACTGTTGAGGTCAATCGTCCGGACTTTTCATTTGTGTTGGAGGAATTCTTTATGACAGGAGGTAAGACTGATAATGGTCCTGCAACTCCCCCGCAAAATCTACATATAATGGATGGGGTAGATTCACCACTTCGAAACCCTCGTGCCCCCCCTGAACCTCCCGCGATTAAATTCATCCCGCCGACACCTTCTGATATGTCACCTGGGGCAGCCGAAGAACGCCAACTAGGTTTTGATTTTGGGACTCAACTGGACGAAGACTATGATGATCGTCCTTCAACTTCAGACCGACTCAAACGAAATTTCTCTCTTCGCCGTGCTTTCAGTAACCGCCGCTACTCGGATGTTATAATACCAGACGCAGGTTTGTTTAAGCGTACGTTCTCACTTGGCGGTCGTCGCAAGGATATTGCAACCCAGACATCAAAACCAGAAGCAAATCCTTCTACACACTATCCATCAGTTCTCGATCAACCTGCTGATGAAAGTAAGCTACACCCGTTCTGGAGACCAGCAAACTTCTGGGATGATCTGGAAGAGAACGATAATGAGTCAGGTGAAGACGAGGAAGATGATTTTCCCGAGTATCACAGTCCCGGGAGCAGACGTATAATACCAAAGCGTGGCCTGAGTGGAAAGCTAAAGCGCACATTTGCGATTCTTCCTTTGTCTTATGGTAACGATGATTATGATCAAGCACCACTAGATCGAAAGACTATGCGAAGGTCTCCTAGTGGCAATGCTTTAAGAGTTGTGAAGCAGAGAAGCAATAACACATTGAGGCGAGAGGCAGATGAAAGAGTTCTTCGTGATGCAAAACCTGGAGAGTTTGGTCATGGTTTCAAAGAGGGCAATGGAGGTCGCATTCACACTATTCCTGGATTGGGCTTGAGAATTGAATATGTGGGGTTGAGAGGATTAGGAAGAAAAATTACTGAAAGAAGAAGAGAGCAGAGAAACGCAAAGTTGCGAGCCACAATCAGTAGACCGAGAGGATTGAGAAATGGAATTGATGATGTTTTGGAACCAAGGAGTCTAGAGTCGACGAATGTTATATGAAGGTGTAGGGGAGGAACTTCTGCAGTTTGAGGATTGTTATACCCGGTGGAATGGATGAATGAATGATTTGATAGATTAGTGCGAGCCAAAATACCGGCACATTGAAAAGATCTTTGGACACGGTGGTACTACTAACGCATATGGATGAAAAAGCAACAAAATCACGGCCGATATATGTATTATGAAGGAACGATATAAATTTCTTTTCCCCCTGCTTTGCTTTGCTTTGGCTTTTCTGCGTGTACTTTTTGTATTTGTTACTTTTCTCTTTATTTGTCTTTGCGATACTTAGCTTTCAGAGATTCTTTTCAACGATGATATGTCAAGCAGGCTTGAATGTTCTACAAGTTGATTGGATTGGTTATGGGATAGATGGATGGATGGATAGATGAATCTTTTAGGATGGGATGGATTCATGGATTGGATGATTGATGATGAATGACTTTCTCTATGCTTTCCGAAAAAATCTACCCTGAAAGTTAAGGTTTCTGGATTGGGTTATGTTTATGCCTAGGTATGGCTTGTTTATGTCTTATTTCTGTTTTAATCATGATGATACAATTTCTTAGCTTGGATCCTTTCAACTTTGCTCGGGGTAGAGACAGATGCAGATGAGGGTCAAGGTGGAGATGGTGCGTTTAGGTATATTGGCTCGACCTGAGTAGGAGCAAGGGGTTATCGTCGTCAATTGAGCGCGTTAAAAGCTTTATGGAGGACGGAAAAGTATGTGGTATACTGAGTGGGGGTGGGAGACTATATTGTCATGAGAGATGTGATGAATGGATGTGCAAACGAAATGTTTTCAAAATTCGAATTCTTAGATTATGATATGAGCGGATGAGGATATACTATAACTCTAATAAACTTTTAATTGAAGCTTGACTTGATCTACCTACCTACAAGGTGAATATGATGAAATCTAAAATCTAAGAGGATCTGAGGCGAAAACGGGACAACGCTAGCCTACTACGCTAGCGGCCGTCCTCCGCAAAATAATTTCTCCACCTCTTCATGATTTTTTTCTGGAAGAGCTTTTCTCTAGATAACGACATACAATACAAATCAAATTGAGTTATTATCTGGACGAAAGGTTCAACGCAGCGAATACAATACGACACGCTTCGAATTGCGGCATATATCGCATTTTATTGGAGGGATAATTGATTGATTGATTGATCGATCGCTCGGAGTCGGCTGGAGCTGAAGGGACTTAAAGAGTTATTTATCTCGTATCATTGATTTCACACCAAACTAAGCCAAGGCACCCAAAACATCAAGAAAATATACCAGGAATCAAACAAATAAACAAAGAAACGAATAGAAGGGAAAGGAGAACGCAAAAATGGTTCAAGGCGCACTCAAATCAAGCAAAAGCGCATTGGCGGGCGGTAATCGAGCGAATGGAGTCGGGAAAAAGTCGGCCTTAGGGCCAAAGAAGGGACAGAGGGTTATCAAGGCGAAAAAGGAGGGGTTGATGAGGAGTGATGTTTTGAGGAAGGTTTGTGGTTTTTTTCTTTGATTTTGGAGGGAAGAGGAAGAGAAGAACGGTCCTCTGACGAGAGAGAAATATGATGACGCACTTACATATGCATGGCTTTCCTAGTGGTCTCCTCTTGCAAGAGAGTTGAGGCTTCTTTGACGATTTTAAGTACCTGTCTGATTTCTACTCGATTGTCGATTACTCGATTTCTCTCATGGATTGGGAGAAGAGGAAGACAATCGCGAGTCTTTGGTCGGATTATATAAAGAATATAATATATGCTAACACCGAATTCTTCCCAAATAGAAACATTCGGCAGGTCTAATAGGAATGACGGAAAAATCACTCGGGGCCAAAGCAGGACATTTGGAGTTGTTGGGCGTGGGCAAGAAGAGTAAGGCGAAGGACGCGAAGAAGGCAGCTGTAGAGGTGAAGGGGAAGGGAAATGCGGGGGCTACGATTCATGGAGGAGAGAAGGGAGGAACGAAGAAGTTCGGTTAGGGGGTGTGTATGTGTGGGAATTGGTATTTGGATGGGGCTTGGGGAATAGGATTATGAAAATGATGAAGTGGCAAGAACAAGAAGAAGTTGGGTTGATATAATGCACACTGATGCGGGAGTTTTGGCTGGCGCTTCCGGTATGGCGTATGGTATGAGGGATGGGAAATGTAGGATGGGAATTAAGACAGGCTCACAGAAGGCTGGTACATGCGAAAGAGTGTCCCAAACTCATATACATACATAGGTATTGGGATTTCACTTCACAACAAATCCAAACGATTTTCATCGGGATGGTCTTCGATTTACTTATTTCTAATTGCTGATCGTACACTCAACAAACCAAAACTCCATGAAAAGTTTCACCCAAACCTACACTACACCCCCTGTTTAAACGCCAATCAAACCTCCTTTTCTTCTAAAATTGGGTAGTACCGTATCATATATCATACATACTGAAGTACTGAGTAGTACGAACCAAATACTTATTCCATACCACATATAAAAATATGTATACACATGTATACGAGATAGAGTACCGGTAAATAAATAAGCTCGACCTTACCTCTCTCTATCCCACACCATAAAACCACACTCATCCATCCCATCATTCCTTGCAAATTATCAGTAGCCTGAGGGTGGAGGTGGACCGTGTCGACTATAACGTGGATCTGTTGGAGGCGGAGGAAAATAGGCATTGGGATTAGGATATGCATTGGGGTTAGGATATGCATTGGGATTGGGATTGGGATTGGGATTGATGGGTACGATCCTATCATGTTCGGCACCTCGAGCGCTGTAGTGGATTTTTGTGTTTGGGGGCAAGGGCGTATTATTACGCATATGCATGTCGCCGGTGTTGGATCTACTGGGGGGGTTATTGTATGGTGGTGCGGTGGGTCGAGGCTCGGTTCTGTTTCTTAATTTCTCTTTTTCTCTCTTCTTCCTCGCTAGCTCCTCTTCTGTGTCTCTCCCCCTGTCCCTGTCCCTTTCCCTCTCCCTGTCTCTCTTCCCCTCTGTCTCTCGTCCGGGTTTTTGACTCGCTTTTATGTAATCTTGTTGAGCTTTTATATCTGCATCTTCTCTCCTTTTTCTTCTTTGATAATCTTCTTCGTTTTTGCGGCGTTCCTTGTTGAGCCGTTTTTTTTCTTGAAGCCGGTCTTCTTCTTCATCTCGCCGTCTACTTTCTTTTTCCTTCCTCTTCCTCTCCGCTCGCTCTGCTGACTCAACATCCACTCCTGACGGTTTGTCGTCGGGAATGTTGTCGTAATCTCTGTGCCGCCGAGGACGATGAGGAATTTTGGCTTCATGCTCCCGGTCGTATGGGTCATTAGTACGTCTGGTTTTACCTTCTGGTCGCCGTTCGGTGCTTCCAGTTCGTACTCGGGATTTATCACGAGTCTTTGGTAGGTCAACAGGTGAGCGGGGTCTCGGCGTTCTACTTCGGCGCCTGTGCCTTTGGTCTGGAGAAGGGCTTCGTTTACGTCTTTCCCTTCGTTCAGGTTCTTTGGCATGCTCTTTTAACCATTTCTCCCATTGAGATAGGAACATGTTTCGCTCCCCTCCTGGCGCAGATGGATCCAATACCGGTGCCCATAATTCGTTTCGGACAGGGTCCATGAACCACTGATGAAGTCTTTGGGCTTCTGGGCTGTCGGGTGGGTGCAATTCGCGGATCTTCCAAGGCTTGGTTGTCGTTTTAGCTTTGGGTGGGGCTTCTTTCGTGGCACGTGGCTTTTCCCGCGCTTTGAGTTCTGCGGCTTTATCATCAAGTTTTTGCTGGGCAGCTTGCGCTTCCTGGTCATGTATCTTTTGTTTCGGGTTCGGGGGAAGCCTTAAGCCGGGGATACTTCCTCCCATAGAGAATTTCTCACCTTTTGGGGGGGCATTCGATGTAGAATTCTGTGAATTTTCTTTGGACTTGAGTTCAGCGGCCTTTTTGGCAGCTTCTGCTTCACGCTTCTTTGCTTCGGGATTGGGGGGTGGCTTCAAATCAGGGATACTTCCTCCCGTGGAGAATTTTTCGGGTTTCTTGAGTGCATTCTGTTGATCTTCTTTGGCTTTGATTTCGGCGGTTTTCTTTTCACGTTCCAGGTCGGCAGCCTTTTTCTCAAGTCTCCTTTTTTCGGGGTCGAGAGGAGGCTTTATATTCAGACTCCCTCCTAGAGAGAATCCTTCTTTCTTACTCGCCATGATGATAGAAGATCCAACAATACCTTGATGCTCGTGTTATATTGAGGAATGTTATAGTGCAATAGAGTTGGTATATAAAATGTATAGTAAAGACGTTTCGTTTCGTAAACATGAGAAGAATGAAGCTTCAAATTTTGCTGCGATCATGATTTAAATATAGATGGCTAGATAATTGCAACATACCAACATACCAACACTGGCTCCCCCTTAGGTAAAGACTTGAGGTCTAAATTTGCTGCGACCATGGTCGAGATACACATGGCTAGGTATTTGCTGAAGTACCAACATAGGGGCGACTAGCCTCTCGAAATCAATCTTCAAGGTGTAATGATGATTCCATGCTAATAATAATTTTCCAGTTTGTACTTGAAAGCGAGGGATTCGTGCTGCCTATGCATGCAGAGTGGCGATTTGAGGCCATGACCGTTGCTTCCTGAACTTTATTGCCCGCCATCTAGGTACCTACCCATCCTATGAAACTTGATCATAATACGAGAGATGATTAAATAGCCACCGGGGATTCCAACAACGTCTGTTTTAGGATAGATATCGTCTCTGTTGCTATTAAAAGATATTTGGTCTTTGAAATTAACGGTCAGTCGTGCTAGTGTTCGTGGGAGTGAATATTGAGGCTCAGATTGCCTTGCGGATTTGCTGACGTTTGTTGGAGGTTAGTGCGAAGCTTAGGTAATCTCACAAGCTAACTGTCACGGTCCTTCGTGTATAATTGTTTATCTTCACTGTTCTACTCGAGTATGATCCATTGATATCTTGTTTCTCATATAAATATTTTTGATATGATCTCTCATCACTACATCATAAGTTCAAGAGTAAGATTACAATTTGCCAAAATTCCTGTGCCAACATACTGTACAATAAACAGAGACTGACGGAGTTGCTTCTCCGTTGTTTGAGCTGAAAGCTAAACATCTTTTGATGCACCTTTAATTTGGCATACCGGTATCTTAATCTCTGTCATATGTAGGAAAATCTAAACTGTCGTTAGAAAGGTGGGAATCATCAGATCCAGCTATTCTCCATCATGTTTGCACGATGTTTAGACGCTTGAGAAGGTCTCATGAAATGGGTCGTCGTATCCCTAAACCGCTAAAGCGGTAACCTTACCGCCAGAAATTCGAAGCCAGATTACGAGGCAAACAACAGAATCTCATGATCGATGGTTAAACAAAACTAATTGGTATACTGTCAATCAAATCGAGTTCCGGGAATTTTTGGATATCTCTTGCGATCGTGTCACTCCAGAGCATCTTCGTGTGGTGACCGAAGAAAAGCATGCCATTCTCAAAAAGTTTATGGCTGAGAATGATGGTCGAGAAAAGTCGGCCTTGAAGCTTCTGCAAAGATTGGAGATACCGACACCAGATGTCACGAAGAACTATGAGTTGACACCAACTTTATTGGATGGTTTTACCTTTCGTCTTGCCAGCGATAATCTTGCAAAGTTTTATCTAGTTGTTAGCTATTGCTGGTCGCCTACATATGAACCAATTCGTGGACAGAAGATAATTCTCTGCTATCCGGATGAAACAGGTCCCGGATCTTCTCCTAAACTCCCCTTTTCTCCCATACTCTCGGAGAGAAGTGTTTTCCAATATCTCCATTTCATCCTCACCGATACACCTTTGATATACCTTCTAATCCTTCTCATTCCATCGCGGAATTGTACCAATCTCCCAGATATCTATCTTAGTACCTCTCGCAAGATAATTCGTATACTAACAGTGTTTAGCTTTAGTCTTGATCCCACTCATACGCTTGTCCCGGATTCGAATATCATATCTGGCGTCCTCGCAAGCATCGCGGCATTTGTATTTGCGGAAATGTGGGAGAAAGCGTCGCTTGTGTATTGTACTGTGGGATTGATTGGATGCTCGATGTGGCATTTGAATGCAAATTTCTTCCGAATGAGAGGGAGCAGGTTTGGAGAGCGGAGGTCGTGGGATGGCTTAAGCAGCATGGGAAGTAGAATGGGTTTGAGTAACTCATAGGGGATGAGGAAGGCAGTATGCAATATATGGAGAGCATGGCAGAATTGAAGGCGGTTGATGCGATACCCAAAGTCACAAACTGGATGGTTTCGTAGGGATATTCGACACAGACACCTGGGATGGGAGATGTGCCTGAACATAAATTGGAACCAAGTATCTGGAAATGAGGAGAATACAAGAACAGTATCATATTTTCTGGTTAGTCAAAAGTTATTGCTGTTCCGTGTTCCGTGTTTGTTTGTTGAGTGATGGATATGAGAGGTTGGCTAGAGGTTGGATTTTGTATAGTAAGGAGAGAGGGTAGAAGTACTATAATATTAAATGGAAGACGAGAATGTTTACTAATATCTCGATCAAAAATGAGGCGGAGAGTGGGCGGGGCAGAATCGAAGGGACAAAGTTTTATGGGTCACAGTAACTTCTTTTTGATAGTATTGTTTGTCGGCTGGATGTAAGAAGTATTAACTTGGGTTAAAAATTAAAGCCGTCTCAGATATATTATACTTCCCCATCTTTGGGTCTTGAATTTCGAGCAAAGCAATCAAGTATTCATTATCTATTGAAGAATTTACTAAATTACACACAACGCTGATTTCTACAGTTTGAATAAATAGTTTGCTTAACTACTAAAAGTTTTATTCATAGTAATGGATACTAAATTTGATATTATATTTCAATAAAAGAACATTCTGAAAGTCGCATCCTAGGTGCTAGATGATGTGCTTGTGCTCTAATCTTATTCGCCTAGTTTCGTCTAGTCACGGTCACGGTGCTTGTGGCTCAGTGTTCGTATAGTTTAGTATATACTATAGAACTGGCTAAAAGGTATCTGATTGCAAACGAAAAATCAGGCTATTCATAGATATACGAACTTAGTATTATGATCACCAATTTGTTCTTCCTGATATGTTAGCTCATTCTAGATCTTGTAGGTGATTCTCTTAACAATTTCGCGTCACGCCTTCTTTTCGGCAATGTCGTGTGTCACAGTAGTAAATTGATAAAGTACCAAGAATATCCCTCATCTATTATGTATGATAGCAACTCTCAAAGTCGGTAAAGAATATTAGAATTTTTGGATATTAAATACCCCAAAAACGTCAACTTCAAAAACGTAGTATTCCCCCAGAATGCACAAGGATTTCTCCCTATCATAGTCCCCTCCCGAAAACTCCCACTATTCTATACCTCTTCTTATTATTTTTCTTATTACCATTGCCTGTTCTCGTATTTGGCTTTTATTCGATACTTCTTCTTTTCCTTATTTCCTCATTCCCAAGCTTTCTTGCGTCTGCTCCAGCTGTAGTTGTGATGACCTGACCCCGAATACACATCACGAGTATTTCTAGCTTGCATTACAGGAGCTGTCAAACAAGAAGCACTCTCTGAATTACCACTATAACGTCCATGATTACAAACCGGTATCGGAGTTCGAGTGCTGCATCAATGCGTCGACTTTCTCTCCCAGTAGTGGGATTGGCAGCAACGGGCTTCGCTCTTCGAGGGAGATAAATCGGAAATCCGTTGGTAGTAAGTAGTCCTTCGGGAATCTGTTAGAATCTTTTTCCTTTAGATTCGGACCTTGAAAAATGTCTTGGTGAAAGGTATAATGGTAGGGTTCGGGCTTGAAATCGAGGCTAGGTCGGAAAGCCATGGCTGACAGACTTGCTAATATCTCCGATGCTAATATATCTGGAGTTAACTGTAAACTCCTTAGATCTCTATGGATCCCTGTAGATCTCTATAGATCTATAGTTTAAATCTATAAGAGCCTATAAAAGTAATGGTTCGATATCGTATATCAGCAGCTCCTAGCATATGAAATGGTAGCAGTGTGCTGTATTCATGAGGCCCAATTGGCCCAATTATAAGCAAACATTTCAACAAGAAAACAATAATTTTTTGCTAAAGACCTCTAATGTTCTTGAAGCAGTCATCGAATGATCTAGGATGTTGATATCTGTACGTAGTGATTCAGTGATCTTCGATGGATTCCATCTAACATTTGGCACGGCGGGTACGAGTCGATCGCAGCCTGGTGTATCGTCTGAGTCTAGCTAGGATAGGAAAGCTATCTGTTTAACATAATACACATCGGCTAAGTCTTTGCTATACTCACATCATTCTTACTGATCCTCCATCAGCCTTTCTATGTCCAAAGTATACTGCATGAGGAGCCAGATTACCCCAGAACTGCCTTCGTGATCCCGAATCTTCATATCGAAACGGCCTTATCAGGAATGGAGGAAAGGAGATATACCAGGGTGTAAACTGCCTACCATCAACGAGACTAGACCTAGTTCACGGTGTGGAATATGTGGGATTTATTGAAGTATCTTTTATGTAGGGGGCAGAAGTTCAACTTTGAGCATACCAGATTTGAACTTCAGGAAGTTTAGTAACTAGATATAAGTATATTTATTCACTGATTAATCTGAACTCACTCTTTTTCACCTCACTCCAATTTTGCCCATGCTTGCTTTCCTTGTCTCTTAAACCATTCAGCCATGATGTCTCCTACATTTCGCTCTTTGGGATTCATTTTGTTCATTATGTGGGCACTCGTATCTACTGCAGTTGCGGTAGTGACTAATAATACGACAACGAGCCTACCTACTGTTGACCTTGGTTACTCTATCCACCAAGCAACTTTGAATGTACGTTTTCTGTTCCTAGCTTTACTTGACTGGGTGTTTGCTCGAAGTCCGGGATGCCGGATGCCGGATGACTTCCTTCTCTCGCAATCCCCTTATGATAATTAATTCTCTTCATGCGAACAGTATTCCAGCCAGTACCCTTATATCAATTTCTCAAACATACGATATGGACAGGCACCTATCGGTAGTCTTAGATTTGCTGCACCTGTCCCACCTATAGGTCGCAATATCACCATAAACAATGGTCAACACGATTCTATCTGCCCACAAGCCACGCCAGGTATTGTCACAAGCCAGATATTCTTCATTGCTCAGCTAATTATGTATAGCTTGGATGTTGACTGCCGAAATCTTCGTGGACGATTATTTGTCTGGTCAGAATGTCAGCAATTTCACGAATCCGCCACATGAGATGGTTGCAAGACGTACGGCTCTGTCGGTTGATCCACGTTCAAGTGAAGATTGTCTGTTTCTTGATGTTATAGTGCCACAGAAAATATTTAGTGCAACCAAAACCTCAGAGATTGTGGCAAAAAATGCAGGTCAGGCATAGAATTTGCTTAATTAAAACCATCTCCCCTAGCTAATCTAGATATCGATCTCAGGAAATGAGACAGGTGCACCTGTTCTGGTCTGGATTTATGGAGGTGGGTATGCCACTGGCAGTAAGACATCGACTGGAAACCCTGCTGGCCTCATATCGGCTAGTCTAGCAAATGAGAAAGAAGGGGTGGTCTATGTCGCCATGAACTATAGGCTTGGACTATTCGTATGTTGCAGATTCCAACATCCAAGACTTTCTTGTAAATTTTCTAACAACCAATAGGGATGGCTCGCCGGAGATTCAGATGTCATAGCAAATGCAGGCTTATTAGATCAACGACTTGCACTTGAATGGGTTCAAACCCACATCTATCTATTTGGTGGGGATCCTAAACGAGTTACTGTTATGGGAGAGTCGGCTGGTGGTGGATCAATCTTACACCATATCACAGCCTACGGCGGTACCAAGGGCCGCACTCCATTTCAGCAAGCAATCCCACAGAGTCCGGCCTTTATTCCCATCGTTCCGTCTCAAGCAAAAGCTTCTTTCCATGACGTAATTGGGAATGCATCATTGCTCTCGAACACTACCGTTACAACTGCAAGCCAACTGAGAACTTTACCCTACGAAATACTTTCGGGTGTTAATACCATGATGATTGGTAAATCCAGCTACGGACAGTTCACTTTCGGGCCAGTCGTGGATGGATCATACGTTCCAGACTTTCCACCACGACTATTGACCCAAGGAGCTTTTGACCACAATATTGGCATCTTAGTAGGCCACAATTCCGACGAAGGCTTGCTTCTTACCAATCCTGCAGTTCAAACTCAGCCCGAGTTTGTTTCCACGTTCGAACAAGCCTTGCCATCAGCCAACGCATCAGTCATCTTTCATTTGACAAATATACTCTACCCACCCATTTATGACGGTAGCTATGGCTACACATCACCTATCGGACGACTCGCTCTATCGATCTCTCACCTCACAATAACATGCAATGCCTACTCTCTTGCCTCCACATTCTCAAAGATATCGCCAAAAGGATTCAATCCATCATCACCCTCCTCCTCCTACGCATATCTCTTCTCCGTCCCCCCAGGGACCCATGGCATAGATGTTCCGTACACATTCTTCAACGGCGATACCACCGACAGTCCTTCTGGGGGAGGACCTCCAGTAATAGCAAGTCTTGCGACTTTGTTCCAACATTTTCTAATTGATTTCGTGATCTCGGGGAATCCATCTTCTGATGGGACGTTTGAGAGGTATTCTAAGAATCAGACGGTGACGGATATTGATATCACCGGACTTACACTTGTTAAGGACCCGGCGTCTGATTCTAGGTGCGATTATTGGCTTAGATTCCCGTATTATAGTGAGTGATGGGGGATGAGAAACTGATATTCAAGCGATCTTAAACCGTGTACATCGGCGATGACTTTTCTACCCGCCTGGGATTGATTAGGTCATAAATTTTGATAGTTCTTTCGAAATCATCCAAAAGTGGTTTCATCTGCTTTTCAATTTCTTATGGCATCGATACTGAATCATCAACCAAATCATCCGACATATGACTGAGTCATACATATCCACCTTACCATAAATGCTTCCAAGTTTTTCCATCAAGAAATACAATCCTTCTTGTCAACCTCTTTCATTCCTTCCCCCTTCCCAAGACTTTCGATTACGAAGTCAAAGCATTGTCTGCCCCATTCTGTTTGCAATAATATGTAATCTACCAGCACAAATTAGTTCATGTTCTTAAAAGCTCTCATTTCCTTCCTATTGTTTGCAAGATAAAAATGCGTTCGAAACTCACCTCGTCACCACCCATGTGTTCTGCAGGTGAGCTACAATGGGGAATACCAGTTGTAATCATTACGCAATCAGGACATGTATCCCACTGCTCGGAGCCCGTGTTTCTGTTGAAGTAATTTGTGCAGGAGGCGATTGTCGCTTTGGAGTTGTATACGCCCTGAGTAGTCGGTTAGCATTGATAGAGGAGGAAAAGAGAGTTTGCGTGGAAAGGATGGAAACAGAGAGGTCAGAAATGTAAAAGGGAATAGCGAGTGCTGAGGGAATGTAGGAGGAGATAAGGAAAAGGGAGGGCATACATCTCCTGAGGATGAGTCATTTATGCAGATAGCAGTTGTGTGGAGGTCAGCCACTGACAAGCTGGCGAGGGCGAGAAGAACGATGGTCTTGAGTAGTGTGGAAGACATATTGACTGTAGAAATTTGTGAAGGATGAGTGTGTGGGATAGAAGTAAGAATCGAGGATCTAATTTTACACTATAGACTATTGATGAACTGATGAGTGATGGAATAGAAGAAAATGGAAGGAAGATCTTGTTAAAAGAGTGTGGAATATATACATACAGCAAAACCTCGATATAAGATATCACCGACAAATCTCCGACTAGTCCCGACAAGATAGTATTATACCTATATCCCAATCATATAAGCCAAATTCTTATCACGTGAATCTATATCTTGATTATATAAGCCTAGATTTTCATCTTATAGGCCTAAATCCTTATCATGTAAACTCAAATCCCTAAGATCCATCATTATTCAAAGAAAATGATTGGCTAATTAAGGATATACAGGGATTCTGGGACCTTGAAAACCTATATCCTTATAAAGAGGTTATCCTTATATACCCCTGTTTTCATACTTCAAAAAATTTCGGGCTTTTAAAACAATCCTTAAAACCAAGGTTATCCTTACATCGAATATCCTTACATCGAGGTTTCAGGTACAACTAGAGATACACAGATATTGGCGGCTAAATAAATTTGGGACAACTTCGGCGGGGTAATCCCGAAATGACTAAAATTGCTCTGTAGTGCGCACTGTCATGTCCCGACCCGAAGGCTTGGGGTCGCATGTACTTGATACCACTTTGCGCATGATGTAACTGTGATTGCGTTTTCCTATCGATATTGACATTGGCGGAGAGCGTTAACTTTCATTGATTGGGTAGCCACTTAGCCGAATCGAGACACCGCCTATTAAAGGGGAAAGAGATCGCTCTCGATTATTTCTGCACTCGGTAATTTCAAAGAAGGACCTACGTTTCATCGCAAACTTTAATTGATTAGATAAGGCTACCAAGAGAAATGAATGTTATCTCCCCCACGTACTAGGATCACCGTGGACCCTAAAACGGTGAAAAGAGAAGATCACGCTTCTTTCGATTGCTGCCGTACTCATGCCGCCAGAAAGTCCGCAACTCGGGTATACAAGGGACTAACCTAGTTCTTTTTAGTTCCCGAGTTGCGGACATTCTGGCGACATGAGTGTAATTGCCATATTATGCGTTCATCTCAATATGAACTTGGCATTATGTTTATTATTCGGATGACTCTTGGCGAAAGTTTATCAGGACCCAAAACAAACCTCATTGGTGTAGGTGGTGAGCATTTTGATAATGAGTGGTGATCATCTGAGGATTCCAGGATACAGTAGAATAACTCATTCTTGGGTATTCATCCCAACCTTGAGAAGTAGAAGATTGTCCAAGTGGATTAGGATAATCCAAAGAATAAATTGTCTTGGGGAGAAGTTCGGGATACCCTTCCAGTGAAGAAGTATATGAAGTCTGTAAGTTCTCATCAAAAACTTTCAAATACCATCCAGCCTCAGTCTTTCTCTCAGTCACTCTTTCCACCTCATTGAATATTCTCAATTCCACGATCATTTCGCAAGAACCTGAAAATGTTTATCAAATCTCTCCTTTCCAGCCTCTTGCTGAGCTCCACCATCGTCGGAGCAGCATCAATTCCACGAACCTTAGACAGTTCCAAGCTCATTCTCTTGGGCCTAAATGGCCGAACAGAGGTTGTCGACAAGGCCGGATTCTGGGCACACCACCATGCCAACAATACCCAAGCACCTGGCCGTCTTCCAGCGTACAATGAAACCTCAAACTTCAACCGATCATCCCCGGTGTCCAAACGTGATTGCAAGTCTCACTCCGTCATCACTGAAAACCCCGACACGACCTTTGTGAACTGGGATGTCGCCATGTCCTCGGTCGTTAAAGCGGGAGAAACTACTTCCACTGTCGCTGTCACCGAAGGATATACGATCGCAAACTCTCTCGCCGTCTCTGCTACTGCGGCTGCAACACTTGTCAAAGATTTCCTCACCGTCACTTATGGTATTACCTATACAGAATCGTGGACTTCGACCTTTACCGCTGCCTATACATACACAGTCCCTGCCGGAAAATATGCAGTTGTAGTTTCAAATCCTTATACCACGAGAAAATCTGGTCATGTTGATATTGGATGCATTGGTACGGCGACGGAGACAGCTACCTATCAAGCTGATAGCTATCAAAGTAAGGCTTTTGGAGGATTAAGCTGGGTTCTTGGCACGATCAGTCTTTGCACTGGAGACAGCTACCCAGTTCACGCCTGCGTTGGCAGTGATCTTCTCTATTAGGAAGGAAACGTAATATCTGGATTGGAAAGGTGTTTGAACACTAAGGACTCCGGGGGGCTGTTAACAAGTTTCTGTGTATATATGATTTAGATGGAAGAGAAGAACCTGCCCAATTGGTACCAACAATATAGTTAGGATAATTCAAGACTTAATGAAGGACAAAAAATACAGTGTCAAGTTTCAACGATCGTATAATCGTACAATCTTCTCCTCAACACATCCAGAATAGTATAACTTTGTAAAATTCATTCTAAGGTATGATTGTGAGATCCAGCTTGAAATGGGCCAAGCACAATTCGCGCAATTAGAATGTCGCACCATTAAGTATTGTCCAGATATTTGAAAGAAAAGTAGTATAGAAGATTACCATGAATCCAGTAATCCCAACTCTGTGGGGACTCATATATGAACTTACAACCACCAACTCCATGCCTACATACACTATAAACACCAGTTTACTTACTCCTAAATACCCAAATCTTGATCATGAAAAATGCAATCCTTCCTCGTTAAAAGCGAATAGCAATCTGAGAAAATCATTCTCATCGCATTTTCCGGCACGCGTATCCGCCAACTCAGTTACATCTTCCAGAACTTTGCGTATTTTCTCTCGGACAAGTTCTGCCACTCGGGTTTTGGGTACTTTGCTTTTGGTTTGAGGCTTGTTGGTTCCTTTGAGTTCCTGGAAGAAGGAGGGCATTTCAGTCTCGCCTCCATTCTCGTTTCCGTCCTCGTCTCCATCCTCGCCTCCATCCATATCCATTATGCCTCCCCATTCTTCTTGTCCGTCCTCAGCTATTGGCGTGTCATCCAAATCCATATCCTCGTCCTCGCCATCAACTGGGGTATCGTCTAGAGGGATATCGTTTGTTGAACAGTAAACTCGATAATTCCTCTCACACATTGCAAGTACTTGCTTCATTCCCAACCAACTAGCCCTCATGGTTCTGTTCTTTCTTACAAAGCATATTCTCAACATGCCATCCCATTCTTCCCAACTAACTCCTGGACGCTCTTTACCTGTTTTGGGCTCGATTCGCACAACTGAGGATTCGACTTTTGGAGGTGGTCTAAAGTTGTTCTTTCCGACTTTCATTATGTGTGTAATCCTGGCGAAGAATTGCGCATTCACCGATAACCGACAGTAGAGTGAATCGCCAGGGCGTGCAGTAAGACGGAGAGCGAATTCGCGTTGAAACATGAGAACACTGCATCGAGGTGGGTTCGGTAAGGAGAGTAGTTTGAAGACGAGTGGTGACGAAATCTGCTCGACTATTAGGTTCTCACCCAGAAGCACCGAAACAAAATTGACATAAACGTACCTGATAAGGAGTATTACTGATGCACACATCAAAAGGTGGCAGTTCAGTTTTTATGACATCACCCAAGAGAACTTCTAATCTTTTTTGTTCCGGCTTCCCCTGCACTCTCTTCGTGACTTCCGCAGCCATTCTAGGATCCAATTCTACAGCTATAACCTTCTTTGCACTTTCCAATATTCTTACTGTCAAATTTCCAGTACCTGGACCGACTTCGAGTACTGTATCCGTAGGTTTGAGGTTCGCCTTCTTTACGATAGCTTCTGCTACACCAGGATTTTTAAGGATATGTTGTCCGTAATCCTTATTGTGCTTAAATGAATTGGTCATTGCGGCAGCCTTTTCGTAAGGTGTGCCAGCAGCGGCATTATTGCGTTTGCCAGTCTTCAGTTTCGGCATATTGAAAGTTTGTTTGTTGGTGAGGGGAAGATGCTTAGATTGAGAATTTTGGACAAATTTTATTTTTTTCGGGGTCGTTAAGCTTATCGAACCGATAACAGTCACGTGGTGTGGAGAAGCTGGACCGTGCCTCTGAGAATCTACTCCATACCTAGACCAAAAAAGCATCATGATCAACTACTCAGTACAACTCCAACTCAATAAACTGTGGCCAACATAGGCGTGAATACCATAGGTACCTAGTAGATACTGAAAAAATTTCAATCATAGGCACTTGTGTTGGTCCAGAAAACCATCTTCACCGACCGCCAGAAGGGGTGGGGGACCTACCTGTGCGAATCAACGACGGGATGTGCTGGTAGGCCGTACTCTATGATAGGCTTGCTGATGGATTTCCTAAGCTATTCGACATTTTTACTTCAAAGAAACATTCTATGATTGGTTACCTATCTTAATTTCCAAAACGTAGGGGTGGGGCGAAATGGCAGCGAGAATCACATTTGGCCTTTATCATTGAGCTTCCATCTAGGATGATACCGTTTGAAGGGCATGGCTACTTTTGGTGTGCTTTGGAAACATCAGATCTGGAAAATTACGACCAGGGAGCTGTTTTGAAACAGCTGATTCATTCGTTCTTGTATTTGCATGGAATACATACAGCGAAAACTCGCAAGGACGTTGTTATAAAATAAGACAACTCAATCCATTTATCTCCCCACCCAAAAATTCATAACTTCATTCGGCCAGATAACCCATTTAGCCTGTATACTTTAAACTCCGCCCATATTGATTCTGCAAGCTACTGCGTCTATTCCATTGCGACGTCCTTGTCCGCTGCTGAATCTGCCAAAAGTCCCTCCGAGATGGGGTCCCAAGCCCTTGCATTTCTTGGCCACATCCTCTTGTATAAACTAACTCCAACGGCATCTTGAGGATTGATCTTGCCATCAAATGTAGCTTTGAAATATCCATGAGTACCCAAGCTCTCCTTAATAAAACCACTTCTTCCTCTCTTAGTCCATAACTGAAGTGCTTTGAACCATTCGACGTCTTCACGATTGAAGAACATGTAGCGGATAGTAACAAGCCTCTTGTGAATTTTGTAAGGGTGGCCAGTTAGAATGATACGCTTAGCGATAATTCGAGAGGTAGATGGCGGTAGAGATGTGCCAGTACCAATCAAAAGGAGAGGCGCGGATGATGGCGCAGATTCGGAAGGTCGTTTGAAGAAAAGAGTTGGAATGGAACCCCATGAAAGAGGTCCAGTGAAGGAAGCGACGGTTGATTGACCGGGGTGAAGGAAACGATCGAATTTGTGTACATCATTGGGAGTGTTGCCACCTTGAGAGAAAAGAGGGTTGACAACGAAGCGACGAGGCCCACATTGCACAATCAATTCATCCTTGGATTTGATTGGTGATGGATAGTCTGAGCTGAGTGTAAAATTGATGTTCAAGACAGCCCGTTTGTGCTCGTGGCGGAGAAGAGAAAATGCGCTTAAAGGCTGAGAAGTATTGTATGTTGATTGTAACGAAATGGGTACGTTACGAAGGTGGATGTGAACTCGAGTTCCTGCAGCAACTCCACCGACTAATGCCTCGCGTATGACTTGGCTACGAGATGATTTGTAGTCAGGTACTTGAAGTAGGCGTCTCCAATCTTCTGGTTCATGTGCTCTGTCTTCAGCTTCCTCCCAAGGACTGGTGCGCAGACTCTTCAGACCGCGAAATTTTGCAAGACGTTCACGTGCTAGAACATTCGGGTGAAGCTCAATTTCATCTGGAAATTCACGATCTTCTGCTGCCTCGTCATTTTTACGTCCTCTGAACGCGGCTAGTTGTTCTGCTTCGGCTTCATCGTCCGGATTTGGATCCAGGAACATCTCCGATTGTGGGTATTCTGATGGCGCAAATTCTGTAGGCTCTCTTGGCGCGAACCCTTCGACTCCATCTTGAGGAAGAGCAGGTGTATCCATTGACATTTCTTCGTCAAAGTCTTCCATATCAGAGCCCGAGTCCGAGAAATGATCACCGAGGAACCATGCCGATTGATAGTTGGAAGTGCCTTTAGGAAGTCGTTTGGGTACAGCTGGTAGATGCGTCTCGTCGTCAGAAAAGTAGTGGTGATCATCAAGAAGTACTCCTCGCTTCTCTGTTGTAGCTACCGACATGGTGGCATCTCCGTCATCCTCCATCATCACTTCTTCGGGCGCAAGTTCTGCAAGATCATCCTGCTCATCACCGGGCGTTTCAAGTATAGTCTCATCATTGGAATCTTCCGAGGCCATTTCTTCCGTGCGTCTGTGTTTAGAGGTCAATGGTGCAGCTGTTATCTTCTCGATTTGAAAATCACCCCAGTCTCCAACTGAGATCAATCTTTCTGCTTTCAACCCTTTACCTCTGACGAAGCCAGTCAAGACGACATTTTCCTGTTCGTTCGTTGGCCACTGAACCTCATCGATTAACATCCAGCTCCTTTCTTCTCTCCATCGAATTCCTTTCGGGGCCAATGTACACAATGATCGCATGAGATTGACACATTCTTGCCTCGAGTCTAGATTGTGCACTTTTTCTTGATCCGGATGAAAATGCTGTACGTAGGATTTGAGCGAAGAAAGGATTCCAGGTCTTCGTTTTGGTGGCTCAACCTGGTCCAGCCCTTGAACAACGGTCAAGGTAGTCGACAATCCCTGGCTTTCGACGCTGCGGATAATGAGTTCACCTAACTCATCCACTTCTTGTTCCGGTGATAAAATAAAAACCACAAAGTCTGCCACTCTACCAGCATTCATGCAGCTAAACAATTCTTTCTTGGTAATGATATATTGAACTTTCTGCTTGAATCTGTCGATATCGGCACGGATGATTCCTTCTTCTGGGACATCAATCTCAACATCCAGACTTTCAGTCAAACTCCGTACTGCGGCTGCAGCATTTGCGTCATCGCACAGCGGTACAAGGGCAACTATTCTTGGTGCGCCGTCGCGTCCCTGGAAGACATTCAAATCCCTTTGGTGTTCCTTATGCTTTGTATTTTGCTTCTGGCGGGCTTGGTTACGACGATCGAACTTTGACATAAGTTGTTGGTGAGGAGATTTTCGGTGACTCAAATCTTGCACCTTACCTGCGAAAATCAGTACATGTTAATTAATTAATTTCATGAACGAAACTTTGCTGACCTTTTGACAATTCCTTCAATGAACCTTTCGAAGCCTTTCTTGACTTAAAAGCTTTTTGAGTTGTTTTTGTTGTACTCCGATGGGAGTGACCAGTAGGAGTTGGAGCCATGTTACTGTTACCGTTGCCTCCGGCTTTAAATCTGAAAGGAATGGAAGCCAGTTTGGAAATTTCAAATGTTCAATTTTCCAATTTTTGACTCGACAAATGGAATTAATTTGAATTTGGATCGAACGTGGGGTTAGGTTTTTTTGTGCGCTAAGCTCTTATCGCTTATCGCGAGAGCTTGGCATAAAAAAAAGTTCTACTCGTGTAGGTCACAAATATTTGCGCGCCCGTGGAACAAGTCGAAACACTGATAATCCCTTTCGACGAAAATCAACTCATTATCTCAATATGACAGATACAATGGAGTTGGTCGATAGATCCAATTCCAATGGAGCGGTACCAATCAAACAAGTGAGGACGGAGCTAGCCACCACGGAATCCGAGTCGCAAACACAGCTACGTCGTCGCAAGGAAGCCAATAGAGAATATGGCAGAGGAGGAAAAATTCCTATACACTCGATCAAGGACAAAAAGCTGAGGGCAAATCTCAAAAAACTTGAGGCTCGAAATAAAACCGCGATACTTAGAGCAAAGGACGCCGAGATCCTGCTTGAAAATGAAGAAGGATTTTTAGAACCCGAGAATGAATTGGAACGAACATACAAAGTGCGACAGGATGAAATCAAACAGAGTGTACCTCTCGAGACAGCAAAAAAAGGGTTTGAACTTAAACTGGATCAATTAGGACCCTATGTGTGCGACTATACAAGGAATGGCAAGGACCTCCTATTGGCTGGCAGAAAAGGCCATGTTGCAACAATGGACTGGAGAGAAGGAAAGTTGGGCTGTGAACTACAACTTGGAGAGACTGTGAGGGATGCAAAATGGCTGCACAATAATCAGCTATTTGCTGTGGCCCAAAAGAAATACGTTTATATATATGATTCGGCAGGAGTGGAAGTGCACTGTTTGAAGAAGCACATCGAGGTTACGAACATGGAATTTCTTCCTTACCACTATCTTTTGGCTACTGTGGTATGTAATAATCAACTCTTTCAGCTGCATATCCCTAACTCTTCTAGGGCAATGCGGGACACTTAAAATACCAAGATATCTCCACAGGTCAACTGGTAATGGAAATGCCTACGAAATTAGGATCGCCAACCTCTCTTACGCAAAACCCTCGAAATGCCATCCTTCATATGGGCCATCAAAATGGAACAGTCACATTATGGTCACCTAATTCCACTACACCATTGGTCAAGCTGTTGGCACATCGTGGTCCAGTACGATCCTTGGCTGTAGATAGAGAAGGTAGATATATGGTATCTACTGGCCAAGACATGAAGATGTCTGTTTGGGATGTTCGAATGTTCAAGGAAGTCAATAGCTATTTCACACGACAGCCAGCTTCATCAGTCGCTATATCCGATAGAGGGCTGACAGCTGTCGGGTGGGGCACCCAAGTTTCAATATGGCGAGGTCTTTTCTCCAAAAGTTCTCTAGAACAGGAGAAGATACAAAGCCCATACATGGCATGGGGTGGTGAGGGGAAGCGAATTGAGCGTGTCCGTTGGTGTCCATTTGAGGATGTGTTGGGAACTTCGCACGATTCCGGCTTCTCGTCGATATTAGTTCCAGGTGCTGGAGAAGCTAACTTTGATGCTCTGGAAGTCAATCCATTCGAGACCACCAAGCAACGACAAGAAGCTGAAGTTAAGACGTTACTCAACAAGCTCCAACCTGAAATGATCTCACTAGACCCTAACTATATTGGTAATCTCGACCTAAGATCGGATGAGCAAAGAAAGGCCGAGAAAGATCTGGACAAAAAGCCAGAAGATCCGATGGCGAAAATCAAGAATAAGGGCAGAGGAAAGAACAGTAGCTTAAGGAAGTATCTAAGAAAGAAGAGCTCCAGAGGTATAATTGATGATCAGAGGGATAAAATTGAAGATTTGAGAAAGAGTCAGATGCAAAGGGAGAAGAATAGGCTAAAAACAACTGAGGAGGAACTTGGTCCAGCTCTTGGTCGTTTCGCGAAGAAAAGTGCTTAGAATAATTCGGGGCATTATTGTTGATATCATACACCGTGCAAGGCGCTTCAAGGCATAGTTCAGGCATGGGAAAACTCTGGCGATTGGCGTTTGAAGGCATTTCCGAGGCGTCATACTTTACTTGTACTGAAAAGTGAGGTGATGCAGTTGTTAAGTAATGAGATTTTATTCTGTTGACACACGGGGTCTTCGCCTATGGCAAATGAAAACCTACGTCTGTCTTGAGTGTGATGAAACATTCAATGATATTTCGGAGTGCATGTAGCCTCCATTACTTCAATTGTTCCAAACCCTCCGTAGCTTTTGGACCACCCCTTTCTTTGCTGACTCGTTCCGCACCACTACCTCTCCATGCGCTCTCAATTAAACCCACTATGTGCTCCATCCCGACTCCTTTTTTGACCTGGGCAAAAACAGTTGGACCTCCTTCTCTCATCTTTCTCGCGTCCCTATCCATAACATCTAAATCTGCACCCACGGCTTCGGCCAAATCCGTCTTGTTCACCACCAAAAGGTCACTCTGTGTAATTCCTGGACCTCCTTTCCTAGGAATCTTGTCACCTCCACTGACATCAATCACGTAGATGATGTAGTCCGCCAACTCCCTGGAATAATTCGCCGCCAAATTATCGCCTCCGGATTCAATGAGTAAAATGTCGGAAGTGAATTCACGGTGCAGATCTTCGAGCGCAGCAAGATTGACGGAAATATCTTCACGTACTGCGGCATGAGGACATCCACCAGTTTCAATAGCGCGAATGCGGGATGCTGGAAGGGCTTTGTGTTTGGTGAGGAACTCAGCATCTTCCCGGGTGAAGATATCATTGGTAACGGCTGCGATTGAGTATTTTTCTCTGAGAGCATTACAGAGAGCTAACATCAATGCTGTTTTGCCTGAGCCTACAGGTCTGAATCATTGTTAGCAAATGCGTAATCACAATGACTCCACGAGTCACACCTGAGTGACTGAAGACACAAAGACATTCAAGAGTGAGCACCTGAAAATAAGAAGATATGGGTCGGCACGTGACATGCCCCTCTAGCTCATGGTGGGGATCGTTCGAAATTTGAATGTAGGAGTATCATGAGTACAGGATCCAGAAACACTTACCCTCCAATACCAACAGTAAAAGCTCTCTCAGACCAATTTCTACCCTCTATGATTGGCATCTCCCGACCCATGTAACTACCTGGTCCATCAAGAACTTCATGCGTGTGTCCATGGTCACCAGCAGGGTGATCGTGAGAGTGGGATGGGCCTCCTTCGTGAGAATGAGACATGATGGAATGATGGTATGGATAAATATATATCAGACTGGAGTAGTGTAGCAGATCACAAGCTATCAAGTGTAACAAGTAACAAGTAATAATCCACTGATGATATTATTAAATAGTCTCATGCAATGTGCCCCTCTCCCATTCGCTTGTAAGATTACATACACAAATGATACAACTGGTACTGAGTACTGTGCACAATGAAAAAACCATATGCTTTTATTTATTGATGGTTATAATGTCCCATAGTTTGAAACATCTCCTATTGCTACTCAACTCTTAATGATGAATAATTGTTAATGAGTTACTCCAGTTCACGTGACTATCATGACTCGCCGTCACACACCTGAAAAAAAGAGAAATGCCCCGCCAATTTTACGTCGTCGTCGTCGATACTATGGTGATATAAAACCCTCACCCATGCCTCTTCAAAGACCCGCCTGAGTACATTCAATCTGATTGGAGCACGTAAAAAGTTCGGAAAATTGAGTTTCTTTGGAATATTGAAGATCTTCAAATCATATCTGCTATAGTAGTCTGGACTTGCGAATACCCCGAACGGCATCCTCCGAATCATATAACATGTGTGACAGCGATCTTGCACCGTTCATACTTTCCACAGTCATAGTAACTCGTTCAAGGCATTCAAAGACCTCGTCCTTATTCTCGATGAGTTGAATTTCTTGTGCTAATCTGACCAAAAGATAGGACAGTTGAATCAAAACTTGATTCTGAGCAGGACACATCCTGATACCTCCTAAAAATGGTTCGTATTGCCATCTCGCTTCCCACAATGGCCGCTTGGTATCTAGCCATCGATCTGGTTTGAAGTCATCTGCATCTGCTCCCCATATCGTCGAATCCCTTTGCAATGTGTAAAGGTCTAGCTCGACCACAGTACCCTTAGGTATAAATATCGGTGACTGGCAATCTTTTGCGCCTCCTTTCGGTAGAACTGTATCTTTCAATGATGTTTTACCAATTCTCGACGCGGCTGGGTGTAAGCGTAGGGACTCGTTAATTATGGCTTTGGTAACTTTCAACGAACGGAGAAATTCGAATGTTAATACTTGACTTGGGTCGATGCCATCGACCTCCGTCTTCAGTTTCTTGCATTCTGCGGGGTGACGAGCAAGTTCGAATGTAACATCCCCGGATGCGATAGCAGCTGTATCACGAGCCGGAAAGAAAACATTAATGATATGCATGCGAAGTTCGTATGGGTCTTGTGTCATTTAAGCCATCTCTTCCAGCAGAATATATCTTTTGGGACTTGTTTTTTTTTCGGGTTAGACTGTTTGTCAAGAGCTATCTCCACGCGTTTGTACACGAATGCATGGACATTTTCGTAAGCCACTTTCCACCATGGATCGAAGTAAAGAGGCCATCGAATGGGCCTAAATATGAGAAGCAATGCCAGGCCCAAAAGAGAGCGGTCAAACGACTTCATGAACACATCCGTCTCGATAGGTGTTTGTTCGGCAAGACAATCTGTCGATTCACCGAATAAGAATTCCGTCGATGTATCAAGGAACTACAAAAACACCGGTTAGTCAATTTCATGCTCGATATTTCATTAATGTCGATCACGAGAAATTCTTGGTTCTTTAAATCCATATAATATTATGAATCCGTTTGGAACATTGAACGCATTTGGGGCGTTCAATCTGTTTGATATAATCAATTCGTTGAAGCAAATGAATCGTCTTGAACACTTTCAAAATCCAACTTCAGCCCGAACTAATGGATACAGTATGTCGGCGTGACTTTAGAAATACTGACCAATCGTTTTACTAGAGGAAGCATGTCAAATGTTGAACCATCTTTTGGAATGTGAGTTAAGAAGCGCGCAACGTGACGTTCGAAATTATCCAGATCGGCTATCTCAGCTTTACTAAAGGTCGGTCGAATAAGTGGTCGTGAATGCTTCCAGAAATCACCGTCTTCTATAATTGAACAACAATTAGCAATTTGGACAAAGATTTTTCTTCATCTGTGGGCTCAAGATTACCTGTAAAGATCCCACGTCCGAGAAACGGAAGCCCGATCGTTCCTCTCATGGGACCGACACCCCAATCAATAAAGGACGTGGTACATATGACTTGGATGTTGTCTGGCTAGGACGTTTGGAGCTCCAGGCCCAATGAATTCATCAAGAACGTTTGTCCATACTTCCGATGAAGTGCTCTGTACGCCTCTGAACGATGTCCTGCAGCATCCGCTTTTTGGATTTGGATGAAAGTGTCAAGACCTAGAATCGGGTCTCGGCTTGCAACTTTTGGAATGGGCCTGCAGCCGTGGATTCGAATCGCTTCTGCGGCTCGTCTGCTTCTATTCCATGCGACCAGAACATAGTAGGATGTAAAGGTTGCAAGAAAAGTAGTAGCAAGAATTGTCAATGGCGACGACATTTTAAGTGCCCATGAATTTATGTGGAAGAATATTGATTTCAGGTAAACTTGGATGAAAGGCTTCTTTAAGATTCGGCGGAAGTGGCCGGGAGTTATCTTCCATGCTGTCATGGTAGAAAATGTGCCCCAATAACGGCCGCTCGCTAGGATTTTACTTGAATGGGCCGCGCAGCTATAGCTTACTAAAAGGATATAACTAGTGCGGGCCAAATTACCACTGATCCCAACGGTTGGAAAGTGACATCACTTAGTGCCCCCTGTTTTGTTGCTCGCTTCGCCCTTGCTAGTCGAAGAACTTGATACTATATTGGGATTTTGTGAAATATGAGGAGAGATTGTGAATATGGCATGAAAACCAACAGATAATTGTGTTGATGACAAATCATTTATTCATGCAAAATTTCATCGTTACTTCTTAGGATTTTGATGATCCGCTTAAATACAGGATGCGACCGGTTTCAGATTTCATCCAAATTTGTTTCTATAAGATCAAAATCGGTTTTTACAACTCTCTACCAAGGGAATTAAACTCTCGTGAGTACTAAATTGGCCAGCATCTTCTAGGGGGATGAAAGTCCCGGGTGGAGCCTTTCGTCCCTTCCCTGCAGCCAATGATACCAAGGTAGCATTGATTGCTCAAGTGATCAGATATTTCCATGAAAGGTGTTGCCGTCTTGACTCGACTAATTGAGGTTCTGCCCACCGGCAACCTCAATTAATTTAGTTTTGGGTCAAAGTGATAAATTGAATAGAATTTATTGGAGGAATTAACAAAATGAATGATTTGATCTCAAATATTACTTTCTATTCCTAGTATTTCTGTTAATCAACCAAAAACTAGGACTAAAAGAGTTTGGGCAAACCCCTGAATTAGTCGAGTTAAGACATTATTGGAACGTGCTAATTCCCGCCTCCATTTTCGCTCGCATAATGTAATTGGACTTATTCAGAAATATCAGTATCCTACTCTAGACCACGTTATCCCAACCCGAGGTACCTTAACAACATCTTATACCAATCAGATTACTACCATTAATCAATATCCAACACAGATTAATAACAAGGACTTCAATTAAATAACTTCTTTGATGATCAGATCACTTAAAAACCAACGTCTAGAATCATGTGAATGTATGCCTCATTCTATTAATACAACAAGTACATGATCTTCAGTAATCACACTTTATCAGAGCTCGATATCAATTTAATAGCTTGATTCAAATTATTGAAAACATTAGATTTCGAAGGTAAGCCTTTGCTTCAAACAAGATTCCCTCCTTTCTCCTTGCTTGGCTGATCGTTAACCTAACAATGTAACAGCTCAAGATACACAAGCCGTATGGTTCTCCGCACTTGAGACTATATTTGCCATCTTTGCCTTAGATTCACCTACCGTCTAGGCGCTACTTCCGAAAGTTTCTCTTTAGTCTATCATGAATAGTGTGCTCAGGAACGGCAGCTCCAGAGATAGATCTTATGATGAGATTAGTGTTGCAACCAAAGAGAAGCCTACTGCCGCAAGCAGAGACGATATCAAACTTATGCCGTAAATTCAGGCGCTGAGTACAGAACCACAACTGAGGGAACTGGCAGAGTTCTGGGAACTTCAGTTCAAACCGACGTTTGGACCCTGAAGATGTCATACATGTACAGAAAAGCCGTAGATATTATGGCTGGAGCCAGAACTGAACTGTAAGTAGTCACCAACAATGCAAGTCGAGCGAAATCTGTCCACTATACTATCATGTGTTGGGAAGCTCTACTGAGAAATTGAGGTGGTGAAGGACGAGAGCATTATGCTGGGAGGGATGGGGAAAGGTTTGACTGGTGATTGAGGACAATAACCAATGCACGGGGTTTGATTTTCATATGCTATGTACAGACAGATTTATGACTTCTATGTGCAATTATGTGCTCAGCTGTTCCTTCTAATCTCTCTATCTCTCCACCTTCCTTCCAACCGTTACAGGCATGATATTCACAGGCAGTCTGAAGCTATCGAGCCACATTTTAGTATTTGTTATAACGTAGTCCCTTGGATAGTTTCAAATATTATCAAGTTCCTATCACGACTTGCAGTCCCCAGAACAAAAAGATTCTTACTAGCCGTATGGCTCTAGAGCTTTTACATCAATCTCGTTATCAATGGCGCCTTCTCCCTGATATATATATATATATATATATTCCTATTAGAATCATAAAAAGCATACCTAGAACAATTCCTGTTACAATATCTTCATAGATTTGACTACATCGGCACAATTTTCCAAGCAGGATTTATTGCTTGCACAATTATAGCCATCATGTTTGAGGGTATCTTATAGCAATAGCCATCTAGAAGAATAACAGCCATCTGTGACATTGCAGGAATGCTATCTAGTCTTCGTGATTCGGCAAAATCGGTCATTACTCATTTCACCCATTTTTTAAAAATTTCCCTATTCATTTCCTACAAGTAAGAACCTGTTTAATGTTTCATTATTATGACTGCCTTTAGCAGCGAGAAATTCCTAGTCATGTATTATATACATCTCTACATTCAAATTGACAAAGGAGTTAGCACCTCTCCATTCCGGTGTAGATTTACTCCCCTTCATAATTACCACTACGATTCCTATCAAGGCCCATGGGCCGTACTATCAAAGACTGGATGTTATAAGCCATGCTATATATGTAGAAGCGCTCTGGCCCCTGACTCTGGTGGGTGGTGTTCTTATGTGTACCCAGTTCAAAGCGCAACATCCAGAATCACCCTCACCATGCCACTGATATACACAGTCCGTATCAACGCTAGCATATCAAATGCGAACATCTATACTCGAGTAGCTCTGAGGCTCTTCTCGGTCTAGGCTTCGGTACTTGGTTGCAAACATCTGACTCGATTATCCAGTCAACACTGGATCCGAGCCAAGTTGTTTATGCAGGTATGCAGTCACCTTTATTGTATTCGGTAATTGATCAGCCGATAGGTTTCAGATCTACGTGATAAAATAAATTCATAGTCGGTACAGGTCAATTGCTCGGCCTGGTCATCTCACTATCCATAGCTAGAGCAATCTTAGTGAGTTTTACCTCCAGGGGCTCGAAAATGAACTACCTACCACCCCGCTCAAAGAAATCGAGCAGCTATCAAAGGACCAGTGGCAGTTTTCTCGCTGAACTAAAGCCAGAAGTACAAGCAGCTTGCTTGAAGTCGTAGGTAGGGCTTTCTGCTGAACGTCGGCTAGTCCTTATGTCAAGACTCCACAATTTCTTGACATTTGAGGATTTAGGTCCTTCTTGGTCTACGTCGCAGCTGGAATGGAACTCGTGACTTCGCTGTTCCTTCTTGTAAGTTTAGACTCTAGCTTCGATTAGTTTCGATTGGCGATTGTGTATGCAAGCTGATGATTGATCTGGAATAATTGGAAAATATCTATCCAGGATAGATATAAACGATCTTTTTATGAAATTCTTATATTCCATGTTGCCTGTATTTCGCTTCCGTGTTAGTCAGTTTCCCAATTGAGGATTCTGAGATTGTGTCTAGATCTTGGAAAATTACTAGCGCTTTGAATCCTTCAAGGTAATGAAAGAGTTTCAATGTTTGAGAGAAATTTGGGCATTGAGATACAATTTGCAAGTAAAATGAAGCGAGCACGATGTAGAATCGTAAATATCCAACTGGCCCATATTGTACAACTTGAAAGGCCATACTAGACAGGAAGGAAGGAACAACAGATTTGATAGTACTGTGTACCTCAACTTTGTTTTCCCATCCACCCCTTTTTGACCTTGGTTTCTTCCCAAAGTGGTTTGCGTGGACTAGGTGACTGCGGTATTTACTCGGCCGATTACTCTCAACTGTATGCCATGCTGCTGCTGCATATCCTGCTTATCTGCAAGTCTCTGGAGAATCTTCATTCCGAGAGCTTATTGGCATCTTTCGGTTATTGGCGTGCGGGGTAAGCTCAATCCTGTGAAGCAGGAAAGTACCACTAGAGATATAAAAGCGTGGCGATCTTGAGTACTATTGGCTCCGATATTTTGTCCCTTCTCTCCAGGTTCGACCAAATTTTCCTTGTACATGTCGCGTTTGACCGTTATAACGATCTGAGGCTTATCTGCCCAATTAAATTTGTGCATTGTACAAGAGTACAAGATGTGCATTGTTTATCGATGTGTCACCACAATATGAAGCCGTAGCTTCAGAATAATATCTTCTCCCCTTATCTTGCGGCACACATTTATCAATTCAAAGACCCCAATTGAATGGCTCATATCCTTCATTGAAGATAATCAAATCTTGCAAATTATTCTCCTTTCTGAGATCAACCACGGGAGCTTCTATGCAGCCAAGAAGTCCAAGATCTAATTTATGGAATGGGTGAATTCCGTATGCTGTGCTGGTGTCGCGAGCCCGAGGTTACACGTCTATTTGCATACTATGTTTGCTGGATTATATGTACTCGTCTCATCTCCCATGAGTTGGCATGACCATTCAAAACATCTCGTCCATTCACTTTCCAGTCCATCAATTCTCCGCTTTCTTATTTCATCGACTCGACTCGGATGTTCAACCTCCATGTCTTCCTGAACAACAAAACAAACCGAGAGTAAAATCAGAATACACCACATTGTCCATCATGAGCAAAGTATCCACCCCTCCATCCGGTAGCATCGACGCCATGGAAAAGGTTGCTATCCCAGAGCCAATTGAACGTGCCGCAACACATGATAAAGTACAAGGTCACAGCAACTATGACGAGAAAGATGGTTTGCGAACTTATGGAGATGTGGAAGATCATAACCATGAACCTAAAGTATGTTTCAACACTTAAAAGAACGTCTGTCAGGTTACTGATAGCGTGAAGATGACTGTTCGACGCTTCATGAGTCTTGTAGCCATGGCTTTTTTGTGGACTGGATCGCAGATTCCAGTTTATATTTTCGGTGAGATGCATGAACGCTACTCTGAAAGTAAGAGCTGAGTTTCTGGGCTTAGGTGCCATTCCGCCCTATATTTATTCCGAGATCGGAGGTGTTGATCGGTGAGTACTTTTGGCACCTGAACCCAAGTCCCTAGATAATTTTTTAGCTGTTAAACATAGCCCTAACCAGAGGTGTAGTTGGATATGGTTTGTCCTTGCAAATCTCCTTTCTTTAGCGGGAGTGTGTCCATTTGTTGGAAGTCTCTCTGATATTCTCGGGCGTCGATATGTCGCACTTCTGGGAGCAATTTTCATTATCATTGGCATGATTGTGTGTTCAACTGCTCATACTATGAATGTATTCATTGGTAAGTATCCAGTCTGGCTTAAGACGATGGTTTGGTGCCTAAGCTGACGCCAAAATCCAGGGGGAATGGCTATCGCGGGTATTGGAGCCGGCATTAATGAGTGAGTCTTCTAACCTACTTTGATACTAGTACACTAGAGCGATCAAAAGGCGCAAGCTTACATTAGCTAGACTCACTGCTTTAGCAGCAACCTCCGAGCTAGCACCTGTATCAAAACGCGGAAAATATGTTGCCATCCTCGTTTTCACCATCATTCCATTCTGTCCCTCGGTGATGTGGGGCCAACTCATCGCCTCGCATGGAGGGTGGCGTTGGTGCGGTCTGTTGTGCGGAATATGGGCCTTTATAGGCTTTGCCCTGACTCTCACATGCTATTTCCCCCCTCCCCGGGTCAACTCCATAGGTCTATCTAACAGAGAAATCATACGACAAATTGACTTTGTGGGAGGATTCTTGAGCATTCCAGGAATGATTTTATTTATGGCTGGCATGCAATGGGGTGGCTATCAATACAAGTGGACTTCAGCACATGTCCTGGCACCTTTACTCCTAGGCGCCGCCTTGCTTGCTGCTTTCTGTTTGTGGGAGGTATATGGGACGAAGTATCCTATGTTTCCAGCTCGTTTGAAACAAGCACCTAGAATTCTGGTCTTGACACTTGTCATTACATTTATATCTGGTGCTAATTTCGTAAATACAACCTTCTCATTTTCCTTCCACATTCTTATTTTCATAACCAATTGCTGACTCCCTAACCTTGTGTAGTTTAGCATCATTATGTTCTGGCCGACCCAGGCTTTCAATGTATATGGACATAATCCTGTTGGTGTGGGTGTTAGAGGAATACCCGTTGGCTTCTCAATTCTGGCTGGAGCTTGTATAGTGCTGTGGTTACTAAGTGTGCTTCGGGGAAGAAACAAGGAATTGATGATCGCAAGTTCAATATTGATGACGGCTGGTATGTGATCCTCAGAAGGGGAAAGCGGAAAGAGAAAGAAAAATGGAAAATGGGGGTGGTTTTCTAAGGTGAATCTCGCTAATCAAAATACTTTATAGGATGTGGTGCGCTTGCATGCGCCACTAGACACAACCTTTCCACACTTTGGGCTCTCCTCATCATCGCTGGGTTGGGAATTGGTGGCATCGTCGTGCCAGCTTCGATAATAACCACAATCATCTGCCCCGATGACTTAATCGCAACCATTGCCGCCCTTACCCTCTCCATCCGAGTAATCGGTGGCAGTGTAGGCTATTGTGTCTACTACAACATTTTCGTAAGTAAATTTGTTCCTGCTGCGACTCTGAACATCGGAGGGGTTATGGCTCGAGAACTCAATATCACAAACAAAACTCTTATAGTAGAAGCCATCCACTACACGGCCGCCTCTCTCTTACCATTGCTCAAGACGATTCCAGGTATTGCTGGGAATGAGACCGCGTATCAGATGGTGGTGATCGCGGGACAAGAAGCGTATGCTGAAAGTTATGTCTATGTGTACTATGCAAGCACTACGTTTGGAGCTGTAAGTATTCTGGCGGCTTGTTTTTTGGGTGATATCAATGCGTATATGGACGATCATGTGGCGGTGATAATGTAGGCTAGGTATTGGAGTAGGGTTTCGGTGGATAGCGTTCGCCCTTCAGAAATAAGTGACCCAGATATTACCGTATTGTGAATATGATACAAGCTGACCGTCCTAAATCGCATGCGAGTTCAAGAATCGTTTCGATTCAACCATATTGAGAGGTGTAGAACATTCCAATTCTGATTGAACATGAACATTGCTTACTATGACAGCTTGTAGACATAGTGTTTCACGTTTGATAGTAAGTCGAGATCTTGGATATGCCTGGAGCAATCAAAGGTAGAATGCAACCCGCGAGGTGTGAATATATTCGCAAAAGAAAATATCATTCTAGATCTGGAATTGCAAACTTTGACTCTTCCCTCCTTCTTCTCCACTCCGCAACAGCTTTTCCAAAATTTCCAAGTCAGCAAGAGCTTCTTCGGGAGATTGTCTAGAGTCAGGCTTCCCATCCTTGATACTCTGAGCCCATGCAGCCACCTCCTGCTTCACCCCACTACCCTCCTCCGTAAACTCAACCTCTGTAGAATTTCCTTCCTTCTCTTCACCCTTGCGTACAATGACCTTACTTCTGATGACCGTAACGCTACCATTCTCGCAAGCTATTGTGTATTCGGGACCAGAAAGAGTAATACCGAAGCTGGCTGAAAATGTGCCACTGATTCCAGACTTTGTGAGCCATACTGAATTGATCGTATCAACAGGTGGTAGATGTTCGCGAAGAAGTGTACTAAATGCCACAACAGTCGTTGGTCTCGTAGCCTCTCCCAATATTAATCTCGCTGCCGCTGTGAAATGAACACCCCCATCGAGCAAAAAGCCGCCTTGATAACTTGGCTTCTTTCGCCATTCCGTTTCTGATCTAGTTAGTGATCCATACCGCACCGCTTGAATAGAAAGCTCATACCAAAGTACTTATCCCCCGGCTTGACATTCAAAAAGACTTTTATACGAAACCCCAAGACTCTACCCAATTTCTCTACTTCCTTCCTCGCATGAATAAACGAATCCAAGAATCGGAAATTCTCAGCCACGCTCCAAGTGGCTCTGCCCTTGACGTTGTCACTTTTGTAATATTGTAGCAAGCGTTGCGCGCGCTCCAGGTCTCCTGCTATGGGTTTCTCTGATAAGACGTGTTTGCCCGCCGCAAGTGCTGCTTCGATGTATTCGGGTTGAACGAGAATTGGGAGGGCGATTATCACGGCGTGGATGTCAGTGCGAAGGAGAAGGTCATTGAATGCCTTCCCAACACCCGAGTCGTCGGAATAGAGAGGCACATTGACATTTAATGATTGTGCAGATGAGAGAGAGCGAGAGTATATAGCTTTGAGGGAGATATGGGGGGTAGCTTGGACTGCTGGCTAGAGCGCGAGATTAGTGAGCTGTGAAAAGGGAATTTGTACGTACTGAGCATACCAAGTGTTCTGTCTGAACAAATATGCCAGAACCAATGATAGCGACACCAATTGACATTGCGTGTGTATGTTTTGTATAGAGATATTAGAGTCGCACGCCTGCATTGAAGCAACTAGGAAATATTGACATTCACGTCATGGTGGAGGCAGGCTTCGTGCCAAGCAAGGGATGGCAACTCATCATTGAGGATGATAAACCAACAATTATGCTCAATCCATATGATGATAGACTCGAGTATTCATAGAAGTATAACTTCAATGGATGGATTATCATATCGCTGAAGTGCAGGACTCGCAGTATTATATATCAGGTAATTTCTTTATTTACATGTAAGCGCTGCAATGCGACCAGATCAGCCCAGTCACGGGGCACCGTTACAGGCTTTCATTACCCTCACCAAGATAATTCATCAACGCTCCGCAACATGTCCCATCCATCCCATCCATCCCATCCATCCAATCCGTCCGATCGTCCATTAGTCCATTCGTCCATTCATCCATGCAAATATCATTATATTAGTATGCATTCTTGCAATTACAATCTCGCCCTGATGCTGTACCACGAGGATACATCAATCAAAACCAGGAAGAAAGGTATCTCGTGCTGCCAAACGATCAACAATTCCCAACAAAACAACGGTATAAGAGTTCCCCTTGAGCTCTTATCACCCCAGCACTTTTCATCCCGATAATTCCTGCTGGTTCTTTTTCTTGATTAGTACCCCTAACAAAATGAGATATGGCAGCGATAACTAGTACGTACCAGGGAATGTTGAGACGAAGGAATACGGTATAATCTGCATGAAGTTGTCTCCTCAAGTTCGTTTCTCTTCGCAGGTCCTGAAGAAAGCTTGGTAGTCCCCATATTGTCTACGCGTGCTGATAATATCTCGAACCTCTTCTGCTGATCCATACACACACGATGCAAAGACTCTTTCTGAAAAGAGATCCGGTTCCGAGTGGACAGGTGAATCATCTCTGCCCCAAGAAAATCGAATAATTTGATCTTGAGAGATATTCAAGGGGACTTCTGAAGCAAGCGCATTCGATAACTCCTTTCTATTTGCAGCATGTGCACGCATTCCTTGAGAGACTACTTCGGTCTCCTGAAGAACGAGAGTTGGAGGTCCAACCAATGTCGTCGCATACCTGCAATGGAGGACGTGACTTGCCTCGGTGCAACCTGTCATTCTTCCATCTCTGTGCCATCGAGGCATGATGAACTCGCCCGACTTCCGGGTCATGCGTACTAAGAACCAAATAGCCTCCGGGCTCACTTGGCAGTCTTGTTGAGAATCATGGCTTGTGATTGCAATGAACTTTTTGAAAATCTTCTTCAGAGAAGATCTGGATGCGCTTGAATTTTTTGAAACAAACTTGGCTGCTTCGGATACGATGAGTTTAGGGGAGAAAACGCCGTAGAAGTGATATTCATCGGTGTCGCAGCGGATTTTCTTGATCTTGGTGCATTTGAGTAGGGGCGTGATTATAGCGAATGGAGGAGGGGAAGGGGACAACACTTGATCTTCTCGCTACATTTTAAAATTAGCAAAAGTGCCTAGGTAATTATTATTTTACCAGCTTTACGCCAGCCAATTGAGTTTCTCTCTGGGAAGCTTACCTCGAAATCGACCTTCTCTTTAATAGGGAGGTTAATGCAGACCATTACACGTGTTCACCTTCTCTCTGCTAATTCAATAGATTTGGCAATTTATCAATTTGTAAATTTGTCAATTAGCCAATTCGATTTACCCAAAGAACAAAAGGTATCTTGTGTTTGAAAAAAAATAAACAAGAGATAAAAAATAATGCATCACTTTTATTGAACAACTAAGCTGAACAACAACGACTAAGCATCGAGGACAGTTTAGGTGGCATATCTGCAGATATAAGGTGTGTTCATTTCTTTACCCACCCAGATAACATTCATTGAGCATAACCATAAATCTCTACACAGATCTCTAAACATCTGTATAAAAGAGCCCCCCCGACCTGGTTCCATATCACCTTGGTGTTTGGGTTCTAATTCGAATTGAGTTGAACATTGCAAGGTTATATATTACTCGAGTATATGTATGGCATTCTCAGTATCTTCATACCGTTATCACCTTTCCAGAAATGAAAATCTGAGGTTAAAAATCCTGTAAACCTTACAAGATCGATTGAAGAATTTAGACGATCCGGACCCCTACTTCTTCTGTACTCTCTTTACTGCATCACATGCGGATAGTGGTCTATGAATTAGGTCATTGAAGGCTTTTCGAAGCCGTTGTGCGCTTGCTGGCTTGTACATGTGCCCTGGAAGCGCGTGATTGAACATTATCAATAATCATGGGCAAGAACGAGCTATTTTGAGGCATCAAACTATGGACAATATACATGATATATATATAATATGTAAGATATAAGTTTATGCGATGCGACACAAAAAGGATCTGGTTCCTTGACATTTACGCTAACCCACACCGGCAGTTGATCCAAGTATGGGTACCTTACAGTAACCTATCCATGGATAAGGGTAAGCTAAGCTAATTTCATAAGCTTGAAAGCTTAAAAGCTCACAATTCGTCAATTTTGACGCCAACTCCCACAAAGTATAATCGAGATCCGATAGCAGATAGATAGCCTCTCTGGGCGTCCGTCATCACCTTCTTCAGTATACCATCGTATTAGGTACATGGAATACTTGAGGTGTGTGATTATATAAAAGGTCTGTAGGACAATCACATTGGATCTTTTGTCATAATGACTCGGCCAGATGATCTACAAAAGGAAACCACATACCATTCACGAGTTGTGTGTGTGATCATATGTGAGAACATAATACTACCTTGAACTTCAACGGCACCAACATTATAAAGGGTAGTTGATTTCCTTTCAAACTTTCATGAATCTTCAGCACAATCTTCACGAACAAGGGAACATAGTCTCACAACAAGATGCGTCTCATATTCTTATATCTCGGGGTGTGCGTGTCAGTCACGGTTGCACAAGTCTGCAATGGATATGCCGAACTCTGTGGTCGAAAATGGTCAAACATATCCGAGATCGGGACGCACGATAGTGCCTTCGTGGGAGAATTACCAACAGAGAACCAAGATATCGACGTCACGGCCCAACTCAACGCCGGTATTCGATTTCTTCAAGCCCAGACTCATTACTTTTTCGGCGTGTTAACATTGTGTCACACCTCATGTTTTGAGTTGGATGCCGGGCCAGCGGTCAATTATCTCTCGGATATCAAGACGTGGCTTGATTCAAACCCCAACGACGTTGTCACCTTACTACTTACGAATGGAGATTATGTCCCTGTTGGAAATTTTAGTGCGGTGATGGAGGCTTCTGGTCTGGCACGCTATGCATATACGCCACCACATCAACTAGCCATCGATGAATGGCCTACACTTCAGGAAATGATCACGGCTGGAGATCGACTTGTTATGTTCCTCGGTGAGTAGTTAAACTTACCCATCGCTTCTATAATCCACTACTAAGTCTGTGATATTGCAGACTACGACGCAAACACAAACGTCGCGCCGTATATTCTCCCGGAATTTTCCTACTTCTTTGAAACGGCGTACGATGTAACTACCCCTACTTTCCCTACATGTACACTCGATCGACCCCCGGGCTCTGATGGAGCAGGACTTTTGCCACTGATAAACCACTACTTGGATCTTGACATTTTTGGCATTCTCATACCCGATAGATTGGCCGCTCCAACGACCGTAAGTAGCAATTCTTCAAGATCACTGTGACCAACCATTAACTTCCACATAGAATGCCGCAACGGGTGTAGGTAGTATAGGGGCCCAAGCCGATCTCTGCACAGCAGCCTGGGGTCGGAAACCGCGAGTAATGCTCCTCGATTACTTCAACACGGGTAAACCCCACCCCCTTTCTTCTACGCAAGATTCCAAACTAACCAAGAATGCAGGAAATGCATTGGCAGCACAGAACACTCTGAATGGCCTGTAAGATGGACTTTATGTCTCTCATGTTTTCAAAACAGTGGTATAGGAACGAGAGCCTAAATGTTGAGCCTCAGTCGTTGAAATACTGCCCATGCGTCGTGATGATATGAAAAAGGGATGCAAACAAATGTATTAATAGATGGTTCCAATATAGGCCAGTGAAGAATTCGGCCGGTTCGAACTCGATAGTTCCTCCTCAATGGCTTTCATTTTGCTTGATTGTTTTCGCAACATTGCGTGTTCTCTCCTGATATTGCATTTGTTCATTTTTGGAAAACTTCGAACACTGCGGGGTTTGTCGAAAGATTACTTAGAGGTGTCACTAACATTGAAATGAAACGGGGGTAATTTTAGACTGGGGATAGACATAGACTGGGGTTTTGGAGTTGAGGATGGCATTCTTTCCAAGTGGGAATTCTACGGATTCGCGGTATTGGGTTGGAGTTCTCGCCAGGCGAAGTAGATTTGAAGTTTTGTTGTGCATATTATATGGCGGGCTCAACGGTCGTTGATGTCTACCTAGGGAGGTGATAGTCATATTATAGAACTTTAGTATCGCCGTCAAGGTATAGATACCGTGACTGACCTCCATTGGGAGATTTGATTGAAATAAGATATTACCTATTACTTCCAAGAGTTTCTCAAAAGGTTAATGTTGATACGAAGACGAATATTGGACATGGTATTGGGAAAGATGACAATGACTCGCAAAGTTGCCGAGAGCTCTGTACAAAATGAAGGGGTCTCTTTGATTATCGTCCGTCGGTTCCTATACTTCCCGACTGTAAAAGCAATCCGAGTCCTGAATGAATAGCTTCAGGATCATCCAGATCTGTATATTCGGAGGCAGCTCACTTTGTGAGAAAGTAAAAGAATAGAGATTATGGTAGATTTCGAAATGATAATAATCGTTATCCAGCTCATCGCGAGCCTGTCTTAGTGGAACAAAAAGCAAGCTGGTACTTTCTCTATACCTAGACAACCGAATTGGCAAACCGAAAAATTCCCCAAATTGTTTGTTTTCACTGCTATAGTGTTTCATATGACGGATATATGAGTCCTTGACACTGGCCAATTGGGCTCGCCCAGAGAAAGCCAGCCCTAGCTGTACTTAAAACTTCTTAGTGGCCTCATCGACTTTATACAGCATATTTACAGCAAGCCGCAGTAGGCTGGAATTTGTTCTCCAGTCTTACATAATAGTCTTACCCAAACCTCGCAATGCGGTCTCAACTTGAGAACTCATTCTTCTTTCTGCTCCGAACTCGAGTGATGTTATACACTGCCTCCCCAAGACAACCAACAAAAGCATTCCTAATTCTCAAAAAGCAAGAATCCACCTCCGAACAATCCTGTCTTTTCAAGACCCATAACAATCCCAAACTCCCCTTCCCCTCCCCTCCCCACCACTCAACAAAACCCAAACACTCGCCACCCACCTCTCAACATCGCAACTTCCACAAAACGCACCACCATAAATCCCACAAAAAGCACATACCATAGTCAAAGTATTCAAGCATATCCACCACCTCTCGGTGAGCCTCGCAGCTTCATCAACTCATGAAGATCCCGTCGGAGCTTTCGATGACGAGGATGGAATCTGTGAGGGGATAGTTTGGCTGAGGGACTCCTTCTATGTAGGGGTGGTTTTAAATGGAAGTCTGTAAAGGGATATGTGAAGGGATGGAGGGAAAGAGATGGTAGGGTGAGAAGTGGAAGGAAGGTTGGAGGAAAGAAGGTTTGTGGGCACTGTGAACTTTAAAAAAGAGGGAAGGAAGTTGTGTGATGAGGGAAGGAAAGGTTGGTTGGGAATGAAGGAAAGTTTAAATATTCAGAGGATAGTGCGGGGTAATTGGTAAGATTTGTTGATAGAGGAAGGTGCAAATGTGATGGATTGGAATATATGGTGTTTACCATGAAAAGGGGAGGAGCGTTATTGGCGAGAGGCAGGAACGGTGGAGAGGAGGATTGCCGGGGTATGAATACTCCCCCAATAATATAATTCAATGCGAAGTCTAAAATTTGCCTTCTTGTTTGACGCAGTACTCGAGTAAGAATAAAGAAGGAATAAGAAAACTTCGAACATTATGAGTACAGCCTAAGACTTACCTATGATCAATGAGGATTTGATAACTTTCGGTTTCACCCTTCCTTACTCAGTTGTACGGTACTAGTGTAGTAATAAGTACCAACTCAAATACCAGTACCGGTACAGTACTCCAATAAGATGACAATCAACCTCTCAATTTCTTTCACCTTCTCACTTTTCACTTTCTTCATACTCGAGTACAATTAATAAAGTTATTAAACCCCTATTTACATTCATTCACATACCGGCCGGTACTTGTAAGATCTTGCAATGACCCGAGTCATGGCGCATTCAAATCCCAGCCCAAGTGAAAGCTAGCGTGCTCCCCTCCCGTGCTCCCGTGTGCTTTGTGCCTGGATCCACACCCATGGGTTAACATCTTCTCCACTGCACTCCACTCGTTCCTAGACTAATACGACTAATATGATCTTAGTCAAATAAAGTTAAAATTGACCAATGTTCTAGTTTAAAGACTATTGAGATGTTTTTGAGCTTGGGATTTGTCTCTCAAATACAATCTATCTGTATTTCTTAAAATTGTCAACCGGTTTGTACTAAGAAGAGTAAAGTTGAGAATCTGCATCAAATGTTGAAGCTGCAGAGGACTTTGAGAATGGGTTTGTGTGGTGATGTTTATATATATATATTAATTGAATTGAGCGTTAGAATTGTGTCTAAGCTAATTTATTGAACAAGCAATAAGTTATTCATTAAAAAAGGTATTTCGATAATATAACAAGTCCAGCAACCATACTTTGCGTTTACTCTCTCCCATCAAACCAGGTCGTGTAAAGAATCGAACGACATATTACTTCTCATCTTGGTATAAACCATCCTCCCTCCTATGATCCCGCGCTTCCATCTAATTACACAGATATAATTTTCTAATATCATGATATCCAAATGCGAGCGAGCCAGCTTACAAAGCGAAAGCAGCCAATAAACCAGCACCAACCATCACTCCGGCAGCAGCAACACGATTTCCTGCACCGGTTTCAGTAGCAGCGGCAGCCGCTGAGGTAGTCGACGAGGCGGCGATGGAGCTACCAGATGCAGAGGCAGATGTAGAGCCCGACGCTTCAAGAGCACAAACTTGAGCGGCAACATTTGACGCAGCTATTGGATTTGATTAGAATATTTCAAGACTTGATGGAGCGATGGGGAGACATACTCATGCTATCGGTGGCAGAGCAAGAAGATGCAATACATGGAGTTGCTGATTTGGTGATGTCATCTTTGGCAGGACCGCATTGGCATGCATGATCGGCAAAACTGCATCCAGCACTACTGATGGCAGTCGACAGGCATATAAGAGCACAAGATGGAAGCTTTGCCATCTCGCTGGCAACAGATTGAGAATAAGCCACTGAGGCGAGGAGAGCGGAGATAGCTGCGTATGTGAACTGCATGTTTGCGTTTGAGGATTGTTTTGAAAAAACGACTGTGTGATTAGATTAAAAGTGCTGTGGAAAGAATGACTATTTCGTTTTCGATATGTAACTTTGCTGAAAAAAATGAGAAAGGAAAAAGCTTTATCTTATATGGACGGGAATATATAATTACCTGCAGATGGGTTCCCTTTTAGGTGTAGTCCGAGCGGAGTTCTGTGCACAAAGGGCATCGATGAGCACTTAGTCGGGAACCAATAATTGAAAAGATTTAAAGAGAGATAAACATGGTTTATTGATCTGCTTCGGTTGTATTACAAAAGAGGGTCCTTCTCCGTTGAGTTGGTGGTGGAAAGCTATGTTCTGCAGTTATTCGTGAAGCTAGATAAGACATGTAAGATATTAATATGGAGATTTCCATGTATCCTGAAGACTTCAATTACTTTAGGGGTATGTCTAATTGCAATCTCTTATAATTAAGACTTAAGTACGTCTCTAATTCATCACGGCTTTTTCCTTCTCGTTTCTTCATTACAATTTGCATGAATGATCTCTTGTTTCAATTCGTCCAAATATGTGTCTATCACCGAAAAATGCTAACCCCATTACCCCGGACCAGAACCCCGGATATAGGAATTACGGTAAAAGGAGATACGGTATACTCGAGTATGTTGCTTTAGATAACATCATAGCCAAATAGGATTTTTGGCAAAGATACCATATATTATGACAGGATCCTTGATCAATAAATCAAGCATGACTGGTAAACCTTGCATTTGATAGAAGACAAGGTAAAATGCATTGCACATGAATATTCTGCATGCCTAGGAGCTTATCAGCCCTGAAAATGTTGGGTTGTCAACGGATAGCATGGGTGTTTAGAGGGGAAATGTACAAATCACTAGGTAGTCATTTCCTTGGAACCCCTCCCCCCCCCCCGGTGAGGAGGAGATCATTAAAATCTTGAAGTAAAGTACATGAATCACTAAGAGAAAGCCCGAGTTTAGTTGAATAGAGTCTTGACCTTGAAGATGATCGATCACCTGCGTTGTCAAAATTTTGAGAATGCCCGTGAACAAATATGAATAATTGCTATTGTCTGCACTCGTTCGGTTCATGCGGGGTAATTGGGGCCATCTCCACAAAACCTCCACAAAATCTTCGTGGCTTCACACTGACGCAAAAAAACCTTACTCTTTGTCAGATATCATTTTTTCGGGGTTGGTTCTACTTCCAGCTATGTAGACACTGGAAGGATTTGCATACGAGACTCTGATGTGTAACCCATTTGCTCCTGATGGAGGACCATCCGATTGTTTCGAAACGCCTACCATCGATATTGCAGAGGAACTTGTTATCAATGTTCTCGAAAGTGTTCATATCCTTCTGTGCCTTGAGAAACATACATCGCTCTCAGCGTTTGGCAACGGACCGAGCGAGCTTGTTTCCACATAGGTTCCCCTGAAATCTGCTGAATCTAAGGAGCGACAGGTTTTGGATTTGTCAAGATATCGGTAATGTGTGTTCTTCCTTCGACCTTGAGTACAGGCTTTTTCATGTAAGACTTGAAGATCAGGTATCTAAATTGAGCAGTACTCAGTCTTCCCTCGGTCATCTCGAACATTCCACTTAGCCCAGCAAAGTTCTCCGCCGTCAACTCGCCTTCATAGCTGAGGTCGCCCCCCTTGAGTATTCTCCAAACAATCTGTAGCCATACCACTTCGACATGCACATCATAAACTGTTGCCCATGGGGACCAGATGACTGTAGGCCTATTGAAAGGATCATGGGCGATTGAAACAAGAAGCTGAAGGGATTTGCTAGAATCCAGCCAGTTGCGTATATCTGAAAAGAGAAGCGAAAAAGCAAGCATGGAGAAAGCGCGATTGACGAAGCGGCATGAGCGAAGTGAGGACATGGGAAGGCAGGTGAGGATATGCTTGAGTAGTTCTGGCGCCATGCTGTTCATCTTCAATGTTACTAGTAGATTTGAAAGTTGGGAAAATTCGACCTGAAGTCGCCAGGAGCCGTCATCTTATACAGCGCCGTAAATATTTGGTATCAATACCTTGATGGGAAACAAATGATGCCAATGTTAGTTTGACACACAAAATAAACCTCATAGTCAAGTAAATTCACTCAATCCCCTGCCATCGGAAAGCTGTTGACTCAGCTCGCATGTCATTAGACCCATCAAGGTAATCAGTATCAACCTTAGGATTGAGGTCTCAGTAAGCCCTCAGCCTCACCTTGTTCTTCCTGCCACCAGTCTTTGAACGTTGTCAGTCTCTTAGTCCTTTCCTCCGCCAGTCGTTTACCCGGAGCTGTCTTCATCATTCCCCCTAATTTCTCCAGCTTGTCTTCGAAATGTTGAATAGTCTCTCCCATATCTCTTGCACCCTTTGCTCCGCCAAATGTGAATGTGCGCCCTATCCCGATGGCACCTAGAAAGCAAGGTTAGCTTCTTATTGTTCTATCTTTGGGGTGCATTCTTTCCTTACCAATTGCATCTAACCTGTCGGCATCTTGTACCACAGCCAGCTCCGGATATTTCTCGATCAAGCCCTCCACTGCTGCCAAATCCTGAATTTCACTTGAATACGAAACTCCAAGAACAATTCTCTGCACTTTGACAGCCAGCTTCTCTTCGGCCCCAAAACCCAACAGCGTCGAAAGCACCAAAGTATTTTGGTCCTGGCCAGGCAAGAGATATTTCTTATCACCCACATCATGCAAGAGTGCCGCCAAAGTGACAACCTGCAAATCCAACTCTGGTTCGTCCATTCTCTCCTCGTTTAGGTCCTTGTATATTCTATGTGCCAGTCCGACAACGCGTCGAATATGATTGAAATCGTGAGATCCATCATATGCACTCATGTACTTCTCTACAAACGCCGTAACCTGTGTAATTAACCCAGCATTCTGTGCCATTTTTGGAGTTGTATTCTTCGGTTTCGATGCAAATGTTGACGATGGTTTGGGAGTTCGATTGGTGACAGCTGCGGATCCTTCTGAATTCTCGCGAAATTCTGAATATCGAGACCTTCGTCGCATACCAAGCTTCTGCCTTAAACGTCCCATATGCGTCCTTTTAATTTCGAATCCTTCAGAAATCAATGCTTGGGCAATTTGGTCATCGTTAAGATTTAAGTTGTAATGGTAGGTTAATCGATCTTGGAGAGCCGGAGATATGGGTCCACGAATTCTTTTGCGGACGTTCCATGTCGCCAAAGTTCGAGAGACTTTACGTTCAGAGACATCTAGACCTAATTCTAGATTGAGCTTTCTTGTGATATCAACGATAGGAGTATTCTCTTCCGTAAAAAGTTTCACGATGAGGTCTTTGTATGGTTCCAAGTTCACACCAGGAGGCCGACCAGGTTTTCGGGATGTTGAGATGGCTTCTGGGATGCCATTAGATTGTTCTTGAGGTTCTTCAGAGCCTAGAGCTAGAGGCATTGTGAGAAAGGTATTGATTGAATTCAATTTTGACCGACAAGTCCTTATGGAAATCGAAGCATCTTTACGGGTGACATGATGGTTCTGTTTCGGCTACCGTATTTTACGTATGTTATATACTTCACTGTACGAACCAAGTTTTTACTCCTTCACCACAAGGTTCAAATCAAGTATTGGGATGAAAAGGAAGCTACTTCCCGCCCCCGCTCTATTAATAAGGCGCGGGGAAGCTCAAGAAATGAAACTTCAACTTGAGAGCTCTTCGTAATTGCTATTCAATATGTCAGATATACAGTCAAAAGTCAACAGTCGGCTCACACAAGTCACCGACTTACTAACCGGCAATAAAACTGCCATGACTATTCCATTCGATCCGAATTGCACCAAGTTTCCATCTAGAAAGGACGTCATACGAAGAGAAGATGCACCGGAGGGGGCGTAAGTAACTTTGAAGAAGTTTCTAGGAGCTCAACTGACATCTAAAAGTGCGTGGGTTTGGGGGACTGATGATTATGTAGGTATCCTATCACTGATACTATGCTTTGAAATGTCGTTAATAATGGTATAGATTGGAAGATTGAATCTTCTCACGCCCACTCGTGTTACTGCCGCGAGCAATGAAATTCAAAGTGGGGAGATTGTTCCATTGAACTTACCTTTGAATGTACCAGAGGTACCAGCTTTTGGTCGAGAACCATTTCAACATAGCATCAAAGAGCTAGCTCCCGGGTTGGCCTATGACGATACATATGTATTGAATACGCAATCAGGTACACAATGGGATGGATTCAGGCATATTGCACACATGCCATCTGGCAAATTTTACAACTCCACCACAGGAAAAGATATCATTGGGGTTGAGAAGGACGATAACAAGTGTGGTATTCATCATTGGGCAGAGCACGGCATTGCCGGAAGGGGAATCTTAATCGACTACTGGACTTATGCAAATGATAATGGCATCGTTTATGGTAATTTCCAACAAAATCATATCATTTCGTCGTCTGACACATATATTTGTAGATCCCTTTGACTATCACACAATATCCCACGCTGAACTGCAAGCTGCCGGAAAGGCTCAAGGCATCGACATCCGTCCTGCTTCCCAAGGCGGACATATTCAAATCGGAGATTTACTCTTCGTTCGTTCGGGTTTCGTATCTACATACCACTCCAAATCTCCAGAAGCACGAAAAGCTGCCGCTCTTCGCCCACATGGTCTCGGCAAGGACGATGGTCAGCGATGGGCGGGTCTCAAACAAGATGAGGATATGCTTGACTGGCTACACGATTGTTACTTCTCGGCCGTAGCAGGTGATGCACCTGCTTTTGAAGCTTGGCCATCCCAGGAGCATTACATGTTACATGAATATATTCTGGCTTTGTGGGGTATGCCCTTGGGAGAGATGTTTGATCTGGAGAAATTAGCAAAGACATGTAGGGAGAAAGGAAGGTGGAGCTTCTTCGTAACTAGTGCTCCGAATAACTGCCAGGGGGGTGTATCCAGCCATGGAAACGCGATGGCTATATTTTAAATACTTGGTACAAAGGCGATTTGGATGAAACACTCGACACAGCTCCTTTGTAACTTCTCAATACTTTTTCAGTAAATTGTCTAATATGGAATGTGGTTATTCCTTATATCTATTTCATATATCTTGCAACAACACACTTTTATCCAGCCCAAATATCATTCAATCTGTTAGTTCCAATGCTATCTTAATGCCCCTTTCCAAATCGGAAAATTGAAACCCCGGATTACTCCTCATTTGACTCGTTCTCATCCTCACTCCTCTCTCTCATATCCTTACTATTCCACCCATTTCCCTTCCCCTTTCCCCCTTTCTTCCCCTTCACACCTTTTCCCCTCAACCCAACCGGAATCTCCTTTTTCGCCACTCCATCCTCAAACAATACGCCTATATCCGCTCTTCTCGCAATCACCTTCTTCCATACAGTCTTATCAATAATACCACTCTCATCCCCTGCGCTAACTATTCCTCCATTGCTATTCCTGTACCATTTTATCTGTGGATTGAGATCCATAGCGAATTTGAGAGAAATGTAGATGGATACATCGGCATCTTCCTTACTAGTAGATATAGAAGTTCGAGCCTCGGTATCATCGGATGAAATGGCGATACTGGCGAACGACAAATGGGCTTGGCCGCCGGCTTTTCTGATACCTCCGGAAGCGAGGATGAGGGGGTAATTTGCGTATGAAGTTTCGTAAACGACGAGGTCGGGGAGATCTGCAGTGCTGGGGTTAAGGCGTTCAAGAGAAATGGCGGATAGGTTGGATGGGTTGATGGTGGTGGGGGTGGAGGGGGTGCTGAAACGGATAAGGTAGTCGGATGGAGATTCTGACTCGGTACCGTGTGATGAGATTGGTCTGAGGGTGAAGCGGGACTTCGAGGAGGGGGACTCGATAACTTTTCGAAGCTCCAAAAGGCTGAGATCGAGGGTATTGAGGCTCTTGAGCTAATTGTGATGCTTAGTGTTAGAGATGCGTGTATTGGGAAATAAGATGCTTTTTATTCGAGATGGATTCGAACATCGAAATGGTCTTCCAATTCATGATGTTTGTATATCCAGCAGATGGGGGCACTAACAACTTTCTCACAATTGAACCAACCCTCAGAATCAGCTACAAGCCTCTCTGTGCCCTCTTCCTTTTCATCGCCTTCTGCGGTACGCTTAAGAAGCTTAGTAAGAGCTCGTGTGACGGTCGCGTCACGTTCCGCGATGATGCTGTAGCCCCTTTGACGGGACTTTTTGTTGTTGGAGATACTCCCTCCGTGCTTACTTCGGCCATGCCTAGATTGTTTGTTGGATATTGGAGAGGGGGGCATAATCTCTCTATCGAGAGACCTGGCTGAAAGTGTCTGCATGACAGCAGCGGCCATAATTTTGAATGTGAGATTTAAAGAGAAAACTTAGGTATACGAACACCGAGAAGAGCTTGAGAACCGAGAGAATGGTGATGACTCGATCCGTTAAAAGAGGGGAGCAAAGGAGAAGTATAAGAAATGAGGGCTCCCGGGAACACAACACACACGTCCTTAATTGGGAGCCGTCATTAAGGCCATGCTGTATGCATTTGCCAAGTGCACGACGTTTCAGTCGCGGGCCATCGGGCTATCTCATCTATATATCGTCTGCATGGATTGCATCGTATGCAATGCGACATGTGCAATTTTCCCATCGGCGGGGGTGGGGACCTGCAATCGTCTCAAAGCTGCTCGAAAGGAACAAGTGGTATATAGCGGTGTGGACCAAGCTATGTGCCAATGCAATAATTTTATGCGTCTGAGCCCAATCGTTCATGAGGCCAATAGCGGTGTGTATCACTTGCATGCAAGGATCTCGCGGCTGCATAAGACTTCCTGCGAGGGGGAACGTATGGCCTTCCAGATTCTAGATACGTGATACGAAGCATGCATTCTGATCACTACGTGGCACTAGCTTTGCAGTGAAGAGAGAGGCATGTTACTTACTTACGGCATTTTTTATATACAGGCCCGAATTGGATGTTAGATCCTTTTGATACCTCTGTGTTTGAAAAATCCACGACTTAACTGGACATTGGATAACTAAACCGAGATCCATGAACGAGCTAGAACATGAATAGCTCAGTCGGGGATATTCCGTTATGTTTGGAACATATCAGGTGTCCGGTAAAGTTGCGTACGATGTCTTCCGTGGCGGCATTATGAAATACAGTGGGAAGAAAACTTACCATCATGAAGATTAAAGATTAAAAAAGTAGTCATCTGTGAAGGAGACAAAATGCTGGGATCCAAAGGTGATCTTCATGATGAACCTATGATTAAATGGAGAAGAGTAAATTCTGTTTGTTTTCAAATCATCATTCAAATAGTTCGGCTGGACTCCCCGCGCCTCCCGACAATGTCCCAAGACTGTCAAGGAACTCCCCCTTCTGTCAAACACTCATACAAGTGCCCCCATAATCATTACACTCATGACCAGAATCCACCAAATGCACCCCGAAAGTCATTGAAATTATCTGTGGTGGGTGCACATCCGCTGTCACTTCTTGCGGCCTCTGCTTCGAACATCCATTCTTGCATCTGCGTTATTCGATTGCCATTCTGGTATGAGTCAGTACCACTAATTTGAGCCAAGTATCAGCACGCCTACCGAAGGATGGGTTGAAAGCCATTGAGGAGGCGCATTTTTCTCTGCAGCCTGCATCCTCTCCCATACGCCCACAGCAGCTTGAGGATTATAACAGCTCTTTGCCATGATCATCAATCCAATTTGATCGGCCTCTGTCTCCTGGTTTCTTGATGCCGGTAGATTCATGCCAAATTCAAGTGCAAGAGCCCCAAGTAATTCTCCTAGACCACCTGTATATCCAGTGGCATCCATGAATCGAAACAATACACGCAAAGGCAGATAAAATACAGCAGTTTTACTCATCTTTTCTCCCGAGTGGTTTGCGATATTGTGAGCAATTTCATGGCCAAGAATCGTAGCCAGACCTGAGGAAATAATTGGATATCAGAAGCAACATGATTAGTGAGTCGATAAAGCTTACCATCATCCGTTTTAGCAATTGGCAGTATTCCCGTAAAGACAAACACTTTACCTCCAGGTATGACGAAGGCATTCATTTCTGTATAGAGTAGGGTCAGCTAAATAGTTAGTTTGATGTTGCCTGTCGTACCCTGAGAGTTTATAACATTGACTTCCCAGTTCACATTTTCGATCCCACTTGCAGGTATCAACCGACTCATAACCCTTTGCACCATTTGAGTCCTCTTATCCCCGTCTGGCAGAATGGCCCCGTCATACTGCCGCAAGATCTGTTGATACATCATCTGACCTTCTCTTTCCATATCCTGCTGGCTGTATATATTGAACCGCCTCCTTCCGGATACTGGCACATCTTCAATATTGCTGATGTACCAGAATGTACCCCCAGCCACCACTATGGCTATGAACGAGTGTAGGGCTGGATGTTTGGAGAAGTTTCTGATATGTTCTTCGGAGAGGAGAGGGCGTGCATTTCGAGCTTCATTAGGATCGAAAGTATAGTATTTCTGACTGCGTCGTTGGTAACCACGCGAAGGAGGTTGGTTAACAGACGGATGTGACCATGTTGGTATCTTACATTGTGTAACAGATAATGGCTGATATGATAGAGGGAAAGTATTGGCAGAGCGTATAACTATATTGCGAATTTGCGAATTTCGCAGAATAGATCTGGAGATCATCTTTAATCAGTAGTAAGTAAGTAGTAAGTGAAGATGTAAAGTTTGCGTTTTCAAATACGAATGAATATGTTCATATCCCTTGTTCGTGAACATCAACTTGATTAGTCACCCCTAGCCTCACTTCACATAAAACGGGTTGAAAGCTGAAAGAATGATACCTACCTTATTATTACTCGAGTAGTAGTAGATACGGGTTACATAGGGTACTCGTATAAAAGCTTCAATTTACAAGATTACCATCATCGATATCTAACCTTAGATGTTGGTACTCAATGGATTCACTCACAAGCAGGCTACTCGTACCCCTACTTACTCTACTTACCCTACTTACTACCTAACTACCCCACCCCTAGGCTAACTCGTACCCCTACTTATAACCTAACTACCCCACATTCACGCCATAAACACCCTTGAAACACCCCTGGCCCAATACCCCAATACCCCAATACCCGTACTACCCTAGAAGTTCTGATCAACAAGCCCCAGCTTTGTACGACTCGTAGTATGTATGTATCTCAACCCACCCCACTGACGTACCTACTACCTATTAATACCCCAAATCTCGAACCACTTTCCTTGGCTATCCTGTCCTGAATAACCAACCCATTCGTAATCTTACGATTACAATCACAATCATAATTCAAGCTTGATTGATTGATTGCTTTCTATTTCCATTTCAATATCGTAAGTCTTGGGCACCAAGTTCCAACTTGATCGTAACCTAATTTAAAAATGATGGAAATTGGTGCAACAGCTGCAAAAATTACTCACGGTCTCTTTCAGAACACACATCCTCTCAAGGCAAAATGGAATCGCATTAATGGAGTTCAGCTCCCAAGATCATCTCACTCTATCTCAGTCGTCGCCGGTCGAGCATACATCTTTGGAGGTGAGATCAACCCACGCGAACCCATCGACAATGACATACATGTCGTCATCCTTCCTTCAGGCACCGTCACAAGCGCCGACTATCGAGCTATACCTGCCAAGCCTATAAATACTGGTGGAGAGGTTCCTGAGAAGAGAGTAGGACATACGGCGGGAGTCATCGGAGAGCGGATCTTCATATTTGGTGGCAGAGGTGGTAAGGAGATGAAACCTCTCGAAGAAAATGGCAGAGTTTGGGTCTATGACACTAGAACAGATAGATGGTCATTCTTAGATCCAGCCCCTGGCACGCCTTTTCCAGCTGCGAGATCATATCATTCGAGCGTTGCTATCGAAAAGCCCGAGCCACCAAATATGAAGAGCGTAGAATTCAATCAGGCTATAGAGGAAACCAAGATTGGAACAATTGCAGAGGGTGCTCAAACTGACGATGAGCAAGGCGGTCATGGAACGTTCTTCGTCCACGCAGGATGTCCGGTTTCTGGAAGAACAAATGACCTTTGGGCATTCGATGTTCGAAGCCGTACATGGAAGGAATTCCCTTCAGCTCCAGGAAAGCCTAGAGGTGGCACATCACTCGCAGTTTCTAAACAGAGAATCTATCGATATGGCGGTTTTAATGGCGAGGGTGAGGAGGGAGGCTATCTCGATATTTTGGAATTGGCCCTTGAAACTTTCAACGACAAGTCTGGTTCGGGAGAATTGGGAGTCGCCCCGAAGGGAGATTGGGAAACCTTGAACTTCGAGGAAGAGGGCATGAAACACCCTGGTCATAGAAGTGTGGCTGGCATGCATACCATTAATACTGGTTAGTTCTTGACTCACGTTTTGAAATATTTGGTTCTGTTCGGATGCAGTCGATTTATCCTATTCACGTCCATACAGAACAGTGACTGACACTTGGTAGGTATGGGCAGAGAATATTTGATTCTCTTGCTTGGTGAAAAGGATCCAAGTAGCCAAGGTCATGATGGAGCTGGCAAGTTCTGGAGTGATGTGTGGGCGTTTCAATGTCCTCCTCAAGGTATGACTGCGGCAAGCTTCAAGGATGCTACCTGGCAAGCACTGGGACAAGAAACTGGTGAAGGTCTTTGGAGTCAAATAATCGTCTCCGATTCAGAGGGCGTTGAAGGTGATGATGTTATGAAACTTGTACCCGGCGAGCGTGGATGGTTCGCAAGTTCGTCAATGAGCGATGTGGACTTCAGAGGAATTCTTTTGTGGGGTGGTCTTAATGGAAAGAATGAACGGGAAGACAATGGATGGATCTTGACCATTGAATAGGTACATGGGCGAGAAAAGAACGACGTATGGAATCTGGGGATAACTTGCTTACTATTTACGAATAATAGGAATGTAACTGAAAGGCGTTGATAAGAACATAAGTACTGGTGCTGCTCGCGGTCCACATATAAAGAGCATATGTAAACAATAATTTGCGGGACATTCAAAATGTGAACAATATTTCGGATACATACCCACATAGTTCGAAATAACTTGATACAACCAGAAGCATGAAAATTGGATTGCAATTCAAATCTGAAATGTGGTGACTCAAGTTTTATTCGTATGCATATATACTTATCGTGAACCATGGTTTTGCCCCTCTGTCGGCGCTCGCCGAGATCGCTTATCTAGGAAAGATAAAACCTCCTTTTATTGCAATGATATACAGTACATACACTCAATCACCCACAAATAAATACATGCAACGCATTTCGATACCTCAACCAAGAGTACGATAGCGTTGCAGGTATTTCAATACCATACTACATCCTTCCTCTCCCACTAACCACCCTTCCAGACCCAAAATGTCCCACGAAGCAGCTCTCACATCCTCCACCGCGCAAGCAATTGCACCCGACCTCTTCCCACCCCGCACATCTCCCACCCCATCCCAAATCGAAGCGGGAATTACCGCGTGTCTCGAAGTTCAGCGCCGTGCCGTCACGCAAGGAAAACGGCCTTTTGCGGCCGTTCTATTGGGGCCTGATAACGAAACTGTGCTTCTCACTCATCAAAGCATCGATCAAGTAAATCATGCCGAGAGCTCATTGGCGCGATTAGCTTATGCGCATTACACGAAGGAATATTTGTGGAGGTGTACATTGGTTAGTACGTGGGAGCCGTGTGCTATGTGTTCTGGTATGTGGTCATTGTCCATACCCCTGAGGTGGAAAGTTCGGTACCTTATGATGTAATGTAATGTAATGTAATGTAATGTAGCGACGATTTACTGGGCACATATTGGGAGAATCGTATACGCGGCAACGAATGAGCAATTGGCGGGTCTTACCGGGCCTGGAAATAGAGAGAATTTTACACTGAAGTGGCATGCGAGGGATATTTTGGAGGGCCAACAGAAGGATATTGAGATTATTGGGCCGGTGGTGGGTATGGATAAAGTGGTTGTGGAGGAGAGCGATAGGTATTGGAGTACAACTAGGGCTCATACATGATTGAGCTGATATAAAAAGCTTTGAGCTATGTGAAGGATACACCATACAAGCTTCAAAACAGGTCAGATCCAGTTAGTCCAGTGTTACTACTATTAAACTTCGTCCACTATATCTCGACTTAAACTGATATTACGGTACATAAATGTCTATTTCTAAGGAGCCCCCATGATCACAAACAACCGGTCTCTTAACCAAACCAACTCCAGTAATAACAGAGGGCTACCCACAATTTGCACATGTATAGTTCGTTGAACTCCACAGATAATAGTCTAAAGAGGTGTCTTATATATGGATGCGGTGAAATTATCAAGTTCTATAAATTCAACAGCAGAAGCATAAAAGAAAAACAAGAAGCAGGGGAACTGCTAGGAAAACGAGGGTGTAGACAGAACAGGAACAAGTGAAGACGGAACTAAAAGGTCAATTAATCCATCAAATAACCAAGGAACAACTAGAAGCTGACATTTTAGCTCTCCATTCGTCCCCGACAAGGAATGTATGAATATTAGCGGTGGTATGTAAGAAACACAGAACCAACAAGCAAAACACAACCCCCTGAATATGATTGTAAGATTAGCGAGAACAATATCGTACCCCAACTGAACTTGGGCTTCTATGTTGATAGATTATACTCGAGTGGTGAGAGTCAAGATATTTATCAACAGTACGAGTAAAGGTTTTAAACAAATCGAGTCACTACTCTTAGCCAAATATATTAATGCATGGACGTTGTATGTTGGCATTGATGAGAAATGAACATCATGTTTCAATTTAGCCACTTGGCTACTTTGGACTGTCAGATGAACGCAACTTAAGGCATCTAGATATCGATATTGAGACTGTAATCAACAATCGAGTTCGTCTTTGACATTCAAAGTCCATGTTTTAAGCAGCATTGGTGCATTCGAGTTTTATTACGTCCTAGCATGCTAGGCGCCCGCATTCCCATTTCTTTTCTGACCAGCCAAACTACATGTATGGGTATCTTCACAATTCATTGATATCACTTTCCGTTTCGGCATCCATATCTAAAATCTGCGCCTCATCCTTCGATTTCTCCATTCTCTCTGCCCTCTCCTTCTCCATTTTCTCGTTGTCCAACTCTGCCAACCTTTCGCTCCTTTTCAGGTAAAACCTCTCCAAACAATCAGTCCGCTGTTTCTGTGTCCAGCTCTCTACTACAAATGCAAATTCCGTCGCGCTGGCAAACCCAAAGGTTTCAGCCATCGTGCAAAATTGCCTCTTCATAAGATCCTCTGGCGGATGAAATTGATAAGTTATATTCCCCCTTCTCCCTTCTACATCGGCAAAGAGCACTTCTTCACCATACCCAATTTCTCCACCGGTTTCCTCTGCACGACGACTGAGTCTCTCTTCTACTTTTGACGAGCCGACTACTTCAGAATTTTCGTGCGTGTATTCTACGCCTGCTGATGCTAGAATTGCGGCGATAGGATCGGATTTGGCAGTGGGTTTCTTTTTGTGCTTAGCAGCTTCTTCGCTTTCTGTGATCAAGGCGGCGAGTTGACTCATCGCGCCAGTGGGATCATCATCATCCGCTCGGAGAGGATTGTCGTCATCATCGAGAGCTGCTTGCATATCAAAACTGGCCATGGCGACGCCTGCCCTTGTCTCGGCAACGTTGGTTTTATTGACGATGTCTCGAAGTAAAATTTCATCCGCGTGGAAAGATAGAAGGTTGTCCAATCCGAAGATCTCTCCTTTTTGGCTAACCGCGTTTTGTACGCCCTTAAAATATCGACGCTCCATTGAAGCATTGTAACCGATGTTAGCTTGCTGCTGCTTGTATATTTGACGCGCATAAACCACTTCTTCTATGGTTCCAGCGGAAACAAGTCGAAATGAATCAACGTCCCGCAGCTGACCTATCCTGTACGCTCTATCTTGAGCTTGTAAATCGTAACTGGGGTTCCAATTAGGATCAAAGATAACAACCAGCAAGATGTCAGCAGTTGCTTATCAAAGAAAGATCTCAAGATTGAACTTACTTTATTAGCACTTGTAATATTCAAGCCAACGCCTAATAGAACTAATCAGTATACGAAGATCCTAAAGGGCATTGTGTCTTGATAGCCACTTGAATACGTCCATATACTGTATATCTTTGAATCGATATATGAGTGGACTTTTTGAACGTCGAATAGTCAGGAAACTCGAAAATACCAATCCCAACATTCGAACTGCTTCAAATATAAAGGAAATCAAATTTTTCGAGAAAAGATTCGAAAAGGGATGCACCGCAAAATGTAATGAACTCGAGAAAGTAAACGTACCTCCAGCCTTGGTGGATATCAAGAAGATGAATTGGTTGGGATCTGAGTTAAAATCATCCACTGTATCCTGACGATCTTCATATTTCATTTCCCCGCTGAGAAAGCTAACGTTATAGCTAGTACTCTGAAATAAATGTTGAAGCATTCTCAACAGCTTGACGCTATGGGAAAAGATTAGAACCTTATCTCCTTCCTCGTGCCAATGTTTCAATAGCTTCTTCAACACCTTCCACTTACCGCAAAACTCGGGATTGGACAGGTTTGCAATTGAATCTCGAGCTTTGTATAATTCTTCCCATCTATCAGGTAACATCTTCCGGAGAAAATCTAAATCTCGTTCTTGCCTTTCCCTCGGATCTCCGTCATTAGGTAGGAGAAGAGCCAAGTGGTTTGACAACTTCTGAAGTGTTGTCATGATAGGGAATACAATAGCCTGCCATTTCGTGTTTGTCCCAGGTATTTTAGAATAACAGCAATTTCCACGCGATAATTTGGTGCCACAATCGCAAGTTTCGCCATGATTTCTGACTAATTGTACAATATCACTATCAAGGAACCTCTCATATGCTTCCCGTTGAAGATCAGTAAGCGGACATGGTAGCAATCTGTCCGTCTTCCTAGGAAGCTGGTGGGCGATCAAAGTCTTCATCCTCCGTAGAAAGAAATGAGGCATAAGATTGTTGACCAACCTTTTTGCAGTCTCCCGAGCCCGTTTTACCTGTTGATTTGTAGAGTCGTGACTCTGTCCAATCCGCAAAGGCTCTGAAATAGTCGAAATCCAGGTAGCTAGTGGGCCAACCTTTCCTGGGCAACACCAATTCAGTAGTGTCCAAAGTTCTTCGTACTTATTCTGTATAGCAGTACCCGTAAGTCCAATGCGACACAAAGAATTTACCTCATTCATTGCTTGTGTCGTAGCAGATGTTCCCTCTTTGAGCTGATGACATTCATCAGCTACAACACAATCCCAGGAAATAGTATTCAGGTCATCCTTGTGATTCTTGTATGTTGCATATGTAGTAATGACAATTTCGACCCGACCAGATTGTGCACTCCGAAGTACGGAATCTTTCTCCTTCATACTCCCATGAAATTTTTCGATATGCCACCATCCCCACCTTGTCAATTCATTATTCCAGTTCTGAATTAAAGAACCAGGACATACAATGAGTACTTGAGGATACCATCGCTCTTCGTGTGCTGTTTTCATTTTTCGCATACGTTTTCCGTCCCGCTCGTCTCCTGTCTTTCCAAACGCTGCTGCAAGAAAAGCGGCCACTTGCACGGTTTTCCCTAAGCCCATATCGTCACCTAAGATACCGCCTTTCTGGTAGACGAATTTTTCATGGAGAAATTTAACTCCGTCAACTTGGTAATCTCGGAGATATTGTGCAATGGATGCAGGTATTATACCGTTGGATAATTCCATATTTATGTCTGCATAAGGTCTTGAAGGCTCCACAGTACTTGGAAAATCTGGTCGTTCTTCGAGCTCTGCCAATTGCTCATCATCTGAAAAGTTTATGTCCGAGTAGTCAGGGGGGAGCCGAAGGCCAGCGCTCTTCATTTTCTCTAGGTTCGTATCGAACTCTCTCCGTCTATTTTGTAGATATTCAGGAATCTCGTCGTCCATCTCGTAATCTGATTCTTCCCCCCACATCATCTCTTTCGACTTGGATGACCCTCCCTTCTCATTTGCCTCCTTTGCATCCTTTGCTCGTTCCTTTATCCGTTTCTTTTGAGCATTTAGCTTCTTGCGCTTCTCGGATTTCCTATTCTTGAACTTCTCGTAAGGATTTTCCTCTTCATCGTCGCCCGACCATTCTACTTGCTCGACTGCCTTACGTTTGTTGCGCTTGTTGATCTTGGATGTCTTCGTTTCGGATTCGATGGCATCCTCGTTGTCAGAAGCGGAGGCAACCTCTAGGGTATTGTCAGCACAAATATTGCGAGTGCCTTTGATCAGCGCACTATCTGCAAGCAGACCCTTGATTATATCAGACCTGCACTCAGACCCTTCATCTTCCGTGGTCACTTCATCGTCGAAATGCATTGTGGGATCCATGATAGGTCTTTGCTGGAATATAATCTAAGAATTCGACGGTACCATCTGATACTGAGGCTCAATATATGATCTATCTGAAGGCGTCATGAAGATATGTTGAACTATTGATGGGATTCAAAAGGACTAGAATACATTGATAATCCATTCGTGAAAGAAAGTGATAGCGATACCTAGCTTGTCCACGCGTCGAGTGTAAGTACACTTTTGTCGCGGCTGTAATTATTTGATTACGGTGGCTGGTATATCTGTAGTTAAAGTTTTCTCATGATTTTTCTCCCAATGCCGTACCTGTTATTCTCTTTATCAAATTGTCGTTCGGGATCTTGTGTGACGTCGCGTCATTTCGTGTAGTCACGTGATACATTCAATTTCGCGTCCACCCATGCCATGTTCTATTCAAAAGAAATAGCTCAACAAGTTGCAATTGGAGGCAAACATTGAAATATCACTTTCGTTTACACGTTTCCTTCTATATCGACATTCCCTCCAAACTATAACAAGTACGGGTTACCGGTAGGTGTTATTCTTGAAGTACCGAGTGGAAAGCCCACGGGTCTACTAGGTATATTTGTCCTCGCATACAAATTCAGATATAATCATACTGTATATCTACTCGAGTTATTTTAAATCCCCTCATGTCCCATTGACAGGTGAGAGATCAAACCCCAGTGACAATTGCACATCAACGATCTTTCATGTACGAATAGAATGTTCTCTGAATGTCTTTCCACGATCTTTCCCTTCATCCATAGAGACGTCAAGTGGCAAAGACGGGTAAATAGAGTTCATCAAGATGAGCCAGCAGTGAGATCTGCATCACAGGGAAAGTTAAAAGTAAAGATAATGAGAGATTAGGGTTCACTCGGTACAAAGATCATATATGTCGATCTCGTACCCATATTCGCACACGTCTCTTTCACATGGATTTAGGAGCCACATATACTAGATTTAACGTTTAAATTGGTTGGAACTCCTCGAATAATTTGCATTATGATAAAGCTCATCGTTATCAAATTGGCGGCAAAAGGTTTCATTTGGTCAAGTTTGATTCTTTGAGGCTATTACTGAGTTATAGAGCTATAGCCTATAGTAATCGTGTATTTGAAATAATCTTATTTGTACTTTCAGAGTGAATATGTAAGTTCTATAATATCAAAAGGGGATTATCGCTTGCGGGAAACAATCGCTTTCCCCGATTGGGAACCAGGCGGCCGTTCCACGGAGAGCCGACTATTAATTTCGTTTCTTCGTTTGTACAGGACTCAAATCTAATGATACATGATGTTCCCGTCGGAATTGCCTGTGGTATTTGTGTGTCTCCATAAACCCGCCTATGTCCTAATAACGCCTATGTTCCGTAGGTATTCTATTACTATACCACGTAAGGTCCTTGTAAGCCAATTTCTCCTGCTCCTGAGATGTTTACCAATGGTGCTAGTTCAGGATACCTGGCTGCAAATCTCTCATCCAAACTCCAGTTTGATAGATTCCTGATGTGAGTCTCAAAATCTTCTGTAATATATATATCGTTGCCTTCAAATCTGAATGCCTCCAGATCGGGACGTGGCCAGTTTGCATTGATGCAAAGTATATATGCATTCTGGAATTCTTCATTGGCATAACGTTCTTGATTTTCAATGACCTTATCTCTGAGTTTGCCCCAGAATATTGAGTCTGCCCATACGGGATGAGCTGTGATGAGCTGGGATGGTCGTGGCGAAGACCAATCTGTCAAGTATCCATAGGTTGATGATGAAGGATGAATTTGCCATTGACAAATATGATACATTAAATAGAGACAGCCTGCCCGTTCGGGAAGACCTCTAACCGCAAGATTGGTGAGAAGATTCGAGATCATTGTGGAGGCAATGTGAGTCTGGTTTGGGTCCTCAGGATAAATAATCGCCTTCATGCTGGGTTGAGGAGGCCCAATTATTTGAGCTATCGATGCCCCTTGTTGCGCCATTTCTTTCTGCGTGCGTATAATATTCATAAGGAGTGTGTCAACTCCACATGTCGGGGTCGATGTATTTAGTATTGGTATATCCCAAGGTTGAAGTGGCTGTGGAGTCGAAAACGATATTCCATGATTCGCTTGGAATTGCTGTAAGGGCGATAGTATCTCTGGTCTGCTCGACATGTTTGAAGTATTGAAAGGCTGTGTTTGTCGTGGTTGGGGTTGCGATTGCGTGTGCCCAGGAATGGTAGCTAGATTTGGATTCTGAAGGGCATCTGATGGAACAGATTTTCGAGCCCAGTTTCCTGCTATATGTTTTGTCATTATCCCGAACATTTGAAAGAGACTGGAAGTGGAAGGAAACAAGGGACTGCAAAAAAAAAGATGCAATTTACCATCATTGAAATTCACTTGATGGTTTGGGTCAAAATACGAGAAGCGACTAGTCTCGTCTAAAGCACTCATGGAAGCCGGCCCATTTACCTGTGGAACTCCGTCAATAGGTCCAAATGCCGTGCTGAATGAGCGCCTGCTAGCACCGGTTGAGCTTCTCGAATTTCCTGGTTGTTGGTACCACAGTGTCTCAAATGTTTGTGAGTCAATGGGCCTAGTCGTGGAAATCTCCCGAGGGATATCTCTTGTTGATGAACTAGACACGTTGGTATCGCGCAGATAATTTAGAGCAGTAGATCCATCCGAGCCTTTTTGTGACGTTTGATTAGCATTGTATAACGACCATTCATTGTGGACGATCAAAGGTTTCAAGAGTACTACGACCGTAGCCATCCAATTGGCACTTAAGCTGCACCGCTTGGCTGGATAAATAATGCCTAATATCCTTGACATGAGCTCAGTGTCTGAGACTTCTTGGCACCGTTGTGATCTCGCCAAATTAAAACCATAAACTTGAGCAGTAACTACATTCATAAAAGAAAGGCTGAGAGCAATTTTGACAAAACGCATACATACTCGAATTATCATCGGTCCTCAGCTGCGCTAGACTTTCGCTCAATCGTCTTACTTCCCCCACCAATGCCTCATTTTGCCTGTGCACCTCTTCGAGCTCGACGTCGGGGCTGCGACCTTTGGTAAGTTCTTCAACGCGAGCCTCTAATCTCTCAATATGCTCCTACAATATCTGGTCAACAAGCTGGTCAAGGGAGTTGGAGTGGTCTAAATCCCAGTTGACGATATCAACCTAGGCTAGAAACGAGTTTGGAAGTGGCTTGCCGCACCTTATTTCTTGATCTGATATTCCGCTGTGCTTCGCGGTCATTGGCTCTTTTCCTTGCTAGTCTATACAAATTAACACATTTCAACATAATGGGTTGTGGGTATTATGTTGGAGCAGGCCCAAAAGCACTGCTCCAGAAAATATCATAAATGCTATACGTACCGGGTAGGGCTTAAGTTTAGTACGCTGCGAGTGCCGGCACGCGATACTATGAATGTTAGACGACTTGTCGAAAATAAGGGATGGCCAGGACATTGGTTGCCATATATCTGGCAGACAACTTCGTACCTCGTTTTACTTCACCGACCTTCTTGTCAGTTGCATTCACTGAATCGGAATGACTTGGTCCCTCCCCATCAGAACCCACTGGCCCGTTAGAGCTATGGACTGATTGAGACATAATCGGATGCTCCGGTATGGTTACAAGAGTAGGCTATAGTACAAATCAGATCTTCATCTGGCTTCCCTCGTGACCATGAATTGTGTCTCGATTGGAAGCAAGTGTGTTGCTATGAATCAAGTGCCGATGATAGAAAATTGACTGCGAGATGAGACTTGTCAACACAACAAGGCTCGATTCGAGCGGAGAAGAGAATATAACAGATTAACCCCAAGAAATTTGAACTTCACGGAATGTGTAGGGTCGTAAATTCGGCTGTCGATATTCTGAGATCTGAAATTCTTCTATATGGAAACGTCTTCCAAGGTTAATTGTAAAGTTACCCGGAACTGTTCGGCACGGCAGGACATAACAGGAATTAAGAAGAAACACAGAGGCAACTTGCGGGCGCGGAAGATGTACCGCTCTTAAACAACATGTAATCAATGTTCAGAGTATATTGTACTGGCTGTTGAATGAGGTGAAAGGTTGAAGAAAGGTTGAGTGGTTTGCGGTGACCCATCAGTAGTGGTGAAGTGCCAAGATGCACGAGTTTGGCTCCAAACTACTTTGACTAGTGCAAGTAGGTGCGGCGGGCAGACAAACTTGTGAGGAAGAAAGGATGAATAAGATTTGAGTTAAAAACAAATTGGAAATTGGAAAGTCAAAATTTGAAGTAATCATTTAAACACTTTTTCAAATGAAGGTCCTGTAATGTATATTGAGTACAAATGGTATACCATGATATATCGAATGAAGTTATGAACAAATCAACTTACTATCGATTTGGCTTAGATGTACTCGTACAATAGATCAATAGACATACAGTACTTACTCGTACTTACCGTTGATAAGATGGCAAATCTCTCAAAGGGCCCCCTGCCATCCCTTATGTATGGATGTAGCAGTACCGGTACTGTATGGGCTACTAGGTTCTCAACTTATCAATGAACTCAATGGCGCCGGCCTTCTTCACCGATCCCACCTAGGACTAGCATTAGAGCTACTCAGTACTCGAGTAGTGTGAGAATCATCAATGAGCAATTGTTAGCAATTAACAACAATGGCAATTCAAGTTAAATCAATAAACTAAAAGAGCTTACAAACACTCCGGCATCACAAATGCTTCAATGTCGATTTCCTTTATGATTTATAATCAATACTTCAATAGTATAAATCTCTCGTAATGGTGTAATATTTAAAGTTTGAGTGAAATCGATGAGATATCAATGTCCCGGAGTATAAATGTCCGTACTGTTTTGCGAATCCACGATCAGTGAATGGACAGTTGCTGAGGGGTGATAGAGGAATTTATAGCTTGAACTTTATCAATAACTTGGGGCTTTTCAAATCCCATATACAGTACTGTACAGTACTTTACAGAGGCATCACCCGAATCAAGATCAGCATTCCTGAACCCGTGGGTTCTCAGAACAGCACATTTGGGCGTTGGGCTCGATTGGATCGTCCGTCAGACTACGGGGAAGTTCCCGGAAGATTAATAGCAACAGCTTATCGCCCTCACCAAAACCTGGTGTACCGAATGCAAGATTCACCAAGGCGGTTGTTAGTCATTATGGCGTGTATATTATGGGCCGTGTATATTTTCTTTTGGTAATTAAGTACATTCAGAAGGACGTGTCAAACAAAGGCCAAAAGAAACTTCGTAGCTCATACGATTTCAGGGTTGTCTTCTTTCACCGCCTTGACCAATTCTTCCATACCTCCAACTTCTGTTGGTCCATTCACGCCGTCAGGAGGTAAAGCCCAGGGTGGGAGAGGGCTTACATAACTCCAAGATCCTCCAGCATCTTCATAGCGAAGACTGTGAAGCCACAGAGATAATTCCTGTTCGCCAGGATCGGTATATAATGGGGTTTGGCATACTTCACATAGCTCTCCAGACATCTTCTCGGCTTTCTTCTTGTTGTATTCGTCTACCATCTCGTCATGGTAGGCTACAGCATCAGCAACCTCGGACTTGCCCATCTTCGATAGACGAGTTATGATATCTTCATCCGTATCTTGAGTTGCATCAGGATCATTTGCTCCAAGCCTCATCCCCCATACACGTTGATTGCAATATATAGGATCGTTACCAATAGGATGACCTAGAAACTGTAAATGAACCCTAAGTTGATGTGTACGTCCGGTGACTGGAAGGCATCTAACGATCGAGTAACCCTCCTTACTCATCGACGAGCTCGACTTATCTAGCTCGGGATTGTCCCCGACCTGTTCTAGAAGGGTTTCTGGCGGATAATATGCTAGGCGCTTGAAGACCGTGCGGGCAGCTTTACCATTTGCCCTGACACGGTTCAACCCCAACTTTGGCGATATCTGCAGGATTGGCATATCGCAAACCACTTCTCCATCAGGGAATTTCCCTTTTACTCGTGCTATATATTCCTTTCTAACAGTGCGCCCTGCTATTTGTAAACTTAGTGCTTCTGCTGCCTTGGCGTGCTTTCCAATGAACATAATGCCACTGGTTAGTCTATCCAATCTATTGCACGGTAATGGGTTCCAGCCATGGCCACGCTCAGCTCGCATAATTTCGATTACGGAATTGTAATTGTACCGACCAGCAGGGTGGACCGGAACGCCTGAAGGTTTGTTTATGACAATCATGTCTTCATCTTCATGTACGATTGATATTGGCAGAGCTGTAACGGGAGGTTCATGTCGATGCAGGGTATGTGATATAACATCTCCATTCTTTATGATTTGCGAAGTCGAATCGACGGGTTTGCCATTCACAACAATAGCTCCGCGTTCCATGGCATCTTTCTAGGATTGTCAGCAATGCGCCCTGTTGCTTGGAATCATCCAGAACGTACGTAGTATTCCAAAGGTCTATCTCGAAATTCGCTTGAAAATATATCCAGTATTTCTCTTCCCCTCCATCTTTGTTTGCAGGATGTATTGTAGGTATAATGGTACGGTGCGACTCTACGTAAACCATGATCTAAATAATAAGGTCGCGGCCATGGATCGGAAGGAGTAATCACCACTGTGGGGGGTTCTACAAATGGTTTATTTTCTTTCACAGGTGGGTATCCAGCAGAGATTTCGACAAGTGCCATGGTGGGATTCGACATTCCAGCCCTGCGGGCTAAAAGCGCAATAATGCGAGGTGAAGGAGGCACTGTATCGGTTCCGAGTGTGCTGAGAAAGATAATGCAAACAGTAGTTAGAATACCGCGATGGGAAGTACAGATCGTTTGTGATCGAGAGACAAACCAAGTTGTGGTGGTGGGATGGGATGGGAATATTTTTAGACCGCCTGGCAGAATGTCTATTCTGCCATACTGGTTTACAATAGGCGGTGTATCAATCACTGGTGTATAACGATATTAGCTCGCGTTGAGACCCAAACTTGTTATTTGCTAAATCAACTGCTTGGTATCGATACTGCTTGACTTTATCTCCAATACCTTCAATCTTGGCTTTGGCCCTAGCTAGCTCGGCTGAGAACAGATCTGTGCACCCATCTAAACCTTATCCCATTCGAACCTCCTCCCCTTTAAACATCTTTTCATCTTGTATACTCTCCTTGATATTTGTGTATCTTCGTCGTGAAATCCTATCACGAAGACCAATCATTATGTCTCATGGAGAGCTTAAAAAACGAAGAAGAGATGATTATGGCTATGTTCTCGAGTACAGAACACGCTGGTATGACATCTTTATATCCCGGCGCAAATAGCAATGAGCTGACAGCACATCTGGAGGTCGGACAATGATATGTACCATCATATGAACAATAGCATCTACAACTTTTTGTAAGTCTTTCTGAATCCGTCGGGATGTACTGTATGGCTGAGAATAGAGAAAGATACGATTCAATCGTGAACTCATATCTCATCGAGCATTGTGGTCTACATCCGCCCACCTCATCCCAGTATGGACTTGTCGTACACTCTCATGGTGATTTCTTTGGCTCAATTGCGTTTCCAGCTGTCGCTGATCTAGCGTTACGCGTCAACAAGCTTGGGAAAAGTAGTGTCACTTACGAAATCGCTTTATTCGAGCGAGGAGTCGAAGAGGTCAAGTCGGTCGGCGAAATCATACACGTTTTTGTTGAAAGAGAGACTGGCCGGCCAGCAGCGCATGGCATGAACGCCACAACCAAAGGAGGACTTCAGAAGATCCTCAAAGCTCAACCAAAACTCTAAAACACTTTGACAATATTCAAAGTTTCCGTTGAATTCACACATCCAATTATTCTAGATGGGCAGATGGGGGAACGGAAACAATCTCGAACAGTGCAAAACTGTTAACACGGGAAGCTGTTCCGTTTTCTTATCAATCGGTAACCTTATATTGACACGTATAGATGCATCTTATCACCCTAAATCTTCAATCTTATCTTCTACAACCGTTCATCCCCCGTCGCCAATTCACAATTCACAAATCAGCGGAAAGTATTTTGATGTATCGGAATACCAAAGCGGGAATTCCGCTTCTTGCATGAGTTCGAACCAATGAAGCTACTGCCGGGGTACTAGCAAATGTCGGTAGAACTTCGCTTGTGTGATGATATCCACTGGTTTGCATTGTCTCGGGCAAGTTGCACCTTTTGATAAGACCAATATTATGATTTGGCAGGCTTTATTAGCTGGCTCATACTGTCTCGGGACATGATCAGGAGGGTCACGTGTGACTGATCCGAGCGGAGTGTGCACCCTTAAACCCTGAATTCCTTGCATCAATAACGATACCCCAGAAGGGTGGATTCGACAGAAAGGTTATCTCCGCATTTCCACTTTCAAGGGAAGATTACAGAGTGCTCGGGGAAGAAACATGTATTACAATTCCAAAGCGGGAAAACATGTGGATTCGTCTCGAAGATTTAAGGATACTTTTCCCTAGTAAATTGACATCCCCCGCATTTTCACCCACACTCCTCCCCCTGTCAACTGATAAAAGATCCCGCGAAAACTTTTATACGAAAGACCGAGTGACACATTGTGATAGTGATAGGTAAGCATTACTACCTAGGTAGGCATGGCGAGAGGACATCAAGATCGTTAGATGACTATTCTATCGTCTGACCCTCATTCATAAAATAAACTCGTTCCCCAGGAGGAGTGATTCTGATGTTCATACATCCATTCCAGTCCATCGTTTTCTTTACACTCACCAAGCTTTTGTCTTTTTGAGCAAATGTGTGTGATATAAGAGTCTGGCTTAGCCTCAAACGTCCACTTGACGTTTACAATCCACCCAATGTTACAATAATAACTTCCACTCTACCCCCAACTTGCCAATTATCCTCTCAGTGTGACGTAACCACACAGACATTATCGAAAACTAGTTAACCCTCCAAAACGACAACAACCATATTACAGCTCTCAAGTTATCGGAAAGATGGTTTCAGCTGGCAAGTTACAGCTGGATTATATAGAAGATGCCAATAAGGACAGCTCGACAGCCTCTGCAATTGGAATCAATCCCGGTCCTAGGGTGCTTCAACCGCCGGAATGGATCGCTGCTCTGTCTCCCGAGGAGCGTGTTGATCTCGAATCCAAATTGAAGAGAAAAATTGATCTTAGATTGTTACCGATGGTGATCTTGATGTATATCATGAACTATCTAGACAGGGTTTGTCGATTTCCTCTCCAATCTTATACATTCAATGATCACTAATTCATGATAGAACAATATTGCAGCAGCACGGTTAGCGGGAATGGAGGAAGATTTGCATCTAGTAGGAGACCAATATCAGGTACGTAATTATGGTCTTTGTCGGTGATCAAAGCTAACAGCCATAGACTTGCGTCAGTATTCTCTTCGTCGGATACCTCCTGATGCAAATCCCATCGAATTTATTCTTGAATAAGCTCGGTAAACCCGCAACTTATCTACCGATAGCAATGATCCTTTGGGGTATAATATCAACTGCTACAGCTGCAACCCACAATTACGTGGGTCTTCTCATGTGTAGATTCTTCCTCGGTTTCGTTGAGGCTGCATACTTTGTAAGTTTCCGTACCCGTGATCTGTTGATACATTCTAATACTTTTCAGCCTGGATGTCTCTACTATCTCTCGTGTTGGTACACTCGAAAGGAATTGGGTCTGCGCACAGCATTCCTGTATGCGGGATCTTTGATTAGTGGAGCCTTCTCTGGTCTCATCGCCGCGGGAATCACGGGGGGGATGGATGGTGTGAGAGGACTCTCTGCTTGGAGATGGCTTTTCATCATTGAGGGTTCCATCACAGTGGTTATAGCCGCTTCAAGTCACTTTATCATTCCCAACTTTCCGCGCACTACAGCCTGGTTGTCGGAACAGGAACGTGAATTGGCAGTGTGGCGTTTAGAAGAGGATATCGGTATGGACGACTGGGTTGATAGTCATCAGCAAACATTCATGCACGGCTTGAAGCTCGCGTTTATCGATATCAAAACGTACATTCTGGTGCTTCTGCTGTTTGGCATCGTTGCCGCTGGCTCAGTTACCAATTTCTTCCCGTAAGATTCTCCTAACCTATCTATCAATCTGTCTAGGAGGAAAATTACTAACCGCAACGTCTCCACAGAACCGTAGTTGCAACCCTAAACTACAACAAAATCCAATCCCTCCTCCTAACCGCTCCACCCTACGTCTTAGCAGTCATAACAGCCATGACCAACGCCTGGCACGCCGACAAAACCGGCGAGCGCTTCCTCCACATCGTTATTCCCCTCTGTTTCGCCCTCATCGCCTTCATCATCGCCGCCGTCACCACATCCACCGGTCCCCGCTATTTCTCCATGATGCTGATGGTTCCCAGCATTTACACCGGTTTCGTAGTAGCACTCACGTGGATCTCGAACACGCTTCCCAGACCACCAGCTAAGAGAGCGACTGCATTGGCTTTTATCAATATGGTATCCAATGCCTCGAGTATCTACGCAAGTTACATGTATCCCAGTAGTGCGGGCCCGAGATACATCGTGGCGATGAGTGTTAACTGTGTAATGGTTTTCATGGCCATGTGTGCGGCGCTTACGTTAAGAATTATGTTGGTGAGGTTGAATAAGAAGTTGGATAGGGGGGATGCGGTGGATGGAGCTGCTAATGAGGGTACGGTGGTGGCGGGCCAAAAGGGCTTTAGATATAAAGTCTGAGTGATAATCTCTTGCAATTGGAACTGATGAAATCAAGATATAAGCGGTGCGAATTTATCATCGTCACCACACAGGGACGGTCATGATGGTGGTGTAGCATATGGACGGTGATAGACGGTGATAGACGAAGGAGATGGAGTGACACGACTTTCTGTACTTGCTACGAGATAGACTAGATAGATATCATGAAATGACTTAATGACCACTTATTTCCGCTTCAATTTTTCGCATCAATGTTCAACATCAATTGTGTATATAATCCACAACATTTCTCTAGGGGAGGTGATATCGTCACTGCAAGTAAGTACTTAGAATTTTTCAAGTCCAACTACCATTTAGACGCAGGCGTACGAATTCTTGAGTCTTGAAAGATTAGTATTTATAGTAGACACCAATGAATGATGAATCGGGCACAAAAATTATGTTATGATCTAAAATTCATATACACAATCTCATCTACTCCCTCTCCCCCCCCTCAAAAATCCACTTGGAATAGATTTCCTAGTACAACACCATCTCCTGCTTCAACAAACTCACTCTTGCTCTTATCTCCCGTGATCCCAAAATATTTCGTACACTAAGTCTACTATATGAATTTCCTCTATCCCAGACACCAAGACCCAACACCCCGCCCACCCTCGTTCACGCACTCTTCTTTGACACATCCATTTTCTCGTACGCATCAGCCTTTTCATACCCATCCTCATTCCCATTCCCATTCCCATTCACCGCCCCACACCCATCACTTCCTCTTTTCTTCGCAACACCATTCCCAAAATCAGGTACAAGCTGACCATTTCAATTTCTCTTTTTGGTACTGGCACCCCCACTATTTGCGCCGCCTACAATCAACCCTACAGGCCAAGCGAAACTGCTCCCTAGAGCTTGTCCCGCTTCCTCCGAGGTGAGGTATTCTACCAATGCAATGACTAATTTTCTCGAAGTTAGTATAGCTGTTTCTCGGTTTGGTATTGCTTGATTCACAATACGGGAGATGTTCTATAGTGGGAAGATGAACCACTGAAGTATCTTAAATCATGATGGCGCAACGGGGGAAACTTACAAATATAAGCACCGATACCTGTTAAGATATGCCACCAGCCGTGCAATTCCAGGATAAAAGACCAAGGCATACCGATGGAGCGTTTGATATCAGTAAGGGAGCTGCAAAAGTGATTATCGATGTTCCAAATAAGGAAACCGGAGACAAAGATCACTGTAGTATTTGTCAAAGAAGAGAAAAATTAGACGATGCAATTAGGTAGACATACCACCACCATATGTAACGAGTTTCTTGACTTGTTTCTGCACAGCTGCATTCGCAACGCGCTGATTGATGATACTGCGAGTCTTGATGCCTACGAAAGCAATTTCGATTCCTATTGTTCATCAGCTGTTTGTCCAATCACTTTCGCCACCATATTAAAGGGGTAGGAGTGGGAAATGTGAAGATTATCTTACCGAAAAGCACAGGGTGCATTACAGTCTCATCGGTAATGCAATGCCAGGCTATAAATGTAACCATGAATACAAACAATGAAGATCCAGTAACGACTGTAAATTTGAGTGATTTATCGTATGTGAAAACTCGATGGAGGACCGTGGAAGTGGCGATCAACATTGAGGTATCATCGCCTTGATGATTTGTTAGTATAGAGCAGAGTACATCAGTCTCCAGGGCACCATATGATGATGAATGTCCCAGTTCAAGCGAAACATTCCCAGTGAAACAAGATAGGAGAGTCAAAACTTACCCCACTGCGTCCAGTCTTTACAGGTGGCATGGAAAAGGGCACTCAGAATACCAACTGCAGCAAGTCCTAGATAAGGTAGATTTCGCAGAATGGCATCTTTACGGTTAGAATTGGCTTGGATACCCTTGTAGGCATAGTAAACTATTCACGGCCACAAACATTAGCTTCTGGACAGCTGTCGAGGTAGAGATCGCAAACCTCGTGATTAACACGTGGGCAGATATACATAAACAGGAAGAGAGGTGATGAAGAGTAGGAAGTATGTACTGTAGGTGATGTTTGTGAGAGTATTCATAAACTCGGCGATGTATGTAGTTATGATGTGATCCTGATTTTCAAATCAGTTTACTGGTGAAAAGCTTTGCTTTGCTCAGCTCAGCTCAAGTTGAGGATTGGTGTACCTCTTCGCAGAAACTATCAGGTATTAGCATTCATATTCATCGTGGCAAAACACAAGAGGAAATGCAAATATTATTTGGAAGATATACTTACTTGGTTTGGGAGTTGATGGGACCCCAATATGGAGGATGAGGTTCATCTCTATACGGTATTGATGGTATGGGAAACATCTTCGTACTCTGTAGACCCGTAGTAGATCGAAAGCAGTGCAGTGTATGAACGAACACAAACTTGTAATGAGTTGAACAGATGTTAAGAATCTGGCAAAATCAAAGTCAATATGTTTCTCATGAATGAGCATCAGGATATATATATACCTAGAGGTAGTTGGTAGGTAACCTAGTAGGTGAATGCGTGTGAACGAATAAAACAAAGCAGAACCAACAAAACTTCTTCAAATGTGCATGTGTGTATGTGTGTATGTCTATCTACTTTATCTATTGTACTGAGTAAAGGAGATGTCTCATCATCCTTAGCATATATGCTATGGCCACATCCAAACCAAAGGAATCTGGCTTCTGGTACGTATTCAAATACGGTACGTACTGCAGAGTAAAATCTCGTGAGAATAGGTGGAGAGGAATAATTGGGTGATCGTCATAAATAATATTACTATTTATAATTTGCCAGATGGATATTGCCTAAATAGAGTTGGGGTCACTTGGATTGATTGGTTGAACTGGGTTCATGTATATTTCTTATAATGGGATTTATACTTCACCGCTCACCGCATAGGAGGACCGACCCCGTCTCTTTCCTAACCCTTTTTTACTGGACAACTACTGGACAAGTAATTACATATAATAATAATAAAAATTCATAATCGATTTGATCCTAAATGGTATATCTATATCTATATACCATACCGTATATCTAGACGAACATAATATTGTGAAGACATAACTAGAACTGATACAAAATACAAAATACAAACTTAGCTAATCTTCCAAACTTCCCTTACAAAACTCAGAAGTCGGCATTATCCCCAAGATGCCCCGACCACACAACCAATCACGGCACACATCTTCCAGCTGACCCCTTCTCCCCCGTTATCTAATCCTCTTACCTCGGTCCAATTCCCACTCACCCTCATAATTAAAATCCGGGGAAATGCCCTCCTCCTCCTCCTCCCCCTCCTTCACCATCCCCAATATTGGAACTGCGAATCTCACCGCCATCATCGCCACTTCTTCGCTCTACATATATCTCATTGCACTGCATTTACATCAACAGAAGACCTTGTTAAGATACCAGGAGTCGCGAGAATTAGAACAAGAACAGAAAGAACAGCAAGAACGCGAACGCGTGAGACATTCACAATTGCAGCAGGCGCAAGCGCAAACGCAAACGCAAACGCAAACGCGATATAATAATCAAAGAGAAGAATACACGACGGATCCAATTGCATTTGAAAGGTCGCGACAATTTTGTGAGGATCAGAGACAATACTACACAAACACGGGGACGAATACATATCGAACGAACCCAAGCACCATGTCCAAAACCTTTTCACCCTCGGAAGTGGCGGCTCATTCTAAAGATGCGGAGGATGGACTGTATATTATCATCGACGAGAATGTGTATGATATTACCAGTATGTTTGCTTCTCTTGCTACACCCCCCTTCCTCTCCCTTCCCCTCCTGTATCCTTCCACAACAAATCATTACCTTCTAGAAGCTAATCAGGTACCCGCGCCCACCCCCCAGATTTCCTCGAAGAACATCCCGGCGGTGCAAAAATCCTCAAACGCGTCGCGGGCAAAGATGCCTCGAAACAGTTTTGGAAATATCATAATGAGGGTGTGTTGAAGAAGTATGGGGAGAAATTGAAGATTGGGAGTGTGGGGGAAAAGGCAAAGTTATAGATAGATGGATGGGCAGAGGGAGAGGGAGAGGGAGAGGGAGAGGGGAGAGAATGTGCGGATTGGAGATAGATGATGGATTGATAAGGGACGAACGAAGAGAGGATAGAGAGTCAATATTGGATGATTGTGCTGTTATATAAGATGAGATGAGATGAGATGAGTTAATATGAGAATATATATATATACATGGGATGGATTTTGTTGTGCGTGGTTAGAGAGAATGATATATAAATAGACAATGCATTTATTGGCCATGGCGTCCTGATGTTTTTCATTATCAAATCTTGCAGCTGAGATTGGGCACGAGAAGCACTCGAATGTAGAAAGTGGCTCATAGATTCATGTTGGGTATACTGTCGCTATGACTAACCCTGAGGAGCCAAAAGATCGAATGTCCCGCATTAATTCATATTATTCCAATTAAAAGCATCATATATTTCATAACACCTTCGAAGATTGCATCTCCCATAATCATCCAAATTTTCATCCACATCCACATCTCCATCTCCATCTCCATCACCAATCATCCTAAAACATCAAACCGCCCATCATCATACCCCCACCCAATCCCATCGCCAACGGCATGCCCATACCCCCACCATAACCACCCGCATATGGTCTCCTATACGGAGTATTGGGTCTCCCATACATCGAACTCATACCCCCATACGGACTCATACCAAACGGGCCCTGAATCCCAGACATATACGGATTATAACCATACCCGCCACGCGGATACACCGCCCGATTCATCCCCGAACTATACGGCGGCTCAATATACACATCCTTTCCATTGCGATCTTGGCCAATAAGTTGAGGTTCGCCTGTTCGAGCCGCTTTACTCATCGCAGCGCGGATAGCTTGATGGCGTCGATAGGCGGCCGCTTCTTCTTCTTCGCGCTTGCGACGGCGCGCTTCTCGTTCTGGATGCGTGGAGTTGGTGATTTTATCTTTTAATTGTCGGCCTAGTTTGTGTATCCCAGTGGGGTTCTCGGCCATGCTGCTGTTTGGTGCAGGGCGTTTGGGGAGAGGAGCATATTCATCGTCGGTGCTTTCGGCTTCGATGTCGGCTTCGCTGGGAACGCGGTGAATGCCTTCGATTTTGCTGCGCTCGACGGAGGTTAGAGAACTCATGTATGAATCATCGTCGTAGGGGTGGTGCCAGATGGATCTGGGGGGGTTCTTGGTGGTGTCAACAAAGAATTGATGGTTTAGTTCTTGGTCGTATTGACGAACCCATCCATCGGGAAGAGGACGAGCTTCATCTTCCATAGAACGACGACTTTGAGGTGGAATGCCATTTCGTTCTCTATGTGTAGAATGTTTGGAGTTGGGACTCTCCGTATAAGGTGGTGGTGGTGCTTCCTCTGATGTTGACATTGTGGTGTGGTGTGATGATGAATGTGTGGTTTTGGAGTATGATATTTCCAAAGCTTTCAACGCTTGTTTGAGATTTTTTGTTCAGAGTTTGTACAAACTGAAAGGTTATTGAATTGAAATTGGATTGAATTGATTGAACTGAGTTAATTTTAGGTGTGAAATTGCTGTTGGTGAATTGATGCTTTCCAGAAATCGAGTTTCGAGCTGGAGCAACCATGACGTCAACTCTAGGTAGGGAGCTCCAACTTGATATTCACTCCAATCAGATTTCAGGTTTCTTTGTCAAAACCAGTTGCACCTGCGATAGCCACTAGCATGGCCATTAAAACAGTAGAAGGCAGTGGCTGTCTGGATCAATAGGATCAATAGGATCAATAGGATAAGCACCGCTGGTATATAATGAATCATCAATGAATTTGAAGATCTGGGAGGACAGTAGGATGAAAATGAAGGGGTTTGTGAAATTGATTTTCGAGGTTTTTTAATACTAGTAGTAACAATTACAAGTATTTGTATTTGTACTTTGATCAATAGAGATTATTCTCTTAACGAAAATAGGAGATAGAAGACGAGATATAGATACACCTACCTTGTAAGTACCATCGTTCTATTGTACCATCTCCATCTCTATCTCCATCTCTATCACTTCCACATCTGCTTACCAGTCAATAACCTAGGTAGGAAGATCAACCCCCAAAAGATCTCAACTCAAAAAACACCATCCATCGAATAGCAACCACACGTGCCTTAAACCCATCATCATCATCATCATCATCATCATCCATCCAGCAATCATCATCTACCTTCCAAGTTCCTACCCCTCCCTCACCATGCATTTGTGCAACAATCAATTCATTCACGCACGTTTACTAACCGTTGGTCGAAATAACTGTGCCAAGAGTTTCGGATATACTCGAGTATGAATATGAAGTATGAAGTTATGTATCGAACGGAATCCTCATTTATTTTAACATAACCACGTGATCAATTTCGAGTTGGGGAGATGGATGAGTGATGAGTGATGAGCTTGGAGATATGTGGAGATAGAATCTGATAGGTCTAGGGTTTGAATTTTGGATGGATGGGGAAGGGTAGGAGTAGCAGTTGGATGTATATATGAGTGCATGTGAGTCTGGAGATGCAATACCTATCTATCAAATCCTCAACGGCCATGCTTCCTTCACGCTTGCTTGCTAAATTTATGCACCGTTTCTTCACAGGGGGATATTAGACGAGAAAGTAAGATGAGAGAGATGAAGGTATAGTATTGAGTATTGATCGATGCGATCCGCTCATGTAACATGTATCCAATTGATCCTTCTCCAGGTGAATCAAGCAAAACCCCCGTCCACGCATCCAGTTCTAGTCATAATTCGTCGCAACCGTAAACCACCCACCATAAAAAATCAGCCAAGCCACCCATCCATCCATCCATCAATCATCAATCACCACGATGAAAACCGTGAGGAGATATTCTATGTCCTCCCAAAAACACGCATGGAATTTTCCTATAGATGGGATTTTATTCCGAGCATTCATTGTTAACCTCCGCCCTTTTAAAAACGCCATAAAATGTAAACTTGAGACCCGTTCATGCTAAGTCACCAATCTGCAAAACTCCTATGAGCTCATGATCATCCATGACTGCTAGGATGGTATTGTCGGAATGTGTGAAGCCAGTTTCGGAGCCTAGTCTTCTATATATTTCCCTTGCGGCGGTGACTTCCGTCTCGGCTGGGATTGTGATCCATTTCGTGCTTGGTATCATCAAACCATTAATCGTGGCCGCTGGCAAATCCATGTCGGACTTTCCAAGCTTTTTGATGCAACGGGGTGGTAAAACGACACCGGTTCCACAACGAGCCCATCCCGAATCTGATCCATAAGCTGTGATGAGAACATGAGCTCCTGTATTTGGTCCATCGCCTAGGTCGGGCATGTCCGAAAGACAGATTGCGAGATCTGAGACCTTTTGAGGCGCCATAAATGTGGCACCAATTGCACCTCCGGGATGGTTTCTGGAAAAAACAGCGGCAATGCTGGGATGGAGCTCTTGGGCGGTGACTAGCGCGAGAGCATCTCCTAAGGCTATCGCCATGGTGGTGGATGTTGTTGGAGCGGAAAGACCAAATGACAGTGTTTCTGATTCATGAGTTGGTGCTGGCAATAAAATCGCGTTTGGTCGGCGTCTAATAATTTCGCACGTGGATCGATGGGTGTGACCAGTCATGACGATCATTGGGAGGGACGAGTCGAGGTGAGGAAGAAGGTCAAGTAATTCAGGGGTTTTGCCCGAGAAAGTTATTAGGAGGATGGTGTCGTATTTTCCGATAGCTCCAACATCTCCGTGTACAGCTTCGGTGGCGTGAATATAGGTTGCTTGGATACTGAGACTGCGCATTGTTGCCACGAGTTTCTGGGCAATATATCCACTCTTACCTACGCCACAAATAACAATGTTTCCCCTTTCCCCAATGGATCTTTTGATAGCTTCCACAGCACGACAGAAACCATCTCTTGCAACTGGATCCGTATCGTACCACATAGTTAAGGATGAGAGAGATGTAGCTTCCGTACTAAGAACATGGACTGCTCTTGATAATCGTTGGCTAAAGGGCGAACATCCCTTTTGTATTTCGTAGGGAGTTAATGACATGAGGTCGTCGATTGGAGGCGGAAGTTCGTCGCATGGTGTACTTGGAGTTGGTGGTGATGGTGGAGCCGAAGCAGGAAGGCAGGTATGAGGTGCAGAATTGAGAAGGTAAACCTCACTATTCTGGACGGGGTGATCGTAGGCCATGATTGATATGTGAAAAAAGTATAAATTCGAATAGATGGTGCAAAATGATTCAAAATTAAGCTTCCAGAGCCGGTGATGATAACAATTGGTTTGACGGCTCCACTGTTTAACAAAACTTTTGTAATTGCTTGAAGAGAGTGGTCTTAATTAAAATGTTAGCCAGAACATGTGAGTATGGAGATTTCAATAACTTTTACCTCTTCGGATTCTTGTGCACTTATTATATTCTAGATTGATGCCAGGTACCGCAACAACAAGTCTAACGGGCTAGAGCGCGGTAAGAATGAGGACTAAGTTTTTTTCAGACGATAGCTCCACGTAATGAGAAGTTTCGATGCTTCAAATAGAACAAAAAGTGAATCGACGTTTACGGATCATTCTGAAAGCATTGTAGATGGGTGCCATGGGGGATTTAATATAATAAGAGATGAAAAAGGGTTTGTGTAACAACTGTTGTGGAGATACTCGGGGGGACCATGAGGAAGAGAAGAGGAGTGTGGAAGGAATACAGTAATACCTTTTATTGTTAAGGAAATGCTGGAGCACTCGGCAGTGAGATACCGGTAGGTGGCTTGGAAATGCGTTGATAAGTTGATAAGTTGATATATCTGTAGGTACTAGGTAGGTATTTGATATACTTGATGGATAAGAATACGAATCCACAGTTAGAGAACGATGACAGAAGGGGATCGCGAGTTTAGTTTAGGTTTTTTAAAAAAGGATAAGAATAATGTCTAGACGGGCTCTAGCCTCTTAGCTAGGATAGAAGCTAGAAGAAGGATGACGGGATGGGAGCTAATGAAAGCTAATGGTATCTATAATTTTATATATCATATATGCCATTATTGTTAATTAGAATAGATCCAAGTCCTAACTTTTGTATAATGTACTTGTAGGTATGATCAACCTCTAAACCTGGTTAGCTTTAGTCGACTAACTACCTACTCGAGTAATAATATCTATGTAGCATGAGTTGATTCGATTGATTGGCTTTACTATTATCTATTTGAGATAGATATCATTATTATCATAGAACATATGGAAGGGCTAATGCATTTTCTCTTTGTAAGATTTACCATTGCAGCACGCAATTCCCATCATCCTTGACAACTGCATTCGGACCCTGAAAATTCCGTGTTATACATGGATTTCTATGGCTTCTTTGTCCACTCTTTTCTATTCCACCGATGCCCAGGAACCCAGTAATCTCAACATGATGCGGACATCTTGGACTTTATTTGCTGAAATATACTCACACTATACTCGAAGCGAGTTGATAAACAAAGTCATAGAGTCATGATTACCAAGATTAGAGGTTGGTTTGTAGCTCCGATGATAGATAATGTTGTGCTTTTCGATAGTCCGGGGGTTTGTAGCATCATTTCATGTACTCCGTATAACGAGTATGAAATCTTACATGCAGAATGTGAAATGATCCTCGTCCTGTGTTGTAACCTTATGTTGTAGGTTGTATGTTGGATGTTGGATCAATTCGCGTATGCCTTCACATAGTACTTAGTAGATAGGAGAAAAGACAAAGATATCGTCCACTTTGAGAAGGAGGGGTAATACGTATATTACTGTATTATTAGTTGTTTGCACAAGGTATGGGTATAACGGACTTCTTGGCTGTATCTCGCTCGGCCTTGAGATCCTTGAGTGACGCGACTTGCCACCACCAGCCTGGTGTTTTGATGCTTGCTCTCTTTCAGACGACGAAGAAGCCGAGTGCTTTGACACGTGCTGATGTAATAAAACCCTACATATGGATAAGGTAGACATCAAATTGTAGCATTGAACACCTACCTAGGTACGTACCTGACTATTCGGGAAGTGCATTTTTGATACTGTCCAGTGTCAGCTCATCGGCTAAGCTTGCTATTGTATCGAGGATGAACCAAACTAGAGGCCGATCATGAAATTCACAATCAAAATATTCCATGCGAAGTTGCGAAATTGCGAACATTCTAACGTCCACTTCCACTTTGGCATCTTTTTCTTCGAGGTTGTTGTGTCGCAAGATGAATCCTTATCTTCCCGCAATTGCAAACCCCTTTCCCCATAATTCCGAGGCAGTTTTCCTCTCTTTCTCACAACCACAACACAAGCGTTTTGAATTTATCCTCGTTCAGACTTTATTGAGTCGATTTGTTCGAACACATTAATGGGGTTGAGAAGTTTCGAAATCGCCAAGACTTCATTCATCGTTGCTATGTCCTGTACCAGCCGAGATTCGAGTTCTCTATCGATATTGAGTTTGATGTCTAGGCAAGAATCAGATCTCAGATCCAAAAACGTGATGTAAGTGTCGATGTGATATTAGATCATGTGACCCTTAGGTCTCGTGATGGCTTCTTCTCGAGTTATACGCCTCAAGTCGCGGAACCAATCGGATTGTGCCCAGTCGGAAATTCATCCCTTTGTGGAGGATATTGGGTTGGATAATCGATTGACTGTCGAATTGCTACGGCTTGGAGTAGGATAAGTAATGATGCTGCAGGATATTGTGGTAGAATTAGTAGTAAGTAGGACTACGGTAGTGGTACTCCATATATGATATATATGAGTGGGTTGGAAATATATACTCGTAGAATGTACTGTGCCGTCGTTGGATGATGTGTATATGTGACTTTGATAAGCTGTTGTATGCACCAAACATAACAACCAATCGGCTCTTCTAGTTGTTGTGTTCCCTATGGCCCCTGGTGCTACTGATGTTCTTATTACTGTAATATTTCCCAATGTTCTCGTCTCTGAAAGCAGCGACGTTGACGATTGGAGGTGCCGCCATTCCTAATCAAGCCATTTACTGCACCTTCCTCATACTTTTTCATTTCCATTTATCCTCCCAAGAATCACACACATATTGTAATACACCAAACGCTTCCTTTACTTGGCCCATTTCTATCTCAAAATCAATCTTCATCAATCTTCATCCTTCATCAGTACAATATTAATCTGTAAGTCATATCAATCAATATATCGCAAAAGTCCCCCATTCCTTCCCCGCATTTTACCCCCGCGTACAAGATCAATGGTAAGACAGACTGTTAGCTTGTCGCGAACAACTTGAATGTCCAATCTCGAATTACACACTGTATTGGGCAGATTCCCGCATTATTTGCTACGCCTCTGCGGCTCTGCCTACCTAACTTCGCGAATATTCGTCCTGATATTGATAGTTTAAACAGATCGATTGACCGAACGACAGCTTCTTGACTACGAATATTGATCTTCAAAATATTCAGGAAAGCAGTCTTCAACGTAAGTAATACTTTCGCAGACATTCTTAATGCGTGAAGACATAACTCTACTAACCCTTCTGCATAGCTTCCCCTCAACTCAATATCAAAGTATCCAGCCAGTGAGTTGTATCTTTCTACTCCACTCAAGACACACTTGCGACCAAACTTTCATCACCCCATGCCTCTCCCACTCTATCCACAGACACTTGAATGTTGAATATCCAGCTGGAGATCGGGTCGGCACATTCGGATGATTCCCACAAAATAATACTTCAATATCGAGATTCGATTTGAACTTTCAAAGACCGGGTACTGAGCCTGTGGCTAATTGTTTGATTTGCAGTACAGTATTCAATCAATATGGCAACTATTCAGATCCGTGAAGCTACACAGCAACTGATCAAGAGAAAGAACTGGGCAGCCAGCGAACCTGGTGTCATTGTTGTCTTCGTCGTAGTCTTTATCGTCGCATCAGGACTCATTGGACTTCAATTATCTCGCTGGATCGCTCGTCGTCGAGAAAAGCAAGCTGCGCGCCGTTCCACTGTCTGAGAAGAGCAATCGTGTCAATATGAAGGAAGTTATAAAGTCAAGGGTATCGTCATCTCGGGGGGTGTACAGCGTCGGCCTCAAGATCTTAATGTAGAAAGGACTCGGATCTTGAAGGAACCTTGGAGTTAACCTTTAATGGATGGATCTCATTGTGTCGCTGTACTGAGAGCGAGCTCTAATTTCTCGGTCCAATTCGAGGTCAAACATGAGATCCAGATACTCGCTGGATTTTGAAAAGTTTCATTTGCCCAGTGTCTTGAGAGCAGTCAATATATTGTTCGATTTCAAGGTCGAAAAAGTCATGTTTGTCGTTACTCTATGACCAAGGCTAAATAAATGGAGACGGAAGACCCTGCACATCATTATCATTTGGTATAGCGTCACCCTATCGAAGACCCACATGGATACGGTAGATAAACAAACCCCTTGAACTTATTTTAGATGCCGTTCGCAAGTGCAGGCAAGAATTATTCTTTTCCGAGATCATCAACGTCTTATATGTCATGTCATATCATCTCAGCTAAGGTTACATTCTACATTGTTCGAATTGGTAATAATTTTATCCCAATATCGTCATATCAAAACGCCTATACAGACCAGAAACTCATCCTAGTGGCAAATATATATTCGCTTCGAGGGACATATTCGTGAAAGTAACCTATCTACCTACCTACTCGAGTATAGATTGATTAGTTGTACAGATTGTCAACATCATGGTCGTAATCTTGCCATTTTCTATTCAAATCTCGGCTCACACACCGCACTGTTTAGAACACATTTGGGATGTGGGTGGTGAAGTGCCTACCAATATTACCATTGATGATATCTAGTTTCTATTCCCCTCATTCACATTCTTCTCCATGTCAACTCGCAATGATGGATGTTTAAGCTCTCCGTCGTTGTCGTGGCAGCTATCATTGCCCTTCACTGAAACTGAGATTTGCATTGCACTAATATTACTCTACTTGCCTGCCATTCGATAACTTCAATTCAACTAGTCATATTTATACGCAGACGTTTCACGTCGTCGATCAGTAAAGTGACAGTACTTTTTTTCAGTACTGGCCCTGGAATAGATAAATAAATAAATAAATCCTCAAAGGCTAATCTAGCATCAGTCATCCAAGCCCCTGCTAAGCTTCCTTCCATCAAGATTAGAATAGAATAGATATGACAAAATAAAACAACTTTGCGCAAACACTTTGTCAGGCCTCACGATCCCAAACCCCAATAAGATCGTCCACGTCGGTCATTCCTTTGGCTCAATCCTATCCTATCCTATCATATGGACTCGCTCAGCACACCCAGATATCACAGATAAACTTATCCTCCAAGATTTCCGTTGATATCTCATCCCTATCTCAAACCATCGCAAAATTCAACACCTAATTAATCAGCATCCATAACTCAACTCAACAAATTCGTCTCACCGTCCGCATCTTCAGCAAGATACGTTGCTCATATACCGCCCGCCCGCAATACAGGCGATGTCTACTCGAGTACACACAGAATCTTTCTTTTCTTTTCCCTCTAACTGTCATTTCGCTACTCCTGATCAATAAGTTTGCTTTCTCGATTTGATATATTCATCTTCGTTGACTAATAGATGCAGTTAGTTGGAATATCCAACTACGATCATCCAACTACGAAGCTACGATCATCATTCAACCCCAAAAGATTTTGGCAATAAGTAAGTAAGTGCCGTTACTAACTTGCAACTACTCGTATAGTTTTCACTGTACCTCCTTCCAAATCTCCACGTTCTATTATATAGAGTAGGAAAAATCATGGTATCGGGCGGGTATTATACCCACCCATCTATTCCCTATTCTGGTCTTGAATAATACGAATAATATAAAAAAGCACCTCTCACCTCACAGTGGACTGAGTGAAGAATCATGATGATGCTATCTATCACATCATGAAAAGCCAGAGAGGAAATCTATTTTATTCTCATTCTCATTCTCATTCTCATTCCGAATCTTAGTATTACTCCCTCCCTGCATCCCATCCTCCCCCTCCCTCATTTCAATCCCATACCCTCAAGGCAGATAGATACTCATAGATATGAGAAAAAAGAAGAAGAAATCTAAAAAGTGTAAAGAAGAAGAAGAAGAAGAAGAAGAAGAAGAAGAAGAAGAAGTGGAGAGAGATCTGAAGAAGACCCCGAATGTTCCCAATATCCATCAAGGAAAGCTCGAACCAGTGAAGGAAAAAATTCCATGTTCCTGTTTCAATCTATGGTAATCCATGACATGGCATGCACAATCTGTTCTCTGTCCAATTCTATCTTTCTTCAATCTGCTCTCGAGCTTGATTCTCTTCAAGCACTAAATCTCATCCATCCATCCAATATCCCAATATCCCTTTGTCTCAATCCCAATCTTAATCTCATGTGCACTGTTTCCATACATCCAACATCCCACCAAAGAAATCACCACCACTAATAAAGATCCAAAGAAATGGAAAGACTAGGCAAATATTGCACATATACCTTACAAAACTCCAATGCTCCAATGCTCCCACCCTGCGCTCAAAAAATAACTCCAAAGAAATTCATCTTCTATCTGTAGATTGATGTATCATGATTATGCTACGTCTCAGATATGTCGTTGGATCACATCTTGTCTGTTGATTTTTATTGTTTTAACCAAGTTCATCCTCAAAATCCTCATCAACATGTATCGAGAAAAGGCCACCTTTGACATATTTCCCATATGGTTGTGTGCTTGGGTATTCGGATGGTGTATCACTATTATCACTTTCATCTCCTTCATCAATCTCCGGCTCCCGTGGGCCAAGGTCAGCCACATTAATTTTGATTGTTGGCTGCGGATCGTGCTGAGGAACATCATCAGCCATAACCTCCCATACATCGTAAGGGTGCAGGTCCTGTTCAGATGCACCATCGTCATCAAATTGTGCATAGTCGCTCAATGCATTGTGATCATAATCTTCGTCCATATTGGTATCATAGGTCGCGCTCTCAACATCATCCTCTTGCATCGTAGAATCTTTTGTGCGGTAAGACATACCAACTGTATAGGGAGCATTACTATGAGGTGTAGCGTATGCGGATGGGGTGACGCCTCTTTTGTGGTCTGCGATCTTTTGCATTGTAGATATCATCGGACTAGGAGGACCAATACTCCAGTCTTCACGTGGACGACTAGGTGATTTCGAGGTACGACGGCGCTTCAGGTTCGAAACCTTCCGCACGGGCGACGAATGTGGTTCACGATCGCGATCGAAGGAGGCAATACGGCGTTTACTCATTTGGGATGTGGTAAGTGGGACAAGTGCGGACATGGAGGCAGTACGAAGCGGCTTGAATGAATGCCGGTCTTGTTTGACAGGAGACGATGCTTGTACCCTAGAAATTGCGACCGAAGGTGGAGTGGAAGATTCGGAGAATTGGTCTGATGGAGAAGTGGGTTCAATTTCAATATCCTCGATCTCTTGGGAAAGTCGAATACTCGAAAATGAAGCGAATGAGCTGGTATCTTCAGCCGGGTCGAGGCGTTCATCCCATTCCCAACAGGTTTCTGCGGCATCAGCCTCGGGCGTGTGGCTATCTACTACATCTACATCATGGAATCGAGGTAGCTGACGTAGCTTATGCCAAGTCCATCTTGATGCGCCATCGCCACGATGTTGAAGATAGCTGTCTGCTTGTGTCACATAAAGCCTTCGCATACTTTTCGTGCGCATCGCCACACTCGAAGAGAGAAATGGTACAGTCCATAATGCGGGGGTAACCATCTCTGAAGGGTCTAGAAACCGCAAGGTTGAGGTTTTATGTAATTTCCTCAGTGGTATCCAAGCAGCGCGTAGTCCAAGATAGTTGTCCATATATTTGGGGATTTGAAGTGGAGAATGCATGGACGCTGAAAAGACATCCTCGGATAACTGTTTGGGAAGATCTCCGAAGGCTGACATGAGGGCTACTTGCACGTCTCGAGCATCTGGACCTTTAATCTGTACAACCTTCACTAAGCCCCGGCTCTTCAATCTCTCATTGACCTTACTGGTGGCGCTACACGCTCTGGGCATCAATTGAACACGATCGTCAGCATTGCCCTTCATCATCATCCTCTCCCAGGACATAGAATAATCTTGATCGGAAAGGGAGGCTTGCGCAGCAGCCAATACATTTTGTTGGGTTTGCGTCCAATCTTCAGATGCGCAACTATTGACCCTTGAGCGTTGAGACATAGAGTGACTTGTCGACCAAATTCCCATCATTTGAGGCCCGTATGGTAGGAACACGACCTCTATCTCCCACGGCCGTGTCCATGATGGTGGAAGTACGGCTTGTATTTGAGTGAGTCTATTTTCAAGACTTTCCACGCGAGAGGCGAGATCAGAGCGGTCGATAGCATTCGCTTCGAGAGCAGGGGAAGTCTTGGTTGCCTGAGAATCAAACGACTCATTCAGGTTTCTGTTAGTACCTATACTGCTCTCGTCAGCTGCAGCATTAGCCTTTTCGATCTCTTCTACTCTATTCTCAAGCTCATAGACACGATCACCAAAATTATCTATGTTCGTTTGAAGCTCCTCAAATCCAGTGTTTGAGAAAGATGCATTCTCGAGGGCATCGATTCTATCCTCATGGTTGCGCTTGATGTTTGGATAATCTGTAGCAATCTCACGAAGTCTAGGAACAAGACGATCATCGGGCTCGTCCATATCCATAAGAAGATTATCTTGGACATCTAGTGCATGTATATTTTGGGAAGCCTGGAAAGAGGGTGACCTATTGGAGCGTAAAGGTAGAGTAGCAGTTTGTGCTTTGATATTAATATTTGCTAGCGTTTTATTCATAGCTAGCTCATCCGGAATGCCATGAAACGCAAAATCCTGGGCTGCTTGCAGACTTGGTGTCGCTGTCATTACCTCCGTAGGGCTTTCAAGAAATGACCGACCATCAAAGGTTTTATAGGTCTGCATGAGTCGTTCCTTACCTGCTTGTACAGCTTGTACTTGCGTATTGAGTCGGGGAATATGACTCAAGGTATTGAGCCCCAAGCCATTAAAAGGCCGCCTGGCTTGACTCGAGGTCCTCGAGGCAGTCTCTGAGGGTAAGAAGCACTGCGAGGGAATAGGCGGTATCTTTTCTGGGTTGATTTCAGACTGTACAAGTCGGCTCCATTGAAGAGTTTCTCGGAAGTTCGAGTCCTTACTGTGGCGAGCTACATCCGGGTTGTCCTTTCCAGGTATGTTGAAGTTTTGTGGAGTGGATGGCCAATGGTCCACTTGAGCCATACGAGCAATAGAATCCATATTAAGCCCCGAGACTTTACTTAAAGCTCGCGATCGTTGGTCCTCGGTCGGCTGGGAAATATTACGACCATGAAAGCAGAGATGATGCCCGCACGCGCAGACTTCAGCTCGAGGCAACTTTCCATCCTCGAATGTTACCCTGTCTATCGGTTTTTGAGATTGACCCCAGAACTCATAACATCCACATTTTGTTCCGAAATTCAATTCCGTATAATTGCATGCTCCACCCAATTGTCTTCTCCCATTTGTGTTATTGATGCTGTTCAATCTATCCTGATCTGGTGTATTCGGAACCGTCGCAGAAGGGGAGACAGCCATAGGAAGATATTTGCCAGGAAGCCCCAAGAGAGAAACCTCGCATCGAGAAAATCAGAGGGCAGGGTTGTGGGATTGCGACAGGAATTGCTATTCAAGATGCCGACCCTATTAAATTGCAATAAACGCGAAGGAATCGAATAGTATCTGAGCAGGAAGAGGACTCGATCTTTAAATAATGTTCAAAAACATCAGGGCGTGGGAAGGAGAGGTAATGTAAGGCTTGTCGACGCTTCGCAATTAATAAATTTGAGTGCATATCAAGAATTATCTGTGCCAAGTGCCCCATAATTAGTACTTGTATCACCATAGCAATGATAGAAATGGGTGGCATTTACGGTAAATGAACTGGATTCGAGAAGTAAAAAAAAAACACAATGACAAGATCTGAAAGGTTAGGAAATTCGTTGATTGAAATACAGAGAGAGAGAAGAAAAGAGATTCAACATAAAATATTGAAGATAGGTAAATAGGGTAGAGGAAAAGAAAGTGTGAAAGTGTTCAAGTAAAAGGAAGTGAATTGATGAATGAGAAGCCTCACATCCTCACATCTTCAAGAAGAGTCATAATAAGATCAAGGAATCTAATTGGTAACATGATATGCAAGGGAACGCCCATCCAATATCTGGATTTTGTTTGCCTCGTCGCTGCTTAGAACGATAAGAGAAGTTCGTGTTATGTTGATTGGCTAAAGTTCTATTTATATCTCGGTAATAGCTTCATCTAACAACCTTTACGGTGAACGCTTTTGCATACCGGTACCTATAGTAGTAGTAGTAGTAAATTCATAATCGATTTGATCTACATATATAGGTAGCTAATGCTCCGCGGACCATGCGATAAGGCCGTGATTATATATCTTATAATATAAGAATTCATATAGGAAAAGTTATAAAACCTACTACCCTCCTGCGAATTGCCCGAGTCGTCTAACATAAGATTCTGTATCGTCTAAACACTTATGTACAAATGAAGACGAAAATTTCGGTATCTATACAAGTAGTGATTTATTGAGAATGTTATTCAGTGAACATCTAAAACTATCTACTCGTAAACATACAAACTCATTACGATATCAAGATCTTACTACTGTAACATCCTCTTATAACAATCACATCTTCCTCGTTGCCTTGATCACAGAAGGAGTATAATGAACTTGCACCCCTCTTTTAGACTATACAAAATACAATGACGAACGTCGACCTGACTCTCTATTGTCTATCGTAATACCGTGACCCTGTATATCCTATATAAGAGAAACGATCCTAGTCTCTAGCCTTCCTCAACCATACTAATCTAATTCACCATCTCATCTTGTCACATCACACCAAACCCACATTACACACACCACCACACACCATTTGCAAACCAAAAGAATTAAAAATATAAAACCACTAAAAGAGTGAATATCGCCCCAACAATCGCCCTTTAATAATACCATGACCAAAACCCAGTCAAAATCAAACACCCGAATCATCCTGTACCAAGACATCAGCCGCGGCATAGCTATCCCACGCTGTACAAGTACTGTAGAGTTCAAAACATCCGTATCAATCAAGGCCTCAATCTCCGTCATGCGCTCCACAATCTGAAGTGCAAAACCTTCACCCGTATGCCATCCAATATGACAATGCATCAACCACGCTCCCGGATTATCCGTATAAAACGCTATCACCAAATATCCACCCGCAGGCAACATTGCAACATTGCCACATCTCTTCTGGGTGGGTTTGTCAACGACAATGTGGTACTGCTGGAATAAGTTCCGGTGCCTTGACCTAGGATGTAGAAATCGTGACCATGTAAGTGAATTGGATGGGGAACCGTTTGCGTGGTTTCAATTATGGAGTATACCCACTCGTTGGCATCATCGAGCTGGATCACATGTTCGTTGGTGGTCCATGTGGTATTTCCATCGATGATGGCTTCCAGAGTGGGATAATCCCATTCGGAGACGAACGTCGTAGCTTCCATATACCACTTGAAGAGACCTGCTGAATTGTAACCGACGGTCACGGCAAAGTCGTCGGAGAGAACGTCGGCGCTAGCATCTAGGCTGAGATATGGGACGAGGGAGGAAATATCTTCGTCGTCGCAGTTATCATCGTAGCCTGAGCTGGAGGGCTCGGTGGTATTGGTGCTAGAGTACATGAGTATTCCTTTGATGTTGTCGGCGTTATCGTTGTCACTGCAGTAGGTTTGTGGGATAGCGCGGATCCAAAAGCTTCCAGAGGTTTTGGCTGCAGTGAGGATGATGTCGTACCGTTGTCCCATACCCATAGAGAGAACTTGGGTGGAGTATGGGACGATGGGGACGAGATCCATTGCGATGACGGTCAGGTTATGGTCGTCGACCATGAATTTGAAGTGGCTGTCGATGGCGCGATTCACGAGACGGATTCGACATGATGTTCCAGCTTCTACTGTCATACTGAAGCGGGATCCGAGATCGCCATAAACATTGGTTCCGTTTATGAGGCCTTTATCTAGGGTTGGTGGCCCGTTGGTTTCGGCCGATGTATACATCGCACTTGAGGTTTCGTGTGTCCAGTCGTTTAACATCATTATTCCGGCATCGACATCATAGTTGGCCGTAGCAGGGCCATTGATGATTATCCCACCCAGTACACCCTCCCATGCTTGCAAAGCAAAGTGAGAATGGTACCAGGTTGATCCGTATTGGGTTGCTCTCCAGGTATAGGTGATCGACTGGGATATGATTAGTAATTAAGTACCTATGAATTTTGATTATTCTTACTTCTCCTGGAGCAGTTGGACATTGAGTGATGGATGGAACGCCATCCATGCCATTGGTATAATTTTGGCGTATAGCATGAACTAGAAACGAGAGTCAGCAATTGCTTTCAACGAACGCTTGTGAAAATTATAGAGAGGTCGAAACATATCAGATCGCGAAACTTCTCTACGCGATCAGATATCTAAACGAATTCGAACGTTCATCTGATTTTGAACATTCGTATAGATTTGAACACCCATATGAATACGAATATCCATATGATCTCGACCATGAGCTAGATTTGAATGTTGGAGAGTGAGTAACAGGAAATGAAGGACTAAAGAAACCAAATTTGCTCACAATGCAATCCAGTGCCGTTATTTTCAAGACCATTGTAAAGATGCACAACTACAGTGTCTCCCCAGTTCGCAATGATTGGTAGGTCCTGGAAAGGTGCCATTCACAAGAAGGACGACCCTTTCTACGTAGTGTTCACAAGTTCTAGCCAAACCTAGAAATTTATGCATTAGTGTTGGCCTGTAATGACAAGGATCACCAACAAACCTCGACGGTATCGCCGGTATCAGGAACTTCATCGTAGTAATTTGTAGATAGATCGTAATCTCCCCAACATGATCTATTAGATGCAGAATTTGCACAGTTCGTGACTCTTTTCGAGAGAGATGGGGTGGTCGATTGAGGGGCGGCAATCGTTACACTAGTAAAAATTGCTAGGCTGATAGCCAAAAATGAGGGTAAGAAACGCATACTGGATGTACTTGCAGCTCAAATCGAAAGCAGATAAAAGCCAGACTGAAAGAATGAAGGTCAGACTGAACGATGATGAATGACTGTATGGCGATGGATGATATACTGAGTGTGATCATCCGCATCTCTTATAGAAACAATCTAATCAGAAAGAGACTCACAACTCAAACATCATTACAGATCTTGGCTCAAGCAACCTTTACATTGGAGAACTATCCACTCGTACGAGCATGCTCACTCTGCGGAGATCACGTAGTCGTCGTGAGCTTGCCATCAATGTATTAGGTTCAAGGTAGAGTTGTATGTTTAATGACTTCGAGATCAAAGGGTCTGCATGATGGCTGATTTCACAATGCCCTGACTTGACAGTTAAAAGGGGTCTATAATACAAGCCACTAAGAGAGGACTGATTTGTGGTATGTTTGGTTGATCAACGGAAGGAAGTACCGGCTGGATTGCTTGAAAGCACTACCAGTATAGAAGTATTGATTGCGGCACAGATGATGAATCGAGGCCATTTGCGGGGGTACGCAAAACTGCCGGTGGGTTGTAAGGGGTTTTACAACCTTTCAAATCCTCAGTTTTCAGAATACTGTAGCGATGAACTTTTTTAAAAACAGCCCACTCCGTGAAGTTTAAACAGTAAGCTTGCGCGCGTGTTTTTGACTAACTTGGGAACCGTTCACCGTTCGTGACCATTCGTTTCTCTACCGGCTCTTCCCGTTCAAATCTGCCTCGTTTGTTCCCCCTGTTTTAACAAGCTTTAGAATCCCCCATAAAATCTGAATTGTATAGAAAGCTAGCCGGGTGATGACGACGACAACAAAGCACCAGCTTTTGATCCAATAGTTTGGGGCGCTCAATGAAGGGTAGAAGGAGTCCCATTGTACTACAGGTATACCTATTTACAGCTTCAATCAGCTGTAGGGTTTGTCTTGGATGTGCCGATTTAGTAAGGGGTACGTAACTCAAAAGAATTCGTATATTTACGTTATTGAAACAACCTGACAACAATCTATTGACCCCCTGGCAACTCGAATATTATGTTCAGTGACTTCAGATTGTGAAGATATAATGGTCGACCATTATGCTTATATCCTCTTTTCTTATCAATCAGTTCATCGATTATAGTTTCAGTGCCATTCTTTCGACTTACTTTCAGCATTCACATTCTTTAACTCCTTCTCACCATGCTTGTTGGCAAAGCTGCTGCTGCTTGTCTTTTGATACTTTCTGGCCTTTCGATCGCATTTCCCTCCCCAAGCAGTACCATCGACAAGCGCGCCGCTGCCTCCGACCTTAGCATATATGCTTATGGATCCGATATCAATAGCAAACCTGTTTTCAATTCCGATGGTAAATTTCGATTCATGTCGTTGAAATAGTGAAATTGACATAAATTTCAGGAAAAGCGTATATTGGCAACTTGACTCCCCCAGGAGCCTCTCAATCGGTCAACGTAACCTTCAGCACCCGGACGGATCATCTCCTGACGAGAAGTGGTCCATTTCAGCGAACACCACAAGCGACGGAGCCAATGCTACGGCTCCTTTCACCGACAATTCCCTCGCCTTCTATATTGTTACTACAGCCAATTCTTTTGAACAAGCTGGTTTCACATCAACCATCGACACTCTTCCCACCGGCGGTGTTACTGAAGGATTCATCTTGTATGGGAAACAAGTTGCGTATAAAGCAAGCGACACTAATCTTGAGCTGCGATTTTGGGCTGCTGCGACAAATGCGACCGGCTTATGGGGCCTGTATTGGAATTCAAACGCAGCTGCGATTGATGTGGCGTTTCCCGCTGTGCTCAAAACAACGCCTCCTACTGTACCGAAGCTCAAGGCCTTGGTCTGAGTGGAAGATTGGAGGATAGGAGGATCGCGATTTTTGTAATGTGTTGGTAGTGGGTAGTAGATATTCGTTCGTAGTGTTGGTCCGCTTTTATATCACACCTGTACAAAGTCTTAAGTTCCTACTATGGTTAGAAGTTAGAACTCATATATAAACAGGGTTTTGCCTATCTTGAGCAGTGTCTCCATCGAGGTCTGGATCTGAAAGCCTTTTAGTATTCAAAGGTTGTATAAATGTTGAAAAGGTTCCAAATAAATCAATGCATCAAAAGAACACAAGCATTCCTCTTTGTTAGAATGCCGACAAATCCATTGAAGACGCAAAACTTGAGCATATCTGGACTTTTGCGGTAATGGTTCTTGGTTTTGAAAATGACCACCGTTTGCTAACATAATCCAATCTTTCCAATGTGAAACCTGCGAGAAAGGGTGGAGCTTTGGTGAAAAGTGTCTTGAGAGCTTGCGTCAGCTCAATAAAGATCGGCATCTTGTCTTTGAATACCTAGTATGTATGAAGGAAGTTGGTCTTACAAACAGCCAGCTCTATGATCCATTGATCTTCTGAATCAAACGCCATCAATTTGGACAACACCTGGGGCCTAGCTTCTATATTCAACTCTGAGCATTAACATGGCATACGTTCGAGCAACCAATTCGGCATTGAAATACCAGTTGCTTGCACCATTTAAGCTACAGCCCATTAAATGTGGTAGCATTGACGTTAAGGGGGATTGAAGCATCCAGTTCAACACAAAAGGAAAGTGGATTTGAGACTCAACTCGAGCAATTCCAATACGGACGAAGCTTGGACTGCCGTTATTCATTGATACATATCGGATTTTACAGTCAATGTCGACAAACATAGTTGTCAAGGAAGAGTGTTTTCCGTCTTTTCTGAACGAGCAGGGCTGCTAGATCTAAATCTCGATCCAATGAAAGTAGGGTTGTTGCAAAAGTACCTATTCATATCCCGCCCAATACTCTCTCTTGTGCCATTCATTGACTTATCGGTCGTAACTTGACTCCATTAAGGGACTGACAGAGGATTTTATCTGATGAACTGGAAGCTTGGCCGGTACTCCAAGCTGAAAGTTTGAAGCCTCGCCAAGATTTTCAATGGCGGAAATATGTTCATACACTGAACGAGCTTGAGAGGTTCCCATGCTTCTAGGTGATTGAAGACCAATGTGGGTGTTACCGGAGACCAATGATTTAGTGGTGAGTATGTTTGTCTCATTTTGATACATGAGTTAGCATTGGCTAGAATAAGCATGAACGATATCAATATGCGAAATTCTCTTGAATTCATCAGAATTGGAAGGAAAGTGGCCTTGGTGTGGGGTGGGCATAGGCACACAAGGTAAGAAAAATATTAATCCCTCTCTTCATGTCTTCTTCTGTTTTTCTTCTCCTTCTTAGGAGCTCTGTATGTTAAAATAACTGCGAAAACAACGGTTAACTTCTCAAATCTCACAACTTATTTACTTTCATGAGCCATTATATTTCACTGGCTTCCTCATCCATTCATTTAGAGTCGACGTGGCAATACCTCAAATCGTTTTCAATTGCCAACTGCCTCTACTTGGGATGTAAGGTTCGGTACATCAGCTTTTCAACACAATTGCTGACTTTCTGATACGAAGTATCCTTTCGAACTGCTCGTCTACTGTATCGAACATTTCATCGAGAAATTCACTATTCATCTGCCGACTCCTTCATCTACTCTTTTGTTGACGAAATCACCATCAGCAATCATTGTTGGGTGATGGATGGTCTTGGCTCGAACACCATCTCAATGTTGAACGCAAGTTCATATATTGAAGAATGTCATAGAGAGACCATTTGATTGACCGAAGCCAGGTTTGGTTTACATAATAAAGAGCGCTATGAAGTATTAGCATCTAAGTCTGCCACGATATCACTGTTTGATTGTTCCAACCCAGATTCATATAATTTGCGAGAGGGAACATACAACCTGCACCACCAAGAATTGATGAAATTGATTGCCGTTCAATACTTACATGCTTCATGTAACCTAAGGTAGGGATCTATTAATAATCGAATTGAAATATCGCCATCGCATTGCATTCGGTCAATGCTATATTTGTATATGAAGGTCGTTGTGTGATGAAGTAACAACATGCAATGAATGGCATGCAATGACAATCAATGGATATGCAGATGTTTCTCCAGGAATACTTTCCCCCAATGATAAGCCTGCCCTTTCAAATTTGCCAAGATGGTAAAATACTCGCAGTGTTTCTTGTCTGAGACGGGTGGGCTGTTGCGCGATCTTATAGGTTAATGATCGCGGCGGCTGGAAGACAAATTTGACCACTCGGCGGCAAAAAAGTGTTGGCCATAATATGCTCTCATCAAATTAATGTATATCACACATTGAAAGTATGTGGGAGTAGAAGAAAAGAGAATTAGTTCATCCTTCGTCTTTTATGCTGCTGTAGAATCATCTTTCCCCTTCTTCTCTCACCAAAAACTCGAAGAATCGAAGTAACTTTCAGAGACAAATTATGGTTCGAATGATTTTGGGAGTAGCAGCGGGTATGTAAGAAATTTCGGGGTTATCGCTTCGGGACCGAGAGGCCCGAGCGCTCACGCCAATGAATTCCCTAAGGGCGGCTTGGAGGGATAAGTCACGAAATGACGCTGACAGCTTCTCAAAAGTTTCCCTATTTCTCTCAACAGTAAATGCTGTATCAACAGCTTCAGCGGCCTTTGTCGCAAATGATACAAGCGTCACATTTGCTCTCAAAATACCACTAAAAAACCCGAACAATGATCTATATTTCAGTATATCAGGTCCGAGCAGTTGCTCCTGGATAGTGAGTCCAAACACACAAGCCGATAAATTGATTCAATTTCTAATCACATGAATATAGGCTATAGGGATGGGATATAATCAGATGAAGAATTCCCTTATGTTTATGATGTATGCCGACTCGACCGGAAACAATGTAACTCTCAGTCCTCGCATAGCTTCCGGGGAGAGTGAACCATTGCACACCAAAGATATCGTGGTTGAACCGATGGCTGGCACGGGAATCACCAACGATACTTTCACGTGGAATGGAAAGTGCCTTAATTGCACCTCGTGGAAAGGGGGGTCCATAGGTTCTACAACGAATTCGAAAGCAAGCTTTATATGGGCAAATGGACCACCCGGAACACTAAAGTCCAATTCGTTGCACGCCGATATTAATAGACATAGTTCTTATGGAGTGTTTTCGATGGATTTGTCGAAAGCTATTGGTACAGCTGGGGTGCCCGCTATTCCTACATCCAATTCCAAAGGTACAAGCCAAATTTCAGAAAAGGCGGACAATCATTTCTCGCCAGCGGCTCATGCTGTTCTGATGATTTTGGTATTTGTTGGACTTTTACCATTGGGAATCGTCATCCTGAGGGTTTTGAATAGTCCAAGATGGCATGCTGTCAACCAGACTATATCTCTTGCAATCGCTCTCATAGGCCTTGGATTAGGTGCTAAATTGGGCACGCTTTACAATCGAGTATGTTACTTTCTTTTAAAATCTTGAGAACATACTCTGACATTATCATAGACGAAGAATTTTCAATCCGGACATCAAATCTTTGGTGCCATCATCATAATAGCCATGATGGGACAATTCATTCTCGGCTTTCTCCACCACCGAATGTACAAGAAGACCTCAACCACCACCAAATTTGCTCCCATCCACGTTTGGATCGGGCGTATTGTCATTCCAGCCGGAGTCATAAATGGATTCATGTAAGCACTCTCCCATCCCGTCCCACCAACAACCCATCTCCACCTCCACCTCTAACACAAACCCAAACCCAGCGGATTCCCCCTCGCTCTCAACCCGAAATTAGACTGGGCACTTCTAGTCTGCACCCTCCTCATCATAATAATATTCGGCCCCGTTCTTTTCTGGGGGTACAGGCGTCGACACGCCAAGGAGATCGAGGCCATCACGAGGGAAACCGAAGGCTACGAAGCAGAGCCGTGGAGAGCTCCTCAGGCGCAGTATGATATTGGTCTCAACCATATGAACACGAATTCGAACTCTAATTTTGGAGTGCCTCCGCCCTATAATGCGGGGGGACAACAGCAGACGTCGCAGCAGCAGCGGATGCCGGTTCAGTCGTCGCATCATTTGCCAGCGCAGCAGGGAGCGCAGTTTGTTTGAGGGTGTCGATTGGCTTGTTTTGGGGTATTGAGGACGTCATATGTGAGACACATATACGCACACACACACATATATATATGAATGGCGTATTGTTGGGAAAAGGAATTGGAATCCCTTGGTCACATATGGCCAGGATTTGGTTTATCGAGGAAGGTCGATAAGGCATGAGGGCGGCATGAAGGCGGCGTTTGGTTTGGGTCATGGGGAGAAAGATATCGGATAGCATCAATCATGTACGGCCAGGCCAGGTTGCCAACATAAATTGAGGTGGCATTCTCGGGTCACTTTTTTACTTATTAGTCCTAAATATCAATAAGCGAGCTAAACTTGGTGCATTACCCCTTTTGTAGCTGTCATCATTTGAGATATCCAGATTATTTAAATCACAACAATCCATGTAACTCGTTCTCAATATTTGCGTTGTTTGTGACTCTCTAATTGTATTCTAATCCTTTACTCCATATAGCCATCAATACTCCAATCTTATATCCTATATTACTCTCTAATATCGTCATATCCAAAACGCTTATCCTCCAATCATTTCTACGCGCATTAAACATCAAATCCCAACTCCCTATTCTTAGCCTTAGCCTCCTCCTCCGCCTCCTCATCCCCCTCCAACCAAATCTCATGCCCATCCCCCTCCCTCACGAAGTTACTCGCCAAACAGGTCACCCCAGCCATCCCTGTCAGTACCCAAAATACTAATCCTACATATCCCCCACTCAATCCTACTCCATAGAGATAACCCCCAATAGCAGGCCCGACTGTCCTCGCTGCACTACTTGCCGTTTGTCCAATGCCGTGAATAGTACCTAGTACAGATGGATGAGGCGAACAATTATTGATGAGGATTGTAGTGGCGGGTCCAGCAAATGTACGCGCGATGGTTTGAATGAGTAGGACGCAAGTGAGGGAGATCCAGATTCGGGGACCGGTCTTTTGGGAAGGCGGGGACGAGAGAGAGGGGACGAGAGATAAGAATGGAGCGAGTGTGTAGGCGATTGGGAAACCGTAGAGGAAGATGCGCCAGCTGCGGATGGTACCGAGACGGGTGTTTACTAGGGGGTATAAGAACAGCTGCATAGTTATACCAATCATGCCCAGGATTGACATGGCCAGACCGACGTCGCGGGGTGGAAGACCAATGCCGCCGGTGAATTTGAGAGGGGGGTGTGGGGTGTAGTCGGTAGGAAGGGATTTGGAGGGGTGAGAGGGATTATAGACCGGGGTGCTCAGGAAGGAATACCAGATATTGTTGAATGTTCCCATTGAAAATGCGAGTAAAGCGTGGGAGATTAGAGTGCATATCACATTATATGTGAAAATTTGACGGAATGGTAGTCGAGTCTTGTATCTCGGGGCGACACGTTTAGGCGATTTAGGAGTCGTGGGCGTTGGTTGGACAGCGAGTGACGGAACGGTGCTTGGAATAGCAGTATATTCAAGTTTGCGAGAATCATCCTTTCGAAAGCGATGGAAGAAATGTTTGATTGCACGGCCAGTTTTGATGCCCCAATCCTCCTTGTGAGCATACATCTCATGCGTCTGTACGGGTTAGCGAAACCCTGCTTTCAGTCGAGATGATGTAATCTAAAGACTTACTTCTTCTAGAGCAAATATAACCGCAAGACAAGCTGAGGCTAAGAACACAGCGCTAAGTAAGTTCGGAGGGGCATATGGGTACTTCTCTAGCCATTTAACGCCTCCGAATATACTTGGGTAGTTTCCAGCTGGATCGGCTAAAAGACCCCCCAAGATGGGCCCGATGATAGTCCCAATATTCGCGCACATGGGCAATAGCAAGAAGGCACGACTCTGATATCTATAGCCAGCATTAGTAATTTCATACTTTCAGGAAAGGGCATTGAATCTCACTTCTTTTCCCTCACAATCTCACTAATCATGGTTCTCATCACACCCACATTTCCATTGAGCGCACCGCCAATCATTCTGAATATCATTGCTTGCCAAAAGTTTTGCGCGAATCCAAAACCCAAACAAGAGAACGCGGTACCACTTAGACCTATCAATAGAACCCTCTTCCTACCAGATCGATCCGAGAACCGTCCCCATAACATAGCAGTGGTCAATTGAGCCAGGGCAAAAGAACCTTGCATAATACCTGCCTGGGATGCGATGACTGAATCTGGTAGAGAGGTATCAAAGGATTTTAATTGATAGAAAAGATAGCTCTGTTACACATGTTAGTATATCCTCTCTCGATGTTAGGAATCAAGCTTTGAGACTTATGGAAATGTATTCCAACACTCAAATTGGATTTTAGCACTACTCACCCTCAAACTAGTCTGTACAAGAGGCTCGGATAACCTGGCGCAAGTAAGAATAGCCAATTGTCTTTTATGCGGTAAGCTACTCCAAGCGACTGGACCCTCCTTTTCCGGTTTTGGAGCAATGGGAATCTCAATTTGTAGATCCTCATTGTTCTCTTCTTCTATGGCAGATTCACGTCGTTGTAGAGGTTGTCTTCGATGTGCTTGCTTTGTTCTAATTGCCGAATACGTAGTAGTAGTTTGCGACATGGTACCGTAAGAACTTCCATTATCGCTGCTAGTATGTATGAAAGTACCTTCATCGGGTTCTTCCTCTTTAGTTGGCCCTTTTATTCGACTCCGAGATCGATTCGTTGGTATATTTGAATCGTTTGTATTTTTGTAATTATTGCTAGACATCTTTTGATAAATAAATCGAGGCAGATCAGGTGAGTGGCGCAACCTTTAGGGTATCTGCAGACCTTTTTATAGAATGCTCCAAAAACTTTTGAAGAAGGTCGAGACCAACAAGATAGCAACTTCAAACCTTTAACTCCAACAGAAAATAAAAGGTATTATGGAGCAAATGGGGTCACCACGGTACGGCCAAGCTCCAATCTTTAAATTGAAGAAATTACCGTGATATATGATTGGTTGAGTGTAATATAGTATTATTCGGTGCTGTACCGATAGCCTATCATTGTGAAAACCCTTGTTGTAAGCTTGCACACTTCAATACCAAACATGAAAATGCAGTACTGTAGTGTTTGGTACTGATAGACGCTTCAAGGGGACACTAGCAATAGACTTGGATTCATGCCGCATTGAACAGGTGAAGTCAAAAGAAAGTAGAAATCCAGCTCTGCCTTCTCTTGTGAAGTTCTCGCAATGGCATTGTAGCTGGGAAACTCCCCAAGCTGAATGAAACCTTTATCGTTGGACCTGGAAACTGCTCCTGGCTCAAGACATGCATTTTGATAGCACTGAATTTAAATCGATGCTGAATTCCAAGTCTGGACAGTTGTTTCGTGTATTCAAATTTCGCCTTGTGTTTTCACTCGGCATATCATATCTCGAAACGAAAAACGGATGTGGTGACAGTCGGCTGGCAGTCAAAATTTCATTTTAGGAAGCTAAAACACCTCGATGTTTAGCGTGTGAATTCGAACACACTTTCTCGAAACGATGATTTGATGTCCAGAATGTTGCTACTGTCGAAGGAAAAAATGACTTGAATTCGCTTGGTGAGAGAATGTATGTTGTGATGTTCGTGCGTGCCGCCTTCACATGTTGCTGCAACATTTGGGTCGCTACTTGCATTGCACCTTCCATTTTCGAACCTTGGGAATTTCTTTTGCTGCCTACCTACCTAGGTAAGTTCAACTCATGTTACCGTTTTTGAAGAAGAAAACGAGGAATGTAGTTCCTCTCATCATAAGTCATAAGTCTTACCCATTCTAACAACTTTTTTCGGGTCTGCAAGTATTCAAAATTCATCCAGACAATCATTTGATGCTCTTTCATTTGTCGAATGGTCAGTTGAGGAAGCCAAATCATCCACAGCTCCCCCCTTCGGCCTCGACATCATGCTAAAGAAGAAATCGTTCCGTATGTTCGAGGATTCTGACAACAGTGAGCCAGGCATATTGATGGGAAATGAAGAGATCCATGCAACCAAGTCGGCATCGGCATCGGCATCGGAATCACTCTTCCAGATCCCATCTAGCAATGAAAGTGTGGCATCTACTGGCAGTGAGGAAGTCCGATCTCTCGATACTACAAATGTTACTATTTCAGTGTCCCCACCACATTGCAGCTGTGAACACATACTTCTTTCAAACAATGAATACCAGTCAACTACTACTACAACTTCCGTTGGATCAACACCCAAACGTCTTCTCAACAATAAAAGTTCATCTTTAACTGGTAGCCAACATCCATATCAGTCGCCCACCAGAGACTTTGCCGACCAGCAACACAGCTCGAGGGCATCCCGAACCGTTGTGCGAAGCCATCAACCTTCTCACAACAGCAAGAGTCCATCTTTGACTGGCAGTCAAGATTCGCTTATACCAGTCTCACCAGCCAGAATACTCGTCGATCTACCACGCAATACGAGAGCGTCTCAACCCGTTTTACGAACGCATGCTGAGAAATTAAGAGCAGCTTTGGCATGCCCCATTGATGAACTCCCCCAAGCGAAGCTCAAATCTCCAAAGAAGACACCTTTGAAAAAGAAGATGGGATCACTTTGGAGAAAGGTCCAGGTAAAGTGAGATGGTCGGACTGATATACGAAGAAGCATACTAAAATGGTTCTTGTAGCATAAATTCGAGAAGCCCTTAGTTGCGAACAATCATCAGTTGATCACGAGCAAGGATGAGTAGGATTAATGGAGGATGTAAGTTCCCTCTACTCTGTACTCTCCAAGATCCCGTTTCGGTGTTCAGATCCACACTGCACAGTTGAAACCCTATTCTCAAAATTCTGAGGCCAAACGATTTTTCAAGTTTGACTTGAACATGGAAGGCTTGCGTAACTAACACTAATCATAGAAAGATGTTAAACGAGTCCCGACAGTGAAAAGAGAAACATATTGGAGCAACAGAAGACCTATTGTTAGATACAGCGATTATTTCAGTGGGACTTGTGAGAGAAAGCATATTGTATATGATATACCAAATCAGCGTTTAAGGTTTCTAGTAATAATGATAGCCGCATATTGAGCTTCTTCAAAACGTCACGATAGTCTTTGATCGCCGATTAGGCTACATGTGACATCTGGGTTCAAACTCAAGCTTGAAGGACCACTCAGACGGTATTGTAATGTGCATCTATTGTTGCATCTTGAATGCAACTTTGAAAGTAGAAAATACGAGGCGATTACCACTTTCGAGTTGAATTATTTAGTAGTAGGACTACTCGACGAAGATTATAATGGGAAGGTAGAACATATAAAATGTAAAAAGGAAGTTTCTAGAATAACCATCAACAAATCTAGTTGAGGTTCAGTGTGTATTTGTTTCCGAACGTATCCATACCTATGAATATCCTCTCTCGCCCATCCCAGACGCCCGCAATGTTACGCTTTAATGTTCCTTACATTCCCATCCACGATTTTGATACCATTCCCTTCCTCATCATTCATCTGCCCGGATCTAACCATGTTTCTCATTGCAATCCTTGTTCTACTTGATTCTATATTCGACGATATGCAAACCTCGAACATTTCTGGTATTCATCATCGTGATATAAACCTTCCACCCTGCCAGGCGTCATTTATGGAATCCTTCAATCCCATAACAGCTTCACCTACAACAGCTTCAACTTCCCAGTAATCTGATCAATAATGCTCTTTGGGGCCGGTCCAATCCCCAATACTGTATGGCTCCCACTCTCGATCTGGGTTCTCCCCGCATCCGCAATCTGCTCAGCCACAACTCCCAAACTAATAGCCTGTGCTTGAAGAATGTCCAATTCATCTTCCGATTTTACTTGTAGCGCGACCTTTGCTTGACCTTCTCGTTCCCAGCGTCGGAGAATTGAAGAATTGGGATCTTTCCGGGAGATGGTTTTGTAGCAGGCGAGGGTTGCGTGGGAACATTGTGCTGCAATTTTTCCTACAGGGGAATACTGGTTAGATCTCGAAGTATTGAAGAGGGATGGATGGTGAGAATAGAGATAACCACATACCTTTCGTCATTCCTAAATCTGTTCTCACAACCAACACCAATTTACATTCTTCCTCCTTATCCACAAGTCCACCCTTACTCTTCTTCTTCTCATTCTTTTTGGCGACATTTCTTTCCATCACTCTCAATCCATCTTTTTTATCAGCCTCAAGCCCATTTGCCCAGTTTGGCGCATGATCTAATATGGATGCGTCGATATCCTCTTCCTCGCTCTCTTCCTCGTCGTCGTAATTGGCAATTCCTCGTTCCCTCGCTGGCTTGGGCATAAATGGGATGGGGAAAAATCCAAGGCTGGAGGCTATTCCTATCATGTATCCACTGAGACCTGCAATTATTGCAGTGCCTACCAGCATTGCTGTGGGACTCGGTGGTACACGCATATCTGCCATATGTTTTTTGGAAGTTTCGCAGCTGGGTATGTATGTTTATTATGGTGGGAGAGAGAGAAGGTCGCAGTTTCCTAGATGGAAGGTTGAAGTCTCGGTAGGGGTTGTCATATTTTCAGCCTTAAATTTCAGGGGTTATCGTTATCGTCTAGAACTTCCAAAGCTTGAACTTTCTTCTGACATGGAAATTGGAAACCTCACCACAACCTGAAAGCCTCAAAATTCGACATTATAGCGCACAAATTCCGCCGTGTTGCCTGGACTTCAGGGCTCAAAAGATGAGATGTGCAACAAAATCAGTTCGAGATGCAAGTGGCCGGGATTGTTCATGCATGGAAGCCATGAATCTGGTTTTCAAGGCTGCAATCTTCATCTAGGTATATTGTTTGTTTGTTTTTGTTTATGGATATCGACATGTCAATCACGATGCTGCTGTGTCACTCTTGAACAATTGACAAAGATCTCAATGCACAGAGTATTTGGATTGGAATGGCTATGAAGATCCCGTTCAGTACACTTGGAATAGGGGACTTGGACTTCCAAACAAGCATGGCCATATTCCTCAGAGCTCGAATAGCCCGAAGAGCACCTTGGGAGCTCAATTGAATCGTGGGCCCGCCCTATTGCCCAGGTTGGATCACACCACTGATAGCTGGACATGATACAAGAAAGATAAGAGAAGCTTCATTGTGCGAACTGAATCTGAACACTGATATCCTATATACCATATCAGATTCACCTCGATCCTTACATCTATCTTGGAAATCCAGGCTTTGTATCCTCAAACCTCAATTTATAGTTATGTTGAGAGGAACCTAATATTGTACATGTTTGGTCTTTTTTTCTCTCTTCCAATTTCATCAACCAGGCTGGATGATTCATCCTGTTTCTCTGAAATTGACCTCTTTATTTTGGTAGCTCAGGCTGCTTTTGATACATCTTGACCAAGAAAGTTCTTCAGTTCCACTGCCATCTTTGAACGATTTTTGTGATACATCATCGTCATGTGGTACAAAGGTGGACCAGGGCCCTTTTGGATGGCTTCTTTCTATTCAAGAAGAATTTACTGCAGATAATCAAACCCTAGCTTGTGACTGATGAGATAGATAATCTGAGCAATATGACAATTTCAATGTAGTAGAATCTTATGAACAATAAGACATCACTATCTTACAATGTTAGATGGGATTGCATTTATGTCCCACTCAATTTGAACAGTCACCATATTTTGTCTCACAATGATGAAACGGCATACTCATGTTAATGGCCTCACTTAGCAGTGCTGATCTGGTTTTATTGTCTCTTTTATCGTTGCAGTACAAAAGCCCTCTATGAATGATGAAACTACCTTGCTTTAAGTATACCATAGTCTAGGCTTGATCAATAAGCGGGAATAATTTCTAACAAAGCATCTAAAACATATATTGAATGCAACTTTTCCATCAATTTATGGCTCAAGGGTATTTCATCCACCATGTCGATGAAATAGAAGTAGCTGGACTTAGAGATATTACTTGGTCATTCCTCAAATGTAAGAGGCATATGAATCAGAAGAAACTTACAGCTAGCCAAGGGTGCAGGTAGGTTTGTTTAGATTGATACCTGGTATTCACCCAGCCTTAATCAAGAGTACTTTCATTTGATTCAGAAATCGCAATGGATCAGGCAATATTCATTGATGACGATGATGTTGTCATGATCGGGGATGACACGGATGAGGTGGTTCTTCTAGAACAGGGTAGATTGTCCCGGCCTATCTTTGCTTGGTCTCATCCTTTTTTCTGAGAAGTATATTTATGCTGATACGTCTCAACAGCCCCCAGCATATCTCCAACACCTTTTCTCACTAACGCCGCATTCAAGAATCGAGCTTCTCAATCAGTGCCTAAAGGGAGCCACCATCAAGTGTCGATGCTTCGATCTCGATCGGACGGTTCTGCTGATCCCAACTATTCAACTAGGTTGCCTCCCATTGACCTAACGACCGATGTGGCTTCTCGCCATCCCATATCCCAGGATTGCGCCGACCCTGAAGATAGCGCTCGCCGTGTTTCGTCTATCCACGTAAAATCAATACCGCGAGACGAGGGGTATAAATCATTACACCACTGGAACATCGGGCCTGGAGCCAGTACCAGTCAAGAAGCGCCACGCGGCCCTGTTGACTTTTCCAGACTCTCAAATGATAGAGCACTTTATATTACCGCACACGACGAACTGGCCGCCAAACCCCAAATTATGCCTCGTGCTTCTATGCACGGGCGTCGCTATTCAAATGAAAGCCTATTATCAATTTCGGTTGAAGAAGATGGAGGGGAAAGTACTTTTGCCCAAGATGTGCCGTTGCGCAGAGATGATAACGTCATCCTGATCGAAGACAACGATGACTTCGAATTCAAGCTCGAAGCCGAACTCCTAGAAAAGCCCGAGTTCGAGTTCTTACGCTCAGTCAGCGTGACTGACAAGCCGAATACCCAGCGAAACCCTAGAGTCGTTCATTCATTACGCAATCCCCCAATTATTAGTCCTTATTTCGAATGTGGTAGGTACTTGCACGGAAAGCTCGACTTGCGACCAATGAAGACAGTAGAGCTAGATGATGGAGATTTTGTCTATATCAAGCACGTTGTGAAGTATGTCAAGCCTGAAGACAAGTTTGACTTCAGTCTCGAAAATGCTCAAGATCCTCCTATCACAATTCGAGGGCTGCGATTGCAAAGATGCAAATACCTCAACGGTATGCTGGAGAAGAAGATGAATGAAGTCTGCCTATGCTACGAGATTGATTTAGACGACCAACGTGAGCCCGAAGAGCAGAGTCTCGTCGAAGTATCTTTGAGCTCAGTCAAAGCTTTACGTAGTCTTCGCTGGACGAATCACAAGTACCCACGATATCGGAACCTCGATCGCGACGCTATCGACGACTACAAAGATGCATATAACACAGGAGGGCTCACTGTACGCTGGAAATACACTTGCACATATGCTTCAGCTTCAGCTAGAGAGCAGAACATATACGCGGAGCGAACTCTAGAACGAATCACGGAGGATTGGTTGTCGTCGGTACATCGAACCTCGCACACATATCTGACCTCGAACTCCCGATTGCGGACAGAATGGCGCGGAGAGACTATCCCCGGTGGTACTTACTTACCGGAATACTACGAGATTGAGGAAGACGATGACCCAATGGCTGAAGTCCAACAGCCTAAAGACTCTACCATGATCGAGGACACCCAAAGTCGACGCAAATCATTCGTAGTTGTCGATGATGACGATGATGTTGATGATGATGACGGTGGTACTTCTCCACCTTTGAGCTACCAGCAGTTTGGTATGGATGGAATGCAAATCAAGCGCAAGTCGGATTTCTCCTTCTCTTCAGATCTAAACTGTTTCCAAGAAGATGATCAGCCAGCCAAAAGAGTCCGTCAAGATTCTGACGATAATATCGAAATGATCAGGCAGCGTTTAGGTCAAGTCATGCTTTCATTTAATGGCGAAGATTACGTCAAGTATTCTTACAATATAGGGACTCCCGGTACAGATTCAGGCAGTACAACCGGAGATAATGAGGCATCTCCGGGACATGTTCATAGTCCTGGAAGCTCGTCTAGAAGCATTTGGTCGAACAGAGACGTTCCATCAAAAGTGAGGGGTCGCTCAACTTCACCGAGAAGCGGCTCTCCAGGCTCTCAAATTTCCTATTCCGAGACTAGTCTTTCCCATGCACCATCATCAACTCCATCACCAGATATCCCTCCTCAAATTGACATCAATTCTTCCGAATTAGCCTCCCCACCCCCTAACGGCGTGATCGATTTGTCACCCTCACCTTCACCCCATCACTCTCGCTCATCTTCACTAGCCACTTATAATGGCTCCACATCACCCTCAATCAAAAAACCACGCACTCTCGCCCCTGGCCAAACCTATACCTACGGCGACGCATTCTGCGGGGCTGGGGGTACTACCCGCGGTGCTGTCATGGCTGGTCTCCGCGTAAAATGGGGTTTCGACTTCAATCATCACGCCTGCACAACCTGGCGTCTCAATTTTCCCCACGCAACCTGCTACGAAATGTCCTCGGAGCGCTTCGTAGCCCTTGCTACCCCTTCCCCATATTCCTCCTACACCCCTGACGATGTCAAAGTTGATATTCTCCATCTTTCGCCTCCGTGTCAGTATTTTTCTCCCGCGCATACGATCGAGGGAAAGAATGATGAGATGAATACCGCCAGTCTGTTTGCTGTGGCTGCGGTTATCAAGGTGGCGAAGCCGAGGGTTGTGACGTTGGAACAGACGTTTGGGATTTTATATCCGAAATTTAGGGGCTACTTTTCGAGTTTGATTTGTATGTTTACTAGTTGTGGGTTCTCGTTGAGGTGGGCTATTGTACCATTAGCTCAATGGGTGAGCTGTCTCCTTTTTCTCACACTTAAGCGAACACGACTTACTCACTTTTTGCCCAGGGACTTCCACAGAGACGATTTCGCTTGATTATTATCGCATCATGGTAAGTTTTCACGACAGCTCCCTGTTTCTTTCACATAAACTAACACAGGGGGCCCCTTATAGCCCAGGCGAACCCCTTCCCCCAATGCCGCCACCAACCCATTCCTCACCCTCCTCTCCCCTTCCCAACACACATCTTTTCAAGACCGTCCATCAGACTCTCCGCGAAATTTCCGCTTCCGCCGCAAACCACGCGCCTCATCTCCTCCCCGAAAAGGATCTAAAACCATATGATCCGCACTCGATCCTTCCACGGACAATGACAACCAGCGGTGGCGATAATTGGCATCCAAGTGGAAAACGAGGGTTTACCGATCGGGAATTTGCGTCTCTACAGGGCTTTCCATTGCAGCATCGATTCGGGCTAACTGGGATCAAGAGACAGATTGGAAACGCGGTGCCGCCTGTGGTGGCCAAAGTATTGTTTGAGGGGATAAGAAAGTTTATGGAGGGGATGGATGGGATAGTGAAGGATGTCGGGGGTGAAGATGGAAGTTTAGAAGTTGAAGATGGTGCGACTGGTGATGCGATGGATATTTGTGAGGACCTTGAAGGAGTGCAGGTTGTGCGTGAGGACCATGAAGTGGAAATTGTGGATCTTGTTGGGGAAACGGACGAGAGAGGTGAGGAAGAGGAAGAGGTGGTTATGGGCATGGATGAAGAAAGTGATGATGATGAGGTTGAGATTGTTAGGGCTGTACATGTGCTAAGACATTCTATTATTGATTAGTTGGTTAAGAGAGGAGTACGCGGCGTGCAAGTGGAAGTCTGAACGGTTATTTTAGCATTTCATACGTTAACGATGTCTAATGTTTGGGTGTGCTCGAAATTCCCGGCATACTGTGGTCAAGCAAACAGCATAAAAAATGTCCTCCAGGCTACAACCGTGACTTGGTTGATATTCTCAATGGGTACAGAAATATTGCAAGTTAGTCGGGATATGTACCTCGTAAAAAGCGACGATGAGAATCACAGACTTCTTCGAATTTCAAAATGAACTCAAATATTCAACAACTTCTGACGTTAACTGACCGAGAGGCATTCTTAGTAGCAGCCATCGCTTGTTGGCATCATTACTAGTGAACAACAACGAGATAATAACTTTGGTATTGGGTATTTTTAAACTCATATTCTTACATATTTACCTCGTCATGCCAGCTCGCTCCTTTACCATAACCGTCCAATTGTACCATCCATCACCAGTAGTGATCCAAAGTCCCTAATCTCGCCAGCTTCTCTCTTTACGCCAGTACAGTACCATTTCCATATCCGAACCACTTGCTCACGCTCTTGTGAGTCCCCACATGAAGATCAATTGCACAGGGTATGAGTAGATGAAGAGGAATTGCGTCCTTCGGCTCTTCTGCGATCGTGCTACGGTTTGCATGGTACCTCGCTCATCAGTCGTATTTTCGGGAAGGAGGACGTATTTCAAGGATCGTAACTGTTTTGCGAATATTAGTGACGTGTTAAAATGAAGTTTAGGGGGGAATTTTACCAGGAATAATGCGTTGGCGAGGAAAGTGTAGCTGAAAACAGTCCATCCAATCCATCCGCCAGTTCCCTTACCACCGTTGAAGATCTCACTAACAACCAAAGTAGTGATAACTCCAACGAACTTGTATCCGGAGTAGGCGACCAAATCAAGTAGCTGAGATTCGTTCGAGATAGATAGGAGGTAACATCCAAGCTTCAAACCCAGAATTTCAATAAAGACAATAAAAAATGCCCATCCTGCCGTTGACCCAAGAAGTTCTGGCTGAAAGGCGCCTCGAAGACCGGCTAGAAGTGTGAAAAGTAGGATATATGTTACAAGTGCCATTACTATGAGGACGTTAGCTTATAATTCTGGCGCGCAGGTCAATAATCGTACCTGGAATATACATATCTGGACTATTGAGGTCATCCCTAGGAGGTAAAAACCACCCTTCTTGGCCACTCGGACCAATCGACTGTTTTCTCGACCAAGGCTTATGCCTCCATGGGAATAGGACCAAGAATAACTTGTTGGCCACATATCCATTCGAGACATTAAAGTAATGTTTGAGCGCCGAAACATTGACATATCGATTGAACTGTTTTCAAGTCAGATTTTCCTCTTCCTTTCCATATCCTCGTTCTACTGACATTTTGTTCCACGTATTCCGTTCCATGTTTTAAAGCTGTTTGTCCAACTTGAAATCCCATTTGCGCCGTAGGATCATTTATGAAGCCCCCATATGCGCCGAATGCGCCTGCACCTCCCGGAGCCTGAGGTTGATAGGGATTCCCATATCCTGCCTGATGCTGTTGTTGCGGGACCGGTGGAGGTGGTGATCGTAGCTGAGGGACGGTAGAAACATGTTGGGGTACGGGGTGATGGAGAGGGGGAGAGTTCGCTGGGGGGAAGTTCCCATAATTTGATCGTTGCATATCTGAAATCGGAAGTCTTTCGGAAATAGACAAATAGTATCTGATTCGGTCAATAGTGTAACAATTAGAATATTAAAGAGGTGGAATGTGGTATAGCTATCGTAGAATAAGTCTAGAATAGCATTCACGTCGAACACATTTCCATAAAGCATGGAGTTTGGATGGCTGCTATAATATGCTAACGCCGCCGCTTTACCAATTTGGGTTATCGTCTTATCGGTGACTCTTGGCAAAATCACGCTGCGCACTTTTACTCGAGTAGAAGAAAGTTGTCCATATGAAGTCCATAAATAATCTTCTTTCATGAACTTCTTTTAATGGTTGAGTTGCGACGGTATTACATTAATAACTTCGAATAAATACTCAGGATGTTGGATACCTTTGAGATCCTTACGACTTCTGGAGTTGTACTCTGGTCAAAACAGTTTTCCCCTATCAGCCCTGCGGTTATCAACAGCCTTATTACGAATGTATTTATTGAAGAGCGGACTTTACCTGGCGCTGGAGTTGCAGATGATGTTTCTGCTGCAAATAATCCTCCTTTCAAACACGATCAACATACTTTGAAATGGACAACATGTAAAGAGTTGGGCTTGATTTTTGTGGTATGTAAAAGGAGTCCTGTGGCTCAACTTACCTTCGGGGCTTCTGGCTTATCATTCTAACATGCATGTTTCGCAGGTTGTGTACCGGTCATTACTACATCTATCATGGATTGACAAACTGGTGGACAATGTCAAAACTATTTTCGTGGACCTATACGGTGATCAATTGAAAAAACCACATACAACTGTTGTCGAATGTCCTTTTGACGAATATTTCGATCAACAAGTGCGAGAGTTGGAGAAGAGTGCTTTGAATCAGGATGCTAGAGTCGCGGAGGCTTCTGCGTTTGAAGAGTCAATTCCCCTAATCTCTACAACCTCAGATGATGAACCCCCGCCATTGCCTGGATTAGTTTCGAGGGGTATGCGCCCACCAATTTCCTCAAAATTGCGGATTTACTAACAATTTCTAGGGCAGTCTAAGAATAATGTCAAAGAAGTCACTTCGACCGAATCGACTCCTCTTGGAACACCTAATTCGCGGCCGAGCACACCTGCGAGCCACATATTGAGTGCGAAAGCAGGACCGGGTGGAAGAGTTTCTAGAAGGGCTAGAAAAGCTGCACAGACACCTATGTATGCCTCATCCGGCGACGAATCTCACAAGAAATTCAAAGGTGCGAAGACTGGACTAAAGAAGGGAAGGAAATGGGATGCAGAAGGAAATGCAGATGAGGATAGTGATACCCCGCTCGACTATTCTGCTCCTGCAAACGGAGCTACTTCAGGGGAAGATGAGGGTCGCCCGGGTGCCGTGGAAGGTGTTGAACAGGCTTCGTGGGGTTTAAAGACTGGGAAGGGGCAGTTCGTACTAAAGGACCTCGAAGATGAAGTTCATTCAATTTTGAATTCCGCAAATGTGAAAAAAAACGAATCTAATGCTCTATCAACTGGTTTAGTAGGATCTAGTTTCAGTGCTATTGGAGGATTGTTTAGAAATGTCGTTGGAGGAAAGACTTTATCCAAGGAAGATTTGGATAAAGCCATGAAGGGAATGGAGGATCATTTATTACGAAAGAACGTTGCTCGAGAAGCGGCAATGAGATTATGCGAGGGTGTGGAGCGAGAATTAATAGGGGTAAAAACCGGAAGCTTTGAAAGTATGTATTGCACATATATCGAGATCATTCAAACATCACTAACTATTTTCCAGGCGTCCAAGCAAAAATACAAACAGCCATGGAATCATCACTGAGGAAAATCCTCACACCAACATCATCCCTTGATCTTCTTCGAGAAATCGACGCTGTCGTCTCACCTCCAACTATGTCATTAAAGAAGAAGAGACCATACGTCATATCAATTGTCGGAGTCAACGGCGTCGGCAAGTCCACAAATCTTTCGAAGATATGTTACTTCCTTTTACAAAACAAGTACAAAGTCCTTGTTGTAGCTTGTGACACCTTCAGGTCTGGAGCCGTCGAACAATTAGCCGTTCACGTACGAAATCTGAAGGAACTCACGGCCAGAGAAGGTGGCCAGGTAGAGCTGTACCAAAAGGGATACGGAAAAGATGCCGCGAACGTAGCGAAAGACTCCGTCTCATTCGCCGCCCAAGAGGGCTACGACGTAGTCCTAATCGACACAGCGGGTCGTCGCCACAACGATCAACGTCTCATGTCCTCGCTTGAGAAATTTGCCAAATTCGCTCAACCCGACAAAATTCTCATGGTAGGCGAAGCACTCGTCGGAACCGATTCAGTAGCGCAAGCTCGAAACTTTAACGCCGCGTTTGGTCAAGGAAGATTGTTGGATGGCTTCATTATTAGTAAATGTGATACGGTTGGAGATATGGTGGGGACCTTGGTTAGCATGGTTCATGCAACGAATGTTCCGGTATTATTCGTGGGAGTTGGTCAGCATTATAGTGATTTGAGGAATTTGAGTGTCAAGTGGGCGGTAGAGAAGTTGATGGCGGGAAATTAAGCGGGAGGATTAGGGGTTCCCTCATCTAGGTCTAGATCAAGATGGTAATTTGAGTAGTGTAGTACCTATTTAAATATGTACACGCATGACAGGTTCCTGACTTATATTATATTATGTTTACAATTCACGATTTTGGAAGCACAGATATCATCTCTGTCTCGGCACATACGTACCGCATACAGAAATTAGACACAAATAACATTACTATTATACTGTAATTCGTCCGATCTCACCAGAGCTGGGTGGGTTATCCCATCTCGTTGGAATTTGATGTTGAACTGCTAATCTAATGTATGCATGTCTTGTCTGGATCAATCCCGAATCAGAGTGTATGTATACTACAAATATACTCTGAAGTCGAAGGAGGTACAGATACACTTATCCATCTACTCAATAATAAGCTATACCATTGTCTACACAAATAGAACATTCTAAATCCACAACTTATATATACTTTCACATGATTATCTAATAGAATCCATTTGTATATTTATCAAACTTGTCATCATATTATAATTGTAGCAAAGTAAAGTAAACTCAAGGCATACAAATACACACTGCATTCCCATCCCACCCCATCTAACAAACCGTCCTATGCACCCCCTCATTCATAGGTCTCTTCCCGCCCTTCCCCTGCCCCTTCCCATGTTTGTGACCCACGGTCCCATGCTGCATCTCCTTACTCCCATGCCCCGTACTTAAATGTTTATTCAGCACGCTCAAATCCTGCTCATCACTCTCCATCAAATTCTGCGTCGTAGCACAGATATCCGAAATCAACTTATGCAACAGTCCAAAACTCATACTCTCTCTCACCACCACCCGCAAAATTTCGACCTTGTCTTCGGTGGGTGGCAGTGGGTAGTTGGGGATAATGTATTGTTTGGCTCGGAGGAGGTTGGAAATGGTTTCTTGTTTGATATGTGGAAATTCCTGCTGGAATTCGTCGGAGAAGCGGAAGGCGACGACGGGGAGTCCCGCGTTGTAGTCCGCGGATGTTTCGTCTTCTTGGCTGAAGACGGGGGCGTCCAGCCCAGCGAATGAATGTAGGCCTTTCTTGCGGTGGATGTCGGATACGCAGGTATACCATCCGGTGGCTTCGAGGGATTTGGAGAGGAGACGTGCATTAGTCATGCAGTTTTCCATGATTTGACGGTAACCTTTGAAACCGAGGTGGATGAGGTTATAGTATTGCGCAATTACCTGAGCACCTGGTCGTGAAAAGTTAAGAGTGTAGGACTCTTCAGTTCCACCCAAATAGTGGAGTTCGAAGACAAGATGTTTGGGGAGGTATGATTCATCGCGCCAGACAATCCATCCGACACCTGCGTAGACCAGACCGAACTTGTGGCCGGACGTGTTGATGGATTTGACTCGTGGGAGCTCGAAGTTCCATTTTGGGCCTCCGGCTTGCGCGTGCGTGAAGGGGGCTACGAAGCCTCCTGAGGCAGCGTCGACGTGGATGGGGATGTCGACTCCCGTCTGGGCTTCATAGTCATCGAGGATCTTGGAGATTTCTTCAACGGGTTCGTAATGGCCGGTGTAGGTACTTCCTAGGATTACGAAGATACCGATGGTGTTCTCGTCGATATTGTCCTTGATCAAATCGGCATCAAGTCTGTAATTGGACTTTTCAGACACGGGGAGGATTCTAGCCTCAACCTCAAAGTATCGAGCGAATTTCTCGAGAGCTACTTGAGCATTGGATCCCATGATGATATTGGGCTTTGATTTATCCTTTCCTTCAGCATCACGCTTTTCTTGCCAACGTCTCTTCATAGCCAAACCGCCAAGATGGATAGCTTCTGAAGACCCAGTCGTTGCCGACCCAATAGCTTTCTCCCCATTTTGTGCTCCCCAGAGATTAGCGATGATGGAAACGCATCGTGAGTGCATTTCCATCATGGCTGGGTATTCATCTGCATCAGCCAGATTCTTGGATATGTTTTCGAACATCAATTGTTCCGCATGGTTTTCCATATATGTACCCACGAAACTGACGGTGAGATTAGCAATTGTAAACCTAGTGCTGAAGCTGAAAACTCCGCAAGTCGAAGAATCGGAATATAACGTACCTTGCCAAATTCAAATTAGGTCTGCCATCAAGATCTAATTCATCCTTCAACATTTGGTGAACAGAATCTGCTGGTGCACCCTCCTGTGGTATCTCAAACTTGGAGATTTCTTGTTGGGAAGCATATCGAGTAGAGTATGGGGTGATGTGAGAGGTTTCTCCTTTGGGGTGTACTACATGCTTTTGACTGGCAGCTTTCATATGCATACCGTGAAGCTTCTTAACCATCTCATCTGGATCAACCTGAATTGGAATTTTCGTCAGCATGAGATGAGAGTCTTTTTGGAGATCCAAACTTGAGAAGAGGGTAAACTTACATGGCGTGCGAGAGACATGGTGTTTGTATTAGATTGGAAAGTTGTGGTGGATCGTGTTAAAAGTTTTGAAGATTTGGAGAGTATGAAATATGAAGGAGAATATGTAAATAGTATGAAGAATATTGAGAATGTGAGAAGAGTTATCAATTTGAAATACCAATTCGTAGATAGCTAAATAGCTAATAAGAGAAGCTTTATGAAAACATCTATCAAATGCATTCACCTACATTCACCTACCAAGTATCCAACCGGTATGTATGACGACAATGGATGAAATGGACTAGAACTAAGCTCAAAGGGTTCAATTGAGCTCTTTTTTTACTCTTTTAAACATTTTCTAATCCAATGGGATTCTATATATTTGTGGCTTCCAAAAGAAAAACATGCGATTCTTGGAAATCATGGTGAATTGGAATAGAGGATGGAGAGACTCCGCCAAGCCGTCATAGTGGCTCTTCGGCATATATATTAGAAAGCTTGTTTCGTAGCCCCTGTAATTGATGATGGAAGTTGTGGAAGGGCTCCCTTGATTGAAGTGTTATTGAAGGGGTTGAAGCTTAAGCATGCTCAAGCTCGGAATTCGAAGCTCGAAGCTCGAAGCTTGGATCGGCAATGGCAATGGCAATGGCAATGGCAATGGGCAATGGCTGTAGATTCGTGTCAATTCTTTGCTGAATGAAGATCTAAATATGAGAAACTCTGGTAGTACTTGTTCTCCATTTTGTGTTTCCCCCATAATTAATTACATTTCTCTTATCGTTATCTTGTTATCTTTCGATATGATGCCATGGTATCACTGTCACGGTTATGGTAATTAGCTTTTATTAATCAGAATTTCAGACAATAGCATCTAGGAAGTATCATATCTGTTATCTAATATCTACGAGTAGTTTGTATTTACAACAGCAAGAACTATTTGCATTTTCATAAATCTTACACAAAAAATGCCCTACTCGGACTTCAACTTACACCTTTTCCGTCGGATCTCAAAACCTCCGATCGAGGGGTAAGCTGCCAATGCATGAAATGATTGGTTGGCAATTAAATCGATGATGATGATGTTATCGTTTTCGATTTCGTCTTCTTCTTCTCTCCACAAAGGAACTACAGCAGTCGCTACATCCGCTTCCGCCCCTGCTTATACGTATACGTATACGCGTGTTGAGGATCTTAGACCATGGTCCAATAGTCCAATAGACAAAACAGAATTTGAAAGAAGGGATAAAGATTCAAGCTGCAAGCTGCCTTTCTCTCTCTATTTATCCTTTGTTTGTATTCTTGATACTCAAATCCGAGCTACTTCATTCTCCTGGTGATTGGTCATTGCCTCATCTTGTTTCAAAGGACACCGAACCGAGTTGTTTTGTATCATAGTTGCTGCAGTTACGCGGCGAAAAAAAGGCGTCATTGAATTACAATTACTATCTACTACCTTTAATTCCTTAGTCTTATTCAGCATTCCATTTATATTCGTATCTCTCTGGATCCCCAACTCTTCTCTTTTCTCTTTTTCTCGTCAATCATCTCAAGATGAAGTTCTCAACTACTCTTTTGCCCCTTGCGGCAGTTTCTACTGCCTTTGTAATTCCTGATGAGCAAATAACCAATCAGATCATCGTTGAATCTCAAGCAACTTCAAAAACATGGCTCGATAGAATCTCAGAGACCAAAGACAATGTTTTCTCTCATGCCGAAAAGTCTTTGAAGGATGCAGTTGCATTCAGTGAGAATGCTTTCGATAATGCTATGGATACACTTTCCGAGACTTCCGAACAGGCACAGAATATCATTGAATGTCACCACTCAATGTCAAAGTTTGATATCTCAGGCTGGCTAGATTCTGCCATTTCTACTGTCGAGGATATCGATATTTTCGACCACCCTCACGAGGAGCCTCCTCATCATGGAAACCCTCCTCACCCTCCTCACCACCCAAAGAACCCACATCATGGTCATGGCAAGCCTAACAAGACTGTCTACGAACTAATTGCTAGCAGCAAGTACACCACCAAACTCGCTGAGCTCATCAATGAATTTCCGGAGATTGTTGATGCTTTGAATAGTACCGAGGCAAATTACACAGTATTCGCACCAACTGATGAGGCCTTTGAGAAGATTCCAGATCATCACAAGAAACCTTCAAAGGAATTGCTCAAGGCTGTCCTTGGATACCACGTCTCTCCAGACTTCTATCCAGCTGGTCGTGTCCTCGTTTCGCATACTATCCCAACTTTATTGAAAGAAAGTCGCCTTGGGGACGAACCTCAACGTCTTCGTGTTGGTTTAGGTCTCAAGGGATTGGCCGTCAATTTCTACAGCAGGATTGTCGCCGTCAACGTTGTATGTTCCCTTTCTTCTTCCCATCTCAGACTAGCATACTAACTTACAAAGTTCGGCACAAACGGAGTGATACACGGTGTTGATTCTCTTCTCCTCCCACCTCCATCCGCTCTTAAAATCATCGAACTCCTCCCTGGCGAATTCTCGACTCTTCAACTCGGTCTTGAGAAAACAGGCCTCTTCGATACCATCGCAGCATCTCATCACACAGGAGGAACATTCTTTGCACCCAATAATTGGGCATTCCAAAAGCTTGGTCCTAGAATCAATGCATTCCTATTCAGCAAATACGGTCAAAAATATCTCAAAGCCCTTCTCAAATACCACATCGTCGCAAACCAGACTCTGTACTCCGATGCTTTCTACAAAGCCAAGTCTGATGACGCAAGCTTTAATGTCATTGATGAGATCGATACTGCGGATATCCCCAAGGGACGCTTCCATATCGACTTGCCTACATTATTGGAAGATAAGAGTCTCAGTGTCGATATTGCGAGATTTGGTGGTTTCATCAGTATCAAGATTAATGGATTCAGCAGCGTGAGTGTCCAAGATGGAGTTGCAAAGGATGGTGTCATTCATGTTTTGAGCTCGGTTTTGATTCCACCCAAGACACCGGGTGAAGAGATGTGGGCGGGTGAGGAGCTGGAGGTCGAAGATTTGATGGAGAGGTTGATCCCTTATATGAATGAGGAATTGTAAGGAATGATACAATTGATTCGTGAATGGACGCAATGATGATAAATGAAATGGGTTGAGAATACGGAAATCGGAATATGTATAGCAGTACTCGGAGTATGATTGAATTAGATAGGATATGGTATGATAACAAGTAACAAACTACTCCTCAATGATTGCCTTTGATTCTGTATAATACATATCTTTTACCCTGTTATTACATTCCTTACGCCGAATGTGTCATCCATGAACAGCACATGCATGCATCCAGACTCCCCACGAAGCACTCTCCAACACTTGGTTCTTCGAATATCTACCTATCTATCTATCATCCATCCCTCAAACCCAAAACAATCCACTCTCTTAAGCCATCTTCCCCCCCCCAATTCCTTCCTCCTAATACAACCTCGCCTAGTTTTCCATTCCATCACATCTCAACCTTCCTCGTTCAAACCCCCACTCTCACTCTCACTCTCACACATACCATCTACTCTTCTCCTCTCCTCTCCTCTCCTCTCCTCTTTCAACCAAGCACATTCTAATCCTATCCAACCCAACCCCTTATAAAGCAAAAATGTCCTCCATCCAAACCCCGACTCACGATCTAAATCACAATCTCAATTCAACCCAAATCCCGCCATTCCCCCAAAAGAATCCGGATATAGAAATAAAAATAGTCCGATTAACTATGCAACAGCACCTCGACAATTTCTGGGAGATTTGGAGAGATGAACAAGGGATTATTTGGTCGTACGTTTAGTTTGTAACATATTTTTTTCTTCTTAACTATCTTTCTTCTCTTTCCACCTAATAGATACCTAGATACCTAGTCCCATTTTATCTTTCTTTCCTTTCCTCTCCTCTCCTCTCCTATTCTACTCTATTTAACGTTTTACTTTGTTAATAATTAATCATTAATCATTTAACAAAAACTAGAATTCAAACCCCCAAGAAAACCAAAGAAGAGGCATTGCAATTCATGAAATTCATACTACCGAAAACACACGAGAATCCCGAGGGAGAAGTGGAGGGGATGGATAAATTTGCTATTATTGTGGCTCGTGGAGAGGGAGGAGGTGAGGTTCCTTTTCTTCTTCTTCTTCTTCTTCTTCTTCTTCTTCTTCTTCTTCTTCTTCTTCTTCTTTTATTTCTCGATTTTTGATTCTTGATTCCTTTGGGGAAGAAGGGAAGATGAGGAAGAAAAGTCTACCTACGGTAGAAGTGATCAAGTGGCTCGATTCACGAGTAATTTCTCGACTCGGTGATTTAAATGGCTTGGGCTCGAGATATTTTGGATTTTTGGTATTAGTACTGTACTGTAATGAAGTGAAATAGAATCGCAAGGAATACCTATTAGTTATACTCGTAGAGGATGGATGGGAATCTTAAGACAGTATTTGGAGGGGAGGTTCATCGACAGATACGCAATATATTTCAGGGGAGGTAAGTAAGATTACATACAATCTTGTAGATGAGGATTCACATATTCCAAACTTGCTGTTAGAGTATGGCTAGAAGTACTGAATTGGTATTTTGATTCTGGATTAGTGGTTGAGGGTTTTTCGAGGCTTTTGAGCGTATTGACTGTACTGGTGGTATATACTTATACACATATAAGATGGATCTTCCGCTCTCGCATTTTTAGATCCTCTACGTCTTCTCCCTTTCTCTTCTCTTCTCTTCAATCTTCACCTCCCTTCCTTCTTCCCTCATCCTTCCTCCCTATACTAACACACACTAACACCAACACCCCCCAGAACCTCCCAAATGCGTAGGATTCGTCGGCACCAACCGCTTTTTCCCCGAGGGTCTGGAAGTAGGATATTGTATAAATCCTGAATACTGGGGTTCTGGATATGCTACATGGGGTTTGACGGAATTTCTGAGGGTTTATTGGGGATTGGATGGTATGTTTTTTTTTTCATCTCTTTTGCACTTCGTCTCTTTTGGTATTAGTGAGTGAGAAGGGGATGAATGCAACATGTAGATGCAAAGATGAGAAGAAGAGAAGTCGCAGAAGGCACAGAGACAGAAGCACCTTACCTTGGGACAATAAGTCAACAAATATACTGATACAGAATAAATCACAGATAGAAATCACGTCCCCCACCTCGTCGCAAAAATCGATCCAAGAAATAAGGCAAGCGAGAAAGTGATAATGAGAGTAGGGGCGAGAAAAGGAGAGGTTCTTGAAAATGTAAGTTTTTTCTTTCTGATTCTTTTAGGGAGAATCGTTTCCTTAGAACAGATGAGGTATTGACACATAGATATTGTAGTGCTATTCGAGAGAAATTGACGAGGGGAGGAAAAGTGATCTGCGTTGTTGGTATTTGGATAGGACTAGTGGGGAATAGGAATTAGAAGGGAAAGGGAGAGGGAGAGGAAGAGGTGAAGGGGAAGGAGGAGTCAAAGAATGAGAGAAAGAAAAACGAATTCGGGTTGCGGGATACGATACTTGGAGAAACTATCGCGAGGCTTGAAAATATAGAGATTATGATTCTGAAAGTCTGGATTTGGGAGTGAGTGGTGAGACTTGGGATTCTATGATAATCAAGAAGTTGTTTACCGCTCGTGAGTGTAGTTCGATGATGATTTTTGCACAAATTCCTGCGGGGTGGGTGCCCAACTCTGACCCATTTCTCAATACTGAAATGATTGCGGAGCAGGAAGTATTGTTTTTATCTTTGTATCCATATACATCCTCATCTACCGGGAAATGTTGGTTCCAAAATGGTCATATGTGATACACAAGTGCAATGGGACTTTGAAATTTCCAAAGTAATCCGAATACCTAGAAGAGAAACTTAAACGAAGCTTGTTTTTGATCGAGATCTCGTCTCTATATCCCAAAAGGAGATTCCGCTCCCAGATGTGATCTCTGATTGCCGAATACTAGACTCGATCTCCTGTTCTTGAGAACGCAGATGCTACAATAATCACCTGTCAAGGAATGAGCTCAGTAAGCCGATGAAAAGAGTGGTATTTGCAGTATAGTTGCCGCGGTGAAATCGCTGTGGACTCGAGTATCACTGTATTGGCCCAGTCTAGTAGATGGCGTTCTCTGGAAGGGTCAAAAGTTCTCGACATTTGATTTGTATGGGCCGTGTGTTTCAAGCACATATGATACTCCCTTCATACATTCTATTCTTGAGTAGACAGTTTTCGTCTCCTGTATTCATGCTCTCATTTGTTCACCGATCGAAGTCGGCAGGATATTAAAAGGAATGGATGGTGCTATGTTAACGGGTAAGAGCTGCTAAGCTTGCAATGCTTGGCGAAACTATCGTAGCTGCTTCTTTGATGATTGATTGAGTAACGGGTTTGGGTTGTAACTGAGATGTTATTGAAAGGCTTGTGGACTATTGATTGGATCTTTAAAGACACTGACTCATATGGAGTTGGTTGGTAGTAATGGTAGTGACTGGACTTATAGTCGAGATTTTACTGCGTAAATAACAAGGGTGTTGTGAATATACGTCGAAGAGAGATAGATATCAATCTTTAATTGGAGAGAAGTAATCGGAGATATTTTTTGTATGAATATAGTAGTTGAGAACATAATTAACCATGCATATAGATGGCAAGGTCCTCAATATTTGTATCAGAACAGTGAATAGCAGAATGTATCGAGTAGAGTCACACTCACTTTAGCTTTGAATGTCGAAGCTAAGCATTGACTCATGAATTTATTCATGAACTGGTGCAATTTCATGTGAATGATTCCTATTTCTGTTCATCATTTACTGTTTTCCAGTATCTAAAAATAAGAATCATTCTCATACACCTGCTGACTCTTTGGAATCTTTCTGCAATAAAAGAACCCCCTTTGACAACCCTCCCGAACTTAATCTTCAAAAACATCAACCATACTACAAAGAACAATATGTCATCAACAACAACTGAAACCACTTTCCATCCATTCCCAAGACTTTCCCCCCAGCTTCGTTGCAAGATATGGAGGGCATCGTTTCCTGGTCCTCGATTAATCCTCGTCTCCATTGAAGAGGGAAATCTGGTGAGCAACGCCAGCCTTCCCATCAGCCTCCAAGTTTGTCAAGAATCACGATACGAGACTTTAAGATTCTATAAACTTCGCTTCGCCGTGGACCCGTCAAATGCCCGCATATACTTCAACCCAGAATGCGATGCGATACAGCTCCTCAGTCCGCGACCCATGGATCCAAACAGCCTAGCTGCCTATTCACGCCTGTTTTCCATGGCAAGTGTGGCCATCAAGAACGATATAAAAGCTGTATGCATGCATGTAACATGGGCTAGCGAAACTACTATTCGCGTCTTGAGGACTGATACAGGCGAAGCTCCTTTCACGTCCTTGTTTGGGCCAGACTGTCAGGTGTTTTTATTCACAGACAAGTCGCAAATGCTACCATTTCCCCAAGCAACCTGGAAGCCCAAACGGCAAACGGTCACGCAATCGAGTGACTTGGGTTCAGGAGTAAAGGCCATCTTCGGTACTACGAAATTCACGTCCATTGTGCATGCAATGACAATGAAGTTTGGAACGGCAAGCCAAGGATTCCGTTCATTGAGCAAGATTGGACCACATATTTCGATGGGTTTGGTAGTGTGGTCAGGCAGTATATTGAAACTACCTTGTAGGATTGAAGATTGTCATGAGTGTTCCGCGGTATGATATACGCGTTAGATAGATAGCAATGCATTCTTAAAGCAACCCTTTGATTGGCTCTATTTTGATCATTTTATCTCCAAGTATCTGATGTCTTTCGAGAAATAACAGAGAAAGAGCCGTCACTTGACGGTCAAACGTTTCGAGGTGTGTATTGTAGAAGAAAAGAAAGAAGATGAGAATATATAACTCGTATATGTATCAAATCAACATGGCCTGTGCGCAACACTCTTATCTACTTAGTATGTACTAAGCCTTTTTCGCAATTTGATAACAAACGAACGATAATACAGCACATGTCCTCATTCCTAGCAAGCTGTTACTGTTACTCTCAATCGCCGCACGAAGGAGGTTGTAGCAACTCGGATCTTCACCTTTCTCAATAACTACCCCTCCATCTCTTTGACTTTGTTCGAGAAGAGATCAAAAATATCTCCCGCACAACCGTTATACTTAGACATCTCTACTCTTTGGTCTATCAAGCCGGCTGCTAGCTTCCTGCCTTCATAAATCAGTCTCTCAATCTCTCTACTCAACCTCCCTCTACAACCATGACATCCCGACTTCCCGGTGGCGGCGCGCCTCGTCTCTCCACTGCACCCAGTAGTAGTACCAAGCCTCGACAACTGGTATGACCCTCAAGCCCCTCTATATATTCTACACATCTCCAAATCTTACATTGTGCCTCTGCCGCCCAATGATTTCTTTTCCAGACCAAAATACCGTTTTCAATAGTCTTGACTAACAACCTCAGTCCCATCTACACGCACAACTCGCCCAACTCTCCGCCAACCTTGGAGATCTTGAGAATCTTCTACGAAATACTAGCATACAAGCTGAATCTATTCGAGGTCTGGGTGCTTTTCATGGAGGACTGTAAGTCTGCGAGTTCTTCCAATTTTCCCCGATTCAAAATCCAGAGACACAAAATATCTGACTATTTCCCCAATAGATTCATGGCAGCAAGCAAAGTTTTAGGGGAAGAGACGATCGCGGGAAGTGCGCAACAACATGGGCAGGGACAGGCACAAGGACAAGGACATGGAAACCGGACTGTAGAGCGCAAAGAGGAATCTGATTCCGATTCTTGAACGTACATTTGGCTTTGATTAGTCCGGGAGGCAGGAGGCAGGTCGCGTCCCTGTTCGAGCGTTGAGACACATCGGGGCTTGCTGCTGTAAACGCAAACGCCGAAATTCGCCTACAACCACTTGTGCTAGATGCCGATTCTGAAGATGAGGATGATCTCCCTATGCTCTTACCTACACGACAAAAAGGAGGTGTGAACCTAACACAACAGGATATCAAAAATGGCCGATTTCGACATGGCGAAAAAGCCATCCCAGTCAATACCGCGATTGCCAGTAGGGCTCTCAGCATACGCATCCTGTTCCTCTATTTCTTTACGGCTTCAAACAAATTTAGAACACAACCATGCACGAAAGATAGAGATAGCGGGTCTACATCTGAAGCTACTAAATCTCATCCCTGGTCAACGTGCCTCTTCTAACATGTGTCGACCAAAGGTCACAAAAAATAAAAACAAAAGTTGAGTCTCCCTCGGGTGGGCTTGAACCACCAACCTCTCGATTCCAATCTTCGTGGTTCATATGAACCAAGAATAACAGTCGAACGCGCTAGCCAATTGCGCCACGAGGGATATTTCATATTGACCGAAGATTACAATTCATTATATAAACAGCCCTTGCTGGCCCTCAAAAGACCCACATCACTCCACAAGAATGGTGGGGGACGATGCAAACTGAAGACCAATAATCTTGAACGTTCTCTGGTTGACCTGAGAGTAGGTATCTAAAGGTAATGTGTGGAAGAACACTGCCGAATCAAATCCCTAGGTATGGAGATGTGCTGCGGGATCAAAAGTTCACAAGTTCGGCCTAGGAAGGAATGTTACAGCCAGTTGTCACCATATAGGAGGGCAAATGAACAATCAACAGACCTTTGCGAGCTCAGCTCTAACTACTCTATGTTAATTAGAGGGTCAGGCTTCGCATCTTTAGGAGTCGAAACCTCAAAATTGTTGCCTGGGTCATTCTGCAGGTGGTTGTGATTCGATCTACATTCGAGAGTTGTGATTAGAGTAGAGGGGAGAGAATAATGCCAGTGGCATACATTCATTCCATCAAGATAGTCAATAAATAGTCTCAATCACCATAGTGGCTAACAGTATCAATCTCAGAGAAGCAGTAAAGTGACTAGTGACATTCCAACGATCCCATCTTTCCATATCTATATGCAGAAACCAATCAAATACTCATTCATCTCTGAGAATCCAGGAGAAAGGTAAAGGAACTTTTGGCTCAGCTGTCAAAGCAATGTTCGGTAAGATCTTACTTCTAGGTGTGATATTACATGAACTACAACTAAGTCAGTAGACCCCAAGAACCAGAGAGTTTAAGATCGGATTTCCTAACTGATTAGTTATGTTCTGATCATGCTAGATCTCGCTCCATATGTTCTGAATAACCTCGCCCATCCGAGACTTATCAAAGCGTCTTAAAACTAAATAAGACCTTTTAGCTACCACTGTTTGATCTTCTTCCAAATAATAATCTCATCTTGTCTGATTATCTTTAGCATTTAGCAATAGTACTATCTCAACTCGAGTAACTGAGAACGGGCCTAGTTGTATTTAGTCTAGTTGTCGATTATGCTAAGTTAGATAGATATAGCCTAATTTCTATTGCTTAAATAGAAATATGGAATTAAAAGTTTATTTAATATTCACTTTGCTGTTTTTTTTTCAATTAATTATATGATTTGATTAATCTTTTGGCTAAATCGATATTTATACCAAATATGGCTGGTACTAGGGATCCGTTCTAACTTCTCAGTTACTCGAGTTGATACGGTATGGGAATATCTATCTGTATTCGATAATCTTTCAAGGAACTGTGCTATCTATCCTATCCCATCTTTTATTTATTGAGATGAGATGAGGTAGATGGATGTGTATGTCGAGTAATTAGGTCGAGATAATGTTTGATACTGTAGATGTTAGATGTTAGATGTTAGATATTTTTGTAGGGGGGTAATGGAAGGAAAGTGCTAGTGAAGAGAAAGCGAAGAGAAAGTGCTAGAAAATAGTCGTAGAGAAAGCGAGTAGACAAAGTGAATCGAAAAGCGAACAGAGAAAGTAAATAATTCGATAAACAATTTGCCCCTGTTTAACTTGGCAAACAAGGGTTTGTCTACTCGAGTACGAGTAATTTGAATTCATCCACATCTCCATCATATCAATACTAGGCCCTGGTATTCAAGAGTACCGGTAGTCATCTGAAGGGTTGTTTATATTCATACTCGGTAGATATAACTCAAATAAATGATATGCCAGTGTATAAATATTAGCAAGTAAATTGCCATAATAATAAACTTAAATATCCGCGAGCCTAGGCTCTAGATCTTGATCTAAAAATAAGAAGATTAATATACTCGAGTACTAGTAAATAGATATATGATAATACAAAATACACTACTCGAATATATTAGAAAGTCAGACAGACTTAATTATGATGAAAAGAAAAACGGGATAATGAGATTAAATAAGTATATTATTTTGGAACAGACATTCAAATCTAAGGGGTTCTGATATCATTATCATTGTAGCACTGGCAGATGTATATTATATCTACAATAATAATATCTACCAGCAACACCAACTCACAACTTCACATCATCTCCTCCAAGTTCCAAGTTCCAAGTTCCAACTTCAAGTTTCCAAGTTTCCAAGTTTCCAACTTGCCTTACACTAAATTCTAATTAGTATCACAATTCATCTTTCTATTAGTACAGCAAGAAGAATTCGATTACTGTGTATAATATATATGTGTTAGCAATACTTACTAAACCAAACTATCTAAACACACTACATACTATTCACGATTTATTTCATTAAACCCACCCTCACTCACACTCACCCTCACACTAACAAGGACCTTCCTTATCCTTACAACTACGATCCAAAATTAGATATAACTCTACTCTAGAATCTAGATACACAAACCCCCTTCCCTTCCCTTCACACCTCCCCCTCCTTCCTCTTTTTCCCCCACAGATATACTTACTATACACTCACTACATAACAAAAAAACAAAACAAAACAAAAAAAAGTGAATAAACGACCCTAAATATAATCTTGGATGAGAAGTGAGAACTTTCGTTCCACTTCAAGTTAGTTAGCTACTAGCAACTACTCGAGTATTAACCAACGATAATGAGGAGACTAAGAGAAGGAAGTACATTCATTCATTCATTAAATATCAACCATACACGAAATGTTACGAATTTACAATTTCACTAATTAATTTACACAAGCAATAAATCTTTTTAAAACGAATCGCTCGTGGTATTCTCTCACTAATTGTTTGCTCTGTCTGATCTCTCTGATTTCTGCACGCTGCCCTTTACTCCATTCCATTTCATCCCTCCATCATCCAACCATCAAGCTCGATATCCTAGCCCAAGTTCAGTCCATTCCATTCAATTCATCCAGCGCAGCTACTTCGCTTGCTCGCTGCTCGCTCGCTTAAACAAATAGATTCTCCTTCACCCTCACACAATCCCCCAAGCACATGCACAGTCATCATCACCACTTCCTTAAAACAAACCTGTCTATCCGGATATCAAATCATGTCATTAAAGAACCCCTTAGACCCAAGATGCGCGAATAAAAACAAAAGAAAAAGCAATCCAACAAGCCAAAGCGAACCCCCTATCATGTTCATCCGTTAATCAACCAAGCATAAGCCAATCCCATCATCCGTATTTAAGCAGACAAACTTGCGCGCAAAACGCAAATACAACTTCCATAAAGCTCTCAGCTCTTGAATCGCATGATTATCAAATGCAAAAGTAGCAAATCGGATTCGCTTGAAAATCAAAATCCCATCTCTGTTCCCCAAAGTTTAAGAACAAGGGGAATGGATGGGTTAATAAGAAGAGAAAGGGACATGATATCAAAGATCTCGGTGCTAAAAGTCATAGATGAAAAAGAAAAACCGGTTCAATATAGCCTCCCAATATTTCCCACCACCTTGTGGTGTATAGACCAAGATGCACTTAAGTTGGTTCGATCCATTAAAGAAAGAAAAGTTTTCATCGTCTTATCGTTGGTATCTCGAATGTAAAGGGCGAATTCTCGCTGGTATCATAAAAGGCCGAGTGTAAGTAACTCCAAGGAACAATCAAATGTAACCGCCAACCCCAGAAAAGACCATAGGAAGGAAATAACGCCCGGTGGCGACAGTGTTGAAAGAAGAGTCAAAAGGCTCGATCAAAGACTCATGGTTAGCCATTCCCATTCTTGAGGACCGGCACCAGAACCATTTGCTCCATTCTGGCTATTCATAACCATTCCATGTTGTGAACCTCCCATACCCATGGGTATCCCAGAACCTCCTGGCCCCATCATTGGTCTTGCTGGCATCCCAAATCCATTTGATAGGCCCATATTGGTCATAGATCCATTAGGAGCAGCCATCATTCCCATACCAATAGACTTTGCAGCCTCATTGCTATCGGTGGAAGTTTCGGGCGAATCAATGTCCATACTCTCAATTGCACTAACACTCTTGCTATGTCTCCTTTGTCGCTTAGGCATTGCATTCGATCGAGGCATGCTGGATGCTGCACCAGGGCCGGGTGTTGCTTTCGGGGGAGCAGCAGCTATAGGGACTACACCCTTACCTCCGCTGACACCTGTTGTACCCGAAGAAGAGCCTGCAGAACCATGGTAGGAAGTTGGCGTACTGCCTGCAGTACTTCCTCCATTCCCTAATGAACCCGCAATCGAAGGCGGACTGGCACTCTCATTTGCATTTCTTCCATGGCTACTGGTAGGTGTTGTTACCTGTGTTGGAGGTGCCGTGTTGGCCATGCTTGTTACTGCAACCATTGAATTCTTCCTGGTATTAGGCCCACTGCTCATTGTGCCCATCTTCTTGGAAGCTCGTGTCGAAGCACCACCGGAAGTACCGATGGGAAGCGTAGCACCAGAGCCTCGATTACGCTTCTTGATGACATCCGTTTTTAAGGATAAGGGGCGTACAACACCGTGTAGCTTGAGGAAGAGACCGCAAGCATTGCAAAGAGGGTGTCCTTCTGGGTTTCGTCTCCAGAGAGGTGTTGTTTGCGTAAAACAGTTTGTACATGTTGTTGGAAGCCCATTGTCTCCTTGACCTCCAGCTGCTGCTAAATTGGTAGTCGAACCGTGTTTAGATCCACCGGGAGATCCTGGTCTACTGGGAGCTACAGATGAAAATCCTGACATGTTATTAGCATCTGGAGGCGAGTTTGGTCCAGAGTTGTCGAACATGCTGTTTTGGCCAAGGAGGACTGCATTTGGTGTTGAGGCAGTTCGGGGAACCTTTTGTCTTCTATCACTCGCTGTGCGATTATCGGAAACAGACTGGGTAGAGCCGTGATGTCTCCCTAGAGAACCTCCGGATCCATCCCACTCCAATGGGGACGATACCATTTCTGTTCCACCAATAGTGACTTGCTTTCTTGGTGGTCCGCCCGGATATCGTGCCGCTTGAGTAGTAAATTGCCCTGACAAACTAGTATCCCACTGTAAGCTTCCATTTCCATGCATATCCATGTTCTGGTCATCCAAAGGCGATTGGACGAAATCATGTTGTAGCATGAGCGCTCGGTCTGCAAAAACTTGACTTTCATCATCATCATTATCAGAATCCCCTCCAAATGAAAACATATTGTCTTGACCAATGTGGACACTAGGAGATCGCACAGGATGATCGGGTTGGAAGACCTGGGCTGGGTCTATATGTTGTGACAAACCGAACCCACCAGCGGAAGCATATGCATTATTAGTCGGGCCAGAAGCTGTTACTGCACTAAACATGGATCCACCATTGCCATTATACATGTATTGAGGGGCCATGGAATTCGAGAGACTGGAAGGCCCTTGACTGAAAGTGTGTGGGCGTTGGTGTCGCATATTCATTCCATGTTGGAAGTACATCTCCTGACCCTCTGGGATGGGCTGAGGAGTAGAGACTGCAGACGGATAAGCACTTCCAGGAGGAGAGTAGTAATCGTTCGAGTTCAAGGAGGAAGATGGCATCGAAGCATTGTTGTACATTGAAGAGAACGGTCCATGGGGAACGAGGGGCGAATGTGATGGAGAGAAGTTGAAGTTCTGTTGGAAAGGACCCGCCGAGGTTATGATCGGGTCGTTATCCATGTTGAAAGTATCTAGTTGAAATGGTACACCTGTAATTCCGTGGCTACTAAATGGCGCGTGAGATTGGTTTAAAGAATATTCTTGAAGATCGTCATGATCCGGATCGTTGGGAATCATTATGCTGTTGACTTGAGGCGAGAAATCGGCCGGTCGTTTGCGGGCCTGTTAGTTGCGTCAGTCTCCAACTTTGATGGCGCTTACAGAGTGATTTATATTTAGAACCAAAGGAAGTAGAAAAACTCACTCGACGCTCATCGATACTTGTTTTCCTCACATGTCTCTGCACATAGTTAAATTCTTCGTTACTTCGAGGGGCGTGATGAGGGACTGGGACAGATTGTGGGACAGAAAATTGCTGCGTCGATTCCTTCCGCATTTTGATAGGAATCGCCGAAGCTACAGTGTTCGACGACCTGTCAACCTCCCTTTTCGTGAGTTCCGGGGAAGGCGAAGTGGCGATATCTGCTGGTGTGGATATACTATCAGAGAATATAAAGTCGTCCAAATTCATGGCGTCGGAAATATCTACAGCGGTTTGGTCCGTAGATTTTCTCAACTGGGCAATTCCGCTCGGCCCCTGTGAAATCTGGATTTGGTGATCTTGTCGAGATGATCTGTTGAGATACTGTTAGATACATTCTGTCTTTCACCAAGAATAAACGATCCATCGACTTCTTACCGAGCGTTTTCTTCCTGCTTGCGCTTTCGCAGGTTCATTGCCATCATGCGCCATGTTAGATTCTCTAGTCGCTCCTGGTTTGGCAAGTTCTTCTTTGTTTTACTGTATAACTTCCAAATCTGTGTTGCCAAGGGATCTTTCTTCTGCATCTCATCCGTGTTATCGAGCTCATCGCCGGCGGAGCCATCTTTCCAAGTTGAAAAGAAGCTCTCACCAAGCAAATCATCGCGCGCACGGCTTGACGCTGGATGATCCAGTTTGCCTTCCTGAGCTTTTGCGCTCGCCCCAGGGCTCTTTGTCTGGTCGCTGGAAATTTGATAGGTATTCGATAATTGATTCGCAGATGTCGGGTGTGTAGATTGGTTCTCTGGCCTTCGGGGAAATCTCAGATCGTGCTGCGTTTCTATCGATCCTGATGATGTAGTATTATTTGATTGAGACTCTTCACTTGAATGCCAGTCCTCAGATGAGTCGCGGAATCTTTGGAGAAGCCCCCCACGCTCAAGGTATTGTGCCGTTCCAGGCATTTCGTTGGAGCGACACACCTCCTTCTCGGACAGTCTTCACCCAATGTAACAGTGATCCCGCAACCGAATCCAATCCTAGAATGCTTCCACAAAAATGGGCTTATGATTATATTGTCGAGATTATTTTTTGTGTATTTAATCGATTTATCGAACGATTTCTTTGATCAAACTTATAAAAATCTCCGAGTTTGCGACGATTGAGCGAGGTGAACAATGAATGATATAGTTATTTTCAAGATGTGCTCCTTTTTCTTGACCCCAAATGCAGCGAGTCAGATGGAAATGGGTGTCGCAAATTTCGGAACTCTTGGCCGAGGGTGGTGGATGACAATCAATGTTCAAGGGTTGTACTTGAAAATTTCGAGGTAAGTATCCGCCAGATTCCAAAACCTTGGGTTCGTAATGAAATAAAGCTTAATAGATCTTTACTGTAGAAAATAAAGGATGTTTTATTGTTGAAACCCCAGCGATAGTAAAAATTATGGATTGTTGTGTTGGAACTTGGAAGTGATACTACTAGGTAGGTAGTGGTAGCGGTATTGGTATTGGTAGTGGGTAGTGGGTAGTGGTATGAGGATAGGATAAGTTGTAGGTTGTAGTAGGTAGTAGTATGTAGTACTGTAGGTGTAGGTGTGGTATAGATAGTTTAATTACCAAGTGAAAAAGGGTTCCGATTTATTATCTTCTTGTTCAAAGAGAGTATTTCTTTCTCTTTCTTTCTCACAGGCCACACACTCTCTCACTCTCTGTCACACACTCTCTCTCTCTCTATTTCGCTCTGCCTCGGGATTCTTGATTTTAGAATTGGGATTGGGGATTGGGGATTGGGGATTGGTGATTGGGGATTGGATTTAGGATCATTGGGGGAGAATAGGTATAATAGTAATAAATTAGGTTATTTACGGGATGATAGTATTATAGATGAATAGATGAAATAGATGAATGTTTCCAGGTTGTGTAGTTCCGAACAGTAGTATGATCCGGTTGTGTATGGTGGTGGAGTAGAAACAAATTGCTCCCCCTCCACCCACTAAAAAAAAAGTAGATTGTTGTACCGAACGAGCAAAGACCAAAAATGCTTGCTTGTTTGTGGATATAATTGAAAGATGGATGGATGGATGGATGGATTTATGGATGGATGGATGTGTATTTACTATACTATTGATGGATTATCTACGAGTAAAATCAATATTAAATGAATGGATTCAAGTGGCTGCCGGTACTAGATCATTCATGGCAATATACGGAGTAGACGTTTTTGGTACCTTTTTGGTATTCATCATGTACAGTCTACATGATGTCTATATCTCTTAATAGGGCTTTTAGCTGTTGATATAGAATATAATATGCGGAGCAGATGGCACCGAATAGAAGGCATCCAAATATGAAGTTAATAGCACATTGATTCAAATTAGCTCTCCTGCTTGTTGTTAATTTACAGCCTTGATTGGCCCAAGATGAATTTAAGTATAGAACCATAATGCAACTTTGAATTCAACAAGGAAAATGGTAGTTGCTGCCACCACGTTAGTTGGGATACTCGAGTACATGTAGTGAAAATCAAAAAGTTCAAAAGCTTCCAGAATCATGAATAAGGTTCAATCGTTCCTAGGGGGATCCTTCATTTACAAAGAAACTAAGAAGAAGTGATCTGCTTCATGATACGATTAATAGATTTTCCACGTATTAATCCTCCCTCAGCGACATTCTGAAGTACACATTCCGTTGCCTTGCCTTGAAGACCGAAATAGGATTCAAGGATCATCTTATAAGCCTTTACTACTTACTGTATGCTGTATGCTGTATGCTGTAATGTTCTGCGATGCAATAGCTAGGGATCCTGAGATACCTTGTGTGCATTGCTGCTTTGTGATATGCCAGCCAAAGACAAACCGCTGCACGAAGTAGCTTGATTACTTGGAGATGGTCAAATTCTAGCTTCTGTATCACCGGCGCAATCCGAAGATTCCCATAATTCTACATTGCTTTCCCCCCTTCTCTGATACTCGCTTCCCTTCCTCGATATTGCTTCGGGCTTCCACTCATGCAAGATACCTCCCACCTTTCTGCATCGTAACGACCCTAGTAACTAACAAACGCTCCTGCAGCAAAACTGTATAGAAAACCCAAAATGCATTCTCGTCATTGCCAAGCTCAACTTTGTCCCCTTCATGTTTCGGTAAAACGCAGGCGGGATCACATATAAAAATTGGCCGTAGGTACCGGTAGAGGAGAGTAAGTTTACCAAGCCTACAAGTTACAGGGCTTGTCATGCTTGGTAAAGTTAAACAGAAAGGTCATAATGTCCACTAGATGTACATAAAATGGCAATGACAATAAACGAGGGCGACATTTTCGATGATGGCGTAAACTAGTTCAGGTTTTCTGGCCATGGAACATATCCGGTATTATATATGCTGACACCGGACGGTCCTATTCCAAGAGCATCGAATGGCGGAGGGGCGAGGATTCGAAGCTTGAATTTACCTTGTATTTCTCCCGCGCTGGCTGATTTATGTGGATGATAATCAGTGGTCGAAGTGGGGGGTGTAACTGAATGTGTGCAAAAGTCAACTAAACATCGAAACGACAACGGAGGCTACCTCGGTGTGATATGGAAGAAGACAGGCGGGCAAGGCGAGAATGGACTTTTGTTAAACCCTATACGGCTGGCAACAGTACTGGTACATACTTGGTGCGGTATTTGTTCGTATCCCTCCAACATGAAATGAAGATAAACGTTTCATGTTCGACAGAAATCGCCAAGGTGAATAGATTTTGTGCTTCCCCAGGACTTTCCCAAGTTTATTGATACAGTTTTTTTTAAAAATCAATTACAGTACAGTAAAATATAGAGTTTCATTGAGCATCAAATATGAATACGGTCGGTACTGGCATCATCCTCGCTGAATATCATACCCTCTTCAGTTATAGCACCATTCATATTTAAACCCAGGGTTGTACAGTACACATTTTCTGGGATACCATTGCACTGCCTGTTATTGGGCAACCAACAGCCTGTCTGACAACTTTTTAAAAAAATTGAAGGTCCTTGTCTAGTTGACATCCGGACATAAAATCTGATTTGGGAAGTGCGACTTTACGAAAGTGGGATTCGTATATGAAATGGAGAACTCACTCAGCTACCCTACTCGAGAAGTCGAGAGGCAACGTCAGGGTCTAAAGATCCCCGAGATATTTGAAGGAGAAGAAGAAAAAAACATCATGTTTCAATAGATGGGAAGTGAGAGGAAGTAATAATCGAGAAGGAGGATGTTGAAGCCTGTAATGCCATGCCCAAAGAAACTCGCCGGGAGTAGTTTACAGGCTACAAAGCCTGTACAGTAACATCATGACTGCTTGTCTAAAGGATAAAGGGGTATAGTACCTCCGTATGTACTTGTACGAAAACTCAGAGAACTTTATTCATACATCATATCATCTGAGAGTTATTTAATTTGGCGGCGTGTGTGGTATACGGCAATGCTGTGTCACTCGAGTACTCGAGTAGTATGAATTGGATATTTCATCCGACTTGGTTTGACCATATTGTGGTTGGTGCAAGCCTTGTCTTGTCCTTCACTTCCCCTTCTCGCCCTACTCCCTCGCTCGTCGTTTGTAAAGCTGCACAGACGACGAAGGGCAAGCTAAATTGTCTTGTGGTGCATAGGTAGGAAAAGCTACTGTTGTGGGATTTGTGTACAATAGGTCGAATAGGTTATAATATATGATAGATATTGCACTTGTTAGAGCCTAGTGGCTTAATAGTAGACTTAATTTACTTTTATAATTCTACTTACCGGTAGTTCTTCTGTTAAATACTGATTAAGAATCAAGCACAGCGAGCCTAACTACAAAAGTATATAAAACAATGTACCTTATTCAAGTAGCTCAATCTCCGTGCTCAGCGCACTCGAATCTTGCATGTCTACGGCGCAACTTGGAACACAGTAGAAGCCGACCATTCGAACGAATTAGGTCTACAAGTCGGTTTGGCAGGCATGCATTTCACCTGTTCGTCTCTCGTCAGCGTCCGAGTTGCGCGTTGCAGCGCGTATGCAACAATAGATCGACAATGAAGTTGTTTCTGACCACTGTACGTACTGGCTTTATTTCCCCTTGGGAACGAGATCATCGATACATTACGGTACAATGAATTCCATATTATCTTTTATTACCGATCCCCTATGTAGAAAGAATACCGTCTATGTTTCATGAAGTCCATAAAATGCTACAGAATCATTTTTTTGACGTCATACACGCAAATAGTGTCTAGTAATATCAATTTGGTTGCGAGAGCGGCCTATGTCCCACGAATTTCGTGGGGTTCTTGTATTATGGAGGAGTGTGGTTGGCGTAGGGGGGCTTAGCGGGGTGAGACCTCCCCCTCTATGGATTTAATCGACACACACCACACATTCATTCAGCCTGAAGCTTTAACCTTATACCATGATGCCAACCATGAATGCCATCTATGAATGATGATCATGTCTGGACATGCATCGATTTTATAAGCGATGTGACAGTCACAATTGGTCAGTGGTCAGTGACTCCGTGGTATCAGACCTGGGTGTTTCCATTTGATTTCATATTTCTTTATTCGTCACATACGTCGGACCGATGAGTTCCCCAAAGTGTTGGACATTCTCAACTTCCTTCATCTCAAGTGTTTCAAGAAAGGTGATTGGATGTCTCGAGGAAGACAATTCGTTAGTTGATGGATCTTACCGTTAACACTTGGATGCACACTTCCTTCCCAGTACCATATTTCCGAAGCGGGATTGCAGCAATAAGTCTAACTTTGTATAGTCAAAAGACCGATTCAAAATTCCGAATGCTTCCGACGATTCAACTTACAGGCTACAGCTAGAATAGCACGGGTATGCCCGACCTGGACCCATTTCTGATGCTACATCGTAAGTCCAGCCTGTCCAAAATACTTGCCATTATTTTGGTGTAGAATATCGGCCGAAGGACAGCCGTGCATGGGTAATGGAATGAATGCTTTAAACGGCTCTCGTACATATAGGATATTAAACCGGGAAATCCTGACAAGAGCCTCATACAATCTAGATCTAAGGACCCTTAATATCAGGGTTGACTTTTGAAGCCCTTCGGCGTAACTGTTTCGTGTCTTTCGCTTCATGAACCGCGAACGGCTGTACTGTGGTCGTAGGCTTTAGATCTTATCGTAGAATCCAGATCGCAAGAAATGCTAATTGGGGTTTTGTATGGATCTCTTGACCGTATGATGTATATCATTAGCGAGATTATGATCGTACAGTGAAAATTGGTTGTCGCGGCTGCAGCGGGAATTCGTGATCTGTTGTCCATCTTTCCCAGGGGCACTGAAGAACTACTACCGACGGAAAATTTAAAATGCGAAATATAGACCTAATTCATCATTTCCGTGTGGTTGCAAGCGATGTTTCTCACTGACCGTTTATCTGTTACTTTAGAAACAAACTGATGGTTCAGTTCAAAGTTCATACTCCAAAGTGGATTTGAAGTCCCCCATTTTGGGGATAGATTCTGTAACCGTCCACTCATTTGCAGCATTTGCAGTTGTCTTGCATGTGAAGATCCATATCGGGTTGTTAGGCGTTTGAATTTAGTTTCCGCCTCTTTTGAGACAGACATCAGAGTTACCCTCGTGCTAGACCCACCGAATTCGGAGCAACTGCGGTGTATTGATGGCGAGCGCGTCGTAATTATACCTGAGACTATCTGAAATGATAGCGTAGTTCGTCCTCCGCACAAACCATAGAAAGTACAGTAACTCCATATTGGTAACGAGCCTACTGTACTCGAAGTATCAAGATACTAGATAGTGAAGCGAATAATGAAATATAATGAAAGATAATTCGCATTCTGCGTGGGGGAACCATGAAAAGCTCAAATGGTGAACCACCACCAAGGATCTTTTCCTGCACAGCCATGCCATGGAATAGATAACATGTGCTCTGCAAGATTGGAGATACATATGCGGGGGGGCAAGATGGCCGAAAGATACCGGGTACCCTAGGAAAGTAATCGTAAGGATTCAAGAATTATTGCTTGAGAGAGCAGGCGACACAGTCCTGGGACAAATCAACTATTGGTCGATGGTGCGAACTTGCGTGGGGATCAACGATGCAAAGCAATATGGAACTGCCTCGTGGATACTCCGATATGTTCTGAAGAGGGATAGATACGATTTGAAATCCTCGATATATTTATTCCTGACTGGCTGTTGGAGTTCGGAGATGTTGTCCGTTGGGTAAACGGACGAAAAGAGGAAAAGGATCGATATGAGGATGGATGGATCTCTCTTTGATTATTAATCTTCGTACAGTAAGGTTATATAACATTCGGTTTGGTGATGTGAGTTGTGTGGGTTGTGCCGATAATGGGCTTCGTTCGTGTATAGATAGATATGTGATGATGTATGTCGATTGTTACGATGATTCGAAAGAATTGCTCAGTATTTATATGTCATGTGACGTCCGTCCATTGGTTTGAGGTCATTCTGTTGATGATGGAATTCTTCCAGTATATATGAGGTATGAGGGCACACGACATCTTATATAACCACAACTCTAATCGCGTTTGCATCATGTCTTATCTATCTTTCGTCTCGGTTTCAACATCGGATCTACAAATGATACCATCCTGCACAATCTAATCGTGACTGACAAGGTATTTCTGAATTTCTGGGGAGGGCTAATTGATTGTATCTTGGCCTCCTATTCGGTTCGCGACGACGCTTGTGTCAGTCCCTATACCAATAATCTGCTGATAACCTAGACGGTCATATCGAGACAAGATAAGTGAAATCTGTATGTGCCTTTCTATTTGGCCAATTGATGTCAATGGGGGAAGGTCGCACAAGATCAGGAACGTGGGTCCCTAGTAGATCTGGAGATCATTTCCTTCTTAACCTTCAAGATACACACCCTAATAGGCAACTCAACTCTTCTTCATCGGCTTCCTAGATAGATGCCTTTTGTATTAAGGCATACAAACACAAGAGCCAAACCTTTAGTCATTCAACCTTATATATCTTATCTTGCTTTCATCTCTAGTCAAATTATTCTCATACATACGTCTGAAGTTGTCAGGTGTTCCCCAAGATAGGAGGAGTTTAATGTTGTCGGCGCATCATCTGCGATATGGATTGATAGGGTGAAATCGATCCGACGCAGCATCTTATGTTTGCCTTATCTATGGCACAATTCCTAGCATTTAATATCTCTCAAAGATGACTTGCATTCACTATACTTCCATTGCAATAGCGGTCTCCTGCTTTGTTATCATTTGAGCATTTCTTCGTCAAAACTGGTGTCAGGTTATTAGCCTTGGGATTCACATTCACGCAATGATTTACCATTCACAAATCACAGCCTGCCGTCGAAAATAGCTTCGATAATACTCCGATCGATCAGAACTTGTGCCTGCATCATGGAGTATCATTTTTTTCCAATGATCTACCAATGAACATTAGCAGTTTGCATGCACAATATTCAAGCACCGTTTAATTTGTCCAATGAAATCTCCCCGTACTATATTCTTCGTGCTATTTATATCACTCAACAATAACGATAAATTATCGTTGTCGTTGTCGGCCACGGCAAGATTCACTCTCTTTGTTTTTCACATGATCCCCAAAATAGTCGTGAATAAATGGAAACTCTGCTTTGTCTTTTTCCATTCACACACGTTCAAGTTCAATATCGACTTCCTTTGATAAAGTCTATCAAGGCTAGGCTAGTCAAAATGACTTCTGTATCTACCCTTCGTGGAAGTCATGGCCGCTCTTTGCTTCAGACTTGACAATATTACAGCCTCATACAATATGACAACCAAGAATACCACTGAAGAGGTCAGCGACGCGGTCGCGATCGCTGTAGGCATCTTAACATCATCAACTCCAAATTTTGTCGTTCCCGTCGATACTGCTACTATTTCTGCCTCGGCTGGGAGTACGCTCGTCTCGAGTGAGGGTTCCATATCTCAACCATCAACGTACTCATTCCCATCTCCTAACGTCCTTGTACTGACTACCTTCTCGACGACAACTATTCCATACGGGAATCCCACTGTTCCAGTCACTGCTGGATCGCTAGCTCCTGCGACGACTGATCCGATCATACCCGTCTCGGTGTCTACTTCCCTACCCTATGACATTTCTACAGTGTTCGTGGCACCCTCGAGCACTATACATATTGCCCCCCTTTCCACAATATCACCTCCGACCACTATCTCATCTACTAGTCCTCTTCTACCCATTTCCTCAATACCAACGACGATTTCGACCCCATTACCACTAGCCATAATTCCCACCACCTTAACATCATTGTCCTCCTCTCCATCATCGACACAGGTACCGCTAACAAACGATCCCGCTGCTGGCACCTCAACTACACCCCGTCCCACTACTTCCAGCCACTCTTCATCCAGTCACGTCGGGGTTTACGTCGGTGCCGCGGTCGGCGGTGCCATTCTTTTCCTGCTCCTCCTCATCGCCATCATATGTCTCTCCCGCCGCCGCAGACGCAAACATCCCAAGCACCACCCCGACCGCCCAGCTTTCATCGGCGGCTACGAGCTCAAATTGGACAAGGTTGGAGAGTTGCAACGGGTTGTCCACGAGAAGAGAGTTCGGAGACATACATTTGAGGCATGGAAAAGAGGAGTTGTGCCCGATATCGATCCGGATGATGTAGCGGGGAAAAGCGAATTCAATGTCACCAGCGGAAGTCCCCCAGCCGGAGATTCGAATTCGTTGGTGGATGTCGCGGAAGATGTGCCGAATGAAAATTACGAAGCAGGAGGATTGATTGGGGATGATGATGCGGATTATGTGGTCTCGCCAATCGAGGAGGAGCAGAAGACCGAAAGACCGATATCGGGTATTACACCTTTGATATTTCAATGGGAACAGAGAGCAAGTCAGAAAGGAAAGCCAGCAACCGGCATGATTGGACAGGCATTATAGACATTGGGGAGACTTTATATCAGGAGAATTATATCCACTTGACAGAAACATAAGAAGAGAATGAAATAGACAGACTGTACATATTAGTATTCATAGACATAGCAAGCAATTTCTATCATATCAACTACATATTCTCAAAAACAAACACAAAGACACCTACAAAACCCTGAATCACAACAATAGTAACATCTACATATCCCCTCCAATATTATATTGAACCCCAAAATAACATTCCATATCATCCGCCAAATCTAATAATAAATATCAAAACCAACGCAAATCTGCATCAAACAACACAAACATCCAAGCGGCTTTAGCTCACTTGGGAGAGCGCCAGACTGAAGTCCACTTCAGATCCCCAACAGATCTATCTGTTTATCTGGAGGCACTGTGTTCGATCCACAGAAGCCGCATTCTGCGAGTTGAGGCTCACCTTGACTGATATTCCTTTTTATTCTTCTTCTTGCTCTTGCACAAAAAAGGACGAGGAGACAAATTCCTTTTTTGTTTTTTTTTTTTTGAGAATTTTGAGAAATATTTTGTCAAAGTGTGATGTGGATGTGAATGTGGGGGAGGAAAATAGAAATGGAGATGGTTAGAGAAGGAGTGGAGTGGGGGAGCGGGTTGCTATTCAGTAAAACCGTACTGTACCGTAGTCTCCTTGTTTTTGCCGAACTTTTCTGGTAGCGTGAGGAGAAAAAGGGGTGGTTTTCCGTGCATTTGTCTCCCAGCTTCATTCACTCAACTAACTCAGTTCACCATTTTTGCAAAATGGTGAAAAGGAGCAAAAATAGCAAAAACATACAACAGTGGGGATTCGCTGGTGGTCACCCACCCAACTACTAATCCACCGATCTGAAGCTTGTGTATGGCAGAGCGGACGGGATGCCCAATTCTCTTCAGTCTATGGTCGTATGTGGAGGAATTAGTTGTGTTAGATACTATAAACCAATGGTTTAATAAGTTGGAAAAGGTGAGATGGAGCAATCTTTCTGGTTAGGTTTTTGAGCATAATATAACTTGAAACGTCAATATCTTAAATGATAAGTTGGGCTGAATTCTACTAAAAAACGCTCTTTACAAGTAAACTATCATTATACTATTCTATACTCCTAATTTTTTCGCTGTGTTCTGTGCTTTGAAGACTTGATAATGTTTTCAGCATTTTTCTCATACAGTAATATTCATCATACTCATACCAATATCACATCTCATATCTCCCTCCACTAACCAAATCTAGAAGCTTTTATATCTACCTAGCTGACCATCTTAAGCTTCTGGCTCTAAGATACATATCCAATGCCAGGAAATAAGATCCCAATGTTCTGTTGAATATCCCAATCAATGGCAATCACATACTTACTGTACAAAGTGAATAGCCTAATAGTAATATCCTCCCTACAGGATGAAATCCTTGATAATATTGCATTGTATTTGAGATCTCATCCAGTCTTGCGGTCCAGATGTATAGCGTATAATCCAGTTCATTGCCTATATTTCTATGTATTCAGACATGCAATGATACTCCAAAAAAAAAGAAAAATAGTTCAAGAAATGATCTATTCAATGATAGTCTTTCTATCTTTCAATCTTTGTAAATATGGGACGATAGTGTTGGCGGATAAGAGCCATGGAAAAGTATTCAGTCTTGGTCAAATTCCTTCACACATTTGAAATGTAATTCTGTGTTCTTGTTCGGACATTCAAGAGCCTGTGGATTGCTCCCCAAAGCATTTCACGCAATAGTGATATGTCTATCCCATTGTTGAAGCTGTATCCGCATGCGATTCCCCTCCTCAAAAGTGACGTAAGACGGGTGATTTGTACATGATCTGTAAGTTAGTAAAATAAGGTATGATTGTAAAGCCCCCTCCAGATGAAAATATCAAGATAAGTATAAAACCCAAAAAAGACGAGAGAAGAGGAGATAAGTGCTCATTACCAAGACGGGATCAAATGGGATCAGTCACGAAACAAGCATTATCATCCCTACTCACATTCTGAATAAGGCAAGATTCGAGTGTAGCAATAATCAGTAGATTGTGTGGAATATAAGGGAGGGACTTAACGTTGGGGGAGGTGATTGTTAAACACAGCGCCCTAAACCCTAGAATTTCTTCGTCAGTCAGCTGGGCGGAAGATTGTATCTGAAGGTATTGATATCAGTGGCTGTATGGATATGATACCAGATGGTATAGTTTCTGTAGCATCTAGATACGATGTTAAAGGCCATACAAAGAATACTGTGTAATTACACCATAAGGATATAATGAAGCAACTGAAGCGATTCCCTAGAACTCGCACAAACACTAAGTAAAGAACTAAAGAAGCCATTTCAAGTCCTGAACAAACAGACTCTTTTGCATGTAAATGTAAAAGCACACCAAATCTTTTGATCATCATCAGGACTATATAATATAGATAGAGCCGAATACTCAAAATATACCTAGTCTTCTTGACAGACAAGACGGGATAGGATAACCTTGAAGCCAGTTAGTTGGAGAACAGACATTAGGAGCTGAATAGATATATAGATTGAAATCGAATAACTCAATCAAATCAAGGTGCATCGAATGACTAGCTGACTACCTCCCTTTTCCACTTATTTCGAATCTTTTAATCTTCCATTGATTGTGATCAGAAATTCAGAAATTCAGAAACTAGAAGGTCCTTAATAAGTAAGTGAGTGGTAATAAAAAGATTACCCATGACAAAAACATCTCTACATTCATTTCACTTCCATAGTAACAATCGGATAGCTTTTTATTGATACTCGAGTAAATTAGATTTATATTAATCAAGGAAGGGTATACCTAGACTCTAGAGTAAAAACATGTACCGGGAGATCTCTCATTGCATCCATCTTGTTGCATCCATTCATCTCATTGCATCTCATTACAAAACCCGAAGCAGTCGATTCTTAGCCCATAACCCACAACGCATAACTCATAATCCATAATCCAAAATCCATACCCAAAATAGAAGTTATACTTGTGAGAATGCACATACAAGACACCAAGATCAACAGATATATAGCAAGATGAACAAGAAAGAACTCAATGACTTAATATCTTCATCATATCCTCTTGACCTCCCAACACAATACAGCTAAACAGCATGAAAATACAACTTACTCTTGACTGGAATCAAAGTCCGGGGAACTTCAAAAGATATATGGGGAAGCAAATGAGAAATTATGTGAAGTGATACTAAAACACTCGAGGCCGTTACTTCATGGATGAGTGTACAAATTTGGAGAGCTAAAATAAGATGTCCATTTTCACCAACTTGGCATATTTCACAGACAAATCAATGGATGAATTTGATAACATGGATATTTATTGGAATAAATTTGAGATAGGTGTAATGTTTCTTTCCAACGGGATGACCGACTGTCATTCAACATTATTGCCGAACGGGGTGCAGTAAAGGAAATGTGGAGCGCAAAATTGAAATGCGGAGGAGATGTTGTAGGCTTTTGATATCTGTGAATTCCCATGGGATCCGAGATTCGTGTCTGGGTTCTGCCCGGCGTGTGGCTATGCCACTTCGACCTTCGCTAGCACTTCGAATACATCCGATTTCCTAGAGTCTGGAACATCCGTGGCGCAAGACAACACCACAGCATCACATCACATCGAGGTAAAGCAATGAACAAGTATTGGGACGGAGAAGGATCAAGATAACATTGATCTCAATTCAGCAGCAAGCCACTTCCTCAGATGTACAAATACGCCCATTATAGAAGATTGCCCTTCCTCCAACCAATGAATCCCCATCCGAACTCGAAGTAGATATTTTCCACTTCCCGAATCGTCATCGTAAATCCATCGTGGAGAAATTCTTGTGTATAGTAACAAGCAGCGCCCCTCTTGTTCCCCATCTATCAATTTTTGGTTGCTTAAGCTCCTGGGTTGGGGTTCATCTGTTTTTCGGATTAGCAAACCACCCATAATCGAAGAAATGGTGTTGTGTTGTCGAACCTTTCTCTTGCCACCGGTTAAAGTAACGTTTACGAAACGACGAGTGAACTTCTCTCTCTTGTTGGCACGTCCCTTAGGGCGCTTCTTCTTCTCTTGTGGCTCAACCTATTCGCAATATCGTATTAGCATGACTTGATTCACCAAGTTCATGTATTCTCCCAAAGTATTCTCCCAGGCAATCCATTTCCAATTTCTCGAGTTGTTGCCAGAGTGACTGCAAAAAAATTCTTGTTTGCCACAACCCATCCGCCCTATTATGCCATCCATCCAGATATATATATCAAAAGAATCGTACCTTTGGTGTTTGAGACTTGACCTTTCCGGCACGAGCGAGGGATCCGTGAACCTTTCCCATGATTGCGGTTTATCGGGATATTGTCGATTGATAATTTCCGATAACTGTGTAGGTGGCAAATGTAAGCTGTGGTGTTCTCTCGTGAAGATGTGAAAAGACCGGCTCCGCAGTGATGGAACTTTCAATCTAAGAATCTGCGAGCGATTCAAATGATACGGATAGCGTGGATTTGATGAGATATTTGGGCATACGTACGCGGTTGCTGAGTTGTTAGATTGTCGATGGCTTCGTACAATCGCTATACTCTCTCTTTGGGAGTTTCACTCTAGCGCGTCGCTTGATTTCTCACACTAAGTGGTGCTAGGGCTTCAAAATTTCACAACCCTTTCAATCTGATCACGTGTCGTAGATATTTTGAGAAATTATCCGTCACTTTGGACTGGTTACAAATCCTTAGAATGTCTTTAAGCAACAATTTATTTACATTTCAGATGATTCCTATTGTCGTTTACAATATTAATAACATATCAACATCAACAATAAGCTTTTATTAATTCCTTCATAGTTCTCTAAAGATTCATACCAAATTCCCAAATACATACCAACTGCAACTTCTATATGGGATAAAGAAAGAAGTCTTATCGTTATCTGATTAGAATCGGCATAATGCATTCCGGGGTTCGGTTTCGGAATCTTTCCGAGGATCATTCACGAGTTTCGCGTTTCTCCTGTCGGCGGTAAGGTTCAAATCATCTCATTCTATGTAACTATTACATAATTTATGTTCGCTTTTTATTGAATATTCCTCTGTCGAATATATCAGCACTTTTCCCTTCATAGCTGTCAAATCGACTGTCTATTCTCTACATTCTATTCACAATGTACATACCAAAGGTTTCCCTGGGAGCCTTGTTCTTGAGCTCCCTTTTCCAACTCACAAGCAGTTCATCTCTACCGAACGACCCCTCTCCTCCCGAGCAACTCATCATCAATCCATCCTCCTCCGAATCTACAAATCGCATACCTACATCCCGCGAAAGTGCCATCCTGGCCCGTCGCATCCTTCACCTAACGCCCCTCGGAACCCTATCCTCCATATTCCCCAATTCCTCCTCTTCCCTCGAAAATCGCCCTTCCAATCTCCAAAATATCCCCATCGGTCTCATGGATTACATTGCCGATTGCGAACCCACCACCAATAATCCCACCATCCTCGCAATTAGCATCGCTACCACCTTCAAAAACGCCATCTCCAACCCCAATATCTCTCTATCCCTAGCCTGGATTCCTCCCTACCCCCCAAAGTCGCGCATCTCTTCCCAAAAACCAGATTCATTCGCTTATTCCGCGGCCAACCAACCGCGTTTCAGTATACTGGGATACCTCGAACCCATTCCAACTTCATCCACACAAGAAGAGGAATTGAGAACATGTTTTGTCGATACCCATCCAGATGCTAAATACTGGCTACCGGGTAACCATATCCATCATAGTGAGTGGGTGCGATTGGTGGTGCAGGAGATATATTGGGTGGGAGGATTCGGGGATCGTGCGTATATTGGATGGATACCGATTGAGGAGTGGAGGTCTGTGGAGAGGAAAGAGTGGGAGGGAGTGAGGTTGGTGGGAGAAAAGAAGGGATGGAAGGAATGGGCTGTTGAGGGTTTGGGCTTGGGAGGTACTTGGGAGTTGTGATGCGGCGGAATTGCTATGAGAGCGTATGATGACATAGTGTGAATATCTCGTAAATACTAGGAGTTTTATTGTTCATATGTACCTTGTTCGAAGTATCTCACCTCAAGTTTCCAATTTTCTATCTTGTCCAAATTCGCTGTGATTATTGCTGGGATACATTTCGACCAAAGTATAAATAAACGATCTGGTCCCAACCAAAAAGCTTGAGAGTTGAAATGATTAACCATCCGAAAGTGATCGAATAATGATATATATTATAGTATTAAGCTTTGAATGTGATATTATAATGCAAATATTTAGCTGAAAACTATTCACATCTAATTCTGATGAACCAGAGCTGGGTATGTATGTACATTAGTCGCTGCCCTGCCCATTCTGTCATACAATAACAGCCACACCGGGAAGTTCAATAAATACACCCACCTTTCCCTGATGCGCTAGCGTGAATCGCCATGAAGCTCACACAAACGCCAACCCTAGCACCCGCGAAAACACCTCTTTCTACCCACATATGAGTCTGGGGTATCATATAGGAATCCTTAATAATACAACTCCATCCCAATATACATGTATTCATCTCTAAAAGATGTGACCCATAAATTCCCTCTACTGATATATAACAAATAAACCCTGTGAAAAAAATATGGCGAACGATGATACGAAGTTACTTTTTCGCTTTCTTGAAAGGTTGATTATGGGCGAGGCTGCCCTCCAAGGCTCTTTTGGACGATGTAGGCTCTGACAGATCACTCGCTGGGCCATCGCTTGAATTATCATCATCATCCACATCTAATCCCAAATCGCTTTCGAACAAAGAATCGAGGGATGACAGCCCACTAGACTCCGAGCTAGATCTTGCTTGTCTGAAAATATCAAGTTCCATAGAAACCGCGTGCTCAGTCTTTTGTCGATGCGATTGTAATCGAAGTGCGAAGTTATTCATTGAATTCCGATTTACGTGTTCGGAGATGAATTCCCACGCTGTGGTCCAGCATTGGGCGTTGACTCCCAAGTCTTTGTGTTTCAGCCTCAAGAAGCGACGCAGAGATTTGATGTCCTCGAGAAGAGCGTAGTCTGATCGTCTATCTTTGTGATATGAAATTAGGATACCGGAGGCGACTAACTCCAACGGCGAGAACGTGCGAACGTGATTGACATCCGGCTCATTGAGAAATTCAGGAGCTGGGTCAAATGCTGAATCCTTCATGAGTTTGTACCGACCACTTGGTAGCTTGGTAGAAGCTTTCTTGATCAATGATTCGAACCTATCAAACACATCTTTGAAAGCGAGTTTGAGACCCATCGATATTGGTTCTGAATCTTCTAAAACACGCATAAGTGCTTGAGGACTAGCTTGCAGTGCGGGTACAGCTTTTTTCCTTCGACCATTCGTTGGCCCAGATAGAACTTCTTGAATCATTGTGAAAATAGTGAGAATAAGGCGGAATCCTGATGCACGACTTTGCTTCGATGCTAGTGACTCATAAGTCATATCCTTGATGTAGATATTAGGGCACTTACAGTTGATCACCATAGAATAATCCTCCTCATATAATCGGGTAAACCTTGCCCATTTAGTGGACATGGCCCTCATCTTCTCGGCTGGTGACAAAGCGATTCCGCGTTGAACAAGTTGGAACATGGTTTCTTCGTTCTCTTGTGTTAGATGGTCATACTCATAGCAGCAAAATATCTTTTCGTCGAAGAATTTCTTCAGTCCCTCTGGACAGATATTTCTGCCGCTAGTCGGTGTCACTACACCATCAATAGTTGGATGGCAATAATACCTAAAACCATGGTTAGATGTTTATCTGGTTCAGCAGCTTCATTCAGTGCAAGCTCAGCTCACACCACCTTGTTGACCTTATGGTGGGTATTTTTTTGCATAGACCATTTTCCAACAGAATCTCATACATTCAGGAAGTACGTACCATTTTTTCGGTGGGTGCGAAGTATCCAGGAAACCGATCTCCCCACTCATAAATTTATAAAGCGATGTCAAGCGTTGCTTCCCATCCACGCAAATCCGCATGTGTTTTACCTCTTTTTGGCCATCTTTTAGCTTATTGATTACAGTTTTAACGTTAAGAACGATGGGAGGAACAAAATAACCCACTTTTCGAAGTCAGTAAATATCAATTGTAGACAAGCTTGGCGATTGCTTACTGAGGACTGAAGTAATAAGTGTAGAAGCACGCACTTCGTCCCATACACTGGCTCTCTGATAGTTTGGATCTAATACTAGATTGCCCTTCACTATTGTCTCTAGTTGAGGTGAGTACCGTGGAAGATATAGTCTGTCGATGGTACTAACTATAGAGCATTTTCAAAGACCTCTTGACAATGATTGGAGTAGGAAGTTGTCGGATCTTAAACCCTTTAAATACTTCTATTAGCTAGTACTAGCACAGTAGGTCGCCGGTCTACTCACCTGGACATACAAAATGTTCAACACCATTAATAAAGACAAGTCCTTCAAAATTTCCATCCACGAATTCAGACTCTTCTCCCTCAACATCCACGTCATCGAAAATGTCATCCTTTGCGATACCGGGTGAATCCAGCTGAACTGTCTGATCTCCAGATTCTTCATCCTTTACTTTGTTCTCAAGAGGCGAGACCGGCTCGATTTCCACACTTGATATGATGGCAGCATCAGAGTAGCTCATCATTCATGTATATGGAGAAGCTCTTACTTTGTCGCGATACTAAATTGCGACAAAAGACTTAAATCGATTCGACATTCACACTTGTTGTACGAGATGGAATGCAAGCAAGATGATTGGAAGGACTTACTTGAAAGATTCATCAAGCGGATACGCAATACTAAGGAGCGAACCGGTATATCACACGATCATATGATAGTGGTGCCAAAGATTTGCGGATAACAAGTGGCGTGTTGCTTGATATTGACTATGAAATTAAGCTACGACATTAGGTCAGTAACACACTATCATCGCGTGAGAAAGGGGTGAAGCAATGGGCCTATGAGAAGTCCGGGCTTTGCAACACTTGCTTCTTGCCTCGCGCGTCGCGCCAACACAGGCTACTCTCAAGCAATATGATCAAGCAATATGACCAAAGGAGGATCCGTACACATCAGACGGGGAACACAAACATGCTGGGACACAATTAGAGCAGCGAAGGAGTCGCAATGGCCACGCATATAGATGAATGCTCCGAAGCACGATGGTATAAAACAGCCATGGCCTCGCGCTGCTACACCCTTGCCGCTTGGCATGGTTTTGCGTGACAGAGACAGATAAAGAGATCCAAAGCAGGTAATATAGCATACTCGAGTAGTATGGGGTAGTATGGGCAGGGGAAGGTAGAAAATCCTGAGCAACTCACAAATCTAATTTATAACTTGGGATGAAGCTTCCTTAACAGTATCATTTACATATATTGACATTTCATGATCGATCATTGACAGGGGAGCGCGTGTTTGTTGAACACGAAAGTATGGTGGGTTGTGGGGTCTTGGGTCGCAAGGCGGTTCCGGAAGGTGGGGTACATTTGGTCTAACTACACTTAGTAAGACAGTTAAAGATTCATTCTTATTCTTATTATCGTCGCTCATAAAAGTGCAGGAGCTCTCGAGTCTCTACGAAACGAGGAAACCCCCGAATAGGTGAATGGGTAAGATCATGATTTTTGAGAGCATCTCTTGCATTGCTAAAATCGAACTATTTTGTTCCCCCCTGTATCTATATATCTAGATAAACCCAAAAATTGAGAAATTATGTTGCAGTTCTGAAATGACAGAACGGCAGTCTAATTTCAGTTCTGAAAACCCTACAGTTCCCAGTTCCCATCTTACTTTTGGAGAACTTAATGTACAATCGGAATTGTCCGTTGCGCCAGGACCCAGGACGAGATATGTGACGAACACATGAAATGGATTGAACAACATTCTATACAATATCCCGATATAACACCTTGAACTCCACCTTGAAGCCCTTTTATTGGGTATCATCAACGCTACTATAATCATTCATACCATCCCGTAGAACCTTTGTGAGGACTGCCGCAGCTCTGCCAGCTTCACCTGCCTCTCTCTTAGCATGTTCTACTCCTGTCATCAATTCTGCCTGGAATCTTTTGTGGAAAACTCTTTGGCGATCTTCCCTGTCAATATACATTTCTCCTTCTTCGTCCCTGGATGATCCAAATAGGTTTAGGTGCGCATATGCGTTTGCTCTCGAAGGTACCATATGTCGCTCGACATCCCAAAGTGGGAAGTGGTTACCACTTGTACCTGGTTGCACAACCACTTCTGGCTCCACCAAACCAACCTTAAGAAACTGGGATAACACCATCAATTGTCTTGGAAGAGTTTTGCCAGACTTCTCAAAGCTGGCCCTACTTAGTCCAAAGCTAACCCTACTTGCAGATGACCATTTTGACGTGGCGCTGCTTGTAGTCCAGCCTATCATTGACATGAAACTTTTCAATGTTTTTACCCACCCACCTGGACATGAAACCACATCATCCCCCGCAACTTGAAGAAGCCATTCTAACACAGCCAAAGCATCTACACGTATCTCCGTGGCCAGATGCGTCATGCCAGCTCTTGTGTATAGTAATGCGGATTCTGCGCGATCGCCGATATCTGAAGGTGGCAGGAGTCGGAGGAATTTGAGAAGCTGTGATCGCACAGAAGCATTTCCATCGAGAATCAGAGGAAGGAGTTTGGGGAGGATGACGGCAGTCGGGAGGGGTATGGGTGCGTTTACAGGTTGGGAAGAGAGTTGGGTTGTAAGGTATGCGAGCGCATCTTTTCGTTGAGTGTCCGATTTTGAAGTCGATGCCAGTGAGAGATAATGAGTAAATTGCACAACATTCGAAGGCGCAATAGTTGTAAGGGATTGCTGATTTACAACAATTGATTTCGACTTGAAACTGGTGTCTGTGAAGTTGTCGGCCTTTGCCTTAGTTTTGCCAACCCGGAGTTTTACTTTCTAGGAACATTGAGTCAATTATGCTCGGAAACAGGAACAGGTGTCATTTACCTGGAAGTCTTTCTTCTTCTCTCTCTTTTTTCTCGCGCTTGAACCCATCGCGAATGAAGTAAATTTACAATAAGAATGTTTCCCGAATGATTTAGAGCTATAGTAAAAAAAGTTCCTTAGCTACGGAAATTAGTTCTACCGCTCCGATGGGTGGACCCCTGCACATGAGTATCATTTGTTTACAACACCCATCTTTTTTCAAAACTACTAGGTAATAATTCATTGCACATCTGCATTACACATATGGCGCAAATGACCGATCAACTTCCTGTAAGTTTATACAAAACTACGTCTGTAAAGGCGTATGCTAACAAAACCTCAAGGGCAGCGGCGCAGAGGCTTTGGCAGAGACCTTAGCACGACTATCTAAGAAACCAGGGGTACAGGCGACGCTGGTGCTCGAAGCCTCTAGTGGTACCATCATCCAGAACTCTGGATCCTTTTTGGCTTTTCGTTCGGCCTCCAGATCAAACAATGCCGGTGTTGCGACTGAAGATTCAAACACGACGGCGAATACGGAGAGCCAGGGCATCGAAGAATTAGCTGCTATGGTATGGAGCTTTGTGAAATCGGCAGGAGGGCTTGTGAATGGACTGGATGTTGAGGTTTGTTGAAATACACTTATGATGTACAATTCATTTTTAACACAACTTTAGGACGAGGTTAAGTTACTGCGCCTCCGAACCAAGAAACACGAGCTTGTGATTGTTCCAGATCCAAAATACATACTCGTTGTTGTGCACGAAACCCCCCCAGCCTAAGGAAGAATCGCAGCAAGCATTTTGATTTACAGATATTGATAAGGAACGGCGTTCAATACCCAAGGAAATTTTACGGCGTTAACATTTACGACGAGGAGACTTTTGTTGCATAATCATGCAAACTTGTTTGTTCTTAATGATATGCGGTGGCCGATTTTGTGGTTCATCTCGAGTGGCAACTCGATGCGTCAATTTATTCTCGACATGGTGCATGTTTCACACGTCTCGTATTGCTGGATATCAGGAGATTGATCAGTCGTCATTAGGCACCTTGAAGTCAGAAGCAACTTTATGATGATTTCTAATGGACATTCGAAAACCCGTAAGACATCGACTTTCTAGGCTAGGATTGGAAGTGTAGTCTTCAGGATAAGCACTGAACAGCCTACATTGTACAAGACTGCAATATCTCCAGGCGATACACACTTGAATTGTTGATTCGAACTTGATGACTGGGCGGTGACATTGGTCAACAGTCAGGAGAGATTTTACGTATAAGGCTGATGCCGAATTAGACAAAAGAATAATATATTTGCAATCAGACAGCTGAACATATACGCGATTTCTCTCTGGACTTTGACAATTTTCCAATTGATTTTATTGCATGGAAATTTCCGAGCTGAAGAGGCTACCGAGGAGTGAGGACGAAGCAGTTTCTTCAAAGTACTTCTCTTCGGTTTCTGCATGCTTATCTTGCTTGACATATTATCCGATCCACTAGGACAACTCCAGTATTTGTGACAATTTGACATGAAGAAGTTCTGATTTTGGCGCATGAAGTTGTATTCTGGGTGGTGATTGTGGTTGTGGTGCTTTTGGTACAATCTTGCGTGCTTGCTAGCTGCATAACGCAATTGGGCGATCAAATCCAGGTTGTTTATCACAACGAATAAGAATTAATTGAGTTCAATAATCAAGCAATTATAAGCAATACATCATGGTAGTCAATCATCTAGGTCTACATAGTAAGGTATTGTGGGCACCTTGAGTGATGATAACATGTTCGTCAATTTTCACATCACCCATACCCAGAATATAGATATGGCCCGTACACACTCGGTAATAGTATATATAATATTCCGAAAGAGCAGCAGTCTAACATTGTCTATTCCATTTTCCGATGGCTCTTGGGCTTTCTAAAATTCTGATATGGCCGTACAACTTCTTACCCAGGCCGACGGTTATGGCATTATTATTGGCCTCTCGGTACTGTTCTGTTTTATCATTCTAGGAGCAGTTCGCATACAAAAAAGATATCTTTCGGAAGATAGTGACCAATCGGAAATGTTTATGGTCGCAAATAGATCGGTCGGCACTGGATTGACAGCTTCTGCAGTCTTCTCGAGTTGGTAAGCTTCAATGGCAGTGATGAGAGAATTTAGCGTTAACCATACTCGACTTCCCCAGGATGTGGATCAATGAAAGTGTATTCTCGGCCGCTTATACCTACAAATGGGGTATCGCTCTCCCAATATGGTGGGCTAGTGGCCTGTCCTTCCAAATCGCGCTCATGGCTGTTCTTGGGATTGTAGCAAAGTTAAGGGTTCCATATGCCCATACTTCGCTTGAATTTATCAGAATGAGATATGGAAATTATGCGCATTGGCTTTTCATACTGCTGAATCTTATCAACAACATCTTCGGCTGCGGTAGCATGATTCTTGCGGGCGCACAGCTGGTCACTGGAATGACGGGCATGCACGTTATTGCGGCATGTGTTTTGATTCCGGCAGGGGGTAAGCGATGTTGTCGAAAAGAATTGGCAAATGGATGCTGATATTTGCTTCAAAGTTGTCATCTATACAGCCGTTGGTGGCTTGAAAGCGACGTTCTTGACAGACTTCATTCACACTACTGTCGCCTTGATCCTCTTAATCTACTTCTCTCTTGCGGTGTTGACAAATGAGCACATTGGCGGTGTGTCAGGTCTTTACGAGAAAGTCAAGGCTACAGATGACTATATTCCTGGCAACTACGAAGGCTCACTTCTGACGATGAAGTCTAAAAGCGGTAAGGCGCATCCCTAGACTAGCTGCTTTATTTTCCAAGTCAAATCCGGGTGCTAATCATCTTACCAGCGGTTTTATTTGGTCTCGTGTTAAAATTCGGTAATCTTGCGCTCGTTCTTATGGATACAGCGTTCTGGCAAAAGTCATTCGCTTCCGAAGTCCACTCGACAGTTCCAGCATATGACCTTGTTTCTATTGTCATTATTGCGATTCCTTGGTGCACAGGAACTATCATCGGTCTCAGCGCTCGTGCCATTGAAAAGACTCCAATTTGGTTCGACTACCCCAATACCCTAACTACCGACCAGGTAAACGCCGGTCTCGTGATGCCATACGTGCTAAGGTCTCTGCTTGGAAAAGGCGCAACTACGGGTCTGCTAGTGCTTGTCTTTATGGCTATCACGAGCACGGTGTCTTCATCCATGATTGCGGTTAGTAGTATCATCTCTCTCGATTTATTCCGCACTTATATCAATCCCCACGCATCAGACCGCAAAACTCTTCAAGTGAGTCATTGGGGCGTGGTATTCCATGGTTGTTTCATGACCGGCTTTGCCATCATGCTCGAATATGCTGGGGCCACAAATAACTGGTCCACATATTTCCGCCCCATCATCGCATGTCCAGGTATCATGCCCATCATCTTCACGCTCCTCTGGTCCAGACAAACGAAGCTGGCGGCCATCCTAGCTCCCATCCTTGGACTCTTCTCCGGCGTTGCTACGTGGCTTTCATTGTCATGGTATTGGTCTGGTGGGGTGCTCAATATTGAGACGACGCAGGTTCAAATTCCGGGTCTTTATGGTGCTATCGTTTCTTTCTTCTCGCCAGCTATCTATTCCGTCGTCATCTCGCTGGCTTGGCCAAGCCGTTTCGATTGGCGTGAATTCTTAAGAATTGACCTCATCCTTGATAAGGGCCAGCCAAATAGCTCCCTGCCATCTACACTTCCCAGCAGCGAAGCCGTTAATGAGATCACTAAGATAGCCGAAGAACCAAAGAAAGAACCTTACTTGACGAGCGGAGAAGAGGCTGTCCTGCCAACTCCTACCCCAACCAAATCAAATTCTCAAGTCCCGCTCGACGATGTTGTTCACCCATTCGGAGATGAGACTATCAAACATATTCGCAGGTGGCTCAAAATCGCTAGTGTGTTCTTCGTAGTCAATGTTCTGGTTACCATCGTTCTGTGGCCCATACCGCTCTACCGCGATTGGATCTTCACGAAGAGCTTCTTTACTGGCTGGATCATAATGGCGATCATTTGGCATTTTTTCGCGATTCTGGCTGTGGTTGTGTATCCGGTTTATGATGGGAGACATGAGATTGTGAGGGCTGTGAGGGGAATGGCGAAGGAATGGAGGAAGTAGGAAGTGGGAAGGGAGAATTGGTGGGATGGTGGTGTATAGCAGTAAGGCATTCAACATTTTAATATAATAGATATGATATAAGATTTTGGCAATTATAGCACCATGGAAGTAACAGTAGTTGCAATTGTCTGGGTGATTTGGAAAACTCCTTTTGTTCTCATGTGTTGCATCATGATTCAAGATCTTCATCTCATCCCATCCCATCTCATCGTCCGAGTCATTGCACCACTTAACGCCAGCCATGTTGCCGAAAATTGCTGATAGCAAGACACCACCTCCGCTTCAATGTTTAACATCACTGGACAAGCCTTGACAAATCTCAAATCGACCCAAGGATCTGATTTCTTCCATATACCCATTTGCGTGTTTTATTTTCAATTTCTCATCTTCAGCTGTTCCTATTCAGTTACTATTTCTCTTCCTTGAAGTACTGATGATCTTATGCACATCCATTTCACCAAATTTGGATAATTGGCATCAATCTCTGTCAAATAATTCGAATTATACGTTTTTGATATTACGCAATACATTTCACATCTCAACATTTCGATAGATTTTCTGAAAAGTTAGGAGAAAACCAGCTAATTGCCAGCTCAGACTTGATTATTCCCATATTGTTGTCCGATAGTTTTAGACTATATTCAATAGACTAATACCCAGGAAGGAGCTGAAGATCAAAAGTAATATATAGAGAGTTAAGAGAAGAACAAATAATATACAGTTTGGAGATGAATAGTATATAATTTTCACAAATAGCTAACAGAAATAACCCAGTACCCCAAATTTGTATATTGAAATATCTGAGGCCAAACTTTTGAGAAAATATTGGATTATATAAACTGGGCCTTAGACAGTACACTTAGTTGCCAGCTCCTGAGTGGTAAGCGGGCTCTACTCTAGTGTCTTTGATGTAGTATCAATGAAAGACAACGCCACGTAATGTAATCACTATTCATAGGTAAAGATGGTGGATGATGGGTTTCAAGTCAAACAGCGGTGATTGCATTTAGAGCCTCGAAGCTCGATTCTGATTCAGGAAGAGCCGTTCAGTTATATGAGGACCCAGATGGATTTGATGTCGAAGTACATTCATGTGAAGTTGTCACAATGAGGTCTTATGATATCTCGTACTTTCGACAGCTCAGGCTCCATCATTGCAGACCACTGGTATGAGAGAAGAACACCTTTCACGAAGTCGATCGTTGACGTACTAAAATATCTGACGCATTTCTTTACAGTACAACGATAGGATTTGATCCATCGAGATCTCCATATGGGATGCATCTTCACCAAACATGTTGCGATGGCGAACCTGGGTCATGCCGATGAGAGCGAGACTGAAGAGAGATGTAAGGTGAATTATATATAGTCAACGTTTGCTAAATGGCTGACTTCACCATCATACCATTGGCAAATGGCAGAAACGAGATCGACTAACCATCGTTACTTCAACCGATGGTTTAGAATAGGAAAACATTGGCGGTATTGAAAGACATTCAAATATACTCCGAAGGTTCAAAAATGAGAGACCGTGACATCTTGTGAGATGAGAATTACTATGATAGTGTAGACAATGCCAAGCTAGGTACCGTGACCTATTGGTTGCATGCAATTGATCATAGTAAAAATAATATTGTATGTTATTTTTATTCTGACTATAATTTAATTAGCTATATCATCAAATGAAAACATTTAATGTATTTATTTCCCGACGGACCCGAAGCTCATGTGTAAAATGTAAATGAACAATAACAACAAACGCGAGGAATCGACTAATTAGCTTCCGGGAGATGAGGTTCGTATAACAGTTCTAGACATCGTAAACAATGGCCGGCCGAGACCTTTAAATGTGGATTTAAAACCTCAGATCCAGATCCAGATCATTATCGCTGCCAATGACTGGAAAGAGTAAGAAATGATAAATAAAGACTAATAATTAGGATAAATACAAGCATTTTCTCATCGCTCTACCCCACTTTTCTCACCTCTCACTACAACCCTTCTTCTCTTTCTCCTACCAGTACTAGCTCTACCAGTTATGTACTGGTTATTATGCACTCACGCACTCACGCACTGTCACCGACTACAGACCGCGAACCCTTGTTAGCCACGCATTTATTATCCACTGCCTTGGAAAGGGGGATATGATTGATTTGTAGCTTACTTACATGCTACTGCTGCACTACACCCACAACAATCTGGAACTCTTACTGCAGGATTTTGACATCCGGAAAACATTCCGAGTAATAAACCTTCTTGTTTCTCTAACTACTGGGTACATACTTAGGAAATGATCCATATGAATTGCTCGTACAAATACTTCTATTGTACTTGTTAGATCATCCATCTTTTTCTACTACAACGCTCTTCTATGCAGCTGCCCGCATATCAGGTTGTCAACATTACTGGCTTGTTATCTATATCCATTTCTATTGCTTCTTACATTTGTCTTCTGCTATACCCAATCGCGTTTGCTGCATGCTGATCGATCTGATGACCATTAATACATTACCCTGCAATAGCTTTTCTTTTCTCCTCCAAGATGCCTTCTCTTACTTCCCTCTTGAAGCATCGAAACGAAAGTCAAAATGACAACCGCATGAGCTTGAGTTTGAGCGTGACGCCGGAGAAGGTACAAAGCAGAAAGCGCAACTTCCTCCGCAACCTTCTCAAAATTTCTAGCTTCTCTCGAGATAAGCCGGGGAAAGAGCAGACTCTGGTAACTTAACTTTCTGTCTATTCATCTGTGGTTCTTTTGCAATGCCTTTGGAACAACGCTGATATTACTCGTCGTTCTCCAGACAGTTCCAACCCCAACTTCCCCAAATACACCCGCAAGTCCCATGTCGAATCACAACAAACCTCTTCCGCCGCCACCGCCTTCAATCAAGGAGTCTGCATCCACTGCAGCAATACTTTCGAGGCCTTCTAAGAAGCTCGATAGGATAATATCACCTCTCACTGATCAAGAGCTACACGAGCTATTCTCCGGGGCTCCTCAGTTCTATGCACGGTCTGAAGGGCACCATGCTGGTGCACCGCATCCTTTAGTGGCTTTCCCTTGGGATTCGAGTGTGCAGATACGAGATTTATCTGATCATGTGCAAATACAAGAAGAAGCATGGGGGTGTGCCACAGCGTGGCCGCATATTACAAGAGAAACTCCGATAAGCTTGGAACGTGTGAAGGATACTGGAAAACGGCGTGCCTATTTTATGCCACGATATCGCGAACGACCGAACATGCTCAGTATGCAAGGTATTGAAAGAGGAACTGTTGGATATCAAGCGGCTTTGGAGCTAGGTGTAGCGGATGCGCTACAAGAACTCGAAGAGACATTGCCCGATTCTGGTCCCTATTCACTCTTCGATCGGCGTAGGAAATTCTTGAATGGCAAGCATGGAATAAGACCTCTCGATAAGTCTGCGGTTTACGAACACCTCACGAATATTGGTGTATCATATAATGAAGATCAGATGCATAGGCGGCCCACAGTGGAGTTATATTCGGAGTTGTTCACACAGATCTTGTTTCCTCCTTCGAGGGTTACCGATGCAGATGATCCTTATAGCTTGCAGGTCCAAATTGAGGTCCTCGTGAAGGTTCTCGCGGAGCCTTATATTTGGGTCGATTTTAGCTTTGTTGAGTGGAGAATTCGTCTTGGGCAGATGCTATGGGGACAACCGCTCGAGACCGATCTGGCGGATGATATCTCTACCAATAGTGAGACTGCGCATGATTCTGGAGACCAGAAATATTGGCTGTTACTGCAAATACTGCTTTCGTGTGAATTGTTAGTGCGACTCGATACGGTGTCTCAGAATATTGATAACGGCCTAGAGCCCGCCAGACCTGCTGATGTCAAGAAGCTCGAAAAGAGTATGACGCCTAGTGTTAAATGGTCACTTATCTTAGCGCGATCCTGGCTCGAGAATATCCGCATTGAACAGAGTGTGTCCGAAGTTATTCCAGAGAGGAAACCTTCTGGGTGGCTGGCAACTTTGACTGGTGCATCAACTTCTATGGCGGACAACGCACGAAACAAAAGTGTTCAGACATATCAGTTCCGAGGCCGACATGAAGTTCGACAATTAGCCGGGCTAATACACTTTGCTCGGAAGTTGAGCTGGCCTCATCTAGATAAACTGACCGCAAAGGTATCAGCTAATGATGTAGTAATGACTGATAGTTCCCAGAATACCACTGCTTCTGGAACCCCGATGTCAGTTTCTACCCAAAAATCCTCCTACTTTATGAGCCAACGGCCTATGGAACTCCGACGAGGCTCATCAAGATCAGAAATAATGTCTGCGCTGATAAATTCCTCGGGCTGGCTGTCAAACTCTTACATCAGTGGCTTGATGTTACCTGGTGAAGGGCTAGGCCATTTTTTGATCTCGACATTACTCGAAAATGATGATGCTGCAGTCGCGAAACTGGGAGATGAGGCTAACTTGTACGGCGGTTTTGTTTTCATCGAAAGAAGCTTTTGGAGCACGGCTTGTATAATTGGTCGAGTTTTAGCCGCTGGTATAAACTCGTCTGAGTGCATGGGATGGATATCATCGGATGTCAAACCTAGAGGCATTTCTGGTGAGGCTTGGGTCAATATTGATGTTGATACAGCGTCACAGGAAGGCAAGTATTTCACATTTTCCACTTATTGACTGAGCCAAATCACTGACTGATAATTAATAAATAGCTGCAACCAGAGAAACTCCCAGAATTTTGCAAAAGACTGCCATCGAGAGAGATGGAAGTGTCATAGGTGGGGCGGATCCTTCATCAATACTCCCAGGTGATTTTGTTGCCGTTTATGATGCCCCAACCTTGAACCCCCCATCAATAATTTTCGAGTCACTGGATCTTTTTGCTGTCGACTCCGATGAGGCGACTCCTACTGAAGAGGAGCCAGTCACACAAACAGACATGATTACAGCGCCAAGCATCAAAACGTACTCTGCAATGATGAGATTTCTAATGGATCTTGACGGGGATGACAAAAAAGAAATCAACGTTGCTCTCACCCATGACGTGCATTTTGTCGCTGCTCATCCATGTGTTAAACCTCACAGCATTGAGGTCCTTAAGTCTTCCACAAGTCCATTATTTCAATCGAAAGACGGTGATGAGGGTGACCCACTTCCGAATCCTGATATGGGTATGTAGTTATGTTTTATTGTTGTTTTGTATCATTTGAAGCTGATATAAAATAGGCCACCCTCTCCACAAAGCTTTCACCTACACCATCATACCACTTCACCACATCCTCATGTCACCCGCCTCTAAATCTCTTTCCTCTCTACTTCTATCACCACCTCTATCACCAATTGAAGGTTCTTCGCCCATCCAGTCTAGCACCCATACTACCACGAGTAATATCCCAAAGGTTCTGGTAATTGACTGTACAAATACGGTGGTACTACCACCATCACCTCCTGATGATGCGGATATAGATGAAGTGGACGGTGTGAAGAGTGACAAAGAAGTTAGCAGGGAGACTCGAAGTGGAAACAAACGAGAATTTGGCAGCGATACAGAAATGCTGGCAAGAGCCTTATGTGCAGAAAGGGGGTGGAATGCTTTGATTAGTAGGAGAGGGAGAGGATGTCTAGCTTGTGCGGTTAGAGAGGCGGGTGCGTTGGGATGGAGGATTGTGTTAAGGGTTTAGTGAGGGGGATAATAGATTTGTAGATTTCGGTTTGTTGGTAAAATTGTTGTTTATGGGTAAGGAGGGAAGGATTCGGGACACGGTTGGGATGGATTAGCTGGGATACGATACGATACGATTCTACGATGTTATGCACGGCGCCTTGTGTTGCGTTATGCTATTTTACATATGTTAAGTGATACCCGCTTCGGCAATTAGTTAATGGCTATTATTGAGTATGGATTTTTAGAATGACTTCATGTCCCTGCAGTATCTGTATATGATATCTGATCTGGTTACAGTATCTCTGAAGATGATAGAGGTACAGCAATGTGGTGGGGTGGTACTATATGATGATTGGGAATAGAAATACTTTGATGGGTTGATGGAAGTGATACTGACTTGGTCAGCATAAATACTCGAGTACAATACAGTGATCTAAATCATACCCCTCTCCTTTTCTTCTTCTCCCCTTCTTCCTTTCTTTCTACTTTCTTGCGTCATTGATCTTTTTTCTTTATCTTGTTCTTCTTATTATTTTTAAAACAGGAAAAAGAGAAAATGTGAGTGAGTTTCGCGGTTGGAAAGTTAACGTGTCGACTAAAGTCTTCCTAAGCGAGCAGGAAGGGACGTCTAGTCTAGTGTGGTTCGAGAATTGGTATATCCAGAAAAAGGCTTGAATGAAGGATTTGGAGAAAAAGTCATAGATGGTTCTGTCAGATTGAATTCTTAAGGACAACATTTATCTCAACTGAACCATGGGCTGGCTTATATTAAGGGGGCATTGCTTCGGCTCGGATGGATGGAACATGTTATTGTTCGTCTAAACCACTACTGGTACTTGGGAGATGATGTATCGAACATTGGGGGGGGAGTCAAAATACTTACCTTGTAGGGACATGGTGAGATCGAAGTTGACGGCTAAGCAAGAACAATATGGTCAGTGCTAATTATTGGAAAGTGGAGCACATCAGTAACAACATGAGCAGATAGAGCATTGCTGGCATATACGCGCCTTCATGCCCTACCTCGCCCTCCAGGATACAGTCATTATTAAGTCTTTGCATGGATATGGAACGAAAAGCCCCTTGACACAGATGCCAAGGAGTTCATGTATCACCAAAAAGACTTTAGTTCCTTCGACAACAGAGATAGAGAAAATTTCTTCAAAGCATTGATTGACAGTCATCTCTTCAATAACCCCCGGTCGCCCCTTAAGGCAAGATAATTATTCGGTCTCCATGCTTCGTTCGCGAATTTGCTGTCATATCAGCTAGCTTTCACAAGATCAAGCAATAGAGCTGACCCTTTCAGCCGCTCCTCAAGATGAAAGGCAGTGCCGAGATATAATGTTATGATCTTAGGCTCAGTCCATGATAGCCCACACTTCGTCGCTTGTTATTCTAGCTGGCATGATTCTTACTCCTATCTGCCTCTTGTTTTTGCTTACACTCTCTCGTGCTTCCATGACACTAGTTGTATTCATCTTCACTATTATGGCGTATGTCATCATTGCCGCTGGCACCGCTGCCAACCAGTTCGAATCATTTGTAGCAATAGTTGCGTATCCGTTGATCGCCCGAGGAAGATTAATCTTATTAACATCAGTAGATATTGTGCCTTTTAGTCCAATTTCCGGAGAATCTTGGTCACAAAGTGAAAAGATACGGGTCGCAGAACAATTCGTATCTAAAGCTTTCCTCTACGAGAGAGCAAATATGTGAGTGGTAAAACTGGACGAACCTTTCCGTTATTCGTTCATTCGTCTCGCTAGCTGGGGCTGGTGAGGAAGAGGTCTAAGGCGCGAATCTGTCACTCGTTTGTGCGTTGGTATTCTGAGGTTATCATAGTGAGAAGACTCTATAACTTTGACCTTTTGAGAAATGTAGCTCAAGAAAGAAGTGTTCTCGAGAGACTTGTGAGGTCGTACAGAAGATTTTTCATTACAAGCTCGGTTGTCATACGGAGTTACATTGGTTCGGCAACGCAGTCTTCATCGCTCTATGATTGAACATAATTATTAGTCTGACCTCCAAAGTCAGTACTGAAATGATTTAATCATCGATATTCAGGGGAGATATTCGCCTCACTTTAGGTTTCACGCACAGCCAGCATAATATAAAACAGTAGTCCGGACAAGTCCGGACCTTAATCACAAATTTGGAAATTCCTCTCAATGACTTCCGTTCCTAATGCCGATGTTTTAATTTTGGAGCTTCTTTGCTGAACATCACTTTAATTCATGATTTAGTCCAAGCTCACCGGGAGTGGAGTTTTTTTATCATTGGGAATTGGGATGACCTCACCAATTCCAACTGGTAATTGTGTTTGTTGATTTACACACTACTACGAGTAGGTATATAAATCAGCGAAAGATAACCTAGGGAGGTATTGAAAAACAGCACCATTGATGCAAAATCAACTAACTCAACAGTATATCATTTCTCAGGACCCCGGGAAGCTACCTAAGCTTCCGTCATTGATCCTGGATCAACAGAACTCCCGACAACACTGGTGGAAAGCAAACACGAGGGTTTACTTCCGCCCAATATTCACTGACCTTATGTAGGTAGGTTATCTTAATTGAAATTTCGTTTCCTCTTGTCTCCAACTCTCATGTTCATCTCATGAATTGATGAACTTCGTTATCATTTTCTTTTCCTTTTCTGGCAGCTTTAAATGATATCATTCCGAGCACCATATGAACCGTTTTAGCTGAGAATCACAGCTCCTAATAAAAGCGTCAGCTACAACGAATCTGCACTGAATTCAATTCATACACTGATCTAAAATGGATCGTCGCAAGGAGGAAAACCAGAGCCGTGAAGGGCTTCTGCTAGATTATGAGGAGGACGGAAAGACCCCAACTCGCAAATCGTTCGAACATACTTATCGAAACTCCGAAGAATCTGACATCGACACCACTGATTACCTCGATGCGAACCATCCTCAAGCTTCCGTGAATGCATATCAGACTGGCACTCAATTAAGCGATCTGCGGCGTACCTTCAATCGACGGTCGAAATGTCTCCTAATAACACTAGTCGTTGGGATAAGCTTTTGGTCGATTCTGGCAGGAGGAGGGGTCTGGCTATACAAGAAAACGCCCGCCACTGGACAATCGCCGCCGTGGTATCCAACACCGCCTGGAGGCACAGTACCACAATGGAGCGAGAGCTATAAGAAAGCCGCCGCATTGGTCGAGAAAATGACATTGCCGGAAAAGGTGAACATCACCACGGGTACCGGATGGCAGATGGGTCTTGCTGTCGGAAATACTGGACCTGCATTGAATGTAGGTTTTCCTGGTCTTGCATTACAAGATGGGCCCTTGGGGTTGCGATTCGCCGATAATGCGACGGCTTTCCCAGCAGGTATTACTGTAGGAGCAACATTCAATAAAGAATTGATGTACAAACGCGGTAAGGCACACGGTCAAGAAGCTCGATTAAAGGGTATCAATGTCCTCTTGGGACCTTGTATTGGGCCATTGGGTCGAATGCCTGCAGGTGGAAGAAACTGGGAAGGATTTGGCACGGATCCATATCTCCAAGGTATCGCAGCAGCGCAAACTATTAAGGGTATTCAAGAAGAAGGCGTTATCGCCACAATCAAGCATTTCATTGGAAATGAGCAAGAACATTTCAGACAAAGTTATGAGTGGGGTTTGCCAAATGCCATGTCATCCAATATCGATGATCGCTCTCTTCATGAACTATATGGATGGCCTTTCGGTGATAGTGTAAAAGCTGGAGTAGCTAGCGTTATGTGCAGTTACCAAATGGTGAACAACTCATACTCGTGTGGAAACTCGAAGCTCCTCAACGGCATCTTGAAGGACGAGCTTGGATTTCAAGGATTTGTGCAATCGGATTGGCTTGCTCAACGATCTGGTGTAGCAAGTGCGCTTGCTGGGCTCGATATGACCATGCCAGGAGATGGTCTCATTTGGGACAACGGAAAATCACTATGGGGCCGAGAGCTGAGTAAATCAGTGCTGAATGGATCATTACCTGTTACGAGACTCAACGACATGGTGACAAGAATTGTAGCTTCTTGGTATCAATTGGGTCAAGATGATAAAACAAAATTTGATGGGGAGGGTCCCAACTTTTCCTCATGGACCAATGAAGAGAAGGGATATGTTAATGCTGGTAGCCCCGATGATCATGACGAGAAGGTTGTCAACAAGTTTATTGATGTTCAAGGGACGGGTGCTGAAGCACATTCTATCATAGCACGTCAAGTGGCTACTGAGGGAACTGTGCTATTGAAGAACGAGGACAATTTACTACCTCTTAATAAAAATGGCTGGGCCTCGGATGAAAAACATGAGCTTGTGTACAGAATTGGGATATTTGGTGAGGATGCGGGAGAAGGTGATGGGCTCAATGCGTGCCCAGATAGAGGTTGCAACAAAGGAACACTAGGCTCTGGATGGGGATCTGGCGCGGTTGACTTTCCTTACTTAATCTCTCCAGTCTCAGCACTGAAGAAATCGTTCAACACGGGACATGTCTACATCACAGATTTCCCTACGAACTCACCCCCGTTGAAGAAAGCCCCAGCAATCATCAAAGACCAAGATGTCTGCATCGTCTTCGTCAATTCTGATGCCGGAGAAGGATACATATCTTACGAAGGTATCCGTGGCGATCGCAATGACTTGAATCTACAACATGGAGGTGAGAAGCTTGTAAAGGAAGTCGCTGAAGGTTGCGGAGGAGGGAAAGGTAACACGATCGTTGTCGTTCATGCTGTCGGACCAGTGGTCATGGGTGAATGGATCGACATTCCAGGAGTCAAGGCGGTTTTGATGGCAAACCTTCCGGGACAGGAGAGTGGAAATGCAATTGCTGATATCCTTGTCGGCAATGTTAATCCGAGTGGCAAGCTGCCTTATACTATCGGAAAATCTCTAAATGATTATGGTGCTGGTGGTCAAGTACTTTATTTTCCAAATGCTCTTGTTCCACAACAGAACTTCAGCGAAGGATTGTACATTGATTATCGCCACTTTGATAAATATAACCTGGACCCTACATTTGAGTTTGGGTTCGGACTATCATATACCACGTTCGAATATACAAACCTCAAGGTCGATGCAATTTTACCCAAATCGCCTTTCCCAGCCGCTCGCCCAGACGGAATTCCTCCACCTGCTTTCGACGACAGGATTCCAAATCCTAGCGAGGCGCTATTCCCTTCAAATTTTAGAAAGTTATCTAAGTTTATCTACCCATATATCGACAAAGTTTCGGATATCACACAAGGTAGATACCCATATCCAGAAGGCTATGACACAGTACAACCCCTATCACCAGCTGGTGGAGACGAGGGTGGTAATCCAGACCTCTGGACTGTCTACGCCACTGTATCAGTCGACCTCAAGAACACCGGGAGTGTCACTGGTAAAGAAGTAGCGCAATTATATCTTGAATACGATAATCTTAGTGGGGACGCTGCGAATGTCGATTTCCCAGTCAGGGTCTTGAGAGGTTTTGAAAAAGTGGAACTCGCAAAGAATGAGACGACAACAGTGAACTTCGAGTTGACGAGAAGAGATCTGAGTTATTGGGATGTGGTGAAGCAGAATTGGGTTATGCCTACAGGGGGAACTTTCACGATTAGAGTAGGTGCTAGTTCGAGGGATTTGAGGGTTTCGGGGTCTTTCTAATGCGGGTTGTAATGTGGGGGGTGGGAAAGGTGTAGACCTGGTGTTAGGAATTGGGATTATTATTGGCATTGGATATTAATTATCCTTGTTACAATATGATCAGATATCAAAGAATAATATTGATTCTGTGCAGGCACCAGTGCTATTTATGCTTTTATGATTACCTTATGTTACTATTTTTCAATATGAAGCCTCTAACATCTCCGGGGACATGTGCTCACCACCTAAGAATAGTGGAACAGTATCTTTAATGCTTCTTGGAACATGTTTTGATATAGTAGAAAGAAGCTTCATGTGTTGATATACTATATGCTTATTTTGTTCGATAAACAAGAAAAAGAAAGAGAAAAGGAAAGAAAAACTTCAGTAGATAATGATTTCAGAACGTAAGAAGAGAAAATTGAAGTAAGATTATACATTCTCTTAGATATTACATGACCTAATCTCTACATAACTAATCCTCTTATCACGGCTTACTCATTGATATCGTAATCGAGAGGCTACTATTTTGAGATTAGTCATCTAAACCCGGCCTTATCTTAAATTTAATGAGGTCACGCTTTCACGCGAAATTTTCCCGACAAACAAACGCGTCTCACGTTTATCGATTAGCATCATTCTTTCCACAATAGATATATTCACTCACACAATATTCACCCACTCACAACTTCTGCAAAGCCAGTCCTGCGTCTTCTACGACTTCGACCTTTGTTCGACCTTTGAACTTCGACCTTCCAATATCATTCCCCAACTTTACCATCCCCATCATCGACCACAAACTACCATGTTTGTACACAAATACGAAAATGCCGGCAACGGCGTGGCAATGATGGAGGCATCGCAACTCAATAATCAGGCAAACTCACTTGAGGCTCGTGGTGATTATACAGGCGCCGAAAAATTGTTTTTGCAATCCCTTGAGCTCAAGATTAAAAAATTCTGGCGAGGATTCTATCCAAACGGCTCTGTCAAAAAATGCATTGGGAGAGTTGTATATGAAGATGGAAGGAAGAATGGAGGATGCAAAGAAGATGTTGGAGCATGCTGATCGGGTTAGGAGTGGTAGGTTATTTTCTTTTGGTGTAGGTGGGAGGTGGAAAGGTGGGGGAAGTAATGGTACAGTAATGCTAATGAGGTGTTGTGTTGTATGTAGGTTTTGATCGTGACAATTTCGACTCAGCGTGCACGAGGGACAATTTGGGTCAGTTGTGGGAAATGAAGGGCGATGTGGTGAAGGCGAGAGAGGTTAGGGAGAGAGTACCGGATAGTATGATCTGTTCGAACTTCAACGTGAGTCTACTGGCAGGCAATTCATTGATGATTTGATATGTGAAGCTGACTTGATTTTGGAATCAAAGTGTCCACTCAGCAGTGGGAACGTCAAGTCAAAGAGAGGCGATCTTAAAAATTGTGCAAGATGCAAGTGTACATGGTATTGCACTGGAAATTGTCAGAAAATTGATTGGAGAACGAGACATAAGAAGTGGTGTAAGACACCGGTGGTTGAGGGAAAAGTGGAGAATACTGAGCAGGCGAGCGCTAGTAAGTAGGCGCACGAGGAGCAATGGAAGGAAGTGTGCTATTAAACGGAGTGCGAGTGATATGGCATATGGATATCCTGGATTCAGATGAGACGTGAGAGTGCGATTGTGAATCAACGATAGCTTTTAGAATAGTTATGAAAATGCCTCTACAAGTGATGTCACCATGCCAAAATGTAAATGTCACTTTCTAGCAAACTGCCAGTGAGTTTACGATTTTGAATCAAACTGTCATCAATCAATTAACGTTGATATCATACCCTCAAACCCCTATACCCACTTCAACTCCAGAAGACATGCCAAAAAGAGTGAGAACTGCTCGGATATAAAGCTACTTAGAGTGACGAATAGAGATTACCAGGGGCCAACAGAAATACTCGCTTAGACACAAAACTTACCTACAGAAGTAATTGCGCTAAGTAAATAGACTAGGGGATTAACCTAGTACGAGGTAGTAGCTATCAGTGGAGATACTTGTACACTAGCCGTAAATATAGATAACGCAGATCCAGGATTGAGAACTAGTCACGTTATTTTAACGACCATTATACACTCACTCATTGCATTGCGCATGTTAATCTCAAGTTCTCAGTCAGGTTCTTAACGCCAAAGAAGCGTATGAGATACTTTAGATCTAGATTGATATGGGAATTTAATATTGAATGCCAAGTCAATAGTTACCTCTCTAATCAAACACACCTAATGACTTGAGATTACTCCAGTATACTGCGTGCAAAACATTATAATTTGATTCCGAAAATATGACAGTACGTGGCTGACGCTCGAATTTAGGGCCCTCAATTTATAGGGTAAATTCCAGGCTCTGCGTCCTGAGTGTGCTTGGCAGGAATTTATAGTCATCATACTAGCTAGTCCACGCATCGCATTGGTTGTCCAAACCTGGCATGACTCCAGCCTTACTAACTAAACTCTTGAGTTGACCGGAATTTTTGACAAATTGTACTGTTATTCCAGAAAATACATACCATACCTGAAAAGGAGAATAATTAGCTCGAATGATGGAAAAGTTCGATTTTTTGAGAGATGCAACAACAGGTGTTGGTGTGGAAATGTTGGGAATCACTTACGATGTGGCAGTGAAGAAGCCAGACCCCCGGATTATCCCTTTCAAAACCTATAACCAAGTATCCGTTCTTGGGTAGCATTGCGGTGTCTCTTCTGGGAGGGTTATCCAGGTTCGGTGAAAATGTCGTAATGTCAAATGGGGTGTTTGATTGGGCTAATATCGAAAAATCATGACCATGCAAATGAATAGAATGGCTGGTATTGACTGCCTCTATCGATGGATCCGTTGTATTGAACATGCCTTCAACGAGGAGATACAGCGAGTTATTATTAGGGTAATCGAGGAATATTGAGACATAATCTTGTGGGAAAGCCGCGCCCGTTGTGTCGGAATTGTCTTGAATGAGCTTGAGAGAGGGAACGCTCCAGTTAAGATACATGGGGTAGTCTTTGAGACTCCATTTCACGAGGTGGGTATTGGCATCGATTCTAGGATAAAGCTGCAAGGATGCATTGAGGTATTGATTTGGGGTAAGTCCATTGATTGACTTTCCCACCTGCTTGGATACCACAGGAACCAGATCTTTGGCTGGAGGTTCCAAACATCCGAAGTTCAATCGATAGTCTTGATAGTCGGGAGGAAGTTCGGTCGATGTTGAGTCATATCTGATAATACCTAGAGTAGATATCTGCGACGGTTCGTTGCAGTCTCTGGCAGCATGAATACAGAAATTTGTACCATCGGAACAATCTGCGTTTGCCTTGATGATGATATCGTAACGTTGACCTAGAAGGGATTAATAAGATTACGTCTTGTTGTTGCCCAAATTGACTTACCAACAGCAATGTTCAACGTGTCTGTTTCGTACCCCTCAATGGGTACAAAATCTGTCCCAACCACTGTAAATGTATGGCCATCAATCCAGAATGTGTATTGAATCGAAGTACCCGCATTTACCATCATGCTAATTTTGTAAGTTGTTCCTTCAACCACATCAAGAAGTGTAGATACTGCCACTCTTAACGCCTGTAGTTTCATTGTAGTAGACTCCTTGCCCTTGTAGCAAGTGTGAACTTGGTACAGGAGGATTGCAACAAAGTTCAAGATAGAATAACGAGAACGGGCTTTCATGATACCAATCAGATATCAATAATGGTCCAATATCAATATCACAATTCTGACTTGTTGGTCCATTGATTTTCAAAGCTCCATAAAGTCCAGCCGGATCTAGTTTTAATATTAACGAATACCGGTTAAATAACGACGAACGATGTTTTGAGAACCTACATTGCAATGCAAAGTGGCTGTGATACCAAGAAACGCCATACTGCGTCACTTGGAATTCATATGTATAAGTTTGAAAAGGCTCCTGCACCTCAGTATCTCATTTTTTAGATAACAGAGGGTGAATTACCATGATTGGACATTGTGTCACTCCTGGCACTCCGTCCTGCCAATTAGTGTTTAATTGGCGGATACCATGCCAATAAACGGCTGTACCATTCAGGTTCATCAAATTGTTGTGGACCGTTATCTCTTTAAAAGGTGTTAGTCTGCAGGCATGCAAGAAATACCAAATTTTATACTTAAAGTATCTCCCAATCTGCCTAAATCGCATGAAATTTAGGTGCCGGCCAAAACATGAACACTGGACAGACTCACCTCAATCATGGGAGCAGGGAACTGTGAGTCAAACACCATTACTAGGACTTCCACTCCATCTGGCGCAATCCACATGTTACTGACAACCAAATCATACTAAGATCGACGTCAGAGCAAGAATTAGAGTATGGCAGTTTCCATACCTCTCGGATAACATTCGTCGTGGGCCACTCTTTTGAGTAGTCTGTGTGTATGTCATAATCCCCCCAGCAATCGCGACTACTTGGAGTTTATCATCCGGAATGGATGACTGTTAAGCCGGACAATAGTCATGTATATGAACAAAACGAACGTAACTTCCAATTAAGGCACAAGACTTTGGCAATAAAATGTGGAGCCATACTTAAAATGAATAACGGATGGACGATCACACATTGCTAGATGAACTTGGCATACCGGTACTTAATATTTTATACTCGTACTTGACTAACACGTCGCGTCTCCATAGTGAGCATTTCTCGCGAATGCAGTAACGAGGGGATAAACCGAGAATACCTAAGAGCTCATACGATGGCTGGAAAGATATTTGTATTGTGTCAACCCGAAGAATTTGTTAAAGCCTTCATGCCACCAAAGACCATCATATATAACGCCGGGCGGGTAGAACACGGTAGAGCGGTCAACCACACGGTTAGCAACTCACTGTACTGTAATGCAATGTGAGACTTCTCAGTACATAACATTTGTTCTAGCCTTCTAGGTGGTGAAATATGGACGCGAGAAATAAATCTAAAATCCAGCACGCGCCAGTGTTAGTGTTGATTACATAAGCACGACATCTTTTAAGCAAGTTTGTCCCAAGCATGCATCTGATACAACAATTCACAACTCCGGCATAAACCCATGTACTTAAGTAGTCAATTCAAATTCCGCGGCTGAGTGCGCGAATGGCCCAAGAATCATGGCCCAGTCTCACACTCTTGAGACTCTTTTCAGCCATGCATACCGATCTTTTTGGTCCAAGTACGAATATCCTGTTCTAGAACTCCACATACGAAATGTGTTGAGTCGTAAAATCTGGAGGGATCACGTACCGGTAGCTAATACCGGTACATAGTCTATACATATACTTTAGATGTACCAAATCAATGGCGAATTTCGAATGGCGAAAGACGACAACCACCAGCGTCGCACACGTGTGCTCTACGTGATAACTTTCATCCTCCTTGACATCAATTTTGTGGCATCTTGGAAAGAATCACTTTCACTTCTGCAGCTGGCAGCCGAAGCAACAATTGATGCTCCAAGTTTTGCTGAATATCAATAATCACTTAAAATAAGATGGGGAGCCACGTTCCAATGTGAAATGTGAGGTAGATATCATCAACCACTCACTCGAATTTTATTGACTGACAGAGATGAAATAAATTAAGTTTTCGCGACGTAGAAGGGCCGTTGCAGCAGGTTCTTGTCATACTGATAATCATGGGATTGAGTTTCAACTTCTCACGGTTGAAAGTTGCCATTGCCATTCACACTTGATGGTTGTGGCAAACCAAAGCCTAGGGCTAGAGAACTCATCACATTCATCACGCACGAACTTGATTCCAATATTTCATATACCAATTTTCAGTTCTGTTCTTTATCTTCGAAGATATAAAAACTCCGAGGTCACATATTGACTGTGTTACTGTTGCAGAATATCTGCTTGTGGTAGTATCACCGTGGAATGCTGCCCAATATATCTATCGTGGTACGAAAGGCTGGTAATGTTATTTTAATATAAATTCCCTTTTTCGTACTGCAAACCAATTCTCTTCCTTTCAGAATTTTTCAATATTAGTATCATATACAGACTATCATACTAGTCGTTATGAAGTCATTTTGTCCAATTTCCTTGATTTGTATGCTGTCATTCACGATTGTTGGGGCATATCGAGAACAATGCTATAACCTGGATACCAAATATGAAGGCTCGGACTTCTTTACAGGATGGGATTTCTTCACAGTAAGCATCGAAATACCTCTTTGATCCATACGTAAAACTGATAAAGCTTCACAGGGCTCAGACCCCACTCACGGTTATGTCACGTAAGCTATTTTCTCCTCCATGATCTCGACAATTACTGATGCCACATTCCAGATATGTCGATGAGAAAGTTGCAAAAAGTGCTCAACTTATCACGGCAAATGATTATGGTCCAGCGTATATAGGGGTTGACTATACCACTCCTTTAGATACGGCCGGTCCGGGACGAAAAAGTGTCCGGATCGCGAGCCAGAAATCATGGACGCATGGGCTATTCATTGCAGACATTTCTCATATGCCCGGTGGAATCTGTGGTACTTGGCCAGCCTGTAAGTCAAAAAGTTTTACCTGAACGACAGGACTGATGGTTCATAGTCTGGTTGCTTGGCCCAAACTGGCCGAATAACGGGTATATATCTTTCTAATGTGAGACTGTGATTGGCTGCTCTAACACGTCTTCAAGGGAAATTGATATCATCGAAGGCGTCAATCAACAGAGTGACAACCTAATGAGTCTCCATACGTAAGTTGTTTTCCCATGTCAACAGAGGTCGTCTGCCAACATTCAAAGCTCGGCAAATTGCACCATGCCAAATGAAGGTACCGCACAGCTGGGTACTATGAATAGCAATCAATGTGATGGAACCGTGAGCAAATCTCCTATCTCTGTAGTCAAAGGTACTCACACATTCTCTAGCTAGACAACTACGCCGGCTGCAGCTCAACAGCACAAACCGGAAAGTCCACCTACGGCAAATCCTTCAACTCGAACGGCGGTGGTGTCTACGCCACTGAATGGACCCCAGACCATATAAATAATTGGTTCTTTCCCCGTAATGCAATTCCTCTCAACATTCACCGAGGAGCCCCAGAACCCCGCTTCTGGCCCAAGCCTCAAGCCATCTTCCAAGGTTCTTCCTCTTGCAATATCGATACGCATTTCGCGAATCAAAGTTTAGTATTCGACACCACTTTTTGCGGAGATTTTGCCGGGGGCGTTTGGGAAAACGATGGTGGGATTTGTAGCCAGGGGGGAACATTGTCGTGCGAGCAGTTTGTTGCAGGAAATCCAGGTGCTTTCAAAGATGCGTGAGTGTAACCTATAACCTCTGATAACCATGACGATGACACCGAGTACTAATATCAACTTCGACAGTTACTGGCTAATCAACTCCGTCAAGGTATATCAACTAGGAGAACGGCCCGTGAGTCTACGCACACTCGCCAGTACAAGCACGATAGCCGCAACACACACCTCTTCGAGCTCAAAACCCCAGATAACAACCCAAATATCGCAAGTCTCGGATATTCCCACGACGGATGATATCAGTAAACCAACGGCGATTTCTCGTTTAAGTAGTCCAAGTACTTCAACATTCCGGACGATTCGGAAATCTCGATCAACACTTTTGACGATGCCTCAGAAACTATTTGAGCTGGAGCTACCCCCAATACCTCAATATGCTCTTTGAATATACTATTCTGCTCCTGAAATTCACAACAAGGATTTTCATGCCCATATAACGTGGATAGTAATGACGGCCTTCAACTTTCATTCGAAAACCAAAGCATTTCATCTTCCGCTGATAGCTACATATCTTGATATTACTCCAAGCGGAAGATCCAGAAGCTGATCAAGGCACATACATAATCAGGTCAATTAGAAGTCCGTTTTAGATGTGATTGTTTATTGCTCTTCAACGTGGGGACACTGGAGCTGCATTCTTTGTATTAATACAAATAGCGATCATGTTGGATTTAGAGCACGGTATCATTCCGACCAGTATGGTTGTTGCATTTCTGCGTTTATTTTCATGTCTTACATAGATCGTCGTTTTTGGAGTACTCGAGTATAAGTTAACGTCATTTTCTCATTGTCGAATATCTGTGCCGGGCCATAGCTCAATATCCCCATTGTGAAATGCCCTACGTTCATTACGAAATGAGCTAGGTTTCAGAGTGAACTAGCTCATTACCTAATGAGCTAAGTTCATACGATTCATAAGGGTATTCCGAAATGAACTAGGGCATTCCGAAGTCAACTTAGTATATAGAAAAATTAATTTTACAATAAACTAAATATATTATATAATGAGCTAATATATATATTAATTTGATTTCTTTATATATCAACTCGCTAGTGTTTGTTTCTACATATAGGCAAAAGATCCTCAACCTCGTTGTCGCCCCCATTTTCAACTATATCGTTGTCCCTATTTATCACGGGGCTGGTACGGGTGTTAGTAGGAACTAGGTAAGATGTATGATATTCAACAAGGAGAGAAGGAGGCGCGCGGAGCGACGCCGACTATATGGTGAATAAATGCCTAAGGCATCTATTCGAGCTAATTAAGAATGGGTAGCGTGCACATAACAGGTGCAGATAGGTACAGGTAGGTGTAGGTAGGTATAGGTAGTCACGCTTGGTGAACCCGTGACACTATTACTACTAGTTTTGAATATTAGATTGAATAATAAAAAGAATTGATAGATATACAAAAGAACTGAATGAAAAAATCAAATGAAATTATATATATATAATAAAATGGATCATTAGAGCATTTGCGAATGAACCTAATTCATTTCGGAATGCTCTTATGAATTATATAAACTTAGCTCATTGGGCAATGAGCTAGGATATTGCCTTATGAGCCAGCTCATTTCACAATGAATGTAGGACATTTCACAATGGGGATATTGAGCTATGGCCTGGAATATATCAATTCCGCTTCGAGGTATGATGGAGTATGATACTTCTTGTAGAGGAATATTTCCATAAAGTTTGCAGTTCTGTCATTTGTTCAATAGGACTCACTGATATATGAATCACATACAGAGAGTGTACAGTCTGCTAATAGTATGCATTTTCAACCTAGATGTCCTTCTCTTGGACGTTACTGCCATCATCAACGAATTTCCATTTCAATTCAAATCAATTGTTCCAGGAAATCCTCACCGGATTTGTTGACGTCCACTCGCGACTCTTCACACAAATCCAAGTTCCCACCTTCTTCTCAATATCACTATTAGCGTGATAAACTCGATGATAACCAACATAGATGACCCAACCACGTTCCTCTAGTCTTTCCATCAACCTCAGCAACATTATCTTTTTCCGTGCCCAGCCTCCTTCGCGAAGAAAAGAGCCCTTGACAGGGAACTGGTGCCAACCTTTCACAGAATCATAGTCTTCATTCTTGAGCTTGGAGACAAGCTTCATTTCTCGTAACGTGAGTCTAATAGTGTTGATAAGTTCGTCTGCTCCCCCCAACACACACAATTGATCTCTGATATGCCACCTTCCTGCGAATCCATAGGTGATAGCAAGCCAGTAACATTTTGGAAGAGGCTTGGGACATTTGCGAAAGTTCAATGTGTCGTACGGACTCAATAGCAATGGAACCGGTTGTACCAACCAAGACTCAGAAGCCAGATACGCAATCACGTTTCGAACCATACGAGTCACCTCATATGTGTTCCCACTAGTGAATGGTCTTCTGTTGAGTTTGAAGAAGTACCGTTCGTCATCGTAACATATACCTTCTCTTCGTATGCCTGGTTCCCAGCCCTTTTCCAAGAGGGTTCGAATGCCGTCCTTGATCTTCTCGGGAAGCTGTGTCAAGACAACGTGATTCCAGTTATCAAACCCGAAAGAGGCATGAGTCGCAGAACTCGGCAGATATTCAGTCTCTATACGATAATTGGAGCCTTTGGCAATCTCCTTTCCGGCGCTACGACTGCCAGACCGTAGAGGTTCGGCTTCGGTATTGCCACACGTATCCGTTGCTTGATCAGACGCCTCCGAGGGTCTTGATTCTTCTTTATTTGGTGATGTACTTGAACTTGAACATGAGCTTGAGCTAGAACTTTGGCGTTGATTTCTTGTAGTCGGTGGAATCCACCTGTCTGAATTTCGAGTAAAACCCGCATATCTTGTGAAGATATCGTTCGGTTTTCCCCCGTGCTCGACAGTCAACGTGCTGTTGCTTTTTATTTTACACGGTGCGTCTCCTTTAGCTCTTTTCCTTGCCATATTTATGTGGTGCTTCTGTGCTCTATGGGGATCGAGGATTTGACCAAGTTGGATCGTAGAAAAGACGTGTGATCGAGTTTTGTAATTCGCCTATTGCTCAATGACGGTTTCGTAAATCGGGTGGAGATGAATTTGAGTAGAGATGAAATCTGGATTTGGATGAAATAATAGGGCAAGTGTACGAAGATGAGATCTGCAGGAGTAAATGAGTGACAGGAGGTTACGTCCGATAAGAGGCAATAGGGAAACGAGGTTTGATGATATTAATTATGTCGATAGAATAATGTGAGAGGGAAAGGATTGTATCGGTGGAAGAACAAGCAATCATACACGCACAGTACTTAAATAGGGAGGTGCGAGTACAAAGTGGGAAGGGGGTCTATCGCCATTTTTGCTCTTGCTTAATCGTGGACTCGTTACTTCCCAAACTATATCTTCTAAAATCTACTCAAGCAGGTGTGTGGCATGGAGAAACGATCCAAATCCCATCGGAAATAACGTTCATGGACTAGACTAGTAAGTTAAAGCATCTCAAAGTTCAATATTTACTTCTAAGCCGCACCTGCAAGCAGCATTCTTCGACTTTAGTTTTCACAATTCCCTTTGCACTTTCGAAAATCTTCAATTGTTTTAGTCTTACAAGCAATGAAGCATCGAAGATGAACAATTTCATTTAGATATGGCTACCCGGACACCGTGACCGCTTCAAGTAAAAGAAAAAGAGATATCCTCGCTGACGTGATTAGGAGAATGCGAAAGTCGACCAACACCTTGAAATGACAATGCGTACTCATATTGCCGTCCTCTGATAACCTTCATACCATCCGATTCCCACATTCGATACAATCTCGACAATTTTGTTCATTCACTGTGCGAGCCGTAAGGTCTCGGAGTTCTGGGTCGGAACTCCGGTGGAATATCATCTGCCGAGCCTTCTTCCTCCGTCGCACCCTTCTCCTCGCTGTGGCTCACCCAGACCGGCCTAATATCCTGTGCCATTCCTCCTGAATTTTGAGTACCCTCAGATTTCACCTCTTCCCACGATCCATCGCTTCCATTATCTTCAGTCTCGGGTATATTGCTTTTGGTTTTCGCGCGCGATTCGTCAACAGGACTGATGGGTTCCGCCGTCCCATCGCTGTTACTGCCGGTCTCGACTTTCATGCTGTCGGGTGTGGAGATGGTACTATCGCGATGTTCATCGGGGAGTTTGAGTCGCTGAACGTCGGGTTGAGAGGGCTTGGTCGCGGTGTGATGGACGGGGACGGTCTCCTCTTTTGTTTGGGGGGAGATCGTGGGTACTGGTGTACTATCTGAATCTGAAGACATTTTTCTTGGGTAGGAGGATTGAATTTTGATGCTTTAATGGGTTTATCAAGCGATGAAAGTTGGTGCTGTAGATGTAAAATACAGAAAACAAAGAATCTACTGAGAGTGTGGTGAGGGGTTATGACGAAATCCAGAAATCAGGGAATCCCGAACAAAGAAACTGTACCTCGCACTCACTGCCTGAGAAGAAGTCACGCAAAGGTGTGATTGGTCAATACTTCATGCATATTCACTAGAATCTTGATTGGCTATGCTAAAGTTGAGATACGAGCAGCCACAATCATTTGATAATAGAAACAGCCTATTTCGATCTCCTTATTTAACCGACATTGAACTCAAAAGCATACGCGGTCGACGTGTCCACCTGATAAATAGGAAAAGTCACGCTATTACCCGAATAAGTATGCGCCCCCGTGCCGAGATCGTTTAGTGCCGTGACGGATCCAAATCGACCACCAGTATTTGCAAACCCCCAAGTATGGATTTTCAAAGTACCAGCAGTAGGTAGTCCAACGGATGATAGACTGTTAACGGTAATTTGCCAAGTACCAATCGTAATGTGAACTCCGCATAAAATCTTTACCTGAGTCGAGCCAATGGTAGCATATGTATCTAATCGCGTGTCGGCCGAGGCAGAAGTTCCGACGCGGTGCCCTGTCATGTTCAGGTTATAGTACTTATAAACTTGCCATTCTCCGTTTGGCCAGTAACCGGTACCGGTTGGGCTGTAAGCTGAAGTTCCGGCATTTGGTTTACCCAAAAGACCGGCCATGAAATCGTGAAGCGACCAACCACTAAGCCAGTTTCCTCTCAGTCCGATAGCGTTGTATCTCTCCAGTTGAGAAATCCACCAAGCGGCGCCGGAAGGAACTTGTTCGGCGGCTGTTCCATATTCATTAATGTTAATGGTCTTTTGAGGGAGGCCATATTTGCTCAGGACCTGCTGGAGCCCTGCATGAGCACTTCCCATATTTCCATTGCCACCTTCCATATGCCAGACCCATTGATCTGGAACATTGTTGTTTGTCTTTACGTATGAAGCAAAGCCGGTCCACCAGGTGTTGCCGAGGGATGGCCCTGATGCGTAGGCCGGTCCAATAAGAAGGACACCTGGAAATGCCGCTCTGAACGTCTATTTAGCATACTATTTCTGGAGAGAATCGATGTGTTATTTACCTCAACCTAGAATAAGTTCGACCCCACATTTGGAAATATTGGGCTTGACTTCTATTCCAAAATATGGTGAGATCTGGCTCGTTCCACTTTGGAAAATCAGTAAGAAAACTTAGAGTGGGGAACTTTCCATGTTACGTGACTTACAATATCGATGGAAAGGCCAGCAGTGGCACCATTTGCATTGATGTCAGAAATAAGTTGAGTCAAATAGGCATCCCATGAAGCCCAGTTTCCATTGTCTCCTGGGTAAGGAGCACTCGAGTTTTGTGAACCATCTGCACCCCACAAATCGTGGATTAGGAAAATGAACTTCCCGCCATGTGCTCGAGTGGACCGATAGTTTGACAATGCTGATGCAAATCGAACCTAGAAATGGTCAATAATTTGTACTAGTATGTCTGTCAATGGAGATATCCATTTACCTTGTATTGCGATAATCCCCAGATCCAACCTATAATCGGGAAGTCAGCAATTGCCAATGAATGAAAAAACAGAATACTGAAATAGAAAAGCACAAGATGAAGCATTAAAGTAAAGTTTGAGACCGAGAGAGAGAATTGAGCATTGAGAACGAAGGATTCGTGAAATAATTGAGCATACCTCGACCAGGAGCAGGGACTTGTGCACCACCTGCTCTTGCATAATTGAACCCCATATCAGAATAGAAAGAAGACGGAATCTGTCCCTGAGTATCTGGAATGCCATAGAGAATGCCGGATGCAAGATGGGAAATGGATCCGGTGTTGTTGTTGAGATTAACAGTTGAAGTTCCGAGTATGGTTTGTCTCTGTATTATATTTGAGCCATTGGCAACGGCTGCCAATAACAGAGACAGTATGCTATATTTCATGATGGGCATCAAATGAGAGTTTGTACCTATGGTGTGCTTCTTGTCCTCGAGACTTTAGCTTCTTGACCTTCTTTATATAGCATTTTCTGGCAATATACAAGACCTTCTCCAGCCATTTAAAAAGTTAAAATGATGCAGATTTCAGGACCGACTTGGCTACCATTCTTCACAGGTAAATTAATTATGTTCCCCGCATTCTCTTTCCCCATAAATTGGCGGATCATCTAATTTCCATCGAATAGATAGCTATACGAACCGAAGATTCCATGCAACAATATGTTACCTTATGCAAAGAGATCATTCGAGCGGTTCTACGACTTATCAAGGACTTCTTGTTCTGCATGAGCTGTGGACTTGTCCCCCTCGCTAACCCACATTTTTAGAGCCCTCCGGAAGTACGCCCACCGGAGTCATCTAATTTCATTCCGCAATCTTCACACATGCCATTTAGATTTTCGAATTAGTAGTATATTGACTAGACACTAGCCGCAACCAGCGAGGACCCCGAGCCTGCAGATACGAAGTTCGGCATATGAAGCTGTTGCGATTTTAGCTGCAGAATTGTTGCCGACCTAAGACCAGCTTAATCCGCTATGACTAGGGATGGGCGAATTATGTAGATAATTGGAATAAATAAAAATGAGTCATTTTTTAGAGAGTTTTCAGATGGGTATTCTACAAAAAAGTATATGAAAGGCATTCCTTGAAATTCTCTATTTAAATCATTTATATTTCGCATATATCCTAAACCTATATTATATCCGAAACCACTTGAACTTTATATAAATTTCAAATAGATATCTTGGTTCATCTGAATTTCATATGCATATTGAGATTTGATCATTTTAAGGTCGGAATCAGGAGCGAATCCCTTCGTTGTTTATATTGTTTGTTTAAATATCCCAGAAGACAGAAGATGATAGATAATTTTCTTGGTTGGTCTTCTCGTTTGCCTGCTTAGTCAGCTTATCCACCGCCATTAAAGCAATCTCGCATTCAATATAAAAAAAAACCTACAGTAATAATAAGCAAATAATTCAACCGAAGCGTGACGGTCTATTATGGTTTGAAGCTCAAGGTCCTGGCCCTCTAACGAGGCCTGGGATTCTAGATATATCTTGTTCTTTCGGAACCTCCACATGACCACTCCCCAACCAGTCAAACATATTCCACTGGTATATAAAGTTCCTTGCGCCAGCGCTAACAATGATGCCCCCCTATACGCCTTTATCCCGACCGTCCCATGCGCGGACAGGAAAGCATGATAAAGTCTGTGTTCCCAAATATAATTGCAAACCATACTAATCAAGCAGAACGTCGTAATTCCCTGCATTACTCTGGGGTCAACAGGACTGGAGGATATGCGGCTTCAAGAAGACTGCTCACCACCATTGGAATTGCAGTCCACTTCTTCAAGGTGTTTCTGAGACGCTCAATGCGAGCTACCGACCTTATTTTCACTTCTTTACCTAAGTGTTTCTTGATAGCAAGGTACAAACCCACACAGCAGTTGATGGTCGTCAAGTTGACGAGAACATAAGTACAAAGACTTGCCAGAGCAGATGAAGCAAGCGCGAAATACAAAGATGTAGACCTGCTACTCTATTGTAATCGATTCTTCAGGTCTTGAGGAAAGTGGACTAAGGTATTATCCATAAGCTGCGAGGAGTCTTGTGTACCAAATGCTGCAACGAATTCTTGTCGGTCGATTAGATTATGAGATCCTGCGGCGTAGTTGCCCGAACAATAAGATAACTGGTAAATGAAATAGACGTCGTGGACGCCATTCGCTTCGTTTCCCGGTATAGCTTTGAAAGCTGTCATATCGAGAGTGAGAGCGGGAGGTGACCAAAAGGTCATGATAGTGGTTAAAATGAATAGGGCCAAAGTCGTTGCAACGGAGAATGTATATGACCATCTGTCTAGGTATTTCCAAAATAATGATGGCATGGTAGATATCATATACGAAGGAAATCCCATGGAAGAATAATATGAGGTTGCTGCGGTAAAGAATAAGAAATATATTTAACATCTTGACCAAATCAGTATTCTTTCCCACGTAAATAACATCTCTCCATCATATGATTCACAGAAAGCCATATTTAAGTTGTAATTTCCAGGATCGGTCATCCGCCACTAGATAATATACCAACATCAGACGACAACAAGCCTTTGCACACCTCAACTTCGATATGACTTTATAGGTACCGGTGTAACTGATCAAGAACGTGATATTTGTAAGATAGAAGATCAAATATTACCTACGGTATATCTGCATCGACGCACATATTGTATGAGAGCTAGCACTTACGTATTCCAGACCATAAATTTGATCAACAAAAAACGTATTCAATACTAGACTTCTATCCTATGATTAAACGATAAGGCCTCGATGATTCTGTTAGTGAATTCTGAAATATATCTTTCATTATGCAACTTCAGCTCAAACGAGCGGTTTAGTCAATACTCTCCATTTGGGAATTTTGGAAGCTTAAACACACACACAGAAACATGACGTAGGATCATTTGACCTTGTGAACTACATCGGCTCAACGTGATCACAGTATCTAGTTAATTTCCACGATCGTAGCTCCTACATTAACAACAGTGAATCTGAAGAGAAAATACCTAGTCATGTGAGTACCTAGGTATGTGTCTGCCACTCTAGCATCTTTGCCGGCTGTATGTGCTCAGATTCTGATACCAAGCCAATCTTAGGCCAGCGATTGTACTCATTGTTGAGACGAATAAAGCCTTATACTATTCCACATTTTCCAGAGAAGACCTCTTGTCCAAGAAGCAACACACATCAGAATCTCTTAAAGTTACGAACTCATTGTTGGATTAATGTGGCGGTGTGTTGCTCCACCACTTCCTTAACACCAATACAAATCATTGGAAAACATAACTTTGACTCAAATATACAGCGAACAGTTGAACTGGGGAATCTATTCCAACTATCAAGAGTCCCTTTCAGTCGTGTTATACGCCCATTTGATGGTTACGAAGGCTCGTTCATCGCTTCAGGGCTCTCAGGCCTATGGCGTTCAAAAATTTACAGCACCCCACATGCTAAAGTCTCCAATCGAACAACTAACGAACACTAAAAACACTAAGACACTAAGACACTAAGCCCAATCAAGTCTTAGACGAAAACCTTTTCACCACTCACCGCTAACTACGTTGACAGCGGGCGGGCCCATAATCGGTAGCCCCATTTTGACAGTTCAGTCCACATGGGCCATGGCTCATATCTGCAAAACTCGTAGATATGTGATTATCTCATTGGGATTGGTTATCTACAGTCTTTGCAATCTATCTATCGGCGTTGAAGGAAAGCAACTGGTTTCGAAGAACGGCGCTCCTCAATCAAAATTATATATCTTTCACAAGAACTTTGGAAGCTCTCACCGCATCATGATTACTTGATCACTGATTGAAAGAGAGGAATATTAGTTCTGCTTCTTCTTCCTCTCTCTGCTTTTCCTTCGCATACACTGCATTCATATATATCTGCCCTGGAGGCTGATCGTGAGTATCATGCATGAGCACCCGAAAACCCGTCTTTATATTGATATTCGAAGCAGTACTTTTCCGGATTTCTTCCCCAAGCTACCCTTACGCTCTAACGACTTCCGATCCTTCACGACACTATTCCTGAGAACATACTATCCACAAAGCAGTGCAGTAACTTGGGGCGAATTCCGATATGGGTCTCGGACAGCTTTTCGCTGTTGCGGCGCCTAGGAAAGGATCATCGAAGTCATCGTCGAAGGAAACATCCATGATACCTTTGCATCTTGAGCAAATATTTCGGTTCCCGGGAGGTCTTGCCGAAGTTTCGAGCGTTGTTAAGAATCTTTCAGAAGGTTATACAACATATCAAAATGGGGTGGCACTCAGAAATCAGCTCGATTCCGTTATTCCAGAGGTGCAAACTTTTGCGTCAGGAATGAACCGATATTTGAAGAACAAAAATTGGTTGGATATGTTTCAGACATTTCTCGTGGGGGCAAACGTTGTTGCGGCTTTCATGGAAGTATTGCAAGGTTCTTCGAGTCTTGAAGAGATCGGATTGAAGATCTATGGCGAAATGGAAGCGCAGACGGGACTTGCTGCCCCAGAAAAGTTTGCGAAACATGTCGACAAATACATCCGGAAAGAGGCAGCAAGTGTTTACGGCGGCGATGCCGAGCATCTTTATTTCCTTTATCACCCGGACACAGATTGGCATGGCGAGTTTCACGATATAGTCCAAAACAAACCGGTGCCTAGTAATTTTCTCGGCATGTCTGAAAACCTTCATGCTCTCTGTACCTGGATGTTATTCATGCGCAAACGACTTGAAAGATCAAAAATAAACGCACATTTCCATCTTCTCATTCCAGCATACAGACCCATGGTCATTAGGACGGCTTTCGTCTTCCCTGAAGATCTTTACCCTCTGACGGTCCGCGGACACATTCACAATTCCAAAGAATATGTCTGGCTCAATCTTCCTACCATGAAAGACGTTCCTTCTGACTTGTTCGAGATGTCAAGCGTGGGAAATATTGCAGCTTTGCCCAAGCCACCGGCATTATGGCAGCATGCTCTGATTTGGGTTGGGAGTATCGTCATGCCGAAAAAAGCGCCACCTCCAATAGTTCTTGGACGTGGACAAATAAGTCCAAACACCCCTATTGGAATGGAAGATAACGAAGATGAAAAACTTCAACCTCCGGAAGATATTACCATTCAGCCCGAAACACGACAAATAGTAAGAGGTGAGAAGAAGCGAAGGCATCGAAGTTTACGACCCAAGGGTGAACTCAAATAGTGTTAGGATTTTGTGGTCACCCTTTGTACAGTAGGGTGGTACCTCGCCCCATATTGTCATTGCATTCTAAGTACTGTTGGGAGCATTTAAATGGTTGCCATGGGACTACGTTATGCGTTTGAAATGGATAGGAATGATATATAAGATATCAACCAATGCAACGGAAAGGATATTTTGGGAGGTATTTTGCGGATTGCAGCTTGGATAGCTGCTGCAAGGTGGTCTCGGCGCTCATCTGGATTTTATCAAATGAATCCAACAAATTGTTTCTTGGAATGGCGTTCGTGATTTGTGGATTCTTTGCTACATGATACCATACCAAACTAGATATATATACACAATAGAATATTTTCATACAGTTTTTACTTCGACAGTACTCGTACACTTTGAAAGATTATGTCATACAAGGTGTCAAGAATGTGACCCTCAAAGAATCGCATGGGAAAGTTCCCAACGATGGAGTCATTCCCATGCAATGTTGAAAATTCCTGAACAGGGAGTGTAGTTTGATCCGTATTCCATGTTCTCGTCACGGCTACCATTAAGCAGTCCTTATACAAGTATTTATTAAAATCTCAGGAATATGCGTCGAATTTTCCCTCCGGGTTTGAAAGTTTGTTACGACTTGTGTGGACAATGACTATTTTGTGGCTCGCAAGGCGTGACAGGTTTGGTAGATTACTGAGTAGTTGTAGTCGCGGTTGATTTGTACTATTCATCAAATACGCGAGACGCCCCTTTGTATGATGATAATTGTACGCCATAGAAAGCACAGAGGCTCGTTTTCATTGTTATCCATGGCAGTAAAAGCTACCACTGAAGGATCATCATAATTTCTACATAAAAGGAGCATTGCATAATCAAGGTGCTCCCCGGAGAAACTCTGCTTTGAACGTGACTAGTATCACTGATCTTGCCCAATAGAATCTGAATGACCAGCGGCTAGCGAATAATTAGAGTTCAAGCACAAGGAAATGGCACCAAATCAAAGAAGAGTCGTTATTGATTTAATTATTTGGACTATCAATCCTTGCTTCTTAAATAAGCTGCTCGACTCATGTCGCATTTCTGTCCCTCTAATATCGCTTCCGCACGCGAAACAGAATCCATAAGACCACAGTCCGACCGCACCCTGAATTATTTTAAGCCCTGGATCTTCCTCTCGAAGACCCCTTTGGCTTCTTAGAGCTTGGTGCAGTCTCTTGAACATTCTCTATCTGTTCCCTCCCACGTTTTCCTGTTATTGTCTTCGCGGGTGTCGAAAACTTCGATCCTCTACCTGTAGTTCCGGTGTGCTTCGCTGGAGTCAAAGGTCTAGAGCGCCTAGTGGTTCTCTCCGTGAGCTCGTATTGTTTACTCTCCACATTCTCCCATTCTTCCTCTTCTTCTTTCTCCTTCTTTATGTCCACGATCAATTCCTCCTCCTCCTCCTCCTCCTCCTCCTCCTCCTCTGCCGCTGCTACTACAGGGCTAAAGCCGGGGATATGTAGTTAGTAACACTTAACTCAAAGCAGAGAACTTGCGGAACGATAGCTAATCTTGCTTTCGGCACTCGAAAAGAAGGTTTGATACCCAGATGTTTGTAAAAAGATGAAATTAAAAGCAGACTAATGCTTACGGTTCTTCATCGCACGATGCACAGCGCCTCGTCATGTTCCTGAAGCATCTTGTATTGTCTGATCGTCCTTGACTTTGGTCAACATCGCAATATTTCCTGGCACGGTTCGCTTTGCTGCAAGAAAGGGTGTGTATGAAGGCATAGAAATGGCCATTCTGGCAAATTTCGATGTTATGGGTGCACCTAGCTGATCAGAGTTTATGGTGTTCTCTCAAGTAGAATTTCAGCATGGAATGGGTGTTGGTAAAGATGGAGGATGAAGAAGTCATCCCAATGTATGAGAGTTCCGATAAAGAGAACGATGAATATAATGAAACTGGTAAATATGCAAAGTGCTGTTTCATGAAGTGTTGAGAATATGAAACAAGGAGAGGTCAACTGAGCTTCTCAAAGAATGTATTTCCCATATTACATTTTTATTTGTTGGAGCGAAGGATCTGGCTTCAGAAATTGCTGCATCAGCCTTGTATGTAACCTTCTTTGTCTATCGAGATGCAAACCGCTTGTCTTTTCATACGATAGCTAACTCTCATCTAAGAGAACCTGTAATATTCATGGTTATAGAATTGCGTTACTGATATCTCTGTGCCATCATAATGAAGCCTATGGGTACATGAGGTTGGAATTAGTCACTCACAATGCGGTTATCGTGGGATAATAGTTCTATTTGTGAATGAAATGCATATGAAGATGGTTTCTCTAGGCCAAAATTCCAAACGGCATTGCTATTTCCACAGTTTCAAATGAATCAAAGTGGAAGAGAACATTATTATGAACTCCAGGTACTAATTTCGGCTATTTTTTCGCTTACCTAGAGGATAACTTCAATACCCCATGATCACCTTACCTCAATGACAGGACAGTATCGGAAGTTAGTTTCACGATTTGCTCACTCTAATTCTATATTCGTTCATTTACACCGAACAGTCATACGCATGTCAGATTTGATAATCTATCATCATTAGAAACAGCTAAGATCAGTAGCCTAAGCTTGAGTTATTGATGACGAAGAAGACTGTCATCTCACAACCAGGGTATAAGCATATTGAATGTTCTCTTAGACCAAATCACTTGAAGCTTATTGATAGTCGTTTAGCTCTGCGATTAGGCAAGTTTAGAATTTCCCGCCGGCTATAACTCTGATATTATAATAGCCCATGCACGGGGTTGAGCATGATCATTTTTATGAATATTCATAGCACCCAGTATATTGAGAAACGCCAAGCACCGTAGAAAGGCACCATTACTTGCAATAGTCAGAACCTTACTCTACGCTTCACTATTCTTACCAATGTTTTAAATTCGGGTATCAACATGAACTCTTAACAGTTGGATAAGCAAAAGTTGCCGATGGTATATATCGAGCGAGCTGAAAGGAAAGCTTTGAAATTCAAAAAAACAATCCATATCCGATACACCGAAATCAATATAACTGAAATATTCTTTTGGCATATCTCGAATTGTGAATCGCTATTGCTCTAAGTCTCACATGCCAATCTATGTACTGTTCCTTCACTCAATTTAATTCTAAGCTAGTAATTTGGTCTATCATTGCCGCTGGTTTGAACGTTTGAAGATCTGGGCGAAAAACTTGGAAACCTTCTTACGTTTACCAATGATGCGTGACACTATTCCTCTACCCTCCATCGTACTGTTTTGATTTGCTGGCGCCGAGAATGCCGGTGCAGTATCTGGAGGTGGGATTTGAGCTTGGATTGCTTCCTGTGACTGTGATTCTAATCCGTCATTTCGAAATTGTGAAATTGTCCCTCCACCTCCAACGTCTTCCGTAGTACTTGGAGAGCGTTGTGATCCTTCGCCGCGGCTAAAAGTTGGATACATTTAGCTCCATTCGAATGAATAGAGCAGAAAGTGAAGATCTTACCATATTGAACAATTCGGATCATCGCACCATTGGTTCAAAATTCCTGCGTGTTTTGGGACTGGAGTGCTGTAGCGTGAATCCGTATTCTCATGTAACTTGCATGAAAGTCCGTCCCGAAAAATGTCATGACCGCAAAAAGTGCTCTGGTAACAATTTTCAATGCATTTAGCGTCACTTGAGCCTATGGCTAGGGGTTCCATGCTGAGACTGAAGAGGCCTCATAACCAACATAGCTCCTCATGTTGTTGATATATGCTATCATTGACAATGAAGAAGTCAAATGGTGTGTACTAAGTCTTTAACCACGAAGGCTTAATGCAGATGAAAGAGCGTTCGCCTAGGAAGCTTTCTACACTTTGACTAAGCATAAGTCGACAGCAAAGATGCCATAATGGATAAGAAGCAGAGCGTCAGTGAATTTTAGCAAATAATGATGGCAAGAAGCTTAGCCCTTTTTCTAGTGCTTTTTCAAGGCGATAACGAAGAACTGTGCAGTAAACTACATCTCACGACAATGGAACTAACCCTTGCTAAGCTTACCATAGCTTTGATCTCATGGTATCAATGCATTCAAGTTGGCATCATTCATTCATATGTGGGGCTTTGTATCAAGCAATCAGAATGGACCGAACTGTATCAACCAAAGATTTGAGAAAACTTGAAATGATCTTTTTCTCCAGACTAGACTAAAGACTATAAACATGTACAACTGAGTATTTGAGACATTATCATCCATTTTCGTGTCGTCAAGGAAATGTATAAGATAAAGGAATTAGAAGGGGATCTAACTATGAGACCAAACACCATTGTGGGTGGCCCTTTTAAGCCCTTCATCTAGATCTAGCAATGACTGACATTCTTTGATTTTCATGGTCTTAGATGAGTAGAAAGGGAAAATGTAAGCCAGGAATTAGAGTAAATTATTCTACAGAAGTCCATACAGCTAGTTGTTAAGGTTGTCTTAGGGTTAAGCCCTCAAGCATGGATCACAAATTATGTGTTGTTTTGTTTAACCACGAATGATGACATATTATTTTTGTGAACCCCTTGCACTGCTTTGTTTCGAAAATACGGTAAGAAAATGCCCTCGAAAGCATACTCATAACCCTCCTTTCTTATCTTTGTAATAGTTAGACCTTTTCCGCGCCCCGATAGCAAGGTACAATAAACTTCGCACACAATCATTCAGACAAGCTTAACAGTCATTTCCTTTGAGCATTCGAGGGGCATATCATCTTTCAAAATGTGGAAGACTCCCACTCGTTCACATTCAACTTCTTGTGATTCATTTCCGCACTGCTTACAAAGTAGAACATATAGCCAAGCAGCCTTGGTATTAAGTTTCTGATGCGACTGTATTCTAGTTGCAATAATCAAACAGTATATTGCAACACCGCTCATCGTTCCATAATATTTCGATGGCACTGCGGTCTGAGTGACGTCTAAATTCACTCTGTACCTTCGGTTTGGATTAAAATGATACTGTTGGTAAGATTTGGACTCGAACAGAAGTTGTGTCTTGATAGAACGACTGGGTCCTCTGCGTTCGTTATAGATGATGGCTGGAACCGCAAGTACGTTTACTCTTATATGTCCTGTTCCGAGTGTCATGTGCCATCCACTAGCTAGCCTTGGTATGTCTGTGCCGAGAAATTTGAATTTGTCATGGGGTGTGAGTGTTTGATCTAAAGGGAAAGAAATTGAGGGAGCTGGAGATTCTGGACCTGGAACTACCGAGGCCCAGGACCAGCTAGGAGCAAAGGTAAAAGGTTTCCTGACTCGTTTAATATTCATTTTTCCGCGCATATAGTCATAACCTGTGATATTCCACATCAAGCCTTTAGCAATATCGAGATCCCATAGCCCTGCAAGGGATCCACACTTGACTTTTTCCTGAAACTGAGTCGCAACTCCAATAAGGGCAATCAGTCTGTCCGACTGGTGTGTGATCGACAACTGGGAATATTCTCTTACAAGTTCGTACCATTGAGCGAAAGTCCCGTATTTTTCGAGGTTCGTTGAATCTGGCGTCTTTGCAAATTTGGTTGAAGCTTTTTGTGCTCGATCAAGCACTGTACATTCGCAGCGAAGGCCAGTCTTACATTCCATTACCAACTCAGAAGGATGAAAGTGGAGTGTGCGTGGCGCCAACTGTCGTTCTTGAAAAACCCAAGCTCGACAAAGTAGTGGAGTAACTTCTTTGTCCAATGGGTCGGGTTCGGATCCAAATGACTTATTATAACGATGATGAATAGGCTCAAACGAGGGTCGCACATGTATATTCCAGTCAGTACTTTGGTATCCATCAACAATTGGAAAGGATTGTGTGCTGAATTGCAGCGAAGATTATTTCAATATCCGGGTGTTGAGGCAACCACCTGTGCTATCGTTTGCACCAGTGGCGGCAATATTCAAATAGCTATGAGAGTAAATGGAAGCCATGCAGGCCGACTCTTTCTCCCAATCCGCTTTATCGCCCTGAATTATGCATAAGCTATCAATCCACAAATAGTGAATATTCAGGGCTCTGAGTATATTTATAGTGTCTCGGAAGGTGTTGGGGAAAGTATCCAGTGGAATCCCTTCTTTGTGTGTCTCTAGAGATCCACAATTTGTTTGCAAGAGCTGGAAATGTCCCCAGCGATGACTGAGTGTTGCATAACGAGTTATTGGACGATCGATCCTAGACGATCCAGTTGCACGAACTTCCACAAGAATAACACGATCATCTATGACTTTCTTTCTTATATCAAGTAGTCGAGATTTTCTTCTTTCACTGCTTTTGTGTGGCAGGAACTATGTCCATTGTCACATTCTTCGATCCATTTACTGATAACGGATACACACTTGCCGATTGAGATATTCGGAGAAACGTCTTTGGCGATGCCAAACGCTGCTTGCCCAGGGTTTTGTGGTTTGTGTTCTTGTTGAGGCTCTACTCTAATTGTCAGTAAAGCTTGAATCAAGCTTTACTATCAAGCTGCTTGATATTAGAGTGGAGAGTTACCTGTTTTTGAAAAGTAATCAAACCGCAGAAAGTTCTTGAGCTCTAGTTGCAATGGGCAGCCTTTTCGGATAATCAACTTTCCTGTTCTTTCTACATCCATGATACGTTTGACGGGCAAATAATGATTTTGTATTAATCGAAGCCCACTTCGAAGCACGGAACAGTTGGGACAACCCGCTCTAGCTGCATTGTCAATTTGATCAGCATCAAAGTGAAGACGATATTCATATTTTAAATTATCTGTGATATGGCGCTTCCAGTTGAGTTTTCCACTTTCAGATCTAGGATCCAAGTCAAAACAAACTGCACAGCCTGACATATTGAATGAAAAGTTTCTATCGATTAATGTGTGTTTTCAGTGGTCTCGTAGGGAGAAAATCATCGTCTCGACGGCAATGCTTGAGAGCGAGTTCAAATACAGCAGATTAATGTTAATGAGTTATTAGGCTATGGTAAGAGATTCAGCTTGACTGATATTGCAGGTTTCGTGCATGGTTTTCTACTTTTCTACTCACTGACTGTGTTACTGTAACACGAGGTAGGCACCACACTTGCAGAAGCACCACATAACAATAATATCCTGTCAACGGTCTTTCTGTTGTGTTCACCGAATCCTTTGGTTAGCCTATTGAATCATACGTATCAATGACCACAGTTTCACAAATATTCTCGCATCGGACGTAAATCAGATCTCAATTCTATAATGACTTAGAGTTACACAAACTTAAGTGCCGTTCTACTTCATAGCCTCGTCCCATTTGTATAGAGCCGGGATATAGGTAGCAAGCTTCAAAAGGTAGCCGCTTAAGAGGCATGTAAGATCAACACTACCTAATAGAGCTCCTGTTTTATGTGTCCTTCTATTCTACCCCCTAGTATCCTCCACGTTGATCGATATCGTCGCCGTGAGCTCCTTTATCGTACACTCCATCAGAGGCATAGATGATCCCGGCTGAATCTTTCTATGCATAGCAGCGCCTACATGGCGATTGGTTGCTTGTCATTGAGGAACAGTCCCTGATCCACTTGAAGCCTTTTTCGGCGTAGAAATAACTTCTTCACTACATGAAATATTAGTATCAGTAACAGAGTAGCTTGAGTGTTACTCGAGCTAGCTGCAGGATAAGCTCAAGAAGATAATTTGAGAGTAGCTTTTGAGTCATAGACTCACCTGGATCACCCGTTGCATGTTGGCATAGCTTTTGCAGCAAGGCTCTGCCAAACGTAAAGAACTTTGAAGGTCCTCCTGTTTTGTCGTCTGAATACTGCAGGCCAAAAAGTTTCCCGGTGCTGCAACGCATAGGAAAATTGATGTGAGGGTCAATAAATGTGCTTCCGGCTGTTGACAGATTTGTACGTATAACTTGCACCTCTTGTGGACAGAATCTTCAGCAAGGTCAAAATAATAAGCGAGCAAAGCTCGGCGGCTTCTTATAGGATCACGGTATGTAGTATTATATAGGAGATGCGGCATGCATTGTCTTTTCATAGCAACACGACATTAGCCGCTCGATTATGCGCCAATTATCAGAACCACACATGAGATACCTGTGAGTTTCCGCCAAACTTGGAATCATGCTTGTAGCGAGGCAGTTTCTGAGGGATTTTACCACCGCATATGAACGAGGTCATGAGTTTTGCCGTCGATATCTACTCATGTCTCTGTTTGAGTTCAATAAGAACATAGATTGTCATTTAATAATTTTTCAATTTCGCCGAAACATCCAAAGGAAGCTTAAAACCTTACATTCTCCGTATAGTAGTTGTCAGTATAGAATTAGAAGACTGAATAATCGTAATCTGTTCACATTATCCTTTATACTTTGTTGGAAGTCTGAAGCATATCTGGAACCAAGAACTGAGAATATTTTATTCTCCACGAAAAAATATTCGTGGAGCATCTCACCCTCTATATCAATGAGAAAGGTGATCATCGGAGTTGGTGTAGAATACCAGTACACAATCAATAATATTGCAAAAGCATTATTACTGCCTAGAAGCAGATACTCGTATTGCATTTATAAATGAGAGATAATATTTCATGATGCACAAGAACAGTGTACTCCACTGCTCGCTCACATAGAACTGTATTGTTGAATCTCTGTTGATCAGGCTAAACGTAAATATCTACATGAATTCATAGATACGATTCGGATTTTGGTCATTCCTCCTTGCTTACATAAATTCCACTGGCAGTCATCCTGAATCTCTGATACACAGACTCTACACATGGATGATATCACTTTGAATGAACAATTGTTCATTTTTCTCAGCACGCATTACCTGTGCGATTCAAAAGGATGTTTCTCTTTCAAATTTGCGTTGTCATTATTATCAAAGAAAGAAAGATTTCGAATAATACCTGAGTGGTATTCTAGCTTGAACAGATAAGTATAGGGGTACTTCGCCTACCTTTATCACCTCAATGCCTGGGTTCGGTAAAGATTAATCCATCCATATCGTCAATACAGCTCATTAACTAATAGTTCGCTCCATATATGAATAGACCACCCTAATCGTCAATTGGCAATGTCTTATTCGAATATGACGTCCACTGGCAGTGTTCTACTTATCCCAGTCTTCCCTCTCCTGCCTTACAGGAAAGAAAAGACTTGCTCGTATTTGCTATTGGAAGCAAACAAAAAATGATCCATTTATTTTAGAAAAGGAATTAAAAAATATATAAAAACTAAGATTAGGAATGAATAGGAATAAAATTTGTATCAAAAAATCCTACTCAGAATAAAGAAACTTTCAAATACTATAAGATCTTACTTTCTAGTCTTTTATCTTTTCTTCTAATATAATAGTTCTATAATTATTCAATTTATAATAGGATTTATAAAACTAAAATAATTATATAATCTTCCAAGACTATCTATCTAATTAAGAAATAGACAGCCTAAATTACATAATATTTGTAAAGGATAAATGAGCAATGAATCAACTAGTATACTTTTTGATAGAGACTTTCAATTACTTTCTAATTAAGGTATTATTCTAAGGAGTTTAAATACTTTGTGTGACAATTCGCTACACTTCGCTAAGCCATCGCTAGCTTTCGCACAAAGGATTTCTATCAAAGGCCCGGAATAGTACCCTTCCGGCACTGACTCAACCTGTAGAACCTAAGATACCATAATGACTCGTAACAATATTCTATCGAAATTTCAAATTAAAAGAAAACTTGTTCTTTTCTAAATACAAAATCGGGAGAAAACTATAAATTCTAATTATTAAAAATAGAAAATAAATCCTTTGATTTTCAATGATTTAAAAAAAATGAAAAGTAGAAGAGGAGATTAATACTAAGAGAAGTAGAACGTTGATAATATTCGATTTATAAATAATAGAGAGATCTTTATCAAAATCGATTATTTAAAGATAGACTAATATAATTAGAAAATGATTCCGAATTAGCCTATTATATCATTAAAATCCACTGAGAATTCAATATTAAATTCTTACTATTTCTCTCTTTAATCGATTGATGTAATGAATTGCTTATATTATTCATTTCTACTAGTAACGTACTAGTACAAAAAGCCAATTTTACATCTTCACAAAGTCCTTCCATTCGGGTGAAGGCGATTAACTGATAACAGACCAGAACACCCCTTTTCAGATGACTAATCATTATGTTATACAGCCCAATATATACCCTTGACGTCGACGACTAATAGCTTCTCCACCGAAACTAAATTTTCGTAAACGATAATGTATACATCATCACTAGCACATGCAGGGGCCAATCACTGGTAATTGGATCAATAAAACATCGTTCTTTATTGACGACTTAATAAAATATCGATCCCCTTACTGATCAAAAGACATCGCTAATTAGCTATATAATAGCTAGAACACGACCCCTGTTTCATACTTCACTAACCGAGCGAAGACCCCACACTTTCTCGCTAACTAACCAACGCTAGTCAAGTCTAGTCCCCGTCCACCATCACCAAACAAACTGATTCGCCTATCTGCTTACTTGCAGGTAAGAGTACTGAACCTCTCCGATAATCCAGATAACTCATTGCTATCACCGATATTCATCTTCGACAATAACAATTGTACCCTCGCCATCCTGTCTGATTCCTTCATTCTCATCTTGTTTCTCCCAGTGACTCGCGTTACTTCTAGCATGCTTGAATCTGATTTGCTGAGTTTTGGTGTGCTTGCCACTAGCTCCCCTGCTCTCAGCAATCTTTCTTCCAATATTAATTCTCCTAGCGTTATTTCTCGTTTGGCGACTCCGACCGAAGCGACACAAAACCCTAGTGTTCTTTCCAATACCTGCATACCGGTACACCTTCTTCACCCCGCATCTCGCCTGATACCCCTTATCGTTACCACCGTGCCCCTCACGCTCCCCCTCACTCTGCCCCTCAATCAAATTCCTAAAAGTCAACACATCAGCTCCACTGTCTTAAAGTACAACCAACAAAAATAAACAACTCACCGAGGCAAATTCCTACACTCCTCACAAACTTCCCCTTTCACATTCCCTGTATAAACCACCTGAGGAATACAATGCCCATTCGAGCCATCTAATGTACATCGCGCACCCGATTCTTGACCCTTGTGCTGACATTGGTATTTGAAGATGTTTATCTGACAGCGATTTGGGATTGGATGTGGATTTGAAGTAGTCATTTTGATTTTGGTGGGTTTGATGTTTTTGAAGTGGTGAGATAGGTTGGGTTGAGATGGGATGGGATGAATTTAGATGTTATGTTATGTTGATGTGAGTGGATATGGTTAGGATGTGTTTGTATGTGTAAAGTGTATGATGAGATTGTAGATGGACAGGATATGAATAAAAGAGATTTCGTTGAGACTAAGAGGCCGTTTTGAGGATAGAAGCTGCTACGGCAGAGCCATGTATGCCGTAGCTTAACCAAATGACTATTAGCTCCTAAGATAACTGTAGGCACTTATTTTGAGTGGCGAAACACTTGATGAAAGTGTAAATCTGAGTATATTCCAGAGTACGGTCAAACGATACTTAATTTTGCATTGAAACAGTGCAAACTGAAAAGTATCGAGGCTAAATCTACGAAAATACATGGAAGAAGTTACCATCGTACAAGTGTACAAGTGTGGTAAAGTTATAAGAATTAGTGTCTGAGAATGATATATTCGAAAACGAAACTATTGTTATTCGAAAACAGAGTACTCATTTAGTGGTAAGAAGGCTCGGAAGCTTCGAAGCTAAGAAAGGGGCTAGTTTTAGGAGTGAAAAATCACAAAATAAGTCATTTTGGATCAATACCTAGAGTACGGCATGTAAATTGAAACTGTTATATATCAAATTATATAGTCAAATTATACTTATAGTAAGTGGCTATACTTCTCTTACATAGCCGTAGATATCTTCTATATATTATTAGTACCGCAGTGTGAATATACTACACTCACTACCTAATCAAAAGTTTAGATCTATCACCCACTCACCTACCCAACCAACTATACTATAACCAAAAATTGCCTGAGATTGCCGTGAATATCAATATCAATATCAATGTCAAATGAAATAAAATAAAATAACAAAATAATCAAGTAACAATCAAGTAAAACAACTAATAACTAATAACTAATAACTAATAATCATAATCATAAAAATAAAAATTACACCTAACAACTAACAACTAACACTATAATACTAATACCAATATATCACACATTACTCGAGTATATATCATCGAATCTGTATCCACTCCCCACCCCCTCCTTCACCCTTCCTCCCCCCTCCTTCCCCTCACCTCACCTCACCTCACCTCACCTCACCTTATTCCAAATCCCAAATCCCAAATCCCAAATCCCAAACCCCAAACTCTATCTATCTATCTATCCATCTAGCTATCCACACCCAATAATCATTTTAAGCATCTTCACCTCCAGACGATACGAGTACTCGTATACTCATATATATACACATATATTGTGCGAAGCTTGTTATTTAATAATTATCCAGGTTATCAAGTTTACAGTGGTTATTTCCATGTATACTGTAATACTGTATACTGTATGTATGTATGCTGCAACTTCTCCCTTTATATACTCGAGGAGGACCAAGCGCCTGCCGACTTCCGAATGGGGGAATACCATTTGTAGTCTAATAGTCGGCTTTTACTATGGAGCGTAGAGACGAGATGAGGAAACCTCAGACCGGGGGAGTACGTGCATCATACAATAGATGAATATAAATACACTTCAACAACCAATAAACCACTAGCCAAGAAATGTCGACTTCTTCTCTACTCAAAGATTTTTGATATTTGACTCGTACTATCCATACATACAAACACCACTCAAGCTTTGAGTTTTCTCTCCGGCATATTCAGCACCATATGACCCTCCTCATGTTCCCAAAATCCCAATTTCTCCACCTCCTTCCACACCTCAGGATATAATTCCTTTGTCCATTCCGCCACCAAATCCTTTCGATTCGAGCCTTGGATTGCATTATAAATAGTGCCGATGCTGCTTTTGATTAGACACACTTCTTCCAAAGGAGATATGGTAAGGGTATAACTTACGTCAAAAAATCTGGACCAAATCCTACATCCTTCTCCATGGCCTCGACCAATACTTTAACTTCATCTAATTTCCCCTGTCCCGCCAATGCTCCAACAAAAGCAGCATGGACCTCCCTTGTAATATCAATTTCCATCCTCAGCATTTTCTCCCAAATTTCTCTCGCCGGACGATCTCCGAAAGGTTTCCTCTGGCATGCTTGAAACACTATCTCCAAACTCTTATAACTAGGCCCTTCACGAGAATTTGTAATATCATCCCAGAAGTGTAGAGATCGACTGGAGTCTTCGCAAGCTGTATAGGCCAACATGAGAGAATTATATAAACGAGTGTTAGGTTCTATGGTACTGTCCATTTTCAACATGTTGTGAACCATATCAAGAGATTCTCCATCTGCGCATGATGCTATACCAACAAAACAATCTATGTAGGTGTCTAGCACCGGCCGGTTTGCAGGAACGATGTGCTGGCGCATATGACCAAAAACATGACAAGCCATATCTGATCTTTTGCGATCAAAAAACGCATTCATAACACGTGTACGTGCTGGAACATCGGTTTCGTCGAAGATGTGGATAACGACACGATAAGCATCCCACATACGGGAATCGTCGTTGTTTTCATCGAAACAAGAAGCAAGTATTGCATCGCGTATCCGAGCTCGCTCCGTAAGGGTGTAGTGGTAAGTGTTAACTTGTAATAAGTCCACTACCTCATCAAGTTCGTTGCGGTTGATGTACATCATACTGAGTGCGGACACCGTGTCTGCCTCTAATCTCGCATTACGCTCTTCGAGATCATTCATTATTGATGAAATCTCATTGTAGGGTAGACTCTCAGAGGCACAGAGAGCTCGGACGAATTTGTTGATAACAGGCAGGTCTTCGTCTTCGGAAATCTCCTCGCCTTGAAGCAGATTATATGATACTTGGGCACCCGAAATATCGCCAGCACCGACTCGATAGTCCATCTGTAGAATGAAAGTTCGTGCATTTGGACGAATATTGAACTTCTGCCCCAAGGCGATGTAACGTTCTGCGAGATACGGATCCTTTTTCAATATTGCGTACTCGACCAGGCCGTTGATTGTATCAATGTCTGGTCGCATCGATAGATCCTGAGGATAGCGCTTTTCCATGACACGCATCATGCGTTCCACATCTTCAACACCTTTGTCCATGGCACTGGCAGCCCATTGAAACACAATGTCCCATTTTTCTTTCTGCAGTCGATCTGCCTCCAGTACTCTACGAAAGATACCCTTGCACCAATCTAGTAGCTCTTCATGGCGAAGAGAGAACCTAAGCACATCATGCAGTATACTAGGGGTAAGATCTGCAGGATTATACCCGGCCTTCGCAAACCACGATTGCGCTTCCACAATACGGTCTTTCGAGGTATAAAACTTGGTGACGATTTCTTTGCTAGTACTCCCACGTCCAAATCGTAGCTCATCCATTCTCTCATATGTCTTCAAAAGTTCCGACTCATTTTCTTCTCGCGCGAAACCAGATAAAACGGCATACCAGTTCCCTTTCATGATTTTGTGCTGTCGGGATATGTAATTTTCGGATCTCGGGGACGTCACTTTCTCCTCCACGAAATGTCGAGTGGCCTCTTCACAAAGCTCTTTCGCTTCTAGAGATTGGCCAACTCCACTCAGTATCTTTATGAAGTATTCATAACTTGGACTGTCATCGTTGGACCCGGATAACTCCTTAATCTCCAGGAAGAGAAGTCTCGCCATCTCCAGAAAGTCGTTTGTGTCGTCTTTCGGAATGATCGTCAACGCCTTCAGAGCCATTCTCAAGTCCTTGATTTGTTCCTCTCCCTTTCCCAATCCACAGCTAATGAGATATTTTAAAGTTCTCAGCGCATGCCCTGCCTCAGCATTATTAACCGCTCGTTTCATATCGACTTTATATTTGAAGAATTCATTAAAGGCTTTCAGCATGTCATCCTTATTCGCACGTCTCGCATGGATCCTCGTCATCAAGCTAAATTCTGCCATCTTTTTCATTCCCGGTTCCAATTCCGGCTGTTTAGGTTGTCGTGGAGGAGGTGCCGGAGAAAATCCGAAGAGAGAACGATGGGATATGTAAGGTAAGGTAGGATTTGCATTTCGGCGACGACGATGTGTTAAGATCGATGGTACTCGATGTGGGCATGGTAATATGAGGCCTTCATTTGACAGAAGTCCACGGAAGATTCTGCGAGTCAATTGGGAGCGCATGATGAACGAATGATAGTTTTATGTACAAAATCTGCGGTTGAAAGGATTAGCTGGAATCAGAATAAATAGTGAAAAGGGTTACCTTACGTATTACGAGAAGAATTACAATTAATGGAAGCTTCGAAGCATTCCTCAACTTTTTTGACATTGACATTCGAAGCTTGAAGATGTGCGGCAACTTCCGTCTAGCTCTATGCTATACTAAATTGAGCTAATAATGTGGAGTAAGCTACCCCTCACCATATATATTATTCGAGATAAACTCGAGATATATAGTATACTAAGCTAGCTATATCTAATCTTATCTTATTATAATCTTATAAAACAAAAAGAGAACATCAATTTATACACGATAAGATCATCAGAATCAAATGGCATCTTAATATCATTATATCTATACTAATCTTTTTTTTTTGATTTATTGATTTATTGTCTCAAATACCCCGAGATTCCAATAGCTGAAATCATAAAAACAATCAAACAGTCCTAACAACCCGAGAAACTACCATACAAAACCCCAAATCCCATCCCACCTCTCCATATAATGCCATGCACCAACTCCACCAATCAATCTAATGAGTTCCACCACCATCTGATAAACGCCAGTATGGACCATACCATCTATGCCATTCCCAGATACACCGCAGCGCCATTTCGATGCTCAGAACCATTTATAAAGATCAAGATCAAAGGAGTTCAGGCTCTTCATTCTCAAGCTCCCCCTCATCACTGTCCCACTCTACATCATCCGCAGCTGCTTCGGCTTTGCGTTGAACTTCTGCTAGTCCACTCAACTCTGTGATATAGTCTTTCTCGGTCAATGCTCGCTTGATGAATTCCCAGCCGTCCTGTTGGTATGCATTAACGATTTTTGGCGAGCATGCGGAACAGCAATCGTAGGAAGGACCACTGATAAGCATCGTCTTATAAGCGGACAAGAAACCACGAATCTGATGAGGTACGAGTCCTAGAGGGTGATTTGGTGGGTCTCGATCGAATTCCAGTTGGCCCGATTGCTGGTTTGCTGAAAGTTTTGGGGCTGGAGCCGCACCTCGCAGTGGATGTTGAAGGACGGAAGCAAGGAGTTCTACAAGCTTGGAAGATGCCTCGGGAGCTACGCCTGGTCTAGTGACAGTGCACTGTTGATCAAGAGTTTGATCTTTGACGGACTATAAGAGTAAATTTAGCACAAGTTTCATGGATAGAAATCAAATACTTACGTCGGATGGGGCAACAACATCATTACAAAAGTAACAACCAAGAGCAGCAGGCCCTCCATCTGCTGGAGTAATCCCGTGTCTCATCACCACATACGTGTCAAATCCTAGAGCTGCATTCATAACGATCTTGCCAGCTGCCTTTCCCATAACGGTTGGAAGCCATCGACTCTCCCGAGTATCCATCAACAAGAAAATTGCGTCGTGATCTTTGATAAGTTTCTGTAAGAGCTCAAAGTTCATCTTGGTATCAGCTTCGTCTGTAATTGGATGTCCAAGCATTGGTACTGCCATCACATGCCCAGTACTATCCACTCCCGGGTAAATCTCTTGAAGAGCCTCAGCTGCTCTGTATGCCTTCTTAGCTCCACCATCAATGCAGTCCTTGAAGTCGAATAATGGCTGTCGAACCGGATTTGAGAAAGAAACAGATGCATTGTCGACGAAAGTGATCTTGCGTACCCCCCAACCCATAAGCAGTCTCGATACATATGTTCCAAGTGTTCCAGCTCCGAGCAATAGGCATTTAGTGTTCTTGATGGCGTCCAAATCCAACTCGGGTGCGATGCGCCACTTCATCAATTTAAGGTTCAGATCAACCGCTTGATCGGCCAATTGAGCTGGATCCATGTATTGAGCCAAGTTTGTGACTTTAGCAGTAAGCTTTCCAAGACTATTGCGCTCCCAACCTGTGACTTTAGGCATCTCATCAGGGCCGGTCGAGGAATAGTCTGGGTCGTAGATGCTCTCCAAAACCAAAATCAAGCTCTGAGGCACATGTCGGTTTGCATGACTATCTCGGTAGCAAAGAATCTGGACTCTGTCGAGCTTGTATCTGCGTCTCACTAGAACCAAGAGGTTTCGTAGCATCCATCCTGGATTTTCGTGATAAGTGGATGGATCTACAAAAGATATATATTGGTCTTTTGCATCTACACCTCTGAAGAAACCATCTTCGAATGCTCTCAAGGATCCAATGACCCACTTGAATTTCAAATCGGAAAAGGACTCGTTTTCCGGATCTTGGAGCGCTTTCGAAGAAAGATACACTCGTTTGGCTAGGAAGAATCCATGCTCCCTGTTATCGTGGGCGTAACGCCACGTACCAACTTCCTCCGTAAGCGCCGTGGTCTCAGCAGCACTAAGTTTGGGGGGTTGCTCAATTTTCTTCCATGCCGGCTCCGAATGGAGGGCAGGAAAGGCAAACCAGTAAGTAAAAGTATATTTCTTCAAATTAGCAAACGACAAAATGGTGAATGAAGAAAGTAACGATGGGATAGAGTAAATGGTGCCATCATTAATAGCATCCCAAATCTGCCCCTGTCAGTACAATATCGAAGCGAGTAGATCGGAAGATCACAAGACTCACCTGTCTCGCAGAAAGATGCAACATTGCCTGCTTGTCCATATTTTTGAAGTCTTCGATGGTATTGACATTCTTGATCTTACCCTCAGCTCGAATATGACCAAGAGGAACTCTGTAAGAGGATCAGTACGCGTAGTAGTCAAGATACAAAAGTGAAAACATACTCGCTGCTACTGAGAGCATTGCCGAGAACTCTCATACGAGAACTCTGGTCAGGACTTTGTGTAGCTCTTGGTTCATATAAACCAAGAACAGGGCGTGCAGAATCGTCCAACTTGTCATAGTCGATCTTTGACTGAGAAAGAGCATTGTAAAATGGTAGCTCTATTTCAGAAGCAAATGGGGCGAACTTCAAAGCCATGTTGAGCTTGTTGTTGTCTTTCCTGGCGTAAAGAGCTTTGTATAATTCTTGAATAGTGGAATATGAGGTTATGAGTTCTTCTTCCTCTCCGTCCCAAGGACCTTCTTCAATCGAGGCAATGTCGGTATCTTGAATACAGTCTTGGCTCTGATATCAAAGGGATTTTGGTCAGCTTTTGTTGATATTTTGTGAAAAGGTTTGAGGTAATTTCTTGAAAAGAAGTGAAGAATTTCTCGTAGATGAAAGAAGTGTAATTTAGTATGATTCAAGAGGATACTTGTCTTTGAAGTCATGGAATACTAGGAATACTAGGTAATTGTGTTGGTGGGGGGATGAATAAGAGTGGGGATGGGGAATGATCAATGTATGAGTGTAAAAGACAAGGATTTAACTCACATGATCCGAGTTTATAAAATCAGCTAATCGGTGAAACTCCGGCAGATTTCTTACAGTTTCTCTAAAAGCTGCCTCTGCTATTTCAATCCTCCATTGAAACCGACAATATTTCCCATTACACATCTTTAAGCAATTGGAATAAAGACAACAATTGTGATTAATTTTATTTAAAACATTTCCCAGCAAATGCAAAAATAAAAGTAAAAGTAAAAGATCTTTATAACCATGTTAATAGGTCTTTGTGGAGGTGAGTGAATATCCCGATCTATAAATTTGGTAGAGTATATAACTGACCTTTTGCGAACAGGAATTTGTGCCGGGAAGAGCACCATCGCACAATATCTTGTAGAGCACCATGGCTTCACACATCTCTACCTTCGACCGGATCAGAAAAGTAAAAAGTCTACTCGAATTACCAATGGCAGTACAGATGCGAAGCAAATTACAAATGGAGAATCAGAGATTGAAGAAGATGGCATAACTCGGAGACAAAAATCAATACCTCAATCGCAATCACAATATACCTTCACAAGCACGGCCGACCTACTCGACTTCGTAACCAAGCGCTGGCGCGAACGCTGGGTAATAACCAACATCTACAACGAAGCCATCCTCGACGCCTTACTCCGCCGCCCCTTCTTCATCCTCGTCAGCGTCGATGCCCCGGTCTCCATCCGCTGGAAACGCTTCCAAGCACGACCCAATCCACCATCCACGCCCCTCACCCTCGAAGACTTCCTCCTCCGCTCCGACCACCACCTCTACGATCCCGAACATGGTCTCCAATCCCTCATATCCCGCGCCACCATCCGTCTCCTCAACACCTCATGCGATCTCGCCCATCTCTATGCCACACTCGGCAAACTCGACCTTACAAACGAGCAGCGTCTACGACCCAGCTGGGATCAATATTTCATGCAACTAGCCTCCCTCGCCGCGCAGCGCAGTAACTGCATGAAACGCCGCGTAGGTTGCGTCCTAGTGCGCGAACATCGAGTTATATCAACGGGCTACAACGGTACACCCAGGGGCCTACTCAACTGCGGAGAAGGAGGTTGCGCCCGCTGCAACGAAGGACAAAGTTCCGGTGTAGGACTCGGCACATGTCTGTGTCTCCACGCCGAAGAGAATGCCCTATTAGAAGCAGGCCGAGAACGAGTCCGAGAAAACGCCATTCTGTATTGTGATACATGTCCCTGTTTAACATGCAGTATCAAGATTGTGCAGGTGGGAATTTCTGAGGTGGTGTATAGCCAGGGATATAGTATGGATGCGGAGACCGCGGCGGTATTTGGGCAGGCGGGCATTAAACTGAGACAGTTTATTCCGGTATGTGTACATTTCATTTTCCATCTGGAATATCTCTAACCTACAGTTTTGAATTCGCATGCTAACTAACACTTTTCAACGTAGCCCGCAAACGGTCTGATCCATTTAGAGAAACAGACCTTGTATTAGCATTATTTGAGCGATCGATGATACCCAGACCTTTAGGTTAATTAACATATAGATAGCATAGCACAGCATAGCACAGCATAGCACAGCACAGCACAGCATGGCGAAAGGAAGGGCAGGGCAGGGAAGTCAAGCACATATACATACATATTATACCACCAATACACATAAAACCAATTTATTGATCCATACAATACCATAAATAAGTTTCCCTGAACACCAGAAAATCTTCACATCCAAAACCTCCCTCTCAGTTCTTCATTGATTCATAACCTCCATAAAATCATATCACATCACATCACATCAAATCAAATCATTTCAATATATATCTGTTGGAATATCACTAAGATCATAATAGGTATAACAGTAATAATATTGTATATGTGTGTCCTTAGAGATATTCTGGTAATATTGGATATATATATAAATATATAAGGTATGTATATATAAACAATATCACATAAGCTATATTGTGTAACTTTGTATAAACCTAAATTATATTTCCAATATTCCCCTATTAGTTAGAATAATTAATTACAAAGTATTACTAGATTATATATCTAAATCCTATTCTTAATTAAACTCTAGGATCTCGTTAACTTTTGTAATAGTAAACAATATTATAATATCTAATTTTCTATAGAGTTCAATTATTTTATAATAAATATATTACAATATAAGAATATCTTAATTTCTTTAAGATTTTTTGTTTCCTTAGCCAAAAATACTTTTTGATATTCTATTTTAAGAAAAATAGTTTGTAAATAATATTTGTAATTCTATTAAATAATCAGAATTATTTCATCTAAATCAATTTTAAACAATTAACTCTAAATTCTTTAAATATTACTTGAATTTTGGTATAAACAAAACCTTTATTAATATATCTAT